AGGCCTCAATAGAATCGGCATCGCAAAGTCGCCCTTCAGTTTACCAAGCACCTTCATCGGAAAAGGTATCGGATCACTACGATGAGGACAAAGCCCCGGCACAAATACCACCCGATCTATTTCCTATCACCGACCAACCCAAGTCGGTTCATTTTCCTGTACCGCCAGCTTTGGCCGATCTCGACCCTTCCGACCCAAATTTCTTAGAATCGCTGCACAAGAAATATTTTCCCAATCTACCCGCCGACCCGAGCAAGCTCGCATGGATGGCTCCCATTCCTACCGAGGACAGTCCGGCTGACAAAGACTCTTCATACTATCCGCACCCCGAGATCGCTGTCAACGCTCTGCGCTTCGACTTCCAGGGCCGATTCTTATCACCAAGAGTCAGCCGATCCATTCCTTCTTCGAAGGGTTTACATCACCATGGCGACGCCCCAGAGGCTGCAGGATACACAGTTGCGGAGTTGGCTCATCTTGCCAGAAGTGCTGTCCCTGCGCAACGATGTATGGCTTTCCAAACATTGGGGAGAATTCTATACCGTCTCGGACTCGGTGAGTGGGGTAAGAGTGAGGATGACCCTATTGCTATGGGAATCTGGGCAGCTGTCAAGAAGGGAAGGGTTCTTGATAGCTTGACTGAGGCTGCTATGACTGAAGGCGGTCATCGAGGAAGTCGAGTCTACGCTACTGAGGCTTTATGGCTATTTGAGAAGGGTGGCTGGAAGGAGAAATTTAAGGGCAGGTGATCGTGCCATTCCCGTTCTATAAAAAGTTGGTTATATGACCGATTCACGATAATGAGACAGCAAAATACAACTTGTATTTATAGAGGAACAGCACCTTGTCCGGTGTTAGAAAAGCTCGGCACATGCAGACTCATTGATCCAGTCTATTGAGCACAGCGGTGCGATAAACTTGGCCTGTCAAGGCCAATTGGTGCCACGTACCTTAGCCATGATAATGAATGATGTAGCAGGTGCTTGGCGTGAAAGACATCAGACCATGCATTCCTTGAGGAATAACAGAGTCCATTGGTTTGTTTTTGGGTGTCAGTTCACGTATCTTCCACTGTAAAAGCTTAACCAGGCGTAAGGTGGTAGGTTGACGCAATACCTTGTCACAAACGATCAACAGAGGCACCACATACCTTACATACCACTACTAAAAGGGGGAATTATATGGTTGATGACGTGACTATAGCCACTGAGAGCATGTTCGACGGAATTTCAAGCTGATGAATTGAACAGACATGCTCAAAACAACTCTGTATATCAGAAGCATATGCGGGTCTTGTGGCTCAAAGGTAATGGCTTAGCACTTGGAATAGAATAAAGGATGCATTCGGTGTTCCCGTTGAAAGAGCCTAGCAGAGAGGGAAGAGTTCACGGAGCACTCGACGATCTTAGCATGATTGGCTGTGGTTTCTGATCAAAGAGAAATCTGGAGCCGCATGCACTGTAAAAATAGGTTTCTGAACTCAAGTGAGACAATGTATAGGCTGAGTCAAGGGCGAACGGTTGGCGGTGATTATGCGGTGTGTGGCTAGGTTGTACCCAGTAAGAAAAAAAAAGGGAGGCCACCTCAGCGGGAGCCTCCACTGGGCTTGGGTCTGGGTTGCCTACCACCTACCTTACGTACGGAAAAAAAAGAATGGAAACCTGGTCCGGCCTAACGAAAAAAATCCATATTTACCTATGCTGGTGGCCAAAGCCGTCAACTTCTTTCTCTTCCCTCTTGTTTCGTTTCCCTTCAACCAAAAACATCACGGCACTGCCGCGCCAATTCCTCCTCTTTCTCCCTCCCTCTGGGTGACTTGCCGTCTTCTTTTTATCTTCCTTCCGGTCATCGAATCAGTCAGTTCTTGTCATACAACTTCGCTTTTTCGGCTTCGCTCAATCGCAATCGATCGATATTCCCCGCCACTTTTTGTTTGTTGCTCCGCGACGACTTCAAACAACACCTCTCGATCCAAACCTTTACGAGTCGGATCCAGCGCTCCTGATCCCCTCTCAAGCGACTATTTGTACTGCTCTTCGTTGCGCAGTCAAAAAAGTACAACGCTTCTTTTGGCATTTTGCTCTCCCGCTTATTCGCCCAATCCGAATCTGAGCCTAAGCTTTCTGCCCCACGATCGCGATCTACATCGACGTCGATAAGTGCCCGCACACGACACGACAGAACTTTTTGACAACCGGCCCCAAAAAAGACCTACGCAAGACACGAGACACTGTGACTTTCACTAGCCATGGCGTCTCCGCTGCAGTTTGCCCACCGAACCCAGAGGGACATCGGCATCACCGACGCCGCGCCCGTCTATCAGCCTCTCGCTGGGTTCAAGAAGCCTGAAGGCAACCTCCGGTGCTGTACCTACTCGCCATGTGGTCGCTACTTCGCTTGGGCCTCTCCCGAGGCTGTCACTATCATTGATCCCTCAACTGCCCAGCAGGTCCTGTCCCTCCCCATCTCCAACGTCTACGAACTCGGTTTCTCTCCTCGCGGTACTTTCGTCATCACCTGGGAACGACCTGCCAAGGATGAGAACGGAGATGCCACCAAGAACCTCAAGGTCTGGCGTGTCGTAGAGGAGGGTGTCTCTGGTCAGGACAAGCAGCCCCTCGGCCGCTTTGTTCAGAAGCAGCAGCAAGGCTGGAACCTTCAGTACACAGCTGATGAGAAGTACTGTGCTCGTCTCGTTACAAATGAAGTCCAGTTTTACGAGAGTCACGATCTCGTCAAGGTCTGGAACAAGCTCCGAGTCGAGGGTGTTACCAACTTTGCTCTTGCTCCTGGCAGCCAAAACCACGCCGTTGCCGTCTTTGTCCCCGAGCGCAAGGTCAGCAACCAACCAAAGTTATTTTCAAGAGATGTATGCTGACAACTTCCAGGGCCAACCCGCTGCCGTCAAGGTCTTCAACGTCCCTCTTTTCACTAATCCAATCTCCCAAAAGACCTTCTTCAAGGGAGACAAGGTTCAACTGAAGTGGAACAAGCTTGGCTCCAGCCTTCTGGTGCTGGCCCAAACCGACGTTGATCGCTCAGGCAAGAGTTACTATGGTGAAACCACGCTGTATCTGCTCAGCACCACCGGTGCTTTTGATGCCCGCGTGTCCCTAGATAAGGAGGGTCCCATTCATGATGTTTCTTGGTCCCACAACTCGAGAGAGTTCGGTGTTGTATATGGTACCATGCCTCCCAAGGCCACCATCTTCAACCACCGGGCCGTTGCAACGCACTCCTTCCCGATTGCCCCTCGCAACACTATCACTTTCTCGCCAAACGGTCGCTTTGTTTTGGTAGCGGGCTTCGGCAACCTTGCTGGTCAGATCGATGTTTACGATCTCGAGAAGGATTTCCGCAAGATTACCACTTTTGAGAGCGGTAACCCCAGTGTCTGCGAATGGAGTCCCGATAGTCGCTACATCATGACTGCCACAACCTCCCCCCGACTCCGTGTTGATAACGGCGTCAAGTTGTGGCATGTTAGCGGCAGTCTCATGTATAACGAGGATATGGTCGAGTTATACAATGTTGTCTGGCGACCTCAGGGCCCCGAGAGCATTGCTCCTGGTGACCCTTTGACCCCCGTTCCTACGCCTCATGCCTCTGCTACGGCCTACCTGGGCTCGGTCAAGACTCCCAGCAAGCCCGCTGGTGCTTACCGCCCTCCCGGCGCCCGTGGTCTGGCCACTCCTCTGCACTTCAAGCGTGAGGATGAGGGCGGTGCCGCCCACGTTGTGAGCAACGGACTACCCAACGTCGGTCCCAACGGTTTCGGTCGCCCTCGCCGCGCTGTGCCCGGTGCTGACTTGGCTGAGCAAGCTCCCACGGTTAGGACCGTTCCTGGAGCTGAACCCTTGGGCGATGAAAACTCGTCCAAGTCTAAGAACAAGAAGAAGAGAAATAAGAAGAATGCCCAGGGTGAGGGCCGGCCCCAAGGAGAGCCTAACGGCGGAGCTAGCCTGGCGCCTCCTCCTCATGACCGAGGCCACGGCTCCGGCCACGAGGGTCGCAGCCCCGAGCGACGCAATCACCGCAACCGGAGCCAATCGCGTAACAACCAGGCCCGAAGCCGCAGTAACACTCACCGCAACGGCCATGGACACCATGCTCATCAAAGCCAGGGTGCCGGAGGTGCTGCTCCTGATGCCGCACAGAACCCTAACGCCAAGAAGATCCGCAGTCTCCAGAAGAAGGTTCGCGCCATCGAGGACCTTGAGATGCGTCTGGCTGGCGGAGAGAAGCTCGAGGATACCCAGCTTAAGAAGATCAACACCAAGTCGTCTGTGCTTAAGGAGCTCGACGGATTGGAGAAGGGGAACTAAAGAACGACTTTGGGGTTTGATAGGGGACAATACTTTTGGGTGATTCTTTAACAGAGTTGACATGTAGTAATAGGTTGGAATCTGTCAGGTTGGGAGTGTTGGCGAGCCATAGCGGACTCTGTGATATTGGGCTGTACTTTGTTGGACACCTGCACGGCGTGGATAGGTCGACTTTGTAGTTCTTCTTATGAAGGCGGTCAACCAGGGAGTCTCAAAAGTCATTCGGATTACGGGAGACTTGGTCGGCGTACCATAGTCTGACAGTACAAAATCACAACAAAAATGAATCTCTTTGTCTACATTAATCATGATTTTCCTACGGCATGATTTTGCAAGAACTTTTTGTGTTCAATATGCCTCGTAGTGTTTTCTTCAGGTATATTTGTTACCTATGGCTGGTGTGATGAAAGAAATCAGAGCTCATATACACACTTCCGCCTCTTCTCGTTCAACATCAAGCCTCGATACGAGGCCCGGTTAGCTCAATCGGTAGAGCGTGAGACTCTTAAATGAGTACACCATCTCAAGGTTGCGGGTTCGACCCCCGCATCGGGCTGTTCCTATGTTCCAGATGGGATTGAGTGATCGTTATTTTTAGTTTTTCATCTTTCTACTTTCAGTACAAGTGAACCGGCGGTTGGTTTTACATTTGTTTTTGCTGGCAAACTCAATCATAGTAATGTTAGCACACTGAGTAGCACATTCTCGAAAGCATCTAACCTCTGCGTTATGGTTTTAAAGTGAAACAAGCAATCACCCAAACTTTATTCTTCCCGTAGCAACAACGTAACAATTCACACATTGGCATATATTCCTAGCTTCCATTTCAGAGTGCTATACTGTAAACAACCACGTATGCTTTTGTTATCCTCAATCGCCTGCTGCCTTCTCCAACACCCCTACTTCCTCTGTCTTTGCATTTTCCGCTTCTCCTTGTCGCTTCTTTTCAAGCTTCTTCTGATACTTGGCTCTCTTCGCATCAAGTCGATCCTGCTCCTCTCTCAAAGCCCTGATGGCTGGACTCTTTGCTCTGATCTTTGCTCCGTATCGCCAGAACACGAATGGAATTGGAATCATAGCTACCTCAAGGAGGCCCAGAAGTGTTCCGGCCCATTGAGGAGTCATGGCGGCGTACATCTTAGGACCAGCCAGGGGCAGAACGCCTCCAGCAATACTTCGAATAACAGCGTTTCCGGCGAGGGCACTGGCAGCGTATATGGAGTACGCGCCAGCCAGATAGTTCGAGCCATAGATGAAGCTGATGGTGTTACCTGCACCGAAAGGGATGCCGAAAGCGATCGGAATAGCCCAATGAATGGTCGCTGGCAGGCATGTCCACGAAAACACAAGCTGGCCGATCGGGGTCAGGATAGCGCCAATGGCCATGACCAGAGCCGTCGCTTCAGGCTGAGGCCTACCAGTTACTGGATCTCGAGGCTGGGAGTTGATCAGTCTCCGGAAGAGAGGCTCTGCGAAGATGGCAAGCATGGTTCCGACGCCGATGCCCACAAAGGCCAGTCCTGACATGCCTGCATCCCATCCACGGTGTTGGGAAAACACGATAGGGTATGCCACGAAACAGAGATAGAGGATGGCATAAATCAGCGATATCCTGTGATGCCGTTAGCACACAGGAAACAGGCAGGCGAACAGGAATTGGACTACGACTCACCAGATATCCATAAACCACAAAATAGGTTCAGATGCCAACAGAGTGAATGGCCTACTCATGTTGATCTTTATCAGATGACGGGTGGAAACCCTTTGGTCATACTGACACCAATACCGCGGGTCATCGTTCTCCTTGCGCAATCGTGCGGCCTTTTGTTTCAGGATTGCGGGATGGTATGTCTCCTTCACTGTTATCATCATAAGAATTCCAACCCCACCAAGGATCAGAGGAATCCAGTTATCCCATCGCCATCCCAGATACTGGTACACAAAGCCGCCAATGATTGGGCCAGTAGATGGTCCATTCAGAGGCGCGATGGACCACATGGACATGGCTGCAGCCAGATAATCTGGATCCGAGATATCGACGATAGTTCCAGGACTATTTGAGATCATAGCGGCGCCAAAGACAGCACTGCAGCTGTGTTAGCACAGCAGTGACAAGGTTGGAAGACGTCACTTACCCAAAGAAGCGCACAACAATGATTTCTGTTAATGAAGTCGCCAGAGCACATGGCAAGATCAACAAAGCCCATACAGTCAAGCAGACGATGTACACTTTCTGTCGACCGTACAGCTCACTCAGAGGGGCCACAATTAGACTTCCCACAGCAAGACCAAGCAAATATGTTGTCAAACCAAGCGTTGTCACAGTCGTTGACGCCCCAAACTCCTCGGCCAGGCCAGATACCGATGCAGTGTAACATGTGCTGTACAAGACGACGACCCACGTGGAATACGAGACACAGACGATAATCCACGCGCGATAACCCTTTGACCAGTTCCGGGGATTATCTGGATCACCATCCTCAAAGAAGACCTCAAAGTCTGGGGGGCGAGAGGCGGCGCTGGTCACACTGGTGCCAGTTCTGGTATAAGTAATGGGTTCGCGAGCCTCGCGCTCTGCCTCTGTCTCAACATCTGGAGTGAGGGCGTGCTCCAGCGCCTCAAAGACGTCAGAGTCATGGGTGCGGCTGCGGCGTGTTTCAATGGTCCTGATGGGCTCTAGAATTGGCGACGACCCTGTTGAAGACGCTGAGGAAGACGACTCGGCGCCGTTGGCTGGCGATGCCTCCTCAAGGTCTTCTTTCATGACTGTTTATGTGTTGCTCCCAAACCTGGTTGTTATGAGTTGACTGGCCAGATGGAATGCGATGGCGACTTTCACAATGAACTGTCGTCATGTGCCGACTCAGGTTGGTTGCCCTTGGCTTATAGGACAGTGCAGTTCACGACACAGGGGGGCAATAGTGAAATGTCTGAATTTTCAGAGATAAGGAGGAGATAACATTGACGATGACCGGAAAACGGCACACAAGGGAATCAGAACTACAAACAGTTACACGACATGGGTAAGTGGTAAATTGCGCCCTAGGTATGTCCTACAACCGATGTGGGTGCCGAAGGAGCTTTCACAGCAGTTTAGCCTCTTTCAAGTGGAGATCAACAAACTCTTGTCAGCGCCGGGTGGACCCTTTGGTGGGCTTGCTTGATCACATCTGTTAAGGATGCTGTGGGCAAGCCTGCAAACACTTAACTCGCCGGAACGGATCACGGACCGGCCCCGTTCTCATGGACCCAGCGGAGGAGATAAGCGTCTCAGGTCGGAGGGAAAAGATCTACACGAGTCAACTGACGACCCTGCAAAATCTGAATCTGACTCTATCTGAACCAGATCAGAATTCGACAAGACATATATGAAGACCCAATTGTACGGTCGAGAAGCAAAGCTAGACAAGAACAATAGCTGATGGTTGATGCGTCATTATACACAACAAGCCTTCACTCTTGGCGCTGTTTGCGATATCGACCTCCCCTTGGTCGGCGCCGAAGTCGGCGATACTCGGCCGAATGGGTCCCCCTTTTCGGAGCCGCATCGGCCCCACAACGGCCGGATCTGAACCATAAAAGTGGTAAATGCTTGATTGAGCCTTCATCATGAGCTAACCTTAGAGTCACATCTAAGGTCTGCCCTGGCCAATTCTGGAGTTAATACATGATTTATTACATGCTTTACTATTTAAGCATCGCTGTTCTTGCAGAATCTGTTTATCAAGGTACGTCACTTGTTCAGCTGGATCTTGAGGTTCAAGGCAGCAGCTGTGTGGTCTGTTGGCTTGCTATTAAGGTTATTATGTTTTTTTTTGGGCATAGTGTATGACGCCTTATATTGTGGTTGTGCTTAAAAAATACCATGTTACTTGATGTGTGGTCACGGCATTACTTCCCTCTTTACGTGAATCATTGTATGGCCTTAACTATTTTTCTTAAGACCTAGTCAAGTGTTCTAACCAAAATGTCCCTGGATTTACTATGTGTTGCATGCAAGCCCGATGAGGCTGGCCTGGGTGCTAAGTTAATCTTGTTGTTCTCTATACGCAGACTTGCACGTAGCCTATACTACAATTATATGATATTTGCATGCCGGGGTGGCGCATAGGATACCTTTCATGCCCAGGCAATCGAGAGATAATGCTGTTGGTCATAAATATGACTGAACGGCTCTCAAGATTGGCATCCTTGGGTGACGTAGGTCATTGAGACTGAGTTCTGTATTTGTTGTTAGTAAGTAAGTATTCATTGGAAACTAACCCCTAAGCTTCGTTCTTAATTTATTCATTTATCTCGTCGATTCACAAGCTTACTTAAATAACAGGGGCCTTTGTTTGGATGAGCGACTGAACACTTGCCCACGAAACATGGTTCAGTCAGTATCAGACGAGGGTCAGTTCCTTAGGCGTTGTTTGGCTGTCATCGTTTCGCTCCATTCAAGGATGATCAACGTGAATGAGCCTTTGTGGGCATGGCCTAGATGAGCGTTCCCTGCAGACACTCTATCCACGAAACAACTAGGTTAAAGTCTTGGTATTATTTTTTATATTGGCGAATCTGCTCACAGCGGAGATGGCCTGGCCCTAGAACCCCTAACTCATATAGATTTGCTCAACTAGCAAGTGTATATCTACTTATACATAACATTCTCGTCCATTTCTACCGAGACATTCTTTTTTCCAGTCCTTCCACAAGGTGTCATACTTGTTGTGCTTCCCCTCCGGTACGCCACGCACCCAATGAGGTCTCAAAACAAGACCAGTATTAGGAACTATACACATATATACATGATTATCTTCACCCAAATGTGGGCCTGGCGTAATGTAACCAGGGTAAGTTTATGCCGTCCAACGTTAAGATAAAATGATAGCCGCCGTGCTGAGCGGGTATAGACTATTTCTAATAGTAATGCTGAAGATCCGAGTTGTTGTTGGCTGCTTGGACGCCCATGGGCCGTCCTTGTGATGGTGCTGGGCCTCGAGGCGGTTGTGGGCCTCGGCCTTGACTGGGACCGCTGGGCGCTGATACGGGAGGGTTGTTGGTTTTGCTGAGCGGCGGGTAGGCGTCATCGTAATCCACCTGTGGCCCGTAGCCGCCCTGCTGGTTCTTTGGCTCAACATCGTCGAGAGACCGATAGTTGTAGCCTCCTCCTCTACCACGACCACCACGGCCGCCTCTGGCATTACCACGGCCGCCACGGCTACCTCGACCTCGACCCCCTCGGCCGCCCGAATGATAGCCTCGGGACTCGTTGCGTCCGCTGTAATGACCATGTGAGTTTCTCTGGTTCCAGTCCTCATCACCGTTATGCTTCCTTTTAGATGATTTGTTGGCAAATAAACTTTCGTACTCGTCTTCTCTTGGATCCTCTGGCTCGATGCGTAGAATGACCTTCTCACCAACCACAGTTTCGAAAACAAAAGACTTTTCTGGTGGCAGGGGTTGCCAGTTCTGAATCTTTCCCGCGTCCATGGGTCTGATGCCCTTCCTCAATGCTAGCACGACGAGCGGACTGGGGTTGTCGGTATGGAACTTGGCGTGCTGGGGGATAGGTCGAAGCTGTGCCGCCCAAATACTATTCTCAAAGCAAGCTGTGCCCACCACCTCCCACTTCATCTTACTGCCCATGCCACCGACCTTTTCCAGGATACTAGCTGGACACGGCCGGGGGCAGATGAGAATGTTGTTGCCGTGGTACTTCAGCTCATGCTGGGGCATGTTTTGTGGTATATGTGCGAGCTTGATGAGCTTCTTTGTGTCCTCGGGCCCAATCATGTAACCAGTGAAGAACACAGTCTTCTTAATCCTGAGCCGATGCTGGCGTCCCCGTGGGGATTGCTTCGAGACCATCTCGTTGTGGATGTTTATCATGTGCTGAATCTCGGCGACCTCGATGACGGGATCTAGAGTCGTCGCGCAATCCGCCACTTGGATCACTTCAGCTATAAGTGGACCACGTGTTGGGGTTATGTTTTGTTGGCGGTTGAACTCGGCGAAGAAGTCGCGGAAGCCTTTCGTGTGTTTTGGTCGATCCTCATATACGCGAATCTCTTCTGCTTGCTTGTATGTCTCCATCAGGGCCCCGAGAAAGAGTTGCTTGAAGTGCATCGTACTTTGAAACTTTTGGTTTGAGGGGCTCACCGCGGGTTTGAGACCAATCATATCGAATTCGAGTCCTTTGGCCGTCACCATCTTCTTTATCAACTCAGCGAACCCGCGCTCCGATCGACCCGTTAGTAGAACGCAGAGGGCGTCTTTCTGCTTCATGCTCAGCTTGACAAGATCAACAATTTTGTCGTTCCACCAGCCATCCCAGGCACGCTTTTCCTCGATATCGATGCCTTCCCCTGTCGCCGCGAGGATGCGGCTGTCATGCCACCAGCCGCCATTGACAAACGTTTCCTGATTCGATAATGTTCCAATCGTGGGCCCGTTCCAGAGTTGGGGATTCGGTAGAGGGGTCTTGAATACTGAATTGTGTTAGATGCATGCTATGTTTCCATTGACTGAGGCGCGAACTCACGAGTGTTGTCGAAATCGTAGACGTGCAAGGATTTGATCTTGTCGACGGCTGCAGAGGGTGGATTAGCGTTATGCATGGGAAGCAGACGGAACGAGAATATGGACACGATGTATCACGAACCTGGTAATGAGTTGTTCAGAACGGACCATCGCCCCAGAGCTGTGATAGTGTGTTGCGACGCGGCGGCTGCAGGCCCATGATATGCGCTGAAGGCCGAAGCCATGGCGCCTGAGATGCTGAGTCTACGAAGGCGAGAAGACGCTGATGCTGTTGCTATAGATGGATATGTAGCGAGCATACAGTTGGTCGTAGAGTATCGCGGTGAATTGGGATGGAGGAAAAGCGAGGCTAGAGTTGATTTGGCGATGTTCGATGATGTAGTTGAGGTCCAAGTTTGTCGACCCTTGAGAATAAAGTGACGGTGGGGCCCGCGAGCCGTAACCGCGACGCTACTGGTCCGAGGCGGCTCCAGGGCCTGTATAGGCGACAGGCGCCGCATTTCAGGTGCCTAAGGTACTGGATGCAAGTAATGGGAGTCACAAGCGGGTGCTGCTCAATCAAGATGGAACAATACCTAAGGTATAAAGTAAATTCAAAAGGTGTGAATCATATTTTGTGAAAGCGTATCAGAGAACAGCATGAGACTTTCCAGAGCAAGCTCAACAAAGACAACCTTTCACCCGAACTCCATCCATTACATACATACTTTACCTTATTACCCCTCATTGAACTGAACTGAACCCAGCTGAGCTGAGCTGCATTTACTTGCATTTCACCTGGCACTCTCTTTTCCTCTGCTTTTCACTATGGCGTCGCCTAGTGCTATTCGCTTCGTCACTGGTACCAAAAAGTCTCCTCTGGGCTCTGTGCATCTTCAGCTTCGCGTGAAACCGGGAGCCAGCAAGAACCGCGAGGGCGTCATAGCCGTCGCCGACGATGCAATCGAGCTGTGCGTTTCTGCTCAGGCGAGAGAGGGCGAGGCCAACAAGGCTGTAGTTCAGGTCCTCAGTGGTATATTGGGCGTGCCAAAGTCTAGTCTTCAGCTGACACACGGCATCAAGTCACGCGACAAGACGATTGTGCTGGGTGGGATCAAAGGTGATGGAGAAGATTATGCAAGAAGCATACGGGAGATACTTGACAAGGCAGCGGAGGAATGATCAAACACGAGTGATATGATATATAGGTATACACTATTGGTTTGTTTCTCTGAAGATCTGAGTTTCTCATTGGTTGGTGAGTTTCTCTTCAAGACAAAGACTATATATTACTGGGTCATTATTGCCCAGAAACATTTGGGACTGGCTGACCAAATTCCACTGGTTTCCTCTCGTCCTATCGGTTGTGTATTGGATGAGGGTGGCTGACGTTAGAGTATGGCTTATATTCTATCTTACACTTCATTCATGGTCACGAAGGAAACCTTAGGTTTCACTCTGGTGGGGGAAAAGAGTCTTCTTTGATGGTCCGCTAGACGTATGTGCCCTCCGGGGAGGGGACATGGTGTTTACTATCAACGTGGATAACTCGAAGAACAACAGATGATCAAGTGACTGTCAAAACTCTTCATAGCTCCTCTTCATGTTAAGTATTGACGTGGCTACGGATAAATGCACTAGCTTCGCCAGCCATTTCTTCCCTTCAGAATCCATAGTTAGGAGCATCTCGATGATATCGCATGAGGGGTGTGGTGTGGGAATCTATACCTACTGCATCGCTATATCTGTCTGAACCCTAAACGCATGAATGCTCGGCAGTGGTATTTGAGCGTTTACCGTCTTTTTCCTATCCACAATAATGTTTCATAGAGAGAATGCAGGGCTGCATATCAAGCCCTGGGGCTGAGAAGGAAAAGGCCCACGGACTACTGAACGCGTATGTGTCTCTTTTTTTAAATTGCCATGCGCTGTGCATCGGCTTTTCTCATCATCATCGGCATGTTGAGTTTCGATCGATCGAAGGGATTGCCACCCTGTCGTTCCGGCCGCGGATACAAGAGAGCCCAACTAGAGACAGAAAAAGGTCGATGCCCGATATTTGACAGTCCCTTTGATTTGGCCCAAGCGGCTAGGGCGTATCCGCTATGTGAGGAGTATTGACAATGCGGTGATCAAGTTGAGGTTGAACAGAGACAGGAGGTATAACGTCCCAACAAGAGATGGGACGAAAAGTTCTGAGCATACCGGAGGCCTCTGGCACTCACATTATTGCAAAGCAATAGCACCAAGTTGTACTTGATGTTCAATCGCTTATCGGAATCTCCAGACAGATTATCAGAGCATGCAACGTGAGGCCCAAAGGATCGGCAATCCCTCACTCACTCAGGTCTAGTTTGCAGATCGATACTTCTCGACCCTTTTGACCAATTTAGACACCTAATATTCACACACCGGCCGGCCGGTAACAGACAAGACCCCGCACCCCATCCTGCAGAAAGCTACAGAGCAACCGATGCTTGTTGCCCAGCCCTTGGGGACACAGCCCATTGCCTCACAGTGTTCTGCGTCATATCGATCACTCAGAACAGAGGAGCCACAGTAGCGAGGGGTTCTCCTCTCCAGCCCCAGCGAAGTCACACTCCTTATCTTGGTACTGAGAGTGACTCTGCTGTGGCTGAATGCCCTCAACTTGCCAGAACAGGAAGCATGTCTAGCTGATTGACAAATACCATTGGACGCTTGTTGCACAACCCACGGGCGGGATCTTCTCAGTCCCTGCGATGTAAATCACAACCCTGATTCTGAATAGGTAGTTTTCAGGGAACATATCGACACTTGTCGAGTGAAATGTCTCCAGTCATCTTTCCTCTTTCTCACCAACCTTTTCTCACACTCCTCGCAAAAGAACCGCCCGTCAAACGGTCGCCCACGGTTATAGTCTTTCTTGGCCGCTAGAGTCGCTTAGCATTGCACCACGGGATCCCTTCGGGCCCAGGGTTGTTGTGAGTTTGTTAGCCACAAGTCCGGCGTTTTTGTCAATGACACCCAATGATGGCTCATGTTGAAGAGTGACTTGTGGCTCAAGGCTCGTCGATCCCTCATGACAGCGCACGCCCCTCAAAGACTAGGTAGGTAAGTACCTCCCACAGACTCCAATCACCCATCATATGGATGCCGAGCCAGTCAACGTTGGAAAAAACCATGTGAGGTTTCACTGCTGTCGAAACACATGTATCGCCACCTATGAGGCGGATATGATGTGAACTGTGGCTTATCATTGCTCCCCTTCTGTGGCGAGTAGAGTAATTAGTATGTCCCTAGGTCCCATTGAAGCACACCACAATTGTCAGGGCCTGATAATTATGTCTCATCCGGGCCGTTGAGTGACCCTTGCTGAGCTCAGTGAGCCAAATTGAGGGGGAGGTGGCTTGGGAGGGAGTAGGTGAAGTGTTAGAGTGTGTCGCGTACCCGCCCATCACTTTCAATTGACAATGGCGATCCAATTCCCCTGAGGCGCGAGCTTAACCTCGATTGTGGCTAGTAATGACCAGTTGCACGATCATGACATGGGATTAGGTCCCAATGTCCGGGTACCGCCATGCACCGGATCCAATGTTTGCATGATAACACAATTTCCCATGTCAACGGGCACCGGGAGTATGTTGCCGACCGAGGTGCTCTATTTGTGCAGCAAAGCGCCGTACTGCACTTCAACTGCAGACACGATGCACATAGCTGGGTCATGCCATGCCATCGCCGATGAATCGAGACTCACCCGCCAAGCGAACATGCCAATATAGGCGACGCAACAAAAGACCAAAAGACACTTGAGCCAAAAGGGTTTGTCCCGATGGGGAATGAAATATACCATGGGTGTCTGGAACGTGCGCGCGTCCTTGTACTCGGTGAGTTCCTCTATCATTCTCACGCCGTGAGCTGGGATACTTCACTGCAACCGCCTCTAATTCCCCTCAAACTAGACAGCGCATCGCAGATTAGAACAAACAGGTGCGACAAATCATATTCGAAGACGCGCCAGGCACCTTATGCCCATGAAACATCGCTAACACGCCAATGTCCAAGACCAACATTCCTAGTCAAGTTGAGCGGAAGCTTGAATCACTTACAAGCCACAACGTTAAATTGATTCTAAACTGTGAAGCTCGACGTAACCCCAGAGAGGAGACACAGTATGATTAGGTTTGTATAGTCTGGGGGAACACGCAAACCCCCTCGCCACAGGTGGCTAAGCTCGGCACTTTGTTCCTTTCGACTCCATCTTGGCAAGGTACTCAGTTGACCAATTACTATCAACTGAAATAGTAATCTGTTCGGAAGACGGCTCGAGGTCCCCTTGGCGAACTTGATGACCCTGTGGCAGTGTGGCTCATGTCGGTGTAACCCAATTGCGTTGCTATTTCCGAAATCTGGGCTTCGCTTTCTCATAGACCATCTCTTTGAGTTTGCTGACCTATCCTTTCTAATCATTCATGCCGCTTGGCGCTTGTAGTCACCGGATAGAAAGTCCGGCTTGGCCAGGATATGGCTGTTTGGCTCTTGAATTCCTTACCCTTGACGCTCATTCGAAACGCATTATCGATGTGCTAGCCACGAAGCGATAGCCTGGGATCGAGTCGTTATGATTTGTCCACGACACGCATGTAAACAATGCTATCGGTCCTGGACTTAGTGGGTGAGATGGCACCATCCTGATCCTCGGCGACACAAACACAGGTCTGGTGGTATCGAATAGCGGCCGTTGAGTGTCAAATTGGTCCGCCACCAATATTTGGCCTAAAGGGCTCCACAAACGGTTGAAGCTGAGGCCCGGGCATCACGAATTGCAGTACTACATACCGTATGCCTTTAGACCTCGCTTTGTGGTGAGCACTGCTGCCGTTAGATGAACCATCAAGATCTGGGACATGCTTGAAATATTGAACAAGTGTGGGTATTGTATATGGCATTATATGTACGTCGTGTTTCCCAAGAACAAAGATAAGTATCCCATCTTACTCACTCGCCCCGTCTCCTGCTTGCATTACTTCGTAAGTCCTATTTTCGTGTACGCCGGACTCATCCGCCCATTGTATAAGAATGTGATGCATATACGCTTCTGTGTTTTGCTTGAATGCATTCAAGATAAGAGGTAATATCGCAGTAGAAATATGATGATGTCGCTTTCATGTCGGAGGTTGGACAGACTGATGAGGCCGTCCGTATAGCGTGTTGCACAAACGAATATATGTTGCTTGGCGGAATGTGGATTTATGCAGAAGAGATCCACACGCTTACAATGTTTTCGCATGATGCGGTAACAGGCGCCAAGAGTGTACGCTCATCTTCGTATCGGGAAATCCGGCCATTTCCAAACGAGTGCATCTCGGCTTGCCAGGGCACTGACCGTTGACGGAGAGGATTGAGAGCGGTCCAAAATTCTCACTAGTACGTCTCCTCGGTGCGAGAATGGCTGCCCATCCCATCCATCGTCTGCCAAATCTTCAAGGCATGCGTCAAACAAAAAGGGCTCCGAAATGGTTGCCACTGCCGACACAAATGTGGCAGCAAAGAATGAAGAGGAAAGATGAAAATAGAATAGTAAGAATAAAAAGAAAAACCGGTGGTATCATTTTTCAACAAGACTAACAATCGTCAACGCCCCGGAGCCAACAATCCCAATCCGTATATGTATGTGATCGTGTGTCCAACCTGGCGACAGGCCGAGAGACCCCAGCAAAACAGTACAATCCCAAGTCTAGACCCATATGTTGCTTATCGCCGCAAACTCATCGCCGTACTTAACTCAAGGTAGCGATGGCGGGGGTTGAAAAAAAAAAAAGACACAAAGGAAAAAGGAGGGATAGTGCGATTAGAAAGTAAGACGGAGAACGAAACCACTTGTTGCTTTGTCGTTGGATTCAGTAATGTCTTCGGTGGCGTCGACAGCCATTTCCCATTCCCGCTTGACTGCCGGTCCAGTAACTTCTTGTATCTCAAGCGTCATGTCTTGACCTTCCTTGAGCTCTTGTACCACATCGTCGTCCATCTCCACCTCAAGGCCGTTCTGGATGGAATGGATTGTGCGGAGGATTCGGGAAGGGTCGATGCCCCACTTGGCCGCGATTCGGTTGTTGAGTTCCTGAAGACTACGTTGCATCAGGTAGATAGCGCGGTGGTAGTCCGAGCTTCCGGGCTCGTTCGGGTTCCTTCGTTGAATATAGAAGCATGCCACAGGCTTTGGACTTCGCTCCTGGGGTGGGCGATAGGACGGGTCAACACCTAGAGCCTCGATCCATCCACTAAGACTGCCATCATCGTCACCCTTCGTAATTCTTGTGGGTTGTTCAGACCCTTTCCGTGATATGTCACCTCCCGCTACTGAGTCGAAGTTCTTCCATTGACCACCAGCGCCAATACCGGACGCCTGTGATGCCAGGGATAGAGAACTGGGTGAGGGAGAAATCATAGAGCCCGTGACAGAGCTTCGTCCGCTTCTGGCCTGCCAGTTAGGACCTTCGCCAGGCTTGGTCAGAGGCGAGATGTCTCCTGGAAGAGACACAGGGTGCAGGTCTGGGTCGTCAGGCTCATCGCCCCGAAGGAATAATACACTGACAGGCCGTGTACTGGTGAACATGTCCTGCAGCGTTTGGAGCTTGAAATGTAAGTCTTCTTCCATGGTAGCTCTTCCACCGCCAGCAGAACTGGCTGAGGACATAGACCATGTTCGCTTATGCTTCTGAACTTTGCCGGGTCTTTGCGGCTCTCCGATCTTTGCAGCTCCACTTGAACGTTTGCGCTTGCCGAAGTCCTTGAGACCACTCTCAGCTTGTGCGATTTGCTGCTTAAGCTTGTCGATAGACTTTTTCACATGTGCCACGTCGTTAGAAAGCTTCCTCTCTGCTCCATGGTCACGGAAGAGCTTGACCTTGCAGTAACAAATCTCAGGGTTGGCGTCGGCCGCTGGCTGTGAAGGATCGCACGGCACAGGGTGAGTCTTGGCGCATAGTCTTACAGGAATACCCTTGACACCTTTCGAGTGGCTGAAATCGGTAGAGAGGAAGTTGAAGCGAACTGCGATGTTAACCTCGGGGGGGCCATTGATCCCTGGTGTCCAGGTGACACAGAAGCCATCAAACGAAGACGATTCAAGCTCCACACGGGTTCGCTTATCGTCACCTTCAGCTGGCTGGCCTGCCTCTACGTATTCAACTGCTTGAAGCTTTCCGCCTCTCTGGTGTGCCTCGTTAGTGCCTCTGCCTTCTTTCCAGAGACCCCAGCATACACCTGGCCGCTGTCGTTGCTGTTCATCCTCAAAAGACACCCGCACGAAGGTGCGATATTTGGTTCCGGGGGCAACGGGCATGGTAGCATTTGTATCGGCAACAGAAAGTGAGTAAGCCTGTCCCTTATTAAGATAAGTGACAGGGATTTCGTCCGCATGCTTGATCATGGCTGTAGGAGCGTTGAGGGTGGAGTGAAACCGAAATTTTTCTGCTGAGGCCGGAAGAGGATGGGATATAGGACCACTTGAAAACTGTCTTGTTGGCATGTTCATCATGGGTGTAGTCTTGTGAAGAGTGGCACCAATGGATGACATGCGCTCTTCAGAAGGGTCCGAATCCATGGGCGATCCATCTTGATCCATGGTCTCATATCCTGTGTCTTGATGAACAAATGTAGATGGCGCAAAGGTTGGCTGGGGTGGGGGCGCTTGAATGAACGGGTTGAAATGGTGGAATTGATGTGGTTGCAGTGTCTGAAACCCCGACATATCCATCACTGGCTGAGCTGGGCCAGGATGCAGCGAGTCCCCCGATGTTGGCATAGACAGCGGTGTGTTAAGTCCCATTCCCAACCCGAGAGTCGGAGTATGCAGGTCGCCGGCCTGTGGGTGAAATAGTGTATTAGTGCCTCCAGGTGTAGGTGTGTAGTAGCCAGGTGGTGCATTAGCAAAGTTGGCGAATGACATGGAATTCGGATCTAAGAGAGAGGGAGTAAATCTCCAAGGGTCGTTAGTCGCCCTAGGGGTTGGATCTTGATCACGGAATGCATCTTGAGTGAGGTTCTGGTTCCTGTGAAGCATGTTAGTAACACTGCGCACATACGCCAGGTGCCAGCACCATGGTACATAGTCACAATAGCACATACCGATCAGGTAGAGGCACAGCAGGCACGTTTTCGGCGCCAGTAGTTTGTGACAGGCCTGGAGCAGTAGCAGCAGTACTGGCAGCAGCGAGATCAGGGAACTGCTGTCGGAAATTGGCCAGCAGTTCATCGCCCGGCTTCTGTGAGCTCGTCCTAGGAAAGTATTGTGTTAGTCAGTAGAAAGATTAGGGCCTTCAGCCTATATTTTGAGGGCATAACAGCGCGGGTGTCCAAACTAATCGTATGTTGTATGGTGCGTACCTTTGTCGAAACATGTCGAGACGAGCGTGCTAGGCCGTCTCAAGACAGCAACAATGTCGAATGGTTGTCAGCGCAGCGCGGAGAACAGTGTCTTCGAGTTTAGACGATCGGCAATGTCGCTAGTTTGCGAACAAAAGTCGTAGGCGCAAATTTCGAAAATAGGTTATTGGATAAGGCAGTTGCTGCTGCTGTTCATTGATTTTGGGGTGTAGCGTTCAATGTATTGTTGCGACAACGGGTTGTGGGATGGTGGTGCTGGCCGAAGCGAAGCGAAGCGAAGCGGAAAGCGTTAATCGCGGTAAGCCGTTAGACGCGTTATAACGGCGAGACAGGGTAAAGCGACGAGCCAGCTGTACTGAGCGAGTGTTGACAGAGGTCGACAGTTTCTCGCGTGGGTAGAGGATAAAGTAGAAATAGAAGAGAGGTGCGTGATGCCGTGGGATATTGTAGTAGGTGGTGTAAATAGTAATTAGGAAGGGTCAGGTAAAGTAAGCTAGAGAAGGTAAGGGTATATTGGAGGAGTGGTGGGGACCTGTCGTCAGTCCCGCCAGAGCAGGAGGAGGGTGAAAACTGAAAAGACTCGATGGACGGAGAACGAGGATCTGACTTCGAAGTTCCTAAGTACCTCGTACCCACGTCCCAAGCTCTGGGCTGGGGCGCCGAGGCGGTGTCGTGGATCGAGTGGATGAGGTGAATGTGGATATGGATCGGGAGGAGGCGTGTCTATAGTAAAGGGAGGGTACTTGTGCCACACGGTTTTGTGCCTGTGCCAGACGCCAGGGAGTGGTGCGATGTTGGAGTCAGGATACGACGTAACGCGGTGATCTCAAGTGATGCCGAGATATTATTGTATTTGTTTTGTTCAGAGCTGAACCCACGAAGCCTATTTCAGCTGTTGCAACACTGCGGCGTCAACTACTATCGTCAGAATACGACTGCACCGTAGATCAGGACATGAACTTTCTAAGGGAGACTTGAGAGGAGAACACCTTTGCCGATGGAGACGGGACTGTTCGACTGTCGGGTTCTAGCGAGCGGTTATGTGTTTTGCAGGTGTCGAGGCAAGTGTCCTTCACGCCGAGCCAAGCAGTTGCAGAGTGGATGTGATTTTTCGGGGCGACAATAGCTTGTCCGCAGTGCCGGGATGCCGCCAAACAAAGATAGGTAGTAATTGCAATACCGTTAGTGTTTGCTGGCTAAGATGTCTCTCTTGTCCCCTTGTCTTGTACATGCTGCTGTTCGTGTGTGGCTGGAGCTTGCGATACCTTACATTAAAATGTGCGCTTTGCTGTAGTAGCCAGCCTACCAGGGTCGATTTTGTGAACTCTGGGAGGCCTGAACAGAGGCGTCATTTTGACGCTGTTACTTCGACACTCTACGGCTGCCGCTCCCGATCTAGATGAGCATATCTCTCTCTGTCCAGCAAGACTGTCTGTACTGTGATGGCCGACTCAGGAAGATACACTGTTGTGTCGCTCACCTTGCAGGCAGAGTCAGAAGGATATGCATCCATACCAACATATCCACCCGTCGATTTTCGGGAGCCTGTGGGGTCAAAGCCATGGGGGCAAACCAGTGACCAGCAAGGGGGACCCTGATCCCAGAAGTCTTCTCATCCGCCAGGTCAAGGGTCGGCGGGCAGCTAGAGAATAGCAGCTAAAACCCTTGTGCTGCATAGACCATGGGTGGAGAAGAGAAGAGTTAGAGGGGAGACAGAAGGAGGAAGAAGAGGCTCGTCTCGTCGTTCGTTCGCTGTCTGGTATCGGCCGTGTTGTTGAAAATTGTTAGTGAGGAACAGGTACTTTCTCCTTCGAGCGGTTATGGCAACAGCCTATGTCCTTTCTTTCTTCCCATCCTTCCTCCCTGTGCTTGATCGGAAGAGGGCATGTGGCTTGTGAGGCTTGTGACAGGACAGACAGAGTATGGTAAGGTAAAGTAAGGTAGAGAACAGCAAGGGAGGCTTCGGGCAGTGACGCCATTGCAGCGTTGTGGACATTTAGCTTCCGCACCCTTTTACTGGATGGGAAAGATGAGACTTGCGTTAGGTTTTCTCTAGACTGTAGATTGAGTCAACAGAAGTGCACGTCTACCTGTGAATGCATCTGCATCTATTACTACAGTGTATGTGCCAGCGAGAGTGGCTTTATCAGAGGTTAGATGAAGAGGGGTGAGGCTTGACCACTAGGCCCCCAGAATTATCCCATTTCCATCCCGTTATTTTCCCCGGGTGGTTTAGGTTGAGTTCTGATATGTGTTGCTGCGCAGTAATGCACTGTAGCAGTTAGTTAGCTTCGAAGCTGTAGGCGGGGACCCGGTCTCTCACTGTCTGTTTCTAAAAGGCAGTGGTTCTGGCGCCTCGGATACAACAGCGGTAACCCTTACGCAGGAACGCCAGAGCCGTGGGATGTGGATGTTCCAAACCCACACTCGAACACTAGCTGGATCGGATCTTTACTCTGTCATCGGTTTGCATCTTAAGAGCACCTAGTCTGCCATCGGCTGCCCACGCCAAAATCACCCCTCATCGAAAGTTCTATCACGAGGTGCTTGCTCTTTTATCGGAGACCGGGGCTTTGGGGTTAACCCATTGTTTGAGACTTTTTTTTTCCTCCTGTCTTTGCCTTCTCCTCTTCAAGCGCCATCCTCGACTGGTACCTGAGCTTGTGGTTATTCGAGTCGGTAAATTAAAGTCATGGAGCCAATGACATCTGATGGAAACAAAAACTCTACCTCTGTTCTACGCATACCGAACGCTAGTCATCCACATGGTGTACTTTGATGGGGAAAATCAAAACAACGTGACTGAACTGTATGTTTACCTACCTGTCTACCTACGGATGGAGTCTACCCATGCCATGCCATGCCATGCCTCATCTCCCGTTTCCCGCCGCAATGTGTATGCGCTGTGCTCCATTGTGCCCCCTGCTGCGTATATCCATCATATGAGTCCTATTGGTCGGAGGATGGCTCATTTGGAAAGTCCTGCAACCGCATCCGTACAATGTGTGTGAAGACTACATGTAGGGCAGGGCCTGGTGTTTCTTCCAATACTGTCCCCGGTCTGGCGGCATGACGGATGGGTTCCCATCCGTTCCTTTCTTCATCTGCATCACTCACATCCACGGCCCGAAATGACCTCTGCCTCTAGGCCTTCCCTTTTGGGGCCCTACCACCTGACCAGGTCCGTCATTCATCAGAGCATCCCATGGTCAACCTGGGTGAGATGTTGTGCTGTAGTTTTCGATGTGAAAAAGACTACAGCAGCACACAGATGAGTTCTGTCATTTCCAGAACGTCTATCAATATGATAGCTCCTAGGCTAGAAGGGACCTGCTCTGTTCTTCCCGCGTGGCTGTGCTGAACCCTTCAGATTCTCAATATTTATCCTGGTCTTGGTACTACCTTACCTATGGTTCATCTCTTGTCCAGGCGCGCTTGTGTGCATCTTGCAGAGGTTCCGGAGTAGTCCCTCGATCATTTAATTGGTCTTAGCGACGCCTGGGTTTAGAGCTTATCCATCCTCTATGTTCGAATGAAGAAAGTCACCTAGTCGTCACAATCGAACCATTGCCCTCATACCGCTTGGCCTGATTCGGTTTGGTCCAGACGTTGGGAATGCCATTTGCAAAAGCCATGCGCTGCAATTGTAGCGGCCGCCGAAGTCCCTCCCTAGTCTAACTCTTTGGTGGCCGTTACCGTTCATTCGATTAAAGAAAGATCTTCACCACTCACTCCAGATTGAGAATAGACACGTGGGTGATTTGCATGTGTGTTCTTCGGGTCTTGGGTCCCCGCACATCCAATCCGTTATTCGGGGTTGACGACAGACAGCTTCACAGCCACAGTTAGAGGCGATTTCATGACGACGCCACAGGGCTCGATCCCCAATCCTCGGCACATTATTGCCCAATTGCATGTTCTGGGCCGATTCCAGCTGTGCCGATCAATATTTTGACTGCCTTATCTTGTTGATCATTGCCTGAGATTTCAGCTGCTCAGGCATGGGCGTGACTGGCAGATGTGGCTCTAAGCGTCGTTGTGGCGTAATGAGCGTGGCTTGACGCGTGGCTGTCGCCCCCTTCCGTTTGTGCCTTCCTCAGAGGGGAGTTCATTAATGAATTAGGAAACCATTTTCTTTGGATTGTCGACTTTTCATCATGGCATCTCGGCACTTTTACTTTTCACCCGTTTTCGTGGCTTTTGTGTGCTAGAGATGGTGACCAAACTTTTTGGTTTGCCTTCATATTTGTTTCCTCGCGATATTTTGTCCTGGGTGCAAAACTAGCTGGCAACTCTAGCTTACACGCACCAACCGTTCGAACAGCCAACCCTTGGCAGGCATAGGCAAGCAATCTTGGAGGACCAGGATATCCCAAGATCAAAATCCAACCTGGCTATGGCTCATGCCACTATCGAACTGCAGATCTCTTCTGTGTTGCCAAGCATAAATAGCATGGCAACATGTTTGATCGATTTGGAAAGCTGTGGTCAATTTAAACTTGAAGTATGTACGGAGTGTCCAAGTTTCTAACTCTTGGTTTTCTAACACTTCTGAAACAGTCTCCCCTCAAGTCCTCCTGCTAGACACCTTCAGCACAGTCAAGCTGATGGTTCAGTCATCCAATTGACTGGTAAAGCATACAGCTCTCCCTTTGGTTCTGATTGTTTGGAGCTTCCTTATTCCAGGCTGAGAGCGTTTGATCTGGTCTCAATGAATTATTGTTGAGCGTTCATTAAACGCCGTGGGTGCTTTACCTTTACCAGGGCTACCCTGTCAAGTCCCATCTGGTGCCATCTCGGAACACATCCTAATCCCAGTCAAGTCCATCCAACGATTGCATGTTCCGACTTGGGTGTGCAACCAAACAGAGATGCAGGACCGCCGTGGCACTACTGGGCTTGAGAACGGAAATATGCATAGAGCCAGCTCTGCATCCAACTCTCCAGTCTATGCGTTTTTGCAGTCATCAATAATAACGGTGCAGCCCTTCTTCGTCTGGGCTTAATCTCGGCAAATCATTTACGGATCGCGCCCGGCAAGATCTTGCCCGGATCACAACGTTCACTAGCAGAGTCGAAGTAAATGGTATCGAGCTTTGATTGCTATGCACTTGTTGGTTGCGTCAATGTCATCGCCAACGACAATCTGAGCTGCAACCCCTGCTCTATGTCCTCACCATTTACATTTCAAATTTTCAGCGATATCATCAAGATATATCAAGTCGTTAGGGCTTCTACAGTTTCCTCAGTCCGAATCATCTGGAGATTGATGCTCCTCCAAGCCCTGACAAGGCCATCGTTGCCCTTTGGCCATGAACGTGTGACTGGTAGCTCACAACGGTCATCTACCATGCGGCGGGTATCTTGGTGTGAACACCACACAGTTTTCGGGCGAGTTGCGTACACCATGTAACGCTTCCCCTCACACCCTTCCTCACAGGGCAATCTCTCTAGGGGTTGTTGATTGACGAACAATCTCTTCGAATTCCAGGTTCAACTACATTTCGAGGATAGTCTACTGTATTGTTTGTCATGGCTTACAATGCCTTGTCGTGCTCGGCTATCCCTTTTTTGGGATGTTATGTGTTAGTTCACCACACGCTCAAGCGGGTTAACACAAAAGACATTTCATATCAATCAATTCAGATGCCATCTTACTCAGATGTCAACCCCACAAATGACAGCTGGCTCGTGATATCTTGCAGGCCCTTCAAGTGGGCAGTGTACGAGAGATGCATTTGATTCAATACCGGTACCGCGCACGAAGTTGCCTCAAAGTGCCGTACTGTTAATGCCGAAGCTGAAGAAGAAGCTGGAACTCGATACCGATTTCCGTGTAAGGGCATTCAGGACCTTGGAGTGAGACGCCTGATTGACTTCCGGAACATTAGTGTTCATCAGAGCGGAGATGTCGCCAAACTTGTCCCATTTTGCCCTACAGGGGACCAGGGTTTTGTTCGTCACAACAGATGGGCCCAGCCACAATGCAACAGCCATGACCATGATGTCATTGTTGCTATCCAAGATCCTTCCACGTCAGTCTACCCACGAGGCTGAAACCGTTATCGAAGCCTCTAATGAGCAAGACATGGAGTAATGGCAAGGGACTTGGGGAAATACTACAAACATGGGCGCATTCATCGCAAAACAGGTTAGAGTTGTCGACGTGGCACCCTCTTTCGCCAGTCAGACTGGGACGCTAGGTATCATCTTCGAGTCCACCGATGCCCCCGCATGATGAATGAGGGAAGCATCACGAACAGCAAGCTTTTTAGAGGCGTTGACGTCATCGGAAAGTATTGCTGACCTCTCCACTAAACGATTCAATTTTATTAAGATTGAGTTACTGGAGCACCACTCGGTCGAAACATTCGAACGAGCTTCAAACTCCTCCCTCATGGTTGCCCCGTTGTTCCCCGGTTGAACATAGTTACCAGTCAATTGGTGGAAGTTTACTAACACCTGCGAGAAATCAGTTGGAAACAGTAATGCCTATCATATATCATATATGGTCAGGGTCCTGATTATCAGAACTGCATATAGCCGCGAATACTAGACCCATACCTGCGGCATGATTATTATCTTGAGCCTTGTCACACGAATGTGCGAAGGGTAATAACGATTTCTGTTGGTTTACTAGGGTGAGCTTTCACCGGTAACGCCCAATTTGGGAACGAGCCCTACCTTAATCCACCTGTTATGCAGCACCCTGTTTCCGTATACTGGGGTCGAATGCGACCCTGTGGCCAGCCTCCAGTATCGGCGAACCCTTACTTTGAATAACCGCAACTTTATTCGCTTTGCTTTGTGGGATTGGAGCCAGATCTTGACTGATCATGGCCGATTCAGTTTTCGGGGGTGGGTGCATTTCAGGAGGCCGAACTGTTCAAGATACTTTCCTGCCTGGGGCTTCTTGAACATTGGTTTCACGCATCAAACGCTGGCTTCTTGGAGCGCAGTTCGGGGAATGTCGATTCGAATACTTTCACATTACCAAACAAGCTGGCGCTCTTCGTCGTGGTGCTCCCTCAACTACGATCTTGAGCATTGATGGTCTCGATGACTCCGTAAACTGAGCATGCCTATCATCGAGCGGCTGGTGCCGTACACTGCAGTCAAGCCACCGCACCCCTCTCCCTTGCTGAGGGCCACTGTACTGGGTACTTTCAAGCATGTCCAATCTCATCACCGGCAGTTCGAGTTTATCGTCAACATCGCCATCTTTCCGCACTCGGCTACTAGCTCGTGTTGCAAGCGAGTGTTATCTTTAGGACCTCAACTTCAACTTGTGAGAAAACTTCGATTTTTTTTTCCAAGGATGATGAATCAGGGTCCTCTTCCAGAAGCCTTCCGTACTACAGGGCTTAAAAGTTTGACTGGACCTGCCATACCTAACGGGGACACGGTCAGGTTGATCACTACATCATCGCACGTCCTACCCATGCGCATCTGCCCTCCCTGAAGGGTTTTTTGGGGATTCCTGCCCCCCTTCTCCACGCTTCCTGTACCTGAATTGGTCTCTTCCGTCGTAACTGTAAAGTCTGATGGTGAAGGGGGCTGATCGTTGCTTGGAAAGTATGTCCACTCCGACAATCTCAATGGCGCGTTGCTGGTGAGAGACAGGCCAAGATGCCCAAAATAAGAAACGCATTTACTCCCTATTTTTGGAAATGCTATTTTCATCCCGACAGCGACGATCTCGGTAGGATATGCACATGGATATTTGAACTCCAAGGGTTGTGGGGGACGGTGGTGGTGGTGAGTTTGGTGATAGTTGCATGCAAATGTCGACAATGTTGACGCGTCCTTTATCGACTCATGATCACCGCGATTTTGCTATCATGGGGAATGATTTGCGCTGAATAACTGAATCGTATCGTGTCATTTACTAGGATATGACTCGCGTGGTTTTCCTATCATTTCCCTCAGCATTACAGCTACAAGTCGTCTCATGGCTACGCTAGTTATCCACATTATTTAGGACACAATGGATTTCATTCCAGGCCAAGGACAGAATGTTCCTCATCTTCTGAACTGCCTTTCTAGAGAATAGTGGCTTTGGAGGCAAGAGTCAGCAAAGCACAACAGGGGTAGGTATGTGTGGCCCCTCGATCGAGTGTCCATTGACCGAAATATTCATCTGTCAGTTATGTCAGGAGGTCATGAAGACTTAACGTTGGACACCCTGTGGTTTGTTATACTTTGAATGTATTTTGCTTGATACTGTGAACGAATATCCTGGCTGATAATTAATACGCTGGTCCAAACTATGATATGCACTAAGCATTATAAGGTCTACATTTTCTCTCCATCACTGACCGAAATGAATGAACAGGCAACGTCGGGTAAGTACCCTAAGAATATAATATAAGTACCTGCAGGATCTTCTCCATACCCGGGTAGATATCCCGGGCAAACAAAACAAAACATAACATAACCTCTGATCAATCGATTGTGACATCTGGCGTATTTAGACTAAGCGATATAGGGTAGGCAAACATCCACCACGGATACATGTATTGAGTAGGCAGAAGTCATGCGTATCAAAGATGCGACAACTGTAGCGCTAAGTTTGTGCAGGGCTTGTCGAGCCGGAGAATACTCCATGTTGAGGTCAGTTCCATTTAGCTTGCGGTTGAACAAAGACTAAGCCGGTGGACTATCTTATAAATCAGTTATAATACGGCAATTAAGTCAAGGTTGGGGTTATTTCATGATACTTCTATGGGAAGGTAGCATAACGCTCAATATAATGGTTACTGTTTTTAAACAAGGTATCCCATATCACTGGAAACTTTAATGAACTGTATAGGGTTGCTCAAGAAGTGTGCCCAGGCAGCCCATGTAATTTCTGATCTTACGTGCACATGATTAAATACTAGCATGGCCTCGAATTCCTGAAGCAGATGGAACGCTAGACACATGGCGCAGAAATCAAGTTGACGATACTCCTATTGAGGTTGATAGACAGAGCCAGCAGACGGGATAATGAGACCCTCGTCTTAAATACAGGTCGACAGTAGGATAGGGACGTTCATACCAGTGTCTGGATGAAGGCGATGTGCAACATGATACATCCGGTTCTTACGATGACCGGCGTCAGATCCAGACTGACTGAGGCCATATAAACGAGTAGCAATGCGTCTTGCGTTATACTATATTTATGAGAAGCCATGTCCCTTTGGTTATTTTGTACTCCGTGATCTTTACAGATAGAATGATGCATAACCATCTATTCCTCATCGCTGTCATCCTCCTCCTCGGCGTTCTCCAACCACTCCACCAACACGCGGCACTTTTCTTTCAGCAATGCCATAGCCTCACCCTCAACGGCACGCTCATTCTCCCACCAACTCAGAATACCCTCCTCCTCAAGGATATCGAGCGCATACAGGTGCTGTAGCATTGCGGCGAGGAGAATGCCAACACGGGACTGCTCAGGTCCTTGGGAACGCGCGAGAGCCTTCTGGAGCGCGATAATGAACTCGACTTGCTCGGCCTCATTATCATCATCGCCGCCAATTCCGACCTCATTGATGAATTTTGTTGCACCTTTGCGAGCCTTTAGCGCTTGTTCAGCAGCCTTGTTGGGTTCGAGACTGCCGTGCTCAGGGGTCATGAGCTCGACTGCGCGACGGGCAAATGCGGTGGCCACAGCTCGGCGCATCATAGCGTCCGAGGCATCGTTGGAGAGACGCAAGCCCATGAACTCAAGCTTGGCCGAATCGAAATCACCGGACTCGGCACGAAGAGCGTCGACCAGACCGTGTACGGCCTCGCTATGGAATGAGAGTTTGTCGCCAGCATCATCGGAGGCGAAGGACGTGCGGCGGGAGGGGTCGGTGGTGTCGACATGCAAGGAATTCTCATCCGGGATATCTTCAGAGATTTCGGAAGATAGTGTCGATACCGATGAGGTAGAGATATTGAACTGGGAAAGGTTGTACATGAGACTCTTCTGAAGCTGGCATGGGTCTCTCTCGTCAACCTCATCATCCTCAGGGTCCTTGAATGCTGCGGCATTGGTACCAGAGCCAAGCAGCTCGGTATCCGGCGTCAAGGGATTGCCCTCAGAATCGACGCATGAAATGACAGTATCTTTAGGTAGTCTAATGCTCTTTCCAATGTTGACACCAAAGGAAATGAGGCTGCCTTCTGCTATAGATGAGTTCTCTTCAATGGTGGCCGAATCTGCCACGATAGCTCGGTATATTCTTGCGTCATCCCCGACCGTGGTGTGGTCCCAGATGTAACAGTCCTTCAAGATGACGTTGTTACCAATTTTGCAGTCTCGCCCAATTATGCTGTTGGAGATTTTACTTCCTGGGCCAATGTAGCTGTTGCGTCCGATGATCGAGTTCTGGACTTCGGAGGTAGTAGCGTAGAATGCACCGTGCTCGACCACAACCGCAGGTCTGTGACGCTGGTAAGCCTGCTTAGGAACAATATTGCACTCTGGAATAAAAGGATAAGTCCATCGGCCTAGAACGTCGCGGCTGATGGCGTCGTACTGCTGTAGATTGCTTGCTCGGGCTGCGTAACCATCCTCGCAAATCTCGGTATAGATCATCTTGCCGTTCAGCTCCCAGTCCTTGAGCACGCCGTGAAGGAAGTTTCTCCTGGGAAGCTCGTAATCGAAACTTTCTGACCAAAGCGCAAGTACCTCGGGTGTACAAATGTCGATCTGAGCATCGATGAGGTCGGATCGAATCTCGAATTCAGTTGATAGCTCATCCACAACAGCTGGATCTAATGACATGTATCGATCGCTTGCCAAGGGGTTCATCTCATCGTAGTGAAGACATCGCTGAGTCTTTGTGTCGACCACAAAAATGGGTGTGATTCCATTTGTCTTTGTTCGGTGATCATCCTCTCCACCACTGCGCAACACCATTGTCATGATGTTGGCTGCGCTGTCTTGCCTCCGTTTTCGGTGCGCCGCCAGAGCACCATCAAGCATGATATTGGACACGAGGTCGCCATGCACGAGGATAAAATCTCCGTCGACAAGAGATCGCTTGTCCATATCGCGTAGGACATCGCCGGCTGATCGTGCATCGGAGACTCGGACAAATTGTAGAACGGAAAAGGGAGATGTGCGCGCGGCTGGTGACCACCGAGATCGGCTTATGTAGTCTTCGACTTGGTCGGTATGAGCACCACAGTAGATGTAGACTTCGTTGACACCGTTCATGGCTAGAAATTCAAGGGTATACTCGATGAGGGGGGTGTTTGCGAGAGGGAGAAGACACTGCGAATAAGCCCATTAGTACGAGCACATGGTTGAGGCGAAATAAAAGGGCATACTCTTGGCTTCTCGATGGTAAAGGGCTTGAATCTGTCTTGAAAGGAGTCGGCGAGGACCTGAAGAATACGCTGTGAGCTTGCGCCGGTCTTGAAGAAAAAGATACCCCGCCATGTCACCTACAACCGCCTGGAGAACATCCTCGCTTTTGCTCTCGGCTCCTGATTTTGAGGACTTTTTGCCCTTTCCACTATTGCCCTTGTGCGACATGTTTACTTGTCGGGGTCAGAGCGTTGCGTCCGAAAGATATTTGGGTGAATATTGTGAAGTTAAGTTGAAGCGCACGCGAACCGTGGGGTTAGGTCAAATTTCCAGTGACTCAATCAACGGAACCTCCCCACCTCACCTCGGTGTAGGGGCTCTCACCTCGGTGAATTGGTTAAGCTGCTCTGCTGAGGTAATCATTCAAACCCTCCACTGCCAAAGCACTCTATCGCCCGTTGATCTTCGACGACCTGCCGTGGAAATAATATTACCCGACGCCGAACGATGAGTCCCGATAGACTTCGGTGGACATTCCAGAGTTCACTTTATTATACCAGGCATAACAGTTCAGCTCGCTATATCCGGACCCTTGACTGTAACACGCGGACCAGTCAAATCCTGAAAACACCCAACACTCACATATTTGTTACCTACAAAAGGTACCTCAGTACGTAGTCGTGATTCCGCTTTGTTTGTTTCTCGGCAAGCGTAGACGAGCACCTAAGTTTCGCTTAACAAGGAGCTATTGGTTTTGGGGGAAGGGGGTTGACTTTTAACAAACAGCTGACACTCGAAAACTGGTTCGATAATGGCGTCTCTCAATGAAGTCCGTTCACGCACGAGCCTGGTGGCATATGAACGACAGGCACATGCTCAGGAACAAGCAGTACTCATCGAATGAGAAGACTTGGTGTCGCTTCGGTTCCGGGAGGCGGTAGCGCCCGATCGGGGACTAAACTAGAGAGGCAACATTTATTTATGCGGCTTCGCCGGCGGTCCGACAAGTTTCGGGTCGTTTGATTTCTTTTTTGGCATCTTCCCTATTGAGCAGGGAAAATAACAAATAACATCTGCTAAATTAGAGGGTAGATGGGGCTTCCGGCAGCTGGAATTGTCCAAGCATTAACTGCAGAGTTGTCCCTTGTTGGATCCGGTTCCTCGACGAACGAGGGAAATGTCCGAGACAATGAGAGATCGCAACTTGAAATATGATAGTCACACTTTCCATCGCCCTCAGCGATGAGACTACCTACCATGTAACGAAACCTTGCCGGCCGCGAGCTGGCTGTGGATTAGTGTGGCTGTCAAATTTTGTTTGCGTTCAGTACATTCACTAAGGCATCCGCAAGTGTCTTTCAGATGTCTTGGGTCCTATGTCTCGGTCGTAGAATTTGATGCAGATGTCTCTCAGTTTAGATAGTCGCAAGTCAAGTAGTTTGCGGTGGTAACCGAGCTTTGTAGATGCCCTCGACCAAGCTCACCTTGGGTAGGTGTAATGATCTTGCGAAATGTACATCCAAACGTTGCCCTATTGTCATTCATGGGTATAAACTGTAAATGATGGGTTTAAACCAACGCCAGGCCAATAAAAGTCTTCCATCTGAGGGTTTTCAATAGCTACCAAGGTAAGGCAAGTCTCACGAATTCAGGGTCCTCTCCCCCTGTCATTAAACAACCCCGCAAATAGGCCCTAATTCAAAAGAACTAATAAAAGAATGATTTCTGAAGTACGTGAGCGCTGGACCCTCCCTTCTTCTTTCCCCTTTTAAGGAATTCTCAGCCGTGCACTGTATTAGGTCGCCAGATTAGTTTTAGGCAGGTGATAGATTGCGATTTCCATATCTGCGGTTCGTGCACAGTGTGCCCGCATCCGCTCATACAGTTGCAATGGAGGCAGCTACCCGCTTCGTTCTCGCCCTCGTTCTTTGCCAACGGCCACGGTCTCGACCGATCATGGACCCCTCGCTTGTTTCTATCTTGACCTCCACATTTTAACAAACTATCGCTTCCCGATAGAGGATCTTGGGGTTCAAGAGTCCATCTTGACGTTCAATAGGATGCGGCAGTCGCTTCTTCAACACCCTCTACCCGACGATCACTAAGCACCTGGACCGTACAGTATAGGACAGTGCTCGATATCCGATAACAGAAATAGACGCGAAAAAGAACAGGCTAAAAAGAAACATGACCATACCCTGGTCTGGTATTACTAGATCGAGTTCCGGCTTCCACTTTCGATGTTACTCAACATTGCTTGGTCTCTATTCAGCTTCGTTGATCTCCCTTACGGCTGAATCCGTACCATGGCATGTGAGGAAAGACGACCATTCCGGGCAAGGACACCACTAAGACGTGATACGCTGCGGCCAGTATTCAAGCATTGGCTGAGGCTGAGTGTGTCGTCTCAGTCCTTGGCTGACCTTCTATAATTCTAATTCGACGATAACCGAAACGCCTACAGCAAGTGGCCATTAGCGGACTGATTCCTCACTCTCTCATAAGCTCTTGTCCTGGAACGTTTCCCTCATGTCTTTTCAGCTTTCTTCCAAGGCAAAGGCCAGGTTGTTGATTGAGAATTGTGTTGCAATGCAAGGTTCTCAGGTTTTCTCATTTGATTTCTCAGTATTTTATCCCTGGCGCTGTGTCGATGGCCCGATCTTCCTGCATTGTGATTCTTTTGCAGATCTTTTCACAGGTTTCCATCACGCCAGCGCTCAATATTGGGTCCTCAGTCAACACAACCTAGATGGTGTAAGAAAACCTGACCGGCCCTCACATTGAATCTGTATGGAAGCACCAGTCATGTTTTCTTACACCTCGAGGGGCAACTCAGTCTCGAGACAGACCCTTAATTATTCATCCCCGACAACTGGGAGTCTCACTACTGTTTAGTTAACAACGCTGGCATTTGGCTTGACCAGGGAACCGCCCAGATTAGCTAACAACGATATGCCTCTATCTGGAGCCTAGAAATAGGCAGACACATTATTGATATCATTCAAACTACGATTATGGCCATCTCATGTCAATCAATGCTGCTGTATCCGAGAGAACTATGATTGTGGCTACAGGATTTAGAGAGTGGCCAGATTCCCAGACTGCTGGGTCTTCAATCCCGAGTCATGAGCTACAACCACAACATGTGTCTTCCGCTGATCGAGTGAGAGAAATTCCCAGCATTCCACAGCATGCTACAAATGCAGCCAGGAACGTGGCCCCAGGACTCAACACTAGAAACACTTTACGACGACTTTCTCATCTAGTTACAGCCCGAGTTGATTGGTCACAATGAAAGTTTAAGCTGACACAATAGCGCAAACACCCTGGACACAAAGCTGGCTAGGTGTCGATTGCAACATTAAGTAAAGAATTCTTTACCTCTGTGGTCGGTTGCCCAAGTCTTGAATAACACTACCTGCATCCGCCTCCCTGCATGGCGCAACACGGCATGGCTTTACAAATGGAACCAAGACACGGGACAGCTCCAACAGCCTTCCTGACATAACCAAGTCAGCAGTGACGGAAACAATGGGGCTAAAGAAAGAGGAACACAAATCTGACGGACTCGTCATTCTTGCAGCAAATGTCTCGTCGTGACCGGCTTCGTGTTTATAGTGGATGCCCTGTCTTCCGTACATACGGCGCGAAAACGATCAACATGGCGCCGAAGCCAGGACAGTAGTAGAATGGATATCTCAACAGCTGGATGGTTTTTTTGTCACTTCTTCACCAGCTAACGATCTTCCAAACAGAGCTTAGGTCACATAGTGGCCACGGTGCGCCATGATCACCTCCACACAGTCGAATTTGGGGACGATCTCCAGTACAACTGGGCAGCCAACCAAGGGTCATGGACTGCTGTGAAGGACCAAAAAGCTTTGGATAGACACAAGGGGACACCCCACAGGGACGGCCGCCAGACTTGTTCGCGCAATAGCGCTTCATTCCCACCGCGATCTTGGTTGAGGCTAAACCAACCTTGGCTGGAAAAGCCCACTCCGGCTCAAGCTTTTCTCTTTCGCCTTGCTCAGAGCATCAGCAGCGACATCAGCATCAGCACCAGTACCAGCAAAAGCACAGATCCCCCTGCCCCAGCCTAAGTGGGAAGTGCCATCTGCTCTCGGAACAGGGCGTGTTGAGCAAGCTGCGCTAGGTACTGAATACCTGGCAATATTCACATCTCCGGGCCAAGAGGTAAGTCACTACGACCCCCCGCCAAAGCCAAGCCACTCGAGTTCAGAGACAAAAGCAGGCTCAGGCTATTCCGTTCCACCCACGCCTGTGCCCACTCCCGCTCACACGGCCTCCCAACTTTGTCTTGAGATACAACTCAGGCCCTGTCCCCGTTTCCCGTTCCTCATTCCCTCCATTTTCAGCCCCTTGGTCTTGCAATTGCGACGGCCCTCATCTATCGCATCGTCGCCCTCGATCTCCCTGCGAAGGCCCTTTTATCCAATCTGGAGCACTCTAGCCCGCAGAGCTTTCTAGCCCCTGGACCTGCTGGTTACGACTGAACATCAACGCGCGTCCAGCTCTCGAGTTTGCATCTAGCCCTTACGCCATTCGTTATCATCTTACCTCGGCGCATCGAAAACCATTCATCCACTGTTCAAAAGAACCAGAACCGTTCTTTTTTGACTTATCGTTACCTAAGGTTCGACAACGATCAACGGCGACTCGGCCCGGTTAAACGCCTCTTCCATCCGCTATCCGTCGAATCGACTCTTGAACAATCCGTATTGTTCTAATAGCAGACCGACGGCGAAATCATCTCGAAGCAAAACCTATAGTAGCAAAGGCACTCAATATATAAACGCATAACATGTCTGGTGACGGAACCTCAACCCCCGGGGTTGGTGGCAGCAATGCCAGCGAGTTTGTAAGTCGACAAGACAACAGTGGCTGATTACATCACAACTAACACCTCTGATAGGTTCGCAAGCTTTATCGGTATGGCTACTTGTAGCTGCCTGTGTATGCAATGCTAACAAATTCAAGGATGCTCGAAGATCCAGCGCATCAAGATGTTGCACGATGGGGAAAAGATGGCGATACGTTCGTTGTTGTTGAGGTAGGCTTGAGCTGAAATTGACTACAATCATCAAATACTAACAGCGCTAGAATGAAAAATTTACACGTTCAATCCTGCCTAAGCACTTCAAACACAGCAACATGGCCAGTTTTGTCCGACAATTGAACAAGTACGATTTTCATAAAGTGCGACAAACAAATGACAGTGGATCTGCGGCCAATGGCGCCAATGTGAGTTTACCTGACCATTAGATGTTGAAGCCAATAATGACCAAAAGGTTAGACACTTGAGTTCAAGCATCCCAATTTCAGGGTGGGCAGCAAGGATGATCTCGATAATATTCGTCGAAAGGCCCCAGCACCCAGGAGGACACAAGCCACAGAGGACTTCACAACCAGTCATCACATCAGCGTCATGACTGAACAACTGACAGCTACCCAGCAGCAAGTGCAACAACTCCAGGAGCTTTTCACCGAAGTGTCTCAAACCAATCGACTTCTTGTGAACGAGGTTCTGACTCTGCAAAAAATGCTCAATGCGCAAAAGCAATCACAGCACGAAATGCTTAATTTCCTCTCACCTTCAGGCAACCGCCATCAACAGGGCATGCACCTCAACGTCGGAACATCTCCTCTGGATGGCAGTGACGATTCGGCACCAGAACTGCGACGGGCTCGTGAGCTTCTGTCTAGCGTGACGCCTGATCAAATTGCCGACCGAGAGCTGGAACGTCTTCAGGGCGTATATGGATCTCCGGCAGACTCCGCAGTTGTCATCCCACAAGCTTCAATGCCTATGATGCATGATCCAATGAACGACATCAACCGCTACCCCGTGTACCCGGTGGGTCAAACCGTCGGCATCGATCCTTTCCACTCGGATCACATCCACAAGATCCCTTATGCGATGCCGAATGAGTCCAGCGCCAACGCCATGCAGGAGGTTCCTGCTCCCCAGCCCATCAACATCCAAACACACGCAAACTCTAACTCGTCGACCAACTCAGCCCTCACTTGGGCGTCACGAAAACCCAGGATTTTCCTTGTTGAAGATGATCCGACTTGTGCCAAGATTGGCATCAAGTTTCTCAAGTCGATGGGCTGTGAAGTCGAGCATGCTGTATGTGATTTTCCCAACAACCCTATTGGGCCACCTGACTGACCATTGATTAGCAAAACGGAGCAGACGCATATAGCCGTATCACTAGTGTTGCCCGTGATCATTTCGACATGATCTTCATGGACATCATAATGCCCAAGCTGGATGGTGTCTCGACAACTATGTATATCCGGCAAGACTGCCCTGCCATTCCCATTGTTGCTATGACGTCGAATATCCGATCCGACGAGGTCCACTGCTATTTTGAACACGGTAAGCGCTAGTCGTAGCAGGAGTCGTGAACGAACATGGGAACTAATCTTGCATGACTAGGTATGAACGGAGTTCTGGCTAAGCCATTCACCAAGAGCGGAATGCAGAAGATCGTCGAAAATCACTTGAGCTATCTCCTCAAAGGTTATGACCCTTCGACTCAACAAGAGTCAGGCTCAGGTTATGTAGTTGGTGGCGCAGGTTACATGAACCCGCCGAGCAACCTGAACACTCCCGGCGGAACAACTTTCAAGTTCGAGACGACGCCCACGCCGCCGGCGACTGGCGCCACTTGGTCCCCGGGACAGATGCCGCAGCAGTCTCCCATGACCGCAGGGATGGACCAGGGCTATGGCATGGTAAATGGCGCAAACCAGTACGGCCTGACGCCCACCAGCGCGAGCCGAGCTAGTTTCCCAACAAGCATCTCACAAACCAGCCAAGGGCGAATGGATGGCCAAAGCCCGCCAGAAAAGCGCCAGCGCACCTACGTTTGAGCCACCGATATAGTGATATGTGCCCGATGTACGCGTGACGCTACATCATGAGGAGTATGGCGTTCGGAGCGAGACAGTATGGGTATTCTAACACTGATGGCTTCTTGGTGTTGGCCGTCATGGAAGAAGGATTTTCTTGTCGTATATTTCGCATTTATGATCGGGGAGACGCATTGAGCCCGGATCCCTTGACGAACAAAGACATCTAGCAGAGATACAGAAGGCAGATAGTTGTCCCTGGCATTGGCAGAAACGGCGCGTTCGTGGATTTGTTTCCGGTGTGTTTGGAACGTCTGATGAATAAGTTTTGATACCTGCGATAATATCATTGTCATTTGGGTGCCAGCCCTGGCCCAGCATGCAACCTTTTCGTTTTCCTCGTGGTCCCAAGGTGCCGAGTTACTGAAATCCATTTCATGGGCATGCGGGCATTGTCCAGTGAAGCTTCGCACACCACCTGACCTCTCGATTCAGGCTGTATTCATATTTTCGACTCTTGCTTCTGCTAGCGTGTTGAGTTTGATGTTCGAATAGTTAGTTTAATCGGTAGTATATGGGTAGTATCGTGGATGGAGAGTAACATTGTGATGTAAAAAGTCAAGTTACCCGCGGAGTAGATAGATGGATGGAGAAGCACGGAAATGTCGGAAACGACTGACCAAAATGTTTCACGCAGCAGAGAACAGATGTCAGATATAAATACCCAGCCCAGCACGTCCTCATTACAATAAGTTAACGTTTGCAAGGTTGTGTAGGTGTGGCACAGGGAGGTGCAGATCGATTGAGTTCTGGACCGTTTCGAATGGTGGGGTTGGAGCAAGTTTGGGCACACGAATTCCCTCGAGAGGCTGTATTGAGAAGGGGTTTTTGTCTGTAGTGCCATAATGTAGCATCCGTCAGCCGTTCCACCGCAGAATTGGGTGCCATCTAGGGTCTACCGTTGAGCTCTGGCTTGGCCTGGACCGTTGGGTTGTGGACTGAAATGCGGTATGAAGTCGATGCTTGTGTTGTACGAGAGTGGATGTATCTGAATCTTGTGCAATCATGGTAGGACACCTACTTATTCTTGAGGGTTGGTGACCTAAACGATGACGCATTGCGAGCAAATTAGCTACGCGTCAGGAAGTAAATATTCCTCTTGTCTTGTTGGTGAACATCGACAATAACACAGAACGAACCTGGTGTATCCAATTTCTATCCCCTGTCATCCAGACCCTGTTAAACTTTGACATGGCATCGCTTTCGAATAGTCGAGACTGCGCTGCTGCAGACTAGAAGGTCGAGACAAGACACTACCGAGGCCAGGACCAGTCTTGGCACTAGATAACATGAGAGATGACGTCGGCATCAATGTCATAATCATCTGAGAGCTTTGTTGATCACATTGACCCCTTGCGCTCTGGACCTTCTTCTGTGTCCGTGCTATAGCCAATGCCTGTGTCTCTCATCAAATCGATAGTTGCTGATCCGTCCGAGCGGGCCTAGGAATTACTATTATTTATTGTGCGTAGGGCTCCGAAGTAACCCTCCAGACCAAGCACACTTGCCTACATGAGCAATCGTTGAACTTGTGGCGGCAAGGCAGAACAAGTGCACCTCGTTGAAGGGTGGTAAGCATGTCACCACAAGCTTGAGATTCGACCAGAGGTATTGAAGATAAGGCCTAGAACGATTGCTTATCCCATCTCCCGGGCTCCGGATCTAGAATGGCCAGTGATATGTATTGGAGCCATGCCGAACCCTCTCTGTGCGTGAAACGGTGAGAATCGAAACACAAGAGAGCACTCCCCCCTTTACGACTGTGTTAAGCTGATGATGCTGATGATGCTGAGCATTCTGCACACCTCGCGCCCCAATATGACAGTCTTGTGGCTTGCTACCTGCCAGTAAGAAACTGGCCTGTAACCGCTCCGTAGTGTTATCGAAAAGAACCTGATTGGAAATGGTCCACGAATGAATAATTTGGATCTCCTGCTCGAGACCTGAATCGATTGCTGATAGCCCTGACCAGTGGGTGTGTTTATGCTAAACGGATGGGGCTGGACAGACACTGGCGCTGGTGTGAATTCTTTGGCCTGGCTACAGAGCCAGCCACGGACGAGTGCTTCGACCCATCCAGACTCCCAAAAGACTCTGTAGCCTGATGCAAGTAGCAGGGGGGACATTCATCCTCACATTTGAACCGATCGCTCCTGATAAGAGAGTCAGGCAACGACAGTTCAAAGGGATCTGCCTCTCAATAACAGGACTCAACATCCATTTCTGCTCAATGGTGCGGAAAGATGAAGAATTCATTGCATAAATATGTTATGTTGATAGAGGACGAGAAGAAGACGGCAAAGTCCGTGGCTGAAGACCATCTTCCTTCTGTGAGACAAGCACTCCTTTCTCTGAACGTAACAAGTCTTACTTATTCAACCTTGCTCTGATTAACCCTACTTAACGCCATGCCATGGTATAGATGCATATATACAACTCAGTGTCCCTCCTCATTGTTGTTCGTCCTCGCCCCTGGCAGTATAATCCGTTCATTACCTATCAAACAGCCAAAATGTCAAATTTTTCAAACTATCTTTGCCCCATATCATTTCTCAATCCGTCTTAACAGCTCTATCTTCTTTGTTTTTTCTCCACCTGCTGAGTTGAGAACGAGCAGAACTTGTCCTTGATCGCAACAACCTCGTACGTGCCCTCCTGGCTCGCCTTGACCACCTTGCTGTGTTCATAAGATACATCATGTCTTGTTTCGAGGACAACACTGCGTTGGCCCTTCTTGGCGTTGGAGCTACGTGTGTAGGTGAACTCGAAGGGCGGCGTGCCCCAGAACTCAAACAAAATATCCACTTCATTGCCTTCGTGGATGTCCACACGAGATTGTTTGCCACGGCTGATCTGAACACTGGGCAGCGGGTGGATAGTTTTGGGGATGTTTACCGCAGCACGGCACTCGCTGGCCTTGTCCGAGATGCTAGTGATGATGAAATCGCCAGGCTTCTCCGCAATACGGCGGAAGTTGGTCGTTTGCGACTTAGCATTCCATCGGCCGTTGAAGTCGTATGAGATGTCGAACGGAGGTGTACCAGATAGAGTATATGCAATACGCTCGCCAACGCAATAGTCGCGTCGAGACTCGAGAGGGTAGATGGATGGCGCCTCGTAGAGGTGGATTTGCACTGAGGGCCCTCCAATCTCGTACTTGCGCTGGCAGCCTCGAGCGTCTCTAACAGTACGAATGCGAACCTGCTGGGCACCGAGACGGAGGTGCTGGCGAGGAATCCTGATACCATACGTGTTTGAGTCGATCGATGGAATTCGATATGTCTCGGCGGGTGAGCCAGCCTGGTGCTTGATCTCAACCTCGACATAAAAGGGAGCAACTCCCGTGAGCTTGATCGGGATCTTGTCCTCGTGTTCCTGCTCTTCCATGCAATACTTAAACGACTGACCTGGCTTTGTAAACCCAGCAGCAGGCTTGGCATTCACGCGCTGCGTAACAGTAAGAGGACTGAAGTTCTTATCGCTGTTGTAGAGATTATCGGCAAGAGCAGAGAACTTGTAGGTGTAGTCGCCAGCCTTGGTGGTATCCATAGAAATGGCTGCCTTGGCGAGGGCGGCGTCGAAATCCTTTCGTGTGAATGCCTTTGCGCCCTGGAATGACTTGTGGGTAACCTCATATTCGACATGATAAGGGGGTGATCCTGTAACTAGTCAGCGAGAATCTCGAGTTAAACGCTGCCGACTGCTTACCTTTGAGATTGACTTCGAAGCCGTCAATGTCTCCTTCACAGATGTCTTGCTTGACGAAGGTGTTGCCGTCTGAAGTGATACTGGGAGACTCCACAATCGAGATCTCTGGTCTAGGGAACCAGCCCACCTCGAAGCGGGATGCTGTTGGCACGACAGATCCAGGGCACTGGCTATCTCGCACATCCACCAATTCATAGACGCCCTGTGACTTGACAAGCAGGTTGTCGTTGGCGTTGTTGGCGCGCTTGGTCAACACTTCGCCATTACCGTTAAGGTTCCTGTAGCTGATCTCGAAAGGAGGTTCTCCCTCGAGACGGAGGGGCAGTCGTAGGTGAGTATCTTCCACGGCCATGATCTTCTGCTTATGTTCAACAAAGCCAAAGGCGGCTCGTGGTTGCTGACGTCGTACAGCAATCTTGACTTGGTCCTGGAGGAAAGTTTTACAACCTCGCTTATCCTGGACACTGCTCAACGCAAGAATATACTCTCCTCCCTTACGGAGGGTGTTGGTCTTGATCCTGAAGCTATTCTCCTGAACACTGGTGACTCGCTCAGACTTGCGTTTACCATCATGCACAATCTCCCATTCCAGATTGAAGGGAGCCTCGCCGTAAAGGAGGACATCGAGTTCAACTTCCGAGTCAAGACAAGCATTGACAACACCGGTGGTACTTGCGATTTTGGCTGAGGCGGCAGGCTTCACAACCTGTTCCAAAACCTTGTCCTCGCCGGTGAGAGGCAGATTGTCATAAACAGCATCGTCAATAGACTTGAAGACGTATTTGTGGTGACCTGCCATCTTTGGCACCAGTTCCAGCTGAGATCGCAGACCAGAGACGCGGTGAGATTGCTTCTCGATATGCCCGTCACTGGTAACGATGTCGTATCGAACAACGAATGGTGGTGTTCCAACGAGATCCAGGTCCACCCGCAGTCCAATGGAGTTACCTGCACATTTATCAGGGATCTCCTCTGAGCGAATCGAGAGCGAAGGCTCCAATGGGTTCAGGAGAAGGCACGAAGACGGCTCCTTGACCTCACCCTTGCAAGATCCGCTCGACACAGTTTTTAGAGTGTAGAGACCTGGCTCCGAAACAAATGGCTTGTCCAGTGCGTTCTTGGCGTTGTAGTTTCCAATTGAGACCTGATCGCCATGCTCACCACTGTTGGTGAGCGAGTTGATGGGTGAGAACTCCCACGTGACCTCGTGGGATGTATCGTCTTTCGAACCGGCCAGAGAGAAGTCTACAGGAAGCCTGACGGAACGGCCCTTGGCAACCTTGAAGGGATTACGCAGGTCGCAACCATTCATGCTCGCTCTAGGTCGCTCCTTGACTTTGAAGCCGTACTTGAGGCCCTTTGAACGGGCCTTGTCATCCTCTTCCAAGTCGCCGTATTTGACAATATTGTCGAAGGCATCGCGTACCTCATCGATCGAGTACTCCCACTCTCCAGCAGAAGTCATAGACTCGTTAAGCCCAACAGTTACCTTGGAAGGTCGCACCCAGGACGTGTCATCCTGGCTCTCCAGAACAAGACTGGAAGAAGCCGTAAGAAGAGGCGATGAGAATCCATCAGGTTGGAGACTCTGAAAGTGGAAGCTGTGGTCTTTGCCATTGATCGTACGGCTGTACACAATCTTGAGAGGGGGTGTACCGTAGACGTCTAGGGAGAGATCAGAAAGCTCTTGAATACAGCGCTGAGGATCTGAAGAAGCTCGAATTCTGGCTTGAGGACAGGGCACGACATATGTATCCCTGGTGGCCCGCTGAACCTCGAGCTTGTACTCGTCCAAAACCCTTCCAAGTCGATAGACACCTGGTTTCTTAACAGGATAGTCCCACTGAAAACCGGACATAGTCTGATCGGCGGTATGTTCTCGAATTTGCTTGGCTACCCTGTTGACCTCCCGGTTCGAAATCTTGATTATTTCCTCCTTGTTCGTGTCGAGATCAATGCGAACTAATTCGATTTCGGCAGGGACAGTGGCATTGAAGTAAATGGGTAAAGATGCGACATTCTTTGGCTTTGCGCCCAGGCAGAACGGCGCTGCTTCGGGATTGAGGATGGCAGAACCCTCAGGCAAGATGTTGATAATCTGCTTTCCCATGATGAGGGAATGGTTGTTAAGAATGGTCGAGACTTTGACATTATGCTCCGAAACTGATAATTCGCGGTCGTAAAGAACTTTGAAGAAGCCCAGAAGCCATGAGTGCAGTGGAATCTTCAAATGAATTAGTTTTGCGGTTCAGTATTGTGACGATGTCCGAGGGCTTACAGGGATGTTGAACATGAGCATGTAGTTAAATATCAGTTGTAAGGAGAAGATAGTGGTAACGACAGGCTGGGAGAGCTCAAGCCAAGGTATCCTCAATTCTGGTACACCAAATAGGAAGACAAAGTCGATAAAGATCCATTTTAGGAAGAGGAGCCAGGAATAGTCGCCATCTTCAACCACCTGAAGCCAATCATAGAACTTCCAAGCCCACAACAAGACGTAGACGCCAAATGCATAGAGACGTTGTTGGGGAGCATCGAGAACGGTCAAAGGAATGACAGGCTGGCTGACGGCGCCCTGAGGCTGCGTATTCTCAGGTGCAAGAGGTAGAGAAGGTGACCTCGCTGAAGAGCCCTTTCCGTATGACGGTGAACCGGCTGAGCTAGGAGTCTGTGGGTTGTTGTGTCGTCGAGCAGCGGTAGCTGGGGTAGCTGGGAACCCAGACCGCAGGCGGGGAGTCGATGTGCTCATGGCATTCGCATTACGGAGAAATAGACGTGCCAAAAAGAGAAATCGATAATTGGGAGAACCGAGTTGCAGCCTGGAGATGATGGAGCGACTGGTTGTTGCGCGTTGTGAGGTGCAAGGTCGAAGTTGGTTGTCGCAGTTAATGTTTTGATACTAAAGTGAATGTAGTTTTCACGGGTGGATGATGGAAATTCCTTTGGACTGCGTCACGTCTGGCTGGACTGGACGCGACTGGCCCCTGCAAATCGGAGCTACAGTGGATACAGGCCAGTCGGCGCCTAAGCTTCAGTGGCCTTGCAAACGCTTTCGGACATTGATGATCAGATGTTACCAGAGTTTATTAGGCATGAGAGAAAGTTTGATGAATGATAATTTACAAAGACGCGTTTTCTTATATAACAACAATCAACCGTCTTCCGTGATTAATATACAAGTACCTTAGCTATCTAGGTTCATGCATGAGAGTGATTGGCTGGTAGCTATAATTTTGAGCTAACAATGCAGGTAAAGTGAATGCTTATTGGCTACAACATGAAGCTGTCTTCTTCTGCCTTTATGCTCATTATCAACATTATCTTCATGCAGCATATAACAGCTTCTTTTGAAGCGTATGATGAATTAATAGCTCAACAGAGCAAAGCCTGCTAGCTCACAGGTATATATTTACCCGACGTCCGGGTGCTCCCCTCTGTTGAGACAAATTATCAAGACTCTAATGTGCTCTGTACGTAGACGCATCACCCTCTCCGTTGTTAAGCACTGCATACCGTTGTCAGAGTAGAGGCGGATAGCTACCTACGATGATAGCTTGAGCTCTTTTCTTTCACCACGCACAAGGTAAGGTCTAGAAGCCCCTCTTCGCTTCTTTGTAAGGGTATGGATTGGATTGGAAGTTTGCATGCCCTGCTTTATTGTACTGGCAGGTAAAGCATCCAGCGCACAAACATCAGAAGGATATCCAAGTCCCAAAATAAAGCCTACCTGTCAACCAGACCACCGCAAAATAAACCGATCCCTCTTCTTCTTTATTAGTTTCACTCATTGGCCGGGCATTTCTATCTTGATACTCGCAGCACCTTCTTCTTTATCCTCTGCATTTTCCCTTCCAACCCATTCGATAAATGCTCCACCATGAAGAATGTGTTACAAGCTGACGACAATATTCAGGGCGGAGAGTCTTCTGAAGACGCGCCCTTTGTGCGTCGTTCTAATCGTCTAGCTTCCAAGCCTCCTCAGCAGACCACTACACAAGTCGCAATGAGTGGCCCCAGGAGAAACCCCAAGCGCAAGGCTAGCGAGGCAGCAAACGAGTTGAACCATCGCCTAAATTCTGACGAACTCCTTGATGAAGCCTTAGCTCCTCTATCACTAAAGGATGTCGAAGAGTGGGAAGGCTGGATAGAGCTTGAGTCAGAACCAGCCTTCTTCAACATCATTCTGCGAGATTTGGGAGTTTGCAATGTCAAAGCTCAGGAGATCTTCACTATTGACCAAGATTCACTCGCACTTCTACCGTAAGACCACAACAAGCATTTACTTATGTCACAACACATGCTAACATCTCTTAGACAGCCGGTATACGGTTTGATCTTTCTGTTTCAGTATCTACCTGGGCTCGAAAAGGAGAGCGAAGAACAAGATGCAACAGGTGTATGGTTTGCGAATCAAGTAGGTAACAGGCAACCTGTAAATATCCTTTCTGACTCTGAATAGACCACAAGCAATGCATGTGCGACTGTGGCCATGCTAAACATTGTTATGAACGCCGAAGGAATCGACCTCGGCGAAAAGCTCCGAGCCTTCAAGGAGTCAACCAAGGACCTCAATACTGCTCTACGAGGCCACCAAATCAGCAAAAACAACTTCATCCGCACGATACACAACTCTTTCACACGTCGTATGGACCATCTCAACGCTGATCTTTATCTGGAGAACGAAGCATCAGACGCGAAAACCAGCGCGAGTAAGAGACGCCCAGCAACAAAGAAGGGGAAGAGGGCACCTCCACGAAAAAAGAAGTCCAATACAGAGTATGGATTTCATTTCATTGCATATGTTCCCGCGGGTGGTTATGTGTGGGAGTTAGATGGGCTCCAGTATAAGCCTCACAAGCTGGGTAAGCTCTCTGCGACTATTCCAGGGCTTAGCTAATTTCGTCCATTAGATCGCGTTCCTGATACTGGTGATTGGACAAGTGTGGCAAGACCACAAATCGAAGGCCGAATGCTCCAATATGAAGAGAGTCAGCTCTCCTTCAACCTTCTAGCTCTTTGTCAGAGCCCGCTCACTGCCTACTCACAAACTATTGCTCACGCCGCTGCATCCCTTCAGTATCTACACAAGAACACCGAATCTCTTCACGCATTCAAGGACCTCATCTCTGCCGAGAAAGCTCCTCTGGACATGGAAGACGAGTCGCGACTGTCCGATTTTAACCTCACCAAGGCAGATATTATCAATGCACAAGTTCCAGACGCTCTACAGGAAAAGATTAAACGACCGAGTTTCGACACTCAGAGTGCTTATGAGCTTCACCAAGAGCTTGTGGTCGACGTCAAGGCTGCTATGGGCGAGTACCGCTCAGAATTGATGGCTATCTCCGATGACGAGCAGCGAGTAAAAGGCCGAAAAAAGGACTACGGGCCTGCCCTACACAAGTGGATGAAAAAGCTTGCCGAGAAGGGTGTTTTGGAAGAAGTAATCAAAGCGACGTGATATGATCCAACGTCCTATTGAAGTCACAAAGAGCTTAGAGCGCTTAGAGCATATGTAGTACTTGAGGATCCTACTTACTCATGCTATTGAAACTAATTCTATTATAGCAATCCTTTGCACACCTTTTCGCTGCATCAACCACCTGTATCGTGAACCATGATCTCCTCTAAAGAGAGACTGCTCGCCGTCCATCGTAATAAAGCCTTCCGAACACCAAGCATGCATTCCGAAGAGTAAAAATCGTGATAACCAACATAAAAGCAAAGATTCTCAACACCCTTTAATCGTCCGGGTACTGCTCCGTAATGTTGGACACAAAGGTGCAAGTCTCAGCATCAAATCTCTTAAAGAACTTTCCAGCCTGAGGAAACAAAGATTCCGGGACCTCTCTCGGATCTTGAATCAGCACAATATTGTCTTCTGCAACAACATGCCGCTCAGGGCCTATTGTGCGTCTATAATTATACGTCAGCTTGTAAATGAGGACTAGAGCTCTAGATGACTTACAGGCATGTGTAAAAGGTTTGGTTTCGGGGACGCACCCGGTTAGGTAATTCTGTATCGCTGTTATCGTCCAGCGTCTCGTCAATAGCCACGGTGTGTGGCATGGGCAAACGCCTCGTACCCTGGTCGGTCCACCCGTTAACAGCACCGATCCAGCCATATCGTCGGTGTCTAAAGACCTGCCCGATCTTGTAGAGCACATTTTGGGTTCGCGCGTTGTTCCTGTGAAAAACCGGCGGTGGAACCTCATCAAACTCATCCACAAGACCTAAAACCTCGTGAGGGTCATCCCACCTACGGGGATTGTTCCTCATGAATCTCTCACGAAAGGGGCCAAAGCGATCGTACAAAGGGAATATGTACTTCTCAACAAGCCAGGCATCTACGTGCCAGCTCTTTGCAAATCGGTTAAGGAAAGGTTCCAAAACCTCGTCCCATTCGAAGGAGTCGACCGGTGTAAGAAGAAGAGACGCCCAGAGTGCGGAGTAGAGGGAAGCCTCAATATTGGCTGGATCATTGCCGGTGATGAGTCTGGTAAGTTCAGGGTCAGCCTGCTCGTGGGCGCCAATCACCCTGGCAGCAGTGGCTCTGATATTGCGCGCTGTCCGCATGGCAATGGCGACAGGGTTTACGGGAGACAAGAAGGTATCGGTGCTCGACTGCCAGCCAAAACGGGACAGCAAAGCCTGTAAATCAGCCAGAGGAATCTCCTCACTTGAGCCATAGGGATCTAAGTACATCCTCTCTGGAGGTGCATGGTCCTCTGTAACAGGGGTGCTGTCTAAAGTCTTTCCTTTCTCTGCAAGCACTATAGCATGTACATGAGTTGGAAATGCGCAGCATTGTGCTTCGACACCCAAACGCTGAGCGAGGCAGCAAAAGATGGCGCTGGAGATGATAGGAATCGAGTCATGATCTTCATGGCGCAGAGCTTGGCCGATGAGACAATTTCTGAGATTTCGATAACTTGTCTCAGGATTCCGCAAACCTGTGAGGTTATTCATTCGGAGCCATCGGTTTAACTCCAGTGCCTTTTGTCGTGTTGACATTTCACCGATGTCTGGTTGAGTCTCAAGAAACGCCGCTGCCAGATTATCAAGAATATCGCTAATCTTGGCGCAGTGTTAACCGGGGGAACCCTGGTCATACAAGGAGTACTTACATCGTCCAAATCTCCGGGCTGGTCGTGCAGAACGAATAAATCGAACGCCCCAAGAGCGCGCTCAAGGCTGAGGGTCTGTGGTTGCCCACTGTGAGTCGAGGTCACAAGTTGAATGTTGTGCCACTCATCAATGGCGATAGATCTGTGGACACTATCCAGCAGGGATTGACTATAATATCTAAAAGATTTGAATAAGTATTCGAACGGGAGATTAGTGATGAGGTTGCTCACCGTCGAGCCAAGACATCTTCAGCATTCTCGTCTGCTTTGCACTGCTCTAGAAGAAAATCTTTGGCGTCATAACCAAGTTGGCAAACTTTTTCATATCGCTTCAGGCGGCCAACTTTGGTTACAAGGATCTCGCCCAAGAGACGTTTAAGCTGTTCATTGCGGGACTTCCGTAAGATGAATAATTTCTTCCACGGTGTATCAGACGCCCTGCCCTTTAAACGACGCTGCAGGTTGTGCTCGGGATGCCAGAATCTAAAATTGCTTCGACAATGATATTTCCACAGAAGCGGTTCATCAGCCAGATGCCTTAGGCGATGCGAGACAAGTTGGAAATTAGAGAGGTTGTCTTCTGGGGGGATATAATAGAGCAAATGTTGAATTATCTCGTCTGGTACTTGGGAAAAGAACATGGCGGGCCTCTTGATGAGGCAGGCAGTCGATTATAGGAAGAATTGTGATGCGGTGTGGTGTGAGTGGTGAGTTCAGGTTGGAGGTTGGAGGGTGCAGGTGGATTGTTGAATAAGACTGGATGTACGGAGTAGTCACTGGATGGACGTGAGATCTTTTTCTGATCGGGCTGTCGCTGTGAATCCGTTGTTCCGCTGTGTTACTGGAGTCTGCCGATCAACCGTATTCAACATGTCATGCTTTCTCCCCTCTTAGTGCTCATCAACCTATCGCCTCATTCTTTCAAGCGATGTTATCATCGTTAGGTAGGTCTGGGGTACCTACGTTAGGGTGAAGAACATCAGCGGGGTTATGACCGTAGTGAGCAATGCTGAGTCATGCCAGCAATTAATATAATTGGGTATTAACGAATGGCGGCAATTGGCTGCGATTTGTTTTGACTCTAGGCCGGAAATGGATACCAAAGTAAACAAAAACGCGCATGGTAAGAGCGTCCAGGTCTTTCTTGCCCGACTTACAGCGGTAAGATAGCGCGCTACAATTCGACGCTACCTACACATCTTTACGACTTCTTCATCACGATTCCTTTTCTTATCACCAACAACAAACACACCCAGAGACGCCCTTCGCAAGACTTGATTGCTCTAGATTGCAGAGCGTTTTGAACTGTTTACATAACATGCATTGCGTCTCTAATACACGGCATTTCTAAACTTTATACCACCCACGCAACGACCGCCATCATGCCCGACTTTGGCGGCGGCGCGCTCGACACCCCGCGAACAAACATTGGGGATGCGACCTACCTTGGACAGCCCGACTTTGCCGATATAACACAAGAAGCATCCTTTCAGTCACCTCCAAAAGAGGGCAATCTCCTACAACAACTCCGCAATGGTCGCTCTAACGGCATCAATCTTCGCACCCCGCGCCAGAGAGGACCCTTGGCCGACCGCCGAAACCTTCCTCCCAGCGTTGGAGGTGCCGAATTCACACCCTTACTTAAATCGGCAACAAGAAATAGCGTGCGACGCTTCGGCAAAGAAAATGGCACCGCGGTACCGAACACACCGGCATTAGACAAGATCGACGAAGGTGACCTGACTCCCGTTCCCCGCGGCGACACGTCCATCTACCTAGGGTCACGTAATCAGTCTTATATGGAGAACACCATTCCCGAGGTCGATACCAGTAGCGCTGCCTCAACCCCGTTGGCTGTTCCCCGAAGGAGAGGCGGTGATAAGGGACCCCTCCAGGATGGTAATCAGCTTTCGCTAAGGGAGCAGGAGAATGTGATTGATAGGATCGAAAAGGAGAATTTTGGACTGAAGCTCAAGATTCATTTCCTCGAAGAGGCGCTCCGAAAGGCTGGGCCTGGCTTTAGCGAAGCTGCCCTCAAGGAGAACACCGAACTTAAGGTCGACAAAGTCACAATGCAAAGAGAACTTCACCGATACAAAAAACACTTGACAACCGCTGAGAAGGACTTGGAGAGCTATCAACAGCAAATGCTAGAAGTACAAGAAAAGGCTAAGCGGAAATACGCCAACCAGAGTAATCAGGCCGAAGTTGAGAAGCTGCAGCGCATATTAGAAGATCGCGAAGCAGATATCGAAGACCTCCAGCAACAGCTACAACAACAGAAAGGGAACAGTGACCAGGTCGAAAAGCTGCAGGATGACATCGGTGATCTCGAGGCTGACATTCGGGAGAAGGATCAGCAACTCACGGAGCGTGAAGACGAGCTCGAGGACCTGAAGGAACAAATGGAAGCCCTCAGAGATTCTGTATCAGAGGCGGAAGAGAAAACCAAGGACGCTCAACGAAAAATGTTGGCATTAGAGGAGAAGGCCCAGCACAACGATGAGCTGGATGACGCCAAAGACACCATCCAAGACCTTGAGCACAACATCCGCCGCCTCGAGGAGCAAGTTGAGGATGCGAAAGCCAAGATGGAGGACGCTGTAGCCGAGAAAGAGCGAGCCGAGCACGATCTCGAAGAGCTTCAGGATGATATGGCCAACAAGTCAGTGGTGACGAAGGGACTTTCTCGTCAGATCGAAGAGAAGGTTGCTCGGTTGCAAGAGGAATTGGATCAAGCTGGCCAAGACTATGCTACTCTGGAGAAGGAGCATCACAAGATAACACAGGAAAACAGCTCCCTGCAGTCTACCGTCAAGGAGCTCAAGAAGAACCACGAAAAGTTCGATCGCGAACGAAATTCTCTATCAACCAGAATCGAGCAGCTTGAGGCCGACCTTCAAGCTCGAACTGACGAAAAGAACGTACTTCAAAGCCGACACGAGGCACTTGCAACTGAGTCCAGGTCCCTCCAGAAGGATGTCCAGAAGCTAGAAAAGGAAGTCCAAGATCTTGAGGATGGTCTAGCGGAAGAGAGAGAGCATGCGCTAGAAATTGAAAAGGATATCCGTGGTCAATACAAAGCGGAAATGGATCGCCTCAACGACGAAATTTCAGATCTTCAGGCAGAAATCCGCGAAAAAGACAATCTTTATGATAACGACAGCGAGAAATGGGAAACCGAGAAGCAAAATCTTGAATCAGAACGAAATCGCGCCGAAGAAAAGGCAGCAGGTTTGCAAAGAACCATCGATCGCCTCAGGGAAGCTGAAGGCACACTCTCGGATAAGGAGTCAAAGTTACAAGCAGCTATTCAAAGCGAGAATGAACGACACAGGAGCGAAGAAGGAATCCTCTCACGACAGATCGAAGACCTTCAGGACGCCCTTGAAACTCGACAGACGTTATTGACAAATCTACGCAATGAACTTTCCACCGTTCGTGACGAGTTACGGCAGACACAGATCGAGCACCAGACACAAGTTCGAAGAGTTGCTGCATTGGAGGATGAGGTGGATGTTCTGCAAACAACACTGGATGAAGAACAAAATGCCGGACGCTATGAAGCCGAGGCTGCTAAGCGAGAATGCGAAGATTTGAGAGAACAGCTCAAGTCTCTACGACAACGCACCAATTCATCCCAAGCAGCATCAACACAAGTCCTCAACAAGGAGATTGACGATCTGAGGGAACAACTTCGGGAGGCACGCAAAAGAGCGGATCTCCATGAAGGTGCCAGTCTCGAGGTGGAAGACCTGAAAGAACAACTGAAGGCTTTCCGTCAACGAGCTGGCTCGTCTGATGCTGCCAGTCAAGAGATTGATGACCTCAAAGAGCAACTTCGAGCTTTGCGACAGCGTGCCAATGCATCAGAGGCTGCGAATATTGAGGTTGAGAATCTCAAGGAGCAGCTGAGAGTGATGCGCCAGAAGGCAGGTTCATCAGAAGCCGCTCAGTTTGAGATTGATGACCTCAAGGAAGAGCTTAAGACATGGCGTCAACGAGCCGAGGCAGCCCAGGCCGCTATTTCTACTTCAGAGCAAGATGCTCAGCAGTCGACGGAATCGATGACACGATTGAAGTGGCAGCTTTCGGACGCAAACTCTCAATTGGACAAGCTCTCCAAGGAGAAGCAGTCTCTTCAAGACCAAGTTGCCAAGATCACTGCTGAACTCCATTCTGTCAGCTCCTCTCTGGCTGAAGTCAAGGCAGAGCGGGATGAACTTGATGGGGAACTTCGCCGAACGAAATTCTACGACAATGAAACCCTTCGTGTTGATCAAGAGAGACTTGACCTCCGCACGGCCAAGCTTAAACTTGACAATGAAGTACGACGCCTGAGGGATGAGAACAAGGCTCTCATTGAGCAGCGTGATGCGATCGAAAAGACGCTAGAGGATGAAATCGAGAAAGCTGCCGAGGAGGAAGAACGTCTGGGGCAGGAGATTCTTCAGTTACAGGCCAAGCTACGACAATCGTCCTCAACAGACAGTCATGATATCGCTGCTGCTCGGCGCACGATTCGTGAGCTTGAGCGTCGTATCGAGGATTATGAAGCCCAGCTGAATACTCATCAAATACCTAATAACTTCGAGGGTAATAGCGAGCTATCTATGATCCGCAAAGACCTCACTACAGCTCGTCAAAAGGAGCTAGAGTTCCTACAGAAAGAATCTGCCCACCGTGATGTCGTCAAGGGTCTGAAGCGACAAATTGCCGACCTCGAGCGTCAAGTTCACGAGACTGAAGTCTCTCGCCTCATTGTGTCTCCAAAGTCTTCCACTAGCGATTCCGGTCGCAAGTCAGAGGTCACAGAGCTCAGAAGCCAGCTCTCCGCAGCCCAAAAGTCAATACAGGATCTCAGATCCAAGAACCGTGATGCCGAGCGCAGAGCGATGCAATTGTCTCAGGACTTTCAGCGCCAATTGAATGATCTCGAGGATCAGAAGATAGTACTCGAGGAGGTTCTCGAGGAGGCAAGAGCGCAAGCCGAGGAGACAGCAGCACAGCATGAGCGTACTCTTCGTCGCATGAAGCATCAACTAGATAAGGCAGAGCGTGAGCGCAACGCCTTGGCCACAGTACAGCCTGATCTTAGCAAACATGACCGCCAACTGAGGAAGAATGAGGCCGAGATGGAGAACCTTGAGCATGATGTTCTTCAGCAACAGGAACTCATCGAGAGCCTTGCCGCCTCCGAAGCTTCTCTCCGACGCAAGCTAGAGCGAGCACGCAGCGAACGGGCAGCATTCCGCATGAGCGCAGAGAAATTACAGAAGGATCTTGAGCGCATCAAGGCCACAGCAGTCGCCGCTAGAAACGGAGCTTCCGACCGACGAAGCGCTGTTGACCGCAAGGCTCTGGACACCACCATCGAGGGAGCTGACCAGGCTCTCGAGACAGTGATCAGGGCAGCTGAGAGCGCCGACGAGCGTCACAGGAAGGAGTTGCGAGGCATGGTGATGCAGATGGAGTGGATGCAGGCCCGTTTCCAGCGTGAGGCCTCTCTTCGGGCTGATGCCGCGTACGCAAAGAAGTTCCTCCAGCTGCAACTCGATGTTGCCAATGCATGGTAAGTTCCCTTTGTCTCGTCTATGACTCGATTTATACTGACAACCTCACAGCAATAAAGCTCAACTGCGTGAGCTTGAAGACATTCGCACAAATCTCCTTGGCAATAAAAAGGCTCTCTCTCTACCCAGCCACACAACAGCTGCCACCTCCAACACAAAACCTACTCTCAAGACCTTCCTTGTCATGGCGCGTTTCATCGCTCGTGCTCGCTTGTCGGCCAACAACTGGGCCAAGCAAGAAGTCGTGCGTCGCAAACTTGTTGTTGCAACTGAAGAGCAGCGCAAGGTGAAGCGATCAAGACAACTAAAGGTTGTGAGAGCCGAAGCATAAGGAAACATAGCATGTCTTTACACGGAGTCTGGATATATGTAAGCTGGCAGGACCATCGACAGAACGAACATAGCATTGCATGAGCGAGAGCGTATGGTTTACAGGGCTTGTATGGCTGGTCTGTATCATTGTCAATTTGGTTATTAGCAGGGTTGTTACGGATACCTAAGTCATGTTTCTACATAGGGTGGTTTTCGGCGTTGAGGAATAGGAATTTGGCGATCGAAGCAGTATGTTACATCACAAAGAGGCTAGACGCTATGGGCATCAAATCAAGAGCATTTTGATTTTAACAACTACACTTCTCGCAATACGCTTTATGTTTGAGTTCTCCGACACAGTTAGTCATGAAGACGTCAAGAACCAACTACCAACCCTTTCAGACAGCCTCCCATTGTAATACCATCCAATCGTACTATGATACTCGTTATCAAAAAGCCTCCACCTATTCCGCCCAGCTTCCAACTCTCCCATGCTCTCTTCTAGCACAATGCAGCCGATTTTTCAGTAGATTCGGGGTATTCCAACTCCAAGTTCGAGGTACGGCGGTCATGATATATATACATTACATGACGAACAGTAGGTTTGTGTCTGTACCTGTTAGTGTCTGACCTTCGAGGTCGGAGATGGTTCGGCTTACCAAGAGGGTGACTACATGACAGCTGAGGCTTCTGAGTGTACCGCGTTGCGAGCTCGTCGCGGATGCTGTTCAGAAGCTGAACGTAGCTCTGCTGAGGGCTCTTCTTGAGGGCAGTGACGAAGGCCCAAGACATGGCACCGGTAGCCTGAGAAGCGATGGTTGCATCGGCGCTATAGAACATGTTAGCGGATCGCTCCAATCACGCTGTGTCGTGTAGGGAAAAAAGCAAAATCTCCACTGATCCAACGCAGCTCGTCGCCCCAAATGCGCAAATACAGACTCTTTAAGAGACCATATCTGGCATCTGGAGCAGGCTCAGAAGATAGTTATTCAAGTTAGATACAACAAATTGTTCAAGCCAAAACGCCTTGCGCCATGCTAACATGCCCAATTGAGAAACCTGTCCCAATAACAAAAACTGAAGAAGTGAAAGCCAAATAATCAAGCTGGAATCATCTGATAACAAGGGTAATACTGAGGAAATAGGGGTACCCACGAAGTCTGATCGTCTTTGCTGCCGGACCACATGACAACGTCGGCTGGAGAGGTCTTTGTCCTCAAGTTGCGCTCGCGAACCTCGTCGCCATTGGCAGCCTTCTTGATAAAGCCGAAGATATTGCTGGCCACGCCTCCAAGATCGCCCTGGCTGTATGAGGAGATGACACCAAGCAGACCTTGTCCTGCTTCCTTGGCCAGATTGGGCTCCTTAAGAATACCTTGCGTGGAGTAAATGTAGGGCAGATCGAGGGCGGTACCAGAGTGACACGAATCGAAGATTGCTGTCAGGCGAACACCAGCTTGTAGGGGGCGAACCATGATGCGGTGCATCTCGTCGTCGGTGATATGGCCAGTCTGTCTGAAGTCAACCGGGTAAATGACTTCGTCGTAGCCGTCGTCTTCGTCGCCATCAAGATCCTTTGTCTGTCCACCATGACCTGCGGCTGTTAGTCAAGGTCTTGAAGCTTGGGGAAGCTCGGGGTTCCAAAGCATAATTCGTACCTGAGTAATGAAAGAATAAAGAATCGTTAGGTCGAGCATCTTTCACTAGCCAATGCATAGCTCGAAGAATGTTTTGTTTGGTTGGCTGGCTCATGGGGTTTTGCTGATCATCGGTGAGGATCACCATATCCTCGCGCTTGTAGCCGAAGTGCTCGGAAAGATAGGCAGTCATGTTGCGTACATCGTTGATGCAGCCGCGGAGCTGACCGCGCTGGTTGAAGTAGTTGATTCCAATAAGAAGAGCTTTTCTCCTGCCGGTGCAGTTCGAGTATCTGAAGTTGTAGCTATTGGGAGCGCCATGACCGAATTGCTGAGGTGCTGTAGGAGGAGGAGCGGGGCCGCCTGGTTAGAGTTAGCTGGTACTGTACAAGTCGGTCGAGGAGCGCATTGTTTGCAACATACCACCAGGTCGCGAGCCGTAATTAGGCTGAGGAGGTCCTTGTTGGTAGTGACCACCGTACTGCTGTTGTTGAGGAGGAGGCCCTGAGTAGTACTGCTGTTGGGGAGGCTGTTGTTGGTAACCAAACGGCGGCTGAGGAGAAGGCTGGCCTTGCGGGTAGCCACCGCCGTACGAAGGTTGGGGTCTATAGAAGTGAAGACATTGTTAGTTATGAACTCCATGATGACGAATGGTTCGTCGGACAATAGCATAAGCGATCGCCGGGCGCATGGGAAATGCGGGGGACGTGTATCAAATGATGTTCGTGTTTTGGGGGGGAGTCGTACGGGTAATAATTGCCCTGAGGCTGCTGATGGTATTGGGGTTGCGGCGGGCCGTAGCGGCCAGAATTGTAACCCGGATATCCCGACATGACGGGGCGGTTTCGGTGCTGTTTGGAGTTGAAGTTGTTAGGCAGAGCAGCGGCTCAGTAAATCTGACGTCTGGACTTCGCTGATGATGCTGGAGGAAAGATGTCGGGTCGGTCGAGAGAAATGCAGGTAAGAAAAGATGAAGAAGAGAGCAAGCCTGGCTGGGCTGGGCCTGGGAAACTCGGGCTCGGCGCCAAGACAGATCAGACAGGATAGCGCATGTAAAAATGTACCTAGTTCTGGGGCGAAGCTGGGCGCGATGGCGATGTACTGTAGTAAAAGCGCGTGGGACGGTCAAGTGCTCAAGAGTATGGACCAATGCTGCTGATTGATGCTGTGCTGATGAATGCTGATGCTGATGCGATGCTCACGCGGGGCAAAAAAAGAGGCGAGAAGAAGGCGTTCGTTCTTTACGCTCGTTCGCTCGAGTACTTGACTTTGATTGAATGATTGATCTAAGGGTTCTCTAAAGGCCGGGGGTCGGGATTGGATGGTTCTTCGATAGGATTGGTTCCAGAGCTGAAAGCAGCGTAGGTAGCTGTGCACGGGGCGTTTGGTCTATGAAAGCTGAAGGCGGGGGAACACCTTCGAAGTAAAGTAAGAGAAGAGCTGAGAAGAGAAGATGTCGATATGATCTTGTCTGATAGTGAACGGCGGGAGACGATATGATATAAACCAGTCAAGCGCTTAGGAAAGAAGGGAAATAAAAATCGTAGATGAGAGCAACAACAAAAGCAATGAGAGAGGTTCAAGGTCAAGGTCTCGCAAGCTTGGTCTAGGACAGGGGGGAGGGTGTGTAGGGGTGTAGAGATAAGATGATTATACAGCGGCCGATCAGGGCAATTGATGGTTGATTCCCTGGTTGATATGGTTGATGTTTTAGACAATCGCGGCAGTTGCACCTATAATGGGTATCTTGCCTCTGAGCCTAAGACGATTGATCGATTAATGGTCGTTGCTGAGAAATGCCGTGTTTAAGGGACCCAGCTCGACTGGAACTTTCTGGGGGTATCGTAGGGCCGTGATGTGGGGGGGATAGTTTTAGGTAGGACCCTTCAATAGCGCAACCAGTGCTGTACCTTGGGTCTTGAGTGGCTAGAGGGGATGGAACCTGAAGCTGACTGGAGAGAAGCAATAACAGTTGATGGGGTATAGCATCTTCTTAAATCGTATGTTCAAGCTCTGAGAATAGATTCAACTAACTTTAGTGTAACTCGACTATGTCTATTGTCTTTGAAGCTATTGCTTGCTCTCATGTCCTGTGATGCAACTTTTGTTGTCTTGACAGCTCGGTAATGGAGGCTCAGCGCCAGAAGAGGCCCAAAGGGGAAACATGGCCGACAATGGAAATCGCTGGTGTTAGCTCAACGACCACTACGGAGATGTTCGACTGCGCTACAGCACGAGATGCGTCCGACTTGGCAATATTTCACATCACACCGTCTCTATTTGGGAAATACTCCTTACACTGCCTTTTACTTTCTCTGTCTGTTCTCTTTAGACTTCCTATCTCAGAATTATCACTCTGTTCATCCACGTCGTCATTGATGCTTATTCTAATTATCCAAAGACTCTTTTCTTGATCATATTCAGGCTGTGCTTCTGCAGGGATCTCATACACTACAGTGCTAGTTTCCGACCCCGACTGACTGGGCCCCGGCTTCAAAATGCCGAATCTTTGGGCTCTGACCCTGTCATGCCCTGTTTGTCATCTCACCAGACATCAGCCAAGTCCCTCGTTACGTGTCGTAGTGTTTCTTGGCCCATGTAATGACAGTTCATGACTACCTTACCTTATCCGCTGCTTGATATGGGATATCAGCCACTGTAATTTACAAGGTTGCGGCTCTTTTGGTTTTGTCGGTTCGCCAGATTTATATGATATTTTATCTGTTGGTGGCATAGGATTCTTCATGGTCGAGACCTACGCCATGTGTGAAATACCCTTCAATCACTAAACCCAAAAACCAATCTGCGACATATCTCCGCTATCGTGGCTTTGAGTCTCCATCAAAACCAACGTCTTCGCTGAGACGTTTCAAATGTCACCCCGAGGAACCACAGGCGGGTATGTGATATCGGACAAAACGCCATATTCATAGCGAGTTCTCAAAAACGTGATCAAGTTTAGGGTAGAACGTGTGTCTAACAATGATCGACGCCCCCCATGTTCACCTGTCAATCACCCTAAGATTGAGTTCCTAGGCGCGCTGAATCTGTCATTTTGCGTGTTAGCCAATTGATGTCTCGAGATGCAAAAGACTTCAAACGTCATAAAGACCGGACTCTGATATTCGGCCCCTGTCAGGCTGAGGCGGCGTTCCGCACCCGCTTCCCGAAGCCGGTGCAACGGCGATCACCGATGCAGGCCCGGAGCAGGGGGTTTCCAACGTCAAGTGAGCAATTGCATCAATAGACTGAACCGCTCTATTAGCACTTTATTATGTGTTTGCAAGAGACTATACAGACGAACAAAGAAGTAACGGCCAAGAGATAATGATATTTAGCCATGTCCGAAACCATCATGACTTCCACCAACCATAGCCAAACGATACAAGACATACATACAGCAAATAGGGGGCTATCCTAATCATCCAAGCAAGGGAAAGGCAACAAATTCACGATCATGCACCTGAGAACAAAAAGACAGAAGAAGAAGAAAATGGCTGGAATTACCCGATAGCTCCCCCGTCTGCGGCACGAAGATCATCCCGTAACGGTTTAGCAGACGGACATACCGAGAGCTGAACCAGGGCTGCGTGGGCCAATGACGGACGTTACTGCTCAGCCGCCTGGAGCTGAGCGGGGAATTGAGGCTTGAGGAGCTTGGGCCACTTGGATGAACGGCTTTTAGGGTCTTGTTCAGTTGCATTCTGGTGGCTGTGACGAGGGCCTCAGCTTTATCACGGAGTATTGGATATCGTTAGGTTACCATTATGCTGGGCCTGGTTTGATGACGATACCCAATCTCCTTGCGCTCTCGACGTGTCATCCAAATTGTCGGTACAGCACTCCAACTACTGCAACAAAGCACATGTACCATGACATAGTTCTCGGAGTCTCCTAAGAACTGTACGCACTCATATCACATACTCAACCAGCACATCCTTCTCTTTTCCATATCATGTCCGGCAGGCTCAAACTAAAAGCCTCAGAGCCCAAAAAGCCAAAGTCATAAGCCTCCCGAAGTTGAATACCAAACGAGAAACGTCCTCCGTCACTAGACTCGACTATGCCACGCGGGTTTCCGTCCCAAATAAGATAGCTTCAGCCTTCCTATGCAGCCACAAACACCGACACCAACACATATCCACATTCGCTTGATATCTAAGACAATATGGGGTGGTTTCTTGAACTAGCTCATCCGTTGATACGGAACGCTACAGGAAGCTATGCTCCGCGTCTCCCTCGGCTTCGGTCTGTATCGTGGCATGCACGACATGTCTCAAGTCCCCTGATCTCTCTCTCTACCCTGCAGAAACACCATGCCATGGCCTCTCATGCCAACTCCAAGAGACCTGACGGCAAGGTCAATACCCATGCCTTGCATGAGGTTACCCGAGCACCCGTTTAATGTTCCCTGAATCAATGTTCTAGACCCGAGCATATTGTTCATGGAATCTATGTGTTGCATCGTGTATGAATGTGAACCAACATCATGAGACTTTCAGTTCAGCCTTCATTGCTCGAATCCCTGATGGCGTGACGACGATTACAAGGTAAAGCCAGAGTTACTTACCAGATAAATCCATGCAACATCTGCAGGTGATAGAAGTCCCAGTCTCAGCTGCCGCCTCATTGTAACCCTCTTCCTCAAGGGTGTCTGATTGATAGAAAAAGCCAAGCTAATCGGAACCGGAGACGGGAATGTGACCCTGGTTAATGTATGTTATGTATGGATACCCTATGTATGCGTGTAATCAACCAACTAGGCAACTATGCCATCTTAGTCTTTCCTAAACCTTGCGCTGACATCTCATGCTGAGATCAGATGTACTAATGCAAGCAAGAATGAGGTTTCCCCAAACCCATGGCCCACCTCAAGATAAGCTTAGGCATTGGTCATATCAACGTCCCCATCAGACACATCATCTTTTCTCATCTGGTAAGCCATCATCACCCACACTAGTTTCATAGCTGCTAGTCGTTGTGTGGTATCAAATAAATCGTACCAGGGGCTCCTCCAAGCCTCAACCTTACCCCAACTTCGCCTGGATGCATCTGGCTCCCGTGCCCCTTCCAGAGCCTCAAGTAGCTGATTAGGTACTCTGACACGGATGACCGAGATATGGTGAAACAACGAGCTCACTACAAAGATATCGTCATAGTTGGCCCCCTTGCGCCTCCCAATGGCTTCGTATTGAGCCTTCTTGTCCCACGTCGACGATGGAGGTCGAATCATGCGATAGTTGTCGTAGATACTCATGTTTTTGCGAGGTTTCTTGGCAAGTGGCATCGGAAGACCGTTCTCGTCACTGGGTTTCGCGTCCTTGTCGCCTTGTACCAGGTCCTTTTCGATCTCGCGTCCTATGGGCCCTCCAGGACCGCCTCCCCAGCGCTTCTTGGTCGTCCACCATTCTCCCTCACCAAATCGCTTCTCAGTCTTTCCTTCACGTGCGCGATGCTGCGCTGTAATAAGAGCTGCTACGATCTCTCGAGCGAGATCGAGTGATTGCGCAGTCTCAGGATCAGGCTGAGTGAAGTCAGTTGTACCTCTGGCACTGACGGCGGCGACAGGCCCGTGGACCACACCTGCACGAGCGGCTTCACGGGTTGTGGGACTCTGAAATATAAAAAGGCAGCCAGAGGGGCAAAAAGATTTGCGAGAACCAGATCCTTGGGGTGAACTGAAGTGAAGTCGTGGTTCGGTTCGAGAAGGCGAGACGTTGCACCCAAAGTCATAAGCAACAAGTTTGATGAATGATGTTATCAGGTTATTGCGATATTCAAGTGGCATAGATGATCCAGCGCTGGTTCTGAAGAAGTTTGCGCTCTCGTCTGGCTTAGGACTCGCAGGTTTTGCGTCCCCCGAGTTCGCAGCATCGCCGGACGAAGTAACTTCGGGAGAGGCTTCAGGGGAAGGAGGAAGCGGTAATGGCTGAGTTGGGTCATCCCAAAAAGAGGTAAAGGCTTCAAGGCAACGGAAAAACTCATAGGCATTCCCTAAACGAGCCTGTGTCTTTCCTTTGGGGGCTGGAAGCCTTCTGACTGTTCGAAAGGCGTCTTCATTGACATTCGACAATTCCTTCTTGCGTTCGAGGTACACATGGCAGCCAGGAGAGAGGTTGCCATTTCTTAGGGGGTTCCGGGTGGACTGATTCTTCTCTTGGGCTTCATCTGGCGACAGTTTGTCCCAACTATCGAAATCCGGGATGAATGAAGGGTCAGGAATCAGGTCTGTGGGCTTGGCATCGAGGTTCAGATTAAGACCAATGGCAGAGAAACCCGAAGGACCGAGAGCGGCTGTTGATCTTCCGGTGTTGCGGAGAAGAGTAGATAGCGCAGACGATTCATCGATGGTATCGTCGTCCTGAGCAAAAGGTTGAAAGCGAGGAAGAGTGACCGGCGTAGGAGGCGGTACGTCCTTAGGATCAACCTTGCTCTTGGCCGGAATGCCGGCTGAAGAAGACAAAGTTTAGCCAGGGTCTATCAAGGTGGAGAGGTAGGTCGCAAGGTAACAGAATTGTGGGGGAGGGGCAGGCGACATAGACAGGGAAACGAAGTGAGGGGGTTAATGAGGTGTTTTGTGAGGATCAGATGTTCATGAGGATCACAATGGGTAGGGAAGGATGAGGTTCAAGTGTGATGAGAGGCGGATGGAGAGAAGACTAGCTTACCGAAGGAGGTGAAGTTTCCAAACATGGCAGCTGAAGCGCTTGTAGTGGCGCAACTAACAATGTAAGGTACCGCGAGACAGAATGCTTAGGCTATGGATGGAAGCTAGCTATGCTATGGGATGCTATGCTAAAGAGAAGACGACGTCAGCTTTGGTCCAGCGAGGTGTGACATAGCACAGAGCACATACAGTAGCTAGATGTTGATTGTATATGCAGAAGTTGAGTGAGGGCCTCAAGACAGCTTGGCTATCGATGGGGAGAAGCTGATGGAGATGATGAGGTGATGTAGAATAACTATAAATGATAAGACTTTTCAAGAGATAACCAAAAGCGATACGCTAGCCAATAGCTATAAAACGGACAATAAGACAAGAGTGTGTTAACAGAGACTCGACCAGCCGATAGAATTGAGCCTCTGGCGTGGAAAGGACAAAGTGCGTTGAAAGACGAAGCCTCAAAAGTTTCGGTGACTGAGGTTGAGTCGAGGTGTTGGTCAGTGCCAAGATCGGCTCGGTCCATGCGGGAGCAGCCGCGGGGTTAATTCAATGCCTAACAAGAGAGCCAACCATAGGCTCTGCCTCCTGAGAGACTAGTTATCTCCTGCTGAAGCGATATGAGAAGAGGATATCAGTTGTCTTGTTTAGGTAGGTAGGAGGTCATGTCGATGTTCCTGAGTGAGCGAATGGATCCATCCATCCATGATATGAGTGAGTTGCGTGGTGCCTGGTCCGAAGCCACCACCGCCTTTACCCGGCAAATGGACCCCTATTTCCGCGATTGGTCAGCTGTTGATTGTCTGTCTTCAATGCATCACCATGTGAATTCATGCTTCATGCAAGACCGGTCGGTTCTCATTGGTAATGGATGTTTGAGAGATACGATGAGAGCGAGTGAGCTTTTAAGAAGTTGTTTCATGTCACTTCCTAATCTGGTCAGAGAACGCCAATGGAAGTGCTAGAATTGTCTTGGTGCCACAAACCTAACATACTTTATTTATGGCAAGATCAATGAAATAATAGAAAGGTTTCTGGTATGAGGTATCTTATGACCTGAATTGCTTCTCGTGCCAACAGGAAGCATCAGAGCCTAATGCTTTTAGGAAGAAGCTGTGAGAAAAGCCACCGTTCCTCGACTGCATTGAACTTCTTCACTCACTCATTCAATATTCGCCAAAGCCGTTTCAAAAACCTTAGCGAATAATGAACCCTTCATGAATCAACATACCCTAGACCATAATAGATGATTCACTGAATTGACTAATTTAAAACGTTCCCTAATCTGAGTTCGAAGTTCTCTCCAGGTGTTATCTGCAGGGACTTGTTAGTTACGCTGGGAATAGGTGTCTGAGTGCCTGGTTTATGCTTCACTATAGCTTATGTACTCCTGTCAATCTGGATAATGAAAATGACATATAGCAAATCTTTCCATGCCCCAGATTTTAATCGGTAAACGAACGATCATGAAGAAGATCTTGGCTTTTATGAATATATGGGGATGACCCAATGCCCTCTCTTATTTCTAGTCAAGAGAGAGACAAGAAATATGGAATACGAGGCAAGAAAAGAGGGCCACTCACTCGATCTTCATCTCAAAGTTGGGTCTCAGAAAAGCACCACAAACGGGAGTTAAGAAAAGTTTCCTTATACTACTTTTGGGAACTTGTAAACCAGAGATTGTGACATTGTCAGGAATAGTAAATGTATTTAGAATTGAGAGGATTTGGGACTATACATGTTCAATGGCGAAAGGAGTATAAGAAGCTCGTCTTTCAACTTTTCACACACTCACCTAACTGAATGATGTTCTCATACCAAATAATCACATGAAGCTTTAACCATATATTGTTTAAGAGTAGTATTAGTCAAGTCTAATCATAAGCTCAACCTTAGTGTTTCATGACGTTCTTAAATCGGCATCTAATCTCATAAACGAAGGATATAGGAGTTTTATGGAACTCTTCAGGATGTGTTCATACTGAAACTCTCGTGTAAAGTCCCATTCGTCTCAACAACTTACCCGACAACCTGGTAGACTCCTAATAGACTGGAAGCTCACAATTCTTTCTCAAGACCATCCCTGGAATAAAGGATGATCTCCAAGTTTAAGGTTACGGTATCAAAAGCTTTAGCGTCGTCGCACGCCATCAGCTTTATTCCGTCCCATGCTGGTTACTCAGCGGGACTCGACATTACGGACAGATATTCTATTTCGGTAATCGAAAGGCGTCGCTGACAGAGGCACAGACAGATTTTAGATACGAGAAACGGTGACAGTCCGAGTCAGGCTCGAGGCGAAGGACAACAGGGATGTGGGCGGTTGTGGCCCGGAACATGGGTCTAAGAGCGGTAAGTCAAGGGATGCCTGAGCGGATGAACTGATCCAGGCAAGGATCTTGAGAGAGGAGGTTTGAAGTACAACATAGTATTTAACGTAGATGGCACATGGGATTGATAGTGCATGAAGAAGGATTGAACCAGCTGTTTTCTGCTTACTAGCCTAATCTATCTGGCGATTTAACCCTGTTGTGCTTCCTAATGCTGAGCTGTTGGGCTGATTTGTTTGGTTTCCTGTGTGTGATGGTCTTGAGGAGTTGTTTGCGTGTGGTGGCGGTGGTGATAAATATGCCGTCTGTTATTACTTTTGAACTAATGCCGGCATCATCCCAAAGGAGACACATTTCAGGTACGTTATGCAGGTACTATGCACGTTCATTGATTAGCTGCTAGCCAAACAATTCTCAGGAGGATGAAATTTTCAGTCTGTCTGTCATCTTGTTCTAGAGTGAGCTTTGTTTCGTGGGATATTTTGCCGTGCCTTGTCTTCCACGTTCTAGCAGCGGGGCCTTTGGCTAACTTTAGGCGTGATGTACCAGGCTCGGCGCGTTTGCTGGCGGGAAGGGCCACAACGGGCAGGGCCACAGGGAGAAACGGTGGTGGATGTTCAGGTGTCTCAGGTGGCCAGGTACAGGTATTAGTAGCGCTCAGGCGCTAACCAGAACAACTTACTGCTCCTCCTGCCAAGACGATTGACCAGACCAGACTCTGGAATCTGCATCAATCCCCACCTGAAATTCATCTCCTTGCTGAGGCTCACTCACCTAAATCCGCTTCGGGGCTTCTTTTTCCATCAACAACATTCTGTCTTATACGCGCACTATGCATCAACACCATCGCGATGCGATGCCGCCCACATTGCCGAGACTGTTTTTTAATCAAGGCGTTAAAGCAACCAAGAAACAGAAACAAAAGAAGCAAAAACCAAATGGAAGGATGCCACATGCGGGTGACATCCTTCTAATTATTCCGACCAACTTCCACTTTACCTGGAGCTTGGATGTCATCCCGACGGGAAAACACCCGCCTGGAACCTCGTGACAAACGCAAATGCAAACATCACACAAGGCCACGCAAGCCAAGAGAGCCAAGGCGTCCCAGAAGTCTGGGATATCAACCTTGTTTATGTTGCTCACATCGGATCTTTTGTTTGCTTCTCGGTGCTCGGATACTAGCTAGGACGGTAGGACCTGACTAGTCAGGTAGGTAAGGTAGTGAAGCTCAGACAGCGTGGGGAGGCTGTCGTGCTTCAGATCTGTCGCAGGACAGGGTATTGCTCCTAGCGACGACGAACCCATGTCTACCGTACTTGAACTGATGTATAATGTCAGTTGTATCTGGAAACAGCTAAAACACTAGTAAAGGGTAAAGGGAGTCAAGGTAGGTCGGTTCGGTACCTTAACGTTAGGTTGACCACCCTCCCACTCGGGGCAATCATATTGTCGTTTCATTCTCTCTCACACTTTCTGTCTTGTCTTCCTTTCCTTCTCTGTTTCTGTTTCTCTTGGTGTCTTTCCTTGTTTTGCGCCCTCTACATTCTCTTGTCGTACCCTTATTCACTCATTCTCGTTTCTCATCACGGTATTTGGCCGTGATATCTACATTCTCTTACCTTCATTACATTTGCGAGGTGACTGGGTCATCCATCTACATGCATATTGCCAGAAAGTAGATGGCCATAGGGGCCCTATGTTAAGCTTTTGCTCATTTATCAGACTTTTTGCCTCTGTTCACGGTTGGGCCAGGCTTCGACTCCAGCTCTCACTAACAGCGACTGGCATCGCGAACGCTTCTGGTCGAGGATGTTAGCCCTCCGAACACGGGCTTTGTTCAACTTTATATTCGGAAGACAGTATGCCGGCATACCACGAGAAATCGATACCAACAATACACACTCGCTCGAAGAACGAGCACCCGTGGTGATCACTAAGACGAAGATGGAGTCTCGTTATGTGGTCATCCCCGAGCCTACCACCATCGTGGTTACATACCATGTCCCAGCCAACGCTACAGAGAACACCGACAGCGTTGAGTTGCCGCCGGCTTCAACTGCGCCTGCTGCAGACCTGGCATCTGTTCCCGCAGCGGATCCTGCTGTAGATACCCCAGTATTTGCATCATTGATTGTACCTACAACGCAAGAGGCCGAGCCCGTTCCAACGACTGTACCTGCAGCTGGAGGAGAGGCAGCGCCTGAAACTAGTGACGCAAATCTGAACGAGACGACAGTTCCCATCGAACCGATTGCTCAGCCAACTTCTCAACCACCCCCACAGGAAACGCCCCAAGAACCCCCAGTGGTTAATGGTCCTGACCCGGTAACAACACCTGTTCAGCCAACCACTGAAGAGCTGCCCAAGGGAACACCAGAAGATGCTCGATTGACAGATGGACCGGATCCGGTGACAACACCTGTCCAGACAACGACGCCGCCGGCACCTCAGGAGACACCACAGGATGCCCGATTAATCGATGGACCAGACCCCGTAACGACGCCTGTTCAGGCGCCTAAGGATACTCCAGAAAATGCTCGACTCATAATCGAGACTGAGTCCTCATCATCATCGTCCTTGTCCTCGTCTTCGACATCTACTTCGGAGGTTCTCCTTTTTGATACTGCGTCCTTCACCTTCACTGGTCCTCCATCTCGGTCAACGACCCTCCAAACCCGATCTGTAACCAGAACTGCTTCTTCCGCTACTGAGACTACAGAAGCATCTGATAGTTTCGTTTTCGATGATGGTGAGACGGGCGCTGACGGAGCTGCGCCGGCACTTAGTACGGCGACTCTAGCCGACGGAGGCCTTACAACCATTGGCCTCGGTGCGACTGCTGGAAGCGACCATGCCTCGAAAACCGAAAGTCCTGATTCAGCTGTCAAAAAGGACTCCGACAATGCAGGCCCAACTCCAGTCGTTGTAGGCAGTATTGTCGGCTCCATCGTGGGATTGTCTTTCCTGGCACTTGTCATCTTTTGGCTCATCAGGAGACGGAGACAGCAGCGTCGAAGGAGCACTCTTCTCACTCCGCTCGATTTCCCTCAAGGCGGATCTGGCAAGGAGAAGTACGAAATCGACAATCATTCGCTCGGCCCAACGCCTCGCTCTGTCAAGGTCGCTGCCGCTATGAGCGCCAATGCTAAAAAGATTGGTCAACGATTCCGACAGTCCATGAGCTCTTCTCATGTCGACATGAGCCGAGGAAACTCTCAGTTCGGCGCCGAAAGCCACAGCGCGTCTACAAACCGCGCCCCTAGCCGAGGGAGCGCAGCTCCTGGGCAACAACAAGGATGGTGGTCACGACTTATTGAAGAATCAAGCGTCGTGGACCTCGCAGCAGCCCCCCCTGTGCCGGACGATGGTTATGATGGAAGACGAACTCCTAGCCCCAAACCTTTCTCTGATGCCAACACCATTCCTGCTGCGCCTCGTGGGGACTCATATGGGCGCGGTAGCGTCTTGCCTCACGGTTCTCTTGTGCCACCCCCACTTGCCCCTGCTCGGCCTCATTCTTTGGATAACCCGTTCGCCGACGAGAGTTCCAGCTTGTCTCCTGACCCCATGCAACCGCCACCGATGGCCCATAGAGAGCCAGTCGATCAGAGGCAAGGCCCGACCATGTCGCGCAACCTTACACCTCAATCGACAGGTGACGGCGTGAGGCTAAGGCCACAGGAAGTTTGGCGCGGCAACGTTCACTCGAACCCCTTCGACTTGGAGCTCGATGGCCGACACATGTCTAGTATGGGACACATTCAAAACATGCCACGCTACACTGCCGCCAGCTCCTTCTATAGCACAAACCGCCAAACCGTCAGACACTCTCGGGCTGAGAGTTACACTTCACGATATACCAGCGGAGTGAGCGACGTTAGCGAGTGGCCTCCTGTGCCTCCTCAACCTCGTGTACCCAGTATCTATGGCCGATACGATGGATCTGACTTTCCCCCCTCACCGCGACACTCCCGAAGTGAGAGCGACGGCAATATTCTGAGACGACAAACCGGCCAGGCGATGTGAACCCTCATAGCAGGGACACGGATATTCACTTCGTTCCCTCTCGGCGGAGGACCAACATAGTGGTTCTCCTGGGATACTCATTGGCTCGCTGTAAGACTTGGGGGGTGGTTTAAAATAGAAGATGGATAGATGGTGTTGATGTTTGATGTCAGCGTTTATGCTTATGATACCACAGAACTAGGCTTTTCTCCTTCTTTTTCTTTAGAAGAACGCACACTGCGTGAGGTGTCGCTAGAGTCAAAATCAGAAAAGCTTGCTATGCTCCGCCGAGACTTTAGTTTTATACCACTATTAATACAATGTGCTGTTCGTGTCATTTTAACTCTGGGCGTGAATGTGAAGGCGCTCTTGATTGACATTGCATGATTAGGTTACAGGCGTAGTGTAATGTTCAACTGTGTATGGATGGATGTTAGTAATGCATCAAATACGTGGTGCTTCCACTTCTGGCAGGTTTTGGCAACCATTATTGAGCCTCTAATCGAGTACATGTCTCGAAAGTACTGTTGAACCCCTCTTCAATCCACATGATGCAGTCCATCCAACCAAATAACACGCTTTTTCCATCCCTCGGGAGTTCATGACATCAGACTCAAAACTCACACTTGTAGCATTTCGTCTAGTGATTGGCTCTAGATGGTCAAAAACGGGGTCTCGGAGGCGCGAAACAGACACGACATAGCTACGCGCCAGCTCTTTCGCGCGTAAATTGCCCGTCGCACGCGCGCTTGGACACGGGTTTTTATGCGACGACCTACCCTTGCGTGGAGGAGAAGGTTATTTCCTCACTCGTTTTCGTTCCACATGCAGGCATTGGCAGTCGTATGATCAACATTCTCAAGAACGACTCAGTAATAATATGAATTTTGAACTCGAAATAGTTAGGTACTAGTAGTAAAGTAAGATGATGGTCACATTGTCCATAAGCCGTTCCATCAATCCATCCAGGCAGTGCCCCCTATTCTCCTGAACCGGCCCATAATGTAATCTGTTTTAACAATTCTTCACCTCAAACAAGATAAGAGAAACCAACCGCTGAAAAAAAAAAAACTATCCTCCTGGTCTCGCTTGGTACGAGACGTGGTCTTCGATAACCTCCCTTGAAAGACCTTCTTTCATGCCATTGCCGTTTATTCTATAACGCCGTCGCAAATAATGGGAAACCCAGACATGTACAGTGGTGTTACTGTACGCCACGAATAATCGAGGCCAATCCAAATAGTGTAAAAAAAAAAAAAAAAAAAGTGCATGCGTGAGTGTCACAACAAGTGCTGTCATGGTATCATGTCCACAAAGAACTCGGATCATATTCACACCATTTCTCCAACCCTTCATACCGACGCTCAGTCGAACGTGAGCCGCCTTTGGGTACCGCTCACGGGTGTCCTAGTTGTCGTAATTGAGATTGGTGTCTTGAAGGGCTTTTGTGCTGGGCTGGGTGTGATATTGACAAATTCGGCAAAGTCGAAAGCTTGACTGGGGGTGGTTGGGAAGAGGTTACCCCCACCAGGCGTCATCATCATCGAGGAAGGTAGATCCATCTGCTTGTTCTTCTGGGGAGGGGTTGATGGGGGCTCCATTCGTGTTCGAGTTGAAGTTCTGACAGCTGGTGATGGCGAAGCAGCGAGGTAGAGAAGTAAATCTGCTCCCTCCTCACCAGTTTTGCCATTGGTCCCTGCACCGTTTTCGCCCTTGTTCCGCTTGCTAACAGACCTGGTGCGCATAGGTGGTGTGCGTGGAGGAGAAGAGCGGATATTGGTAGGGTTGAATGAGTGGATGGGCAAAAGATCGTCATCGTCATCGGAAGGTGCAGCAAAATTGGGTGATGTCAGCTCACGACTCATCAGACGCTGCTGGAAAAAGGAGACATCGGGTCCTCCCGATGTAGTAAAGTGTTGTTGCCGCCTGGGCTTGAGGGGAGACGATCGTGTTAGTTGATGCGAGTTCTTCCATACACCATTACTGCCAAAGGACTTGTGTGCCGTAGGGGAAAGTCGGAATCGTTTGCTAGGGCTCGATGATACATCGTGAAAGGAGGCGAGGTATGTGCGCTTGCGGTGTCCCGTGCTGCCGTTGCTGGAGCCTACCGCATCGGAGAACAGGGGCGCTTTGAGGGGAGAGCTCATGAGTGCTCGGGACGGATATGGGAGATCGGATGCGCTTGATGATGAGTCGGAGAGGACATCTGTAGGCTCGGTCAAACGTTTCCTTCGCATCTCCTCTTCGACTTTTGGCTCGATGGAGTCGAGTGTGAGGTCTTCCCAGCCATGCTTGGTCTTGAATTTTGCGAGGGCGAGGCGGTTTTGCAAACGTCGTGCAATCTTAAAGAGTGGAAATGTCAGTCAATGCTTGCCTCATCAGGAGTAAAAAAGAACAGATTGAATTTTCACTAGTAAAAAGTCAATGGATCAAGTTACTCACTTTGCTCACTTCTGCACGCTTCAGCACACTGTCGACGACATCTTCTGGCTGCTTCTTCCACGGCGAAGACATGATGCTTCTACGCTTGCACTTGTGCTCTACTCTGCTCTGCTGCTAGGGGCAACCGCCGTGAAATTTGAAATAAGAAGTCGAATCGATCGATGTGTTGTGTAAAGTTGGAAAATAATATTGGTTGATCTTTGATGCAAGTTTGTGTGTCGAATGGCAAGAAATCAAGTCGAAATGGTCAAGGAGTGAATTGTGGTGAGTGGTGGTTGAAGTGGCTTGGGTGCGTGAATGAAGAATCCAAGTTAAGTTGGAGAGAACAGAGCAAGCAAACGCAATCTCGAGGGACCGTTACAGTTGAGTACTGTACCTTATGAGCTGGAGCCTGCTAACCTGGTCTTAGTGGCACGCACTAACACTGCAGTTGCCCGTCATGAAGTACTAGGTACTTTGGCCTTGGTGGAAGCGGACCTGCCCTGTGAGGGGGGCTCGTGCCACTACGGCCGGGTAACGACTCACAGTAGAGGAGAAGCTGAACTGAGCTGGAAACTTTAGTTTGGCTTCTTTGTTCACAGACTCGAGGCCTTGGAGCTATCTTTGATTGGCTATTGTGATAATACAATAATAGTTCTTGTTCTTTACATTTGTATCTGCAGTTGATGTTCATTCGACGAATCACTGAAAGAGACCCCCAACTTGCACCATCGTTTGATAAGATCATTAACATCAGATCCAAGACGTCAAGGAACTCTTTTCAGTAGCCGGTCGCTGGGGTCACCAAGTAAATTTGGTCACATTCCTCTGGAAACGAAACCCGAGTTTGCTCGCTAGGCTCGATCTGCCCTGGAAGTTTTTAATTAGACATGTATCTGATACTTGAGTACTTTAGGAAAAAGTATTTATGCATGCACTTTGCACACGAATCTCAGCCAATCAGATGCTTCAGATTGACCCCTTCTCACTCGATCTGACGCTGCTGGGCCAGCAAATGGACCCATTTGTCGTTTCCCAGCTCTCTGTCACAGGCTTCAGCCAGCCTCAGGCTTGAGGTAGTCCATGGTATGCGAGAAAGGCTATAGAGTCGGCAATGTCTCTTGATAGGCTTTTCACGACAAGCGAAATGCAAACCCCTTAAACAGATCAAGCCAACACAAGCTATGGTCTCTCTACATCTGTCAAATCTATGAAAGTTTATACAATGCTAGGTTACTTATACTGGCGTCAGCCTTTGTCCAGGCTGAACAAACTCCTTTGTTTTGTAGTCCATTGCTCGGTTTGATTGGCTGCAGATTCTCCGAGGACTGACCAAACTTGGTCAATAATGCATGCAAGGGACCGGCTGACGGAGTATAAGCTTGGCTCTATATCTTGTTTCCTCCACCTGTTTGAAAAGGAGTTGATCGATTGACGATTTTTGTTATTTGCTCTAGACTCTCCTCTGTTTTCGCTTTTGAATGAATTACGTCCTTGGCCGAGTGTATTCAGCACCGATTTGCTCGAACCTCTAGTAAGTTGATATGAGGAGCTTCAACAGCGAGTTGTCTCTTGTCTCTTCTCACTCATGATAACTGATAAGATGGGTTATGGCGATGAATAGGGATGAGGGCTTGCATTTTGGTTTACTTTTATTTTGCGAATGCATTGACCAGGTTATCAAAGCTCTGTTAACTCATAAGTCTAGCTATGCTGATCCATACATGCTCTCCTTAACAATTTCGTCTATTGGATAACTCCACAACTCACGTTCGTTGATGATTCAGCCAGCCAATTCGACAACACCAATCAAATTCCGTAAATATCCACAAAGACCATCAAAGGAAACGATCTGTAAGTCGACTGATGGCATTGCATCGCAATGTCAATGAGAGTTTAGAAGAGACACATCGTTACTCAATTTGAAAGCGGGGGATCCGAACTCTGATTCCCAACAGCGTCAAAAGAGAATATGAAAATGCCGACAACACAATTTATTCGGCTTGCATAGGAGTCGGAGTCGGCGTCGTGCTCCCCGATGAAGTTTGTTTGCTGTCTCGGCAGGTCTCAAGGGATTTATATCTCGTTGATGCAAATCTGGAATGACGAATTCACAAGTCAGTTTCTTGCTTGCAACAACTCAGGCAGCGTCTTTGCTTTCAGACCACGCTAGTACACCCACGTTATTCCCATAACACGAGGCGTTGTCGTCAGTTGGTCATCATCGTATTCATCAGCTCACCCTCCTAAGATGGATGTTGTTCAATGTTCCCCTCATAAGCTGCATTTCGCATACGTGGACTTTTTGCTTTCGGCTGATAGTTGCCCGCCATTATTAGCATATGTTAATCAAGTCAGGATGCAGGACATTTTTACTTCCCTGTTTACCGTGATGTGGGATCAATCGGCTTATGGTCTCGAAACAGGATAGTTTCGAGCGAGGAGATAAAGTATCACCGACATTATTCAATTGGTGTTGCAGTGGAGGGGGACATGGTGGTGGCCTTGAATAAACCTCGAATCTGAAACGAGATGGCCAAGGTCTGTACAACCACTATCTTGAAAATGGGAGAAACCTTGAATCCCATTGATTCAATCACTTCTGAGATAGAGTGTTCTCTGTAATGCGTTGGCTAGTCTAGTTGCAGGCGCTAAAAGAACTTCTGCATGGCCTCGCAATCATGGATGGCACCATCAATCAACTGGCTCATCCCCTGGAAACACCCACCAACAGTCTTTATGTTTAACGTGGGATCTTGAATGGAAACGCAATTTCGTTGGATGGTCTACTATCGGAGGCGGCACGGGATGGTCCCGCCTAGACAAGGCCAGGGGCTGTACTATTATCTCGACGTCATCGAAATTGAGGACTGATGGTTTCAAAATAGCAGCGACTTCTAATATATTATCAAAGGATTGCGCGGTGAATATTAGCCGAATGCTACGATTGCTAGCAAAGTTGATGAACACCAGTGCCTAAGCGAAGACACTGGATGCCGGCCAAGAGCTACCATTAGCTGCTCTAGCTGCTGGAATCACTTCAAAGATTGAGTTCCCGCTGGATGCGGCTGGTTGAATTCAATATCAAGCTCCACTGAACTTGTGGTTGTATTCAACTTGGGCCTCGCTGGAGCCCACCTAGATCACGATCGCTTTCAACTCGGCACGTTGTGAGTCTTGGCCCATCTGTGGCCTGCCCATAAGCTTACAAGGATGAGTCTGTGACATTTTGATACTGGATCGACCCGAATTGATCAACAGAGATAGACACTGTTGGAGTATAATGTCTCAATGTTCCCGATGGGTTATCATATCATTCCAATACTGCGTCTTCCGTCTTCCGTCTTCCGTCTCCCAGAGTGATTCAACCTCTCTCTCGCTCGCTGTCAGTGGCAGCAACAAGTAAGCCACCATCTGGTTGAGCACGCTTGCAACGGCCGCAATAATAAATCGCATCGCTGCAACCCACCAATTCCAGCGGATCCCCCGGCCCAAGCTTGAGCACATCCTCGTTCTCGGCGAGTGCATTAGCAGCACCAGCCACTTTTTGCACGTCTTTGGATCGATTGTGGCCTTCTTTTCGTCCAGTCTGGCCATACAGAACATCTTCCGTCATCTGTCATCACTCGTTGAGTGTCAAGGATCCTAATAAGATATCCATCCTTCTCCGTTCTCCGTTGAACAGGGGTGGAAGGGGACATTTGAGGGCTATCTTTCCAAGGCAGTGAAGAAGATCCTGGGAAACGAAACTGTGGATTTCCATTCATTTGTTATTTCTCTGTTGGTCCTTCCAGAAACCATATTAGGTTCTCATCTCTAAAATTTTGCGCCTTCCCCCTTCCTTTTCCTTCCTTCGATCGACCAAGAGGAAGTCAACTGTCGACGACTGACAGCTTCCACTGCTTCTATTCTTGTTACACCCCCCATCGGGATCTCACTCCACCTCATTCATCTAAACTACCACCCCATTCGTTCCTCCAGACTTGCAATACGAGCGCTCTCCTCTCTTACTCTGTCGACCACCGGTTTCTTGGGTACTTCAATCTCAGTCTCTCCCTCACTTTTCTGTCGACTTTGCCTTGGTTTCTTGATCCGTCTCTCGCTTGCCCACGACGCAATTGTCATACAACTTTGACTCTTATTTGGATACATCTTGGAAAAGGCAGGTCCTAGTCGCCGGCGACAATGGCCCCGACCTTCCTCAACAACCTGCGCCGCCGATCGAGGGCCAGTTTCCGTACCAATCGATCAACCGACACATCCAGTGATGGTGCTACAAGTCAAGCAACATCGCCCTCGAGCGGTTCCTTAACGCCGCCTTCGATTGATCACCAGTCAGACCCTGCACTTCATCTGCAGGTAAAAGATCAGCAGCAACTCCAGCGTCGACAGTCTCAAATGTCCCAGAGCCAGAGCCAACTCAACGTCCCCACGCGACCGCCGCTATCGTCCAACTCCAATCGCAACAGTGTTTCCGGAATGTCGGGTCTTGGTGCGCCTTCTATCAATGGAAGACAGACTCTTCCAGTGTCACCATACGCTCCAAGAATGATCAACATCACCGAAAATGCATGGGTATGTCTTGGTGTTTTGCTTTTGAGTTGTTTCTATGGCTAGTGGACTTTGTGGCGCGCATGCAAATGCAAGCCATATCGTCAGGGGTTAATTGGTACAGAAGCTATGCCAAGACTTCCAACAAACATAACTCGCTCAAGAAGAAGTTGGAGTGTTGCGCTAACCGTCACCAGGTCTATCAAAAAGTTCTTCTTGTTTATGGCACAATCGGAAATGCCGCCGAGAAACCCCTCGATGGCACCCTTAATGTTTGCCGACTTGACGACAACTTCCCTGCGATCAGCTGGCCCGTTTGCAACTCGCATTTCAAGGCACTGGTGTACCTTCAACCGGGTCCGAATAGATTGCGTTTCGAGTTCTCAAGTCCGAAACTTGCGAACAGCAACAGCTCCAACCCAATCCATGCTTCCTACCTTACTGTTCACATGCTACCCGTGACCAATTCACCACCTTTGCAGCTTGCGATACTCGTTGCGAAGGACTCTCCCGAAACATTCGATGCCTCGCCCGCCCGAGCCGAAAAGGAAGGAAATGGACTGGAAATGGCCGTCAAGAAGTTCAGAATGGCAGCGTACCTGTGGCAGGCCTTCACCTCGGAACAGATGTGGCGGAACAAGCTTGGGCGACGGGCTTTCCGCTTTGATGAAGAATGGACAACAGGCTCGGCCAATTATCGTGACCAAGAGAACGGCACCATGCGCTCCGAAGCCCGTGTCCATGTTATTCGCTCCGACAAGACCCTTGCTGAGATTCGAGATCTTAACAAGGCCCAGCAAAACGAGAAGGCGACCGATAAGGGCGCTTTGTACGGGATCGCTTCAGAGGCCGTCAAGAAATACTTCAACCCGCTGCCGGGGCAAAAGCTATACGTGTCTTGTCTTCTCTTGGATTCTCATTGGGATACGACAGCAAAGACCGTGACCGGCCACGCCGCTCTTGGAGGAGGGGATGGTGATCTTCAACTCGCCATTTTTGGATCTCACTGCCTTCACAGTTACCCTTCCACTTTCGAAGAGGTTGTGCCTGCTTTCACTGACTGTACTCCAACGGATACAAACCATGTGGCTAATGACTGCAACGAAGCGGGCAGTTCTTGGGAGGCTGCCAATATCGGTATTGGCGCTCATATGCATGAGACAGGCCATCTATTCGGATGTCCCCACCAGGAGAGTGGTGTAATGCTACGAGATTACGTGGTGCTAAACCGTACATTCGTGGCTCGAGAGGCATATTGTACAAGGACCAAATCCAAAGGTGGTCTTGCGCTCCAGGCCGACGAATGTGGATGGCACCGCCTCGACTGCTTGCGTTTCCGAGCTCATCCGTCTTTCCGCCTTCCCAATGATCCTCCGATGAACCCTGACGGTAGTGTTCAAGCCTTCCCTGTCGAAAATGGCAATGTACTTGTTATGGCGGCCACAGGAATTTTCTTTGTTGAGATTTATGCGGATGGTGACGATGTCTGCCATGCTTGGATCGAGTATCCCACTGATCAAGGGACGCCCTCCCGGCAAATCACGCTCAGCGAAAGTGAGCTGCGAGGCAGACTGCCCGAGAAGAAAAGAAAGGGATCTCTCAAAATATCAGTCAAGTCTTACGGGGGAGGATCACTTGATATTGACGATTACAAAAGGTTTACCTCCAAGGAGTCTCTCATTAAGCTACCGAACGGGAAGAGTGCTTTCCGAAGCCAGAAGCTGGGTAGCTCTAAGATGGATGGAAGCCAGCCTACGGAAGCCATCTTTACGAGTGCTGTCAAGCAAGACAGAGTTCTATCCCGTGTGGTCATTTATCACGGTATGGCCGTGGATGGAATGGAATTCATTTATGACGATGATTCCAGGCAGTTGTTTGGAAAGAAGGGCGGCAAAGAAGGGGGAGATACCTTCGAGTTTGGTAAGTTCTTACTCATTGATGGACCGACAAGGATCTAATAGGAGACGTAGATGTTCGTCGTGGTGAATACATCAGTGGCTTCGTCGCGCGATCTGGTTTCTGGATCGATGGCATACAAATTCTGACGAGTTTGGGTCGCAAGTCGCCCGTTTATGGAAATGCTCATGGAGGAGATGCGTAAGTTTATTCTTGTGTCGCTACAAACTTAGCTGACCCTAGTCACTAGGCACACTTTGATACCTCCTCGAGGATACATCATTTGTGGCGTTTCCGGCTCCTGTGGCCAGTGGTTAGATGGCTTCTCGGTTCTCATCACGCGATGAGCAGGAGCAAAACCACTCGATGTCCAGATTTTTGCACACTCATTCTACAGGATAACAATCAGCCGTCTATGGATAAACATTAATTGTTAATTACGAAGCATGGGAGAGACACGCCCTACCTGTCTTACAGCGGCCAGACAGATACCGCAAGCATTGTTCGGGACTTTTATCTGATACCGGCGTTGGGGTAGTTTTCTTTTGTTTACCGCCTCTGAAAGGAGGCTACACACATTACATACATACACGCTTGCATATCAAGTTAAGGGGTAACGCATACACAGCATACCATGAGCAGACGCGGACCTGAATAAACACCGCAGGGGATGTCTGATCTTGAAGTCTTTATCGCTCTATGTTAATTTCGACCGTTTCCTGCATGTGTCCAGAACGTTTGTGTGTGTGCTAACTATCATAGGTTTCATTTAACTTCGCTTAATGATGTGACGGTGAGCGAGCTTGTGCGAATACGATGCGAATCTGACATGTGATAGTCTACCCCAGAATTTGTTGAGCTGTTGATCAACTTGGTGACGCTGGAGATCCGGTACCATTCTGACGTTCTCCGTATGTAAGATATAGATTCACAAAAATATGCGAATGTGACCATGAACAACCGCCTTGACCTTTGCGTGTGACGAACTGTTGATGGCTGGTGACTTATCAGGAACGGTTGAGCGTCTAAGCCATTGCTATCACGTGCAGCTGGCCAGCACTAGCGCCCACAATGACGGCATCCACCTAAGCAAGGAAAGCAGGACGTCCCGCCGCGAAAGCAGCAAACGCGACGTCGTCCTCAACGTCAACCACTTGTGGAAAACCTGCTCTCTTTTCCCTTCTGCAACTTCACACAACCACCAGAAACATAACAAGTTCTGAACCGCAGAATATCACTCAACTTCGCATTGCTAGTATTCTTGCACGCTTTGAACATTCTCTTTTCGCATCCATCGACACTGCTTCCTGCCACCACGAAGCTTATTACGATTGTCCATTTCCTGTATTCCTGTACGGAACACTGCTGAGGTCGACTTCTCGTACCGTCCGACTCCATCAACCCTCGCATTAACCAAAAGTCGTTGGAATCGCCGTAGAATGTCTAGAAGGAGCAACACCATGTCGGGCTCCAATGGAAACATCCCCAAGGACCTCACATCCTCCAGCAGCCCAGGTAAGCTTTAGCCAAGGATGGAACAATTAAGCGAGTTTGGGTTTCCAGAACCGACATTGATCTTCTGTATAGCAATTGACAAGCAAAAGACTCTTCTTTCTGCCGATGTTGGGCACTTCTCTCTCGTGCGGGCCATGCACCTTGCCGACTTGATTACTCTCATGAATGGTATGTACACCTTGACTACGGAAACCGTCGCATTTGACATGCTTCGTTCTTCAGAAAAATGTGATGGTTTGCTAACTCTAGCGTCATCACAGGTGCTTGCGGTGTCATGTCCATCTTCTCCTCGCTACGATACGCACTTGGCGACCCCAAGGATTTTGACAACCTCTGGCTTGCTCTCTTCTTCCTGCCTTTCGGTCTGTTCTTCGACTTTTTCGACGGCAAGGTTGCTCGATGGAGGAAGAAGAGTAGTCTCATGGGCCAAGAATTGGATTCTCTTGCTGATTTGGTATGTCTCAATGCGCGCATTGTCACTTAATATGGTCACTAATAGGAATACTGTTCAGATCTCCTTCGGCGTCGCTCCCGCTATGGTCGCCTTCACTCTTGGTTTCCGTTCGCTTGCCGACACTGTTGGTCTTACCTTCTTCGTTCTGTGTGGCCTCACTCGCCTCGCACGCTTCAACGTTACCGTTTCGGTTCTTCCGAAGGACGCCTCCGGCAAGAGCCAGTATTTCGAAGGAACTCCCATTCCCACTTCGCTCGGCATGGACGCTATCATGGCCTATTGGCTCTCGCAGCGCTGGGTTCATGACAACCTTCCCTTTGGTGTCTGGTTCCAGGGTTCAGCTTTCGAGTTCCATCCTGCCGTCATTCTGTTCATGATCCACGGCTGCCTCATGACCAGCAAGACCATCCGCATACCCAAGCCTTAAGCGATAGCCGATATTACTATTTAACATGGTACGTTGGCTTGGTGTAGTTGCACTGAAAGATTGGGTGGAGTGGGGTCATGTAGTCTGGATCTGAGCATACGTTTGCCTTCACTGGAGGTGTCATGGGATCGAGTAGGGGGTTCAACAGGAAGTTCGCAAGAACAAACATAAGGGACAAAAGGGGTTCCGCGCACGCGGTTGGAGACATTTTCATTTGGGGTTTGGGGGTTTGGGCAGGACATGATTCACGCAGCTTATTGAAACAATGGTAGTTCATGATACCCATACATTCCTTATCTTGGTGCTTGGATTTTATGTGACAACTTTGAATCAGTTTCTGTTTATCATAAGCATAGCATTGTGGATAGATGCGTAGTACATGGCCATATCGAGTCGCTCGATGGTCTCAACTATGATCTGTTCGTATGACGTGACAGGCTTGATGTCACATTGTACTGTGATAAGAATGTGACTGACATAGTCGTGATGCGGAAGCATGGCTCTCAATGATGAGGTCTACTTCATAATGAAGACACAAAGGGCCGGTTCTAGGTCTCTATCATTCATTCAGGACTTTGAGGCAGTGAATCTCGCTTAAGTGAGTGGATATTTGGAACCTAACAGGATCTGAAGTTGGACCATTAATCCATTGTTCCTGTTGAGCGTTTCCAAGTATCAACCAGCATAAGGTTTAAGAAAAGCTTGGATGTGCTCACAGGTTCTCTGTTTCTAGACGAAATGACTAGGCATTGGAAGCTGGGTATGACCAAAAATAGAGCCATACGTGATGCCTACGCACAATCTGAGGCTCTGCGGTGAGTGGATCGACAAACCATAATGAGGCTTGGTTGCCGAATTCCCGGTACTGAATAAGACTGGGAGGACGAGACGGCGGAGAAGATCTTCATGAAGTGGAGGCAATTGAGAAAATCACATAATTTGTCTCACAAAAAGACCAGAACGATTAAAAGTTTGAGTCTTCACCAACTTGATACAGACCAATCAACGCCATCTCTATCTGAAACATGTTGTCAGAGGCGTCGCAGCTAGGAGCTCAAGACCCAAAGAACGTGTTCAGGGTAAGACATGGGTTGTGATATGTTGAGGTTGAGGCTGTGCTGTTGAAGGATCCTTGGCTAGGACTAACGGGCTCCAGAGAGTGACGGGTGGCTGTGCTGTTGATGATAGACAAGGATGGGGATCTGATCGCTGGGAGATGAGAGGAATAACACCCAATTGGGTTTTTGGTTACACCGATGATGATACCTATAATGCTGCAACACTGCACTGAGGGAATAAGAGGGAGAATAATATTGGCGATCATTAACCATTGACAGGCAATCTGGGGTAGTAGGAGTGGTACAGATTGCCTCTTGCTGCATTGATGGTCGTCCTACCTAGGCAGTGTTGGTCGTAGCCGCTTTGATCAGAGGTGCCTTCCACTACCGTATCACCAATACCACTATTTTCATTTCTCCATCATCACCAACAAGATCGTGATCGATAGACCAACCAGACTCTTACGCGAACCCCTGTAACCGCTTGTGTCAATGCATCACCGACTTTCTGAACTGCCCGGTCTCTCCCATCCCCTGCCAGTTGAGCTTTGTTCAATGTGAATGCAGAACCTTGTGATGCAAGTCAGACGTTACCAAAAGGACGACTAATTATCGTGACAAGCAGATCACTACCAACAAGAATCCTCACAGAGGCGAAAGTCTCTTTCTCCCTCAGTTTGTGACGACTTACAAGATCGATGATTCTATTTCTGGCTCACCCATACACTACATTACCCACCCTCATCTCGGTTCAAAAACTAACGGTTGGGCCAAGACATGGAAGTGTCAGGTCCTAAACCTCCGGACCCTGAACCAGAGTCTGAGCCTTAAAAGCTAAGCTTAGCTGCGGGGGCGAGTCAGCCCTGAAGGCTTACGGAGTGGTATGGACGAGCTTCCATTCTATGAGCCGACATGCCCACTTACAACTTGAGGCATGGGTTATTACCCTCCTTGTAAGCTGTAAGCGCAGCCTTTCCCATCGACTAATTACCCCAAGCGTCCCTGACTATATCTCGATTGCTTGATTTCTGATTCTCTTTGATTATGATTTCTGATTCAGTTAAGATGGTTCCGCAGCCTTGATCATCTGCTTTATTGACTAATAGCATCTTCCTACTTTCCTTCAGCCATAATCAACTTCCAAAATATCTACGAACGAGGACATGAGGGGCGGCTATTGCTAACCCTGGCATTGCTGACTACTTCACCAACCTCACAATGGAGCCGCTTCGGAGCGTATCACGACAAGACTCTGAAAAGTCTGAGGCCCGTCGAGAAATAAATCGATCTAACTCTGCCGTTCAACATGTCACCGATACCATGATTGCCGTCACCGAATCTTTTCGCCATCATTATCAACAACAATATGGTGGTTACTCTCCAGCAGCACCGGCTCCCACTTACACAAACCTCAATTTTCACTGTCAGCCTGGAGATTACTCTCACTCTCGTTCCAATTCTCAGTTATACTCGCATTCTCATGCCCGAAGTCCTTCAAGCGTCAGCGAAATATCCCAGAATGTGAATTTGCTGGACATGGACGTAGTGAGCCAGATGAGTGTATCAGAGATGACTGTTTCACCCGTTTCACCTTGTCGAAGCAACTATATGCCCATATCACTTATGCCAGGACGACCTCCAAATGTCGAGACAGATTCTCTCCTTGATGGAGACATGGAATCGGAAATGACTGAGACTTCGGCACAAGTCCCAGAAGACTTGATTCGACTGGCAACACCAAACCTACCACCGCGATTAGATACACCTCATACACCACCTCCACGATTCAGCGTTCCAGTAAACCTGGCCGAGCCTCGCCCAAATGAAACTCCTGCTTATACTACAGGTCCAACGCCATCGGACTTCTCGGTCAACCATGGCGGACTTGTCCAAGCTGCCAGACGCTTCGAAGCCTTCCGAGCAACAACACAGCATCACCAATACATGGCTCTGAGGCCCGACATGGGCACACGATCTCTCCCACTAGGCACGGTCACCCACATTCGTGCGGGATCCGACCCAGATCCTTCTTCACCCGCAAGTCAGGGTTTGCGAAGGAAGCCCCTGAACGAGGGAGCCAGGATGATCGAGTTCAACCATGCGACCAACGAAAGCCTTTTTGTTGCTGTCATATGTATGGCACAGGTTTTGACATATGCCAGTCTTGCACAGACACTGACATCTGCACGACGAATTGGAGAGTCATTCTTCGAACCAGAGCGTACAACACACCTTGCTTGGTTCACATCAGCGTATGCACTGAGTTATGGTGCGGCCACTCTTTTTGGCAACCGGATCGGGAACGTCTGTGGTCAAAGATATACCTTCATCGCTGGATATGTTTGGTTCGCCCTTTGGAGTCTCCTTGCTGGTCTCAGTGTGTATGTACAGACGAGTGAAAATGGAGGAGGCGTCTTCTTCTGCTTCTGTCGAGCTATGCAAGGCATCGGCCCTGCACTCATCATTCCAAATGGACACGGAATGCTGGTGAGGGCTTATCCTCCTGGGCCTCGCAAGATGCTTGTGATGGGATTCTTCGATGCCTCTGTCCCTTTCGGCTTTGTCATTGGATCGGTCATGACAGGCCTGTTCGCTAATTACGCCTCGTGGCCATGGGCCTTTTACTGCTTGGCCGCGGTATGTACAGTCCTAGGTATTTCAAGCGTGCTTGTCATCCCAGCAAAGAGAATCTTGGTCTACAATTTCGAAGGCAACCTGTGGAAGCGGCTTGATGTATTGGGTTTCGTATTTGGAATCGCTGCCTTGATCTTGTTCAGCGTTGGCTGGAACCAGGCGCCTATTGTGGGATGGGATACTCCCCAGACGTACATCCTGATCATTGCAGGCATCATACTTGTACCACTATTCACTTTCTTCGAATCACACGCCAGTCACCCGTTGGTGCCATTTAAGCAGATTCACCTGGCTGCTGGTATCACTCTTGGCTTCGTGACAGCTGCATCAGCAGCATTTGGAGTCTGGGTATGGTATTTCGTCCAATTTATCGAAGTTGTCAGAGGTTGGGGTCCCCTTCTTACGAGTGCTGCTCTTGTGCCAGTACTAGTGGTTGGTATTATCATCGCCTTTGGATGTTGGCCCTTCGCAAACCGTGATTTTACAGCACAGTTGAGCATGGTGGTCTCGTCCATCGCCATCCTGATTAGTTCGGCTCTCCTGGCGACAGCTCCAACTCAACAAGCATATTGGGCCAACTCATTTGTCAGCGCCATCTTCATGGGAGTTGGCATGGTGTTGATTGTTCCCGCTTCCTCGACTGTGCTCGGACGAGATGTGCCAGAGGGACAACTGGGGCTCGCAAACAGCATCACCAATACAGCAGCAGCTTTCGCCTTTTCGGTAGGGCTGGGCATGGCGGGAGCTGTGGAAATGGGGAAAAGTAGTGACAAGGACCCCTTGAGAGGATATCGAGATGCGCAATACTTTGGCCTAGGACTGGGAGGGCTGGCCTTTACTTTGGCCCTTGGCCTGTTGTGCGCGGCGTTACTCAGACGCCGAGGGGAGTGATTTCGATTGTTTGCATGGCGTTCCAGGAGCTAAGAGGCTTTGAGCCTCGTATATACCCCGTGAGCGTGGACAGGAGATTTACATAATTTTCTTCTTTTTTTTTTGTTTTGAAAATGTACACATGTCACAATAAGCACATGAGTTAAGTTTAAAAGGTTGCCCGTTCTTTTCGGTTTCTCTCTTGTCTTCTTCGTTGAATCCTCTTGTGTCTGTACATACAAACTCCAATCCGATGCCGTATCATACGAGCATGGCAATCGCAGGATTTGGGATATAGAGCCATGTGGGAAAGCCAAACCAAGCAAAGCACTTTGGAAAATCAGATACCGTCCAACGCCAGAGAAATACATGTCAATCCCTTCTTTCTTCTTTCTTTCCCTCCTCCTAGATTTCATGGTTTTCGATCCCCATTTCCTTCAAGGAGCTCTCGTGGGTCGCGTAGTGCTACAGCAGCAGTTCAAGGCGTCGACTTAGTCCTCCCTAGTAACAGAAGTGATCCGCAGTCGTCATCGTGGTAAGGAGATTATCGGCCACCGCGGCTGAAGCCACCACGTCCGCGACCACCACCGAAGCCGCTTCCACCTCGTGAGAAACCACCGCTGCCGCCACGGCCACCTCCACGGCCACCGAAACCACCACGAGCACCACCTCGAGGACCTCCACGGCCGCCGCCGAAACCGCCACGGCCACCGCCTCGGGCACCAAAGCCGCCGCGTCCACCGCGGGCACCACCGCGACCACCACCGGCGCGCTTGGGCTTGGGAGCTCCAGGCGGGGGCTTAGGCTTGGGGAGGAACTTGTCGAGGGGCAGAAGCTTCTCTGAACCGATGTAGAACTTGTCGCCCTCCTTGAAAGAGGTGGCCTGGATACCCTCTGTGGGCTTGATGGTGAAGAAGACCTGGTTGATGGGGCCGAGGACCTCGTCGACCTTTCCGACGGCAGTCTTGTTCTCGAGGAAGATCTGGGCGTTGAAGTGAGGGACCTTGGGGTTGATGGACTCGCAGACCATCTCGCCCTCGCAAGCGTGCATGAACTTGCCCATTTCTGAGAGTGTTAGTTATGGGATACCGGACAGGACATGATGATATGCATACCGAGGATCTGAGCAGGAGGGCCCATGTCTCGCTGTTGGAAGCCACCGCGGCCTAGAAACAGTTCGTTAGTAGTTGATCTTGAATCCATGCAAAACACTGCTATTAGAGCTAATCACTCCCAGATCCCAGCCTCAATTCGCATGATTTCGACATCTCTTGCATCGCAAAGAGCCAATTCCCCCAAAATCAACCACGCAACGAAGAAATAAAGACCTACCACCGCCACGGCCTCCAAATCCACTACCGCCGCGTCCTCGCGAACCTCCACGGAAAGACATGATTATCGAGTTTGCGCTGTCGCCAATTGATATAAATCTGAGAGATGAGGATTTCGCGATTCGACCACTCGTTCGATTCTGTTTCGGTTGATGCCCGTAGCTGGGGTTTTGGTCGTTCGTTCGGGCCTTGGAATCGTTTCCGCGTAGGTCGAATGCTGAACTTTTTTTTTGCCGTGTGAAATTTTGCAAAGAGAGTGTCCACCGAAGGTCTGGCGGGAGCTAGCTTGGAGCGGCCCGATTGGTTGATGCACGATGGAGCGGAAAAACTATCCTACCGATATCATGTACCAACCTCAGATAAGGATGAAAGTCGGGTGACATAATTGATAGAACAAGCTTGGAGACTCTGGAGCCTGTGAATGAACATCTATTCTGGCCAGCGATTTGTGGTCTCGTCAACTTCAAGTCACAGCAAACTCATGATACGCGCTGAACTTTTCAATCAATTGAAACAGACTAAGATATCTTATCACATCGATCCAAGTAAATATTTTGCAAAACCAAACCAAAGCCAAACGAGGGATATCCCATTTCAAACCGTACCATAACCGGCCCGTCAACACATTCGACCAACGCCTCCCGTCAGCCAACGCTGATAGTCCTCTTACCAACGCTATACCATCCTCCGAAACCATTTCTCTTCATCAGAACAAAATAGAACTAACAATAAGGAAACCGAAAAAAGGGCCCACGAAGGGGGAAAAACTCGAATACTGATGCTCCATCCTATGCTTGAGTGCTCTTGGGATAACCGCCAGGAATATGCAGGTTCGAGATGGTGTTATGGCTCTCAGTCCGGTTGTTACCGGATGGTCGGACTGGGACAGGCTTCTCATCTTCATCGTCTGTCTGGAGCAGAACGGAGTCACGTTCTGTATAGACTGATTCGCCTCCTCGAGTTGATGGTCGTCGCTCTTCAGTTGCGCCGCCGTCAAGTCTAGGAAAGCCCTCTCCCACAGTTGTCATTGTGTAACTGTTGCCCTTGGCATTGCCATTGGCATAGTTGTGATTGGGTTGATTGTCATATGACGCCTGAGGATATGAAGGCTGCTCATAGTTCGATGTCTCATGGCCAGCTCCACTGATTGTATATCCACCGTATGGCTCATCTCGTGGCTCCATAGTATGATTGTTAGGCTGCTCATCAAAGTGGCGTTGTTCACTATTGGCGAAATTGCCATCGCGCTTATCCTTACCCTGGGGGATCACAACAGGAACAAAGGTTTGGTCATGGTGTTGATCGACGTAGTCTGACAGCTGTACAGGCTGCTGCGATTCATACTGTGACTGGTATTGCTGCTGCTGTTGGTGGAGGGGGGCCGGCTCAACGGGAGTCTGGTTGACTGGCTCGCTCGTGTAAGGGTTAACACCGTCGTAATGGGCCTTTTGGCTTGCGATTGCAGCATGCGAGGGCATCTCATCCATGGGCGTCTGATGAACAGTCCCATAGCCCGGATGGTCATCCCTGCTCTGCTCCGATTCTCCAGCGGCCGGACCAGAAAGGGCACCCGTGACAATCAGTGGTACAGCGGGGTCCCTGTTGTCCTGGAAGCCAGAGCTTACACTAGAAGGCGAATGAGGGGCCTGTAAGCCACGTTGCGCATTGACTTGGATATCAGATGGGAACCGCCCACCTGCTTGAGATCGCCGGGGAGTCGCCTCATGTTGTCTTGGTCCCGGATTGGTAAATGATTCAGTATCGGCCGTGAAGGGCTCCTCGTCCTCCTCGTCGACTAGTCCATCGCTACTAACTGATCGTCGGGATGATCGGCTAAGGCTTCTTGAATGGCTTCGAACGAACTGACTTCGCTCCTCGGCAGTCTTCTCGGTGAGAGCCTTGATATCCTCGTACCAAGCCATCATAGTGTCATGACTTTCGGCACGGAAGACCCAAGTGTGTCCGCGGTGCATGCCGCCCGTTTGGCGACCCTTGAGGATGAACTTGTTCGAAGAGCCTCCTTCGTTGGAGTGGGATCCTACTTTCTGTTCTGGAAGATAAAGAGACATGATAGGGGCTTGCGCCTTGTCCGCTGACTTGAATTCGTGGAGATGCGTAGCGGAAAGTACATACCTAGCAACTTGGTTAACTTCTCTGATCACGACGTTTTGCCAACGAACGCTTACCAGCCGGCTGTGTAGCTCTTCAAGTATTTGCTCTTGCGCTCCAACAATCCGGCTCGAATCTCCTGGGCTGCCTCATGGTCCTGTCCGGGATAATGAATCTGGTCTGGGGTCCTGAGCGGAATGCTTGGGTCAACGAACTTGTCGTTGTGAGTCACAAAATGCATCCATTCATGGTCCTTGGGCATGGCAATAGGGCCATCTCGAAGCTCGCCAATGACGTTATAGGAATTGTCAGCCTCCCGCTTAAGAATGCCAGCATAAGCGTTGTAGGCTTTCTGAATCTCTCCAACAACAATCGCTTCCAGCTCTCGTCCGGAATTCTCCAGATTGAGATAAGCTTGGTGGAGGTAGTTCTCCTCGTCCAACTGACGCTCAACTTGACGGTCGACGGCTAGGCGCAGCAGGTATGGATCTTGCTTGCCAGTGGTTGAAGATTCATCCAACTCATTTCTGCCAAGAATATCGCTGAGCGTCTTGACAGCTTTGCGAGTGTGGTCCATCTCCTTCTCGACCGAGTTCTTGAAGTCGCCTGAAAGGTTCTTGATCTCCTTAATCTTCTGTTGGAGGTCGCTCCTCAATCCAGTGAGTGCAAGAATAACATCCTCTTCAATTTCTTTGGCCTTGTTGGCCTCGAGGATAGCATTCTTGTTGTAAATTCGTAGAAATTGGAGCGCATCATCGATTCCAGCTGACTGAAGGAAACCAGGTGGGGTAGTGATATTGTTAGCCACATTGGCGAGTTTGAGGAGCGACTTGGAGCGTTGTTCGTAATGATTTTGAATTTCGCGGAAGTAAGCGATGAGATCCTTGAGCACCTTTCTCCAGTTCTGGAATCGGTTCGAGAGTGTCTCGGTAGGGTTGCCCGATGTAGGGACTGGGCAATAGAAAGCACTATGCGCCTCATCATGGTCTGATGAGGATTGTAAGGCAAGACTCTTAACGCTGCCAGCTCTCATAGAACGACGGCTACTACTACGCTTGAGACTCCCATTTCGGCGGACGGAGCTCTTCTTCTTGAGGGTGTTCTGGCGAGCCGGGAGCTGCTGGTCATCGCCAGTCACGAAGCTATGTACCGAATTGCTGCGCTGCATGTTTGCGCTGGGCGAAGGATAATCAAGGAGGACTGAAGGCCCGCGCGGTGCTGCACCCCATTCCTCGGTGAAACGACCTCCTTGTTGCGACAGCGGTTGCGGTGCGTGAATCGAATTTGACGGATTGTAGATATCGTCGTATTGAGAATGTGATTGTGCGTGTGCGTTGACGGCGGTATTAGTAGCAGTTGCACGCTGGTGGGAAGCTGAGGATGATTCTGGAGAAGAATCGTGACCGTACGAGTATGGATAAGACGCCTGTTGAGGAAATGACGAAGGTTGAGATTGATGAGAGTGAGAGGGAGGTAGATCCATGGCGGAGGTGGCGTTGTTATTTCTCCTACAGTACTACGCAAGTCGAGTACCGTAGTTTAACAACCTGAGCTAGAGCAAGCAAGGACCAACGGAGAGAAACAGAAACCACGGAATGGACCACGAGGAGATGGGGGACGGACCCGAGACGGAAGGGGAGAAGAGCCTGGAACCTAGAGCCTAGAAAGTCAGTAACGGCACTGAGTGGAGGGGTTCCAGTCGGGTTGGCCTGGACTGGATTGAACCGGTTGCTGGGCGAGCTTGTGCAGGCAGCCCGAGCAAAACCAAAAAAAATCAGGGTGTAGAGCTCGCGGGATGATGGTGTTGACGCAATGGGCGCACAACCTCACTGCTGGCAGATTGCCGCTAGCACTAGATTGGAGGCCTTTTGAGGTTCAAAGCGTGAGACTAGCGTCTCCTTTGCACGTCGCAGTGGAGGAACTTTCTGAGACAATGATGATGGTGAATCGACGACGTGCGTACCTTGGCTCTGTTGCTTCTTCTGTTTGGAGGAGCTTGGGCGGAAACTGTGGAGTAGAGGATTGAGAATCAGCGGGTAATAGAAATAGACTGAAGATCAAAGGTGATCTATATGTTCCACAATGGAGGAGCTTTCCAGTCCGTTGTTGCAGGTGACGGTGAAGCAAAGAGCGAAGGAGACCTAGATACTTACTGTCAAGCCTCGGTCTGAGTGAGAGCTTGTACCTAAGGAAAAGAGTGAGCGTAGTCGGAATCAACTGAGTCAACAAGCGCCAAAGATAGGCCTAGAGCACGGTCAAGTCTTTGAGGCGCCAGATGTAGATTGTGTTAGTGATACTGGCCGTGATGTTTGTTATTATGAATGGATGATGCAGTTGATGGGCTTGGAGAAGGGGGGCATTGAGTTCCATCTGGTCGCACGCCAAGAGAGCTCATGGCACTTACACCGAATGGGCTTATTTGCGGTACTTGCAGATACTTTAGCGACATGAACTGGTCTCACTAATCTCCCCCTAACTATCTCTAGTGCCTGTCCCAGCTCTAGCTTCTGCAAGTATTCGCAAGTATCTCGATCCCAAAGAATACCCCAGCTCAGCTGCTTGCAGCCAATTTTCCAACTCACCCTTCCCCACCAAATGACGTAAACGGACGCCACCAGAAGGGTCCATCCCTTTTGATCTTGGTTTTGGGGGATGGTGATGCCCTCACACTAACCAGAACCGCAACCCAACGCAACGACGATCGTCATTACCCCCAGGCTGTGCCCAATCTCACATGCGGCCAATCCCTTTCAATCGCAAGACTTGTCGTCCTCACGGCTGTATCCACTTCACCACTGAAGCTGAGATCTGCTCGGCATCGCCGTCTCCCGGATCTGCAACTTGCTGTCTCGGTGTTTCGTAGATATTCGAACTAGGAAGGACTTTGCAATCTTCTCCGCATGGAGATTGTGGATCTTGACAAAATCGTCTCAAAACTCCATGAAATCTGAGTTAATCTTGATTTGCACAAGCCGCATCCCGGCTCGGCACTGTAAAGTGACTGCCGATGACATCCAGCCTGAGGGATATTAACAAGAGGCATCCGAGGACGGCTTAGACAGCTTCAGCTCATCGTTCCTCAATCACAGCTTTCAAGACATTGCCAAGTTGCACAATTCACTCAATGATGCCACCATCACATGCCATTGTCAGACATAATCATCATTCTCTTCACTATTACTAAAGCTGCAATGCTCTTAATACACAGTAGCACGTAAAAAGAGACTTGCCGCGGTTTACTTACAATCTCCCCAAAGCCATTACCAAGACCAATGCCCAGATCCCCCAAAAACGCCATGCCTTATGCTTTGTGTCCAGCCAAGTGCAGTAGAAAGCTCCACAAACGCCATCTTCAAACCGAGAGTCTCCCCTAGCGCACAGTGATGGTTATCGACCGGTGCCCACCGCCCAGCGGGATGTTACTGTTTTAAAGTTCATGTCCTGGAGAATAAAAGTTGCCCACTAGTATCACGCTTCCTGCTCCGGGACCGTTTCCTGAACTGGGTCAGCAGGAGGCTTCTCAACCGTCTTCATCCGTCCCCATCGTCGCGGCGGCGGCGCCTTAGGGGGTGTCTTCTTCGGTCCCCCGTTGACAAACTTCTGTGCAAATGGCACTCCATGGCGGTGTTTTGGTACCTCTGGCAAAGGCTTCTTGGGTCGAGTAGCCATTGTGACGTTGCCATCATCTGTAGCGACGTCGCCTCCATCGCCTGATCGACTCGGTGTCTGCACTCCCGGCTTCTCCTTAACTGCCGCGACGTCGCTTACACTGATACTACTCGCGGTTTGGGAGCGTGATAGACTAATACCGAGGAATCTGCGGGCGACTTCAGCCTCACCGGATCCTACCGTGGGGGACTGCGCTTCTTCTATCCACTTGACCTTTGATACACGGTCGACCAGACGAAGGGTTGTGTCGTCTGCTGGTGCAAAGTGAACATTGTGCGAGCCTCGGAGAATGCTCAGCACACGCAGAATCTCATCCTGCTTATAGTGAGGCGGCTGGCTGAGTTGCGTATGTGCCAATAACGGGTAAAGAACTCGTAGGTATGTGTGTCTCAAGGACATTTTTTCATCCGGCAAATCCATCAAATTTCGAATAATGACGTCCAAAAGTACTCGTAAGTCATTTGTATAGAAATATTCGTATGTTGCCTTGTTCGTGAATAGCAAATACAGAAGCTTCAAAATGAGGAGCTGTAGTGATGTTTCAGTTTCTCGATTCAGGAGCAAAATGATGTTTTCGCCAAACGTTCGGAACGAGGCCCCGTGAAGACTCAAGCACTTCACAATGCGGTTCGTCAGAGGCGAATTGGGCGAAGCAGAATCGCCGACTTCTGTCGACGCAAGCATGTACTGTTCATTCAAGACAAGCTGCGTCTATGTAAGCAATGGCAGCTAGGATGGGATGGAAGCTGCTTACCAAAACTCGAATGGTAGGATAATGATAAGGATCATGCGCATCGTCAGACAACTCCTCAATCAATGCGAAAAGATAATGGACGAATTCATCGTCCACCATAGTCAAGTCGTCGACTCGAAGTCGTTCCATACGCGACATCTCGTACATAAGCTGCAGAAGAAGGCGATGCAGACCAGGGTCCTGATCTCGGCGGCCATTGATCAGCTCCAAAAGTCGGGGGAAGCAAGCCTCGTTCACCATGCGAGGGAACATGGTCTCATCCTGGCACCCGTCGAGGAGAAGAAGAGAAACAATAGCGTGCAAAGGCCCAGCCTCATCTTCTTGAAGCAAGCTGTAGATAATCTGGGTGCGAACATAGTCTTTGTTGGCCTGGAATAGATCGCTGGCGAGAAGCATCCGCGTGCAAGTAACGACTTCTTCCTGAGATTCGTAGAGATGGTCGCGGAGGCGTGTCGTTAAATCTATCCATGTGCGCAGGGCATCGTCGATCGTTTCGTGGGAATCGCATTTGCTTGAAACGCACTTATCAAGTTCTACAAAAGATCAATCATGTCAGCCATTCCGTGTCCTTTTTTTATTGTAGCAACCCTTGTAACAAAACTCACCACTCCATAGCTGTTCCTCGTCCTCCTCATGAGAGTAAGAAGCTTCTTCGAAATCTGCCATGATCCTCGTTTCCGTAAGGGTACAGGGACCAAGGCATCGAGTCCTGCTGAGACTGGATATGCGTGATACGAAGCTGGTCGGGGATGTTGCGCTGGGTAGATACGACGAGACGACGGGCCAATTGACAATGGCTTCCAAGGATAGACGCGAGCGCAGTGGTCATCTCCTGGAGGTGACGAGACCAGAACCTGAGATGAAGCAAAAAATATCAAAGCCGAAGCCAAAGTTTGTGCTGTGGTTGTGTTTCGAGAATTCAGGTGGCGGGGTCGAGAACTCAGTTGTTGCTATAAGCCCGTTTAGCTGTACCGTGACCTCATCCAGGCCTGTAGAGCGTTGTCTTGGCGGACCAGACAGCAACAGTAACAACAGAACAGAGTGTGGACTAACTTACATCAACATCTGTTCCCATGTAAACACTGCCTATGAATCCCTGTTACTGTAAACAATTGTGGCTAGCACTGTCATGCCACGATCGCTATTATAGGCACCGCCACAGTCTGATCAGATACCAGCTGGACGGATGATTGAATCACACTCCACCAAAGTTGTTGCCTTGAATGTATAACCAGATACAAGATGTATTCTCTATAATCTTTAAACTCTCGCTATTTTCAGAGTTAATACAAATTAAGCGACCCTCTTTGATGTCCCTATTTGGCATCAGGGTTTGAGGATACCAAGCCAAAGCAAAACATATAAGGTGAATGCTCCCAAACGCCAGACAACAACCCCTGCCAAAAACAGCAGAGTCATTACCAAATACCTCAACACCACCCAGGCCGCAACCAAAAACGCTGTGAGGCACTCAATCTATGACTTCCTCTTTTCCTCCTCGTTCTCTTCGTGGTGATCATCATAAATCTTGACTCTAGATGCATATTCTTTAATATTGCTGACAACATAGTTCGTAATCGTATCACCTTTTCCACCAGCCACCCGCAGTAGCAGCTCGTTCAGGTTGTATCGCCCCAAAATATCGACGTGGTCAGCTGTACGAGGTCCTCCTCGAGGGTTGAAACGTTCTGGCTCGTGGGGCATTTCAACGACTGTGACCTTGACACCTGCTGGATTGTAGCGTTTCATGTTCCAGCCATGATTGCACATGTAACCGGTGCTGAGGAGATTCACAGTCCCGTCGCCCTCACCCATGATAACGCCGTGATCGACGTCTCCTTCGGTAAAGCCCGTATCCATGGTGATGTTGAGATTCGTCATCAGAGGCTGGTCAGGGGACCTGTAATAGTATCCTCGCTCTGTAGGCTTCCCGACGCCATAGAAGCAGTAAATTTTGAGGCTAGGTGCAAGTGGTAGTCGGGTCTCAAGAGGGTTGATCCATTTCTTGGGGTCCAACTCATTGGCTTCGACTTCGGCGATAGTGTGGGCAATGCCACGAGAATAACTGCCCTTGAGCTGATCCTGGTACCAATCCTCAGTCGTATTGAGTAAGTAGGACAAGCCCTCCTCAACAGTGAAGTTACGATCAGGGGTTGTCCAGTTCGACCCGACTCTGAAGTTCAATAAAGATCCGTACGAACGATTCTGACCTGGCAAGTCATCTGGGGCCCATGTCAGATTGCCCCAGACGGCGTTGCCACCAATGGGTAGCATAGATGATATACCGGGCATGCCACGGAAAATTTCAGCCCTTTCTTCCTTGCTCAGAAACTTTTCCAGGCCGTAGATCGCAAAAGGGTTCAACTGAGCTGTATCGCGCATCTCACCAGACAGTACAGCAGTCAAATCTTTGACTGCCCCGAGCATGCATCCGCTAATGTTGATCCAAGCCTCGACATGTCGCTCAACCCAGTCCTGACCACCACGGCCGCCCCTCTCTGATTGCACCCAGTGGAAAAAGTAGAACAAGACCTGGCTGCCCATGCTGTGCGATGCTAAGACAACTTTTCTGTTGTCCACCTCCAGCGCAACTTCAATGTGTGATTTGAGTCGGGTGAAATATCGGTCTCGCACCTCGAGGTTAGGGTAGGACAATCGCCAATCATAAGCAGCTGTGAAGGAGTTTGTCGGGTCGTAGCCAACCGAAGCAAGATTCTCAAAGATCTTGCTCCAAATCCAATAACCTGTGATGAAGAAATCGGTGGCATCGAAGCCCTGGGCAGCTCTTAGTTTCACGTTTGGCGGATCAAGTCCCGTCCTCTTATCGAGCATCACATGCTTCTTCCAGACCTCCTTGTCCATGACCAAGGCTTTCATCATGGTCCAACTTCCCCAAAGTCGCTTCCTGAAGTAAGCCTTTGAGATATTGGCGGTTCCCCAAGACTCGAGTCCAGTCGAAATAACGCCTGGTATCATAATCATGGGATGGTATGCTTCAAGACCTTCAGCTCGTGCTTTGGTTCCGACAGAGAAAGGCTCATATGATTCGGCAAAGTCGCGCTCGCCTTGGATTAGATCGCGTATGTCCTTGACCAATCCAGCTGGCAGAGCATCTAATAGGTTGTCCATGGACAAGTCGGTGAACTCGGGAAGGTCGATAAGATCATTGCTGGAAGCGAAAAACCCGGCGGCGATTATTCCAAACAAACTACCAAGGAAGAAAATGAAGGTATTGCGCCGCTTCCGGGTCTTTGGAACGGCGTGCTCGACAACACGAACGTGCGTTGTCGGGTCGGTCGCTGAACTTTCCTCCCTCGAAGCATCGTCGCTCTCGTTCGTTTTCGTATCTTCATCTTGGCCCTGAACATTTCGGCGCCGCAGATTTTTCGCCATGTTGTCGACCCAAGAACAAGCCTCTGGGAGGCGTCGTCTTGTTTAGTCAGTTGTTTGGGAGGAAAAAGAACCCGACCAAGATAGACTAGGGAAATTGTTGGAGTTTTGAGAAATGTCGCTCGTAGCTATGACGCCCATGGACACCTACTTTAGGTGCGGGTGGGCGCGTGCTCTAAATCTAAAACAAAAAACGGGGTGGTCGCAAAGCCCGAAGTCTAAAGAATCGTATCATCTGTCAGCGGAAGTTGTAGAGTAAATAGATAATGGAAGTTTCATCAAAGCCACGGACCGTGGTAATTATGAAAGAGTTGCGCCATGTTTGGGAGTCGCGTGCATCACATGAAAATTGTCAAGTGTCCAGGGAGGGAGCTCATTCAAAGGACATGCTTGCCGTTCCTGATAGGCAGGAACCTGACGTCAAAGCCAAGATAAGGCTATCTTAAGGTGCCGAGGGGATGAAACGGAAGAGGCCGAAATTACAAAGGGATAAAAGAGTCAAGCGTCTTTCTCTTCGTTAAGGGTTAGGTAGTGAGATCAAACCATTCCATTCCACGAGGGAGGGATATATATCATGCTATGGAGTTTAGAGCTGGCATTATCACATGCTTGAACTCCAAATGATGGAAGAACACAGACCTTTTCTCCATGTCTCTCCCTCTGCCTAGTTCAAATTGACTTTACATAAAGACGCATTTGTCCATCGCTTATATCGGCTTGATCGGACCACTCTGTTAACGATGCAATAGCCAGAGCCATGCAGGACCTTTTTACTCCAATGCCCCCGCCCCCTCCACAAAAACATCAAAAAAGCTCTAAAATAGCGTCCTTGGCTGCTGCTGCAGCAGAGCAGAATCCCTGCCAACGGCCCTGCGTGCCTTGCCCTCGTGGCCATGTGCATCAATTCTTTGGTGCGGTTTACCAAACCTGGCAATTACTGTTGGAGGCGCTGGCTGTGATACCTCCAATGCATTGCATATTTGCCACCTCCAGCCTCAAATCTTGAGATCTTCCCACCCTCTTTCTTGAATTAATGACTCTTGTCCATTGGACCTGAACTGAAGTGCCTCTTCCTTTCTTCCTTGACACCCTGTAGACTATCACCTACCCCTCACACCGATACCGGGTTGAGTCTCCATTTCTGCCTGCCCCTCTTTAGGTGTCAAGTCAAGATCTGGTTTTAAACCTTTAAACGCCCATATCTAAGATCTTACCCAAACATAAACTTCAACACAACTCTACTACCACAGCTCTCAACAGTATAACTGATTGCCCAGAATCAGTCTGGTCTCTTCTATTTACTTTAAACCCCCAAAATCCCATGGCCCCTACCAAAATCGACAACCTTCCTGGCGAATTACGCTACGTACAATACGAACATGCCCTCGAGGCTCAGTATCTACCCGCTATCCGGGCATTGATCTCAAAGGACTTGAGTGAGCCTTATAGCATCTATGTATATCGGTATTTCTTGTGCCAGTGGGCACATCTCTGCTTCATGGTAAGATCAATTCACTCTCGAGTCGATTCTCAGATATCTGACAATAGTCCTCAGGCACTGAACCCAGTCGACTCATCTCTCATCGGTGTTATAGTGTGCAAGCTGGAAGTCCATGCTTCACACTCCAACCCCACTCGAAGAGGCTACATCGCCATGTTGGCCGTTGCTTCCGACTTCCGTGGCCATGGTATTGCAACAACCCTCGTCAAGAAGACCATCGACGCCATGACGAAGCGCAATGCGGACGAAATTGTCCTCGAAACTGAAGAGACCAACGTCGCTGCTATGCGATTGTACGAACAGCTCGGTTTCTTGCGCACTAAAAAGCTACACCGATACTACCTCAACGGCAACAGTGCATATCGACTTGTTCTGCCGCTTAAGTACATCGACCTTGACGCCAGCGCTAATGATCTTGAAATCATCGATGTATAAGCTTTCACGGTTGCATGGGTGTTTATAGCATTTCTACGGGGTTCAGTGATGGGAAGTCATTGGTGGACATGGACGGACTGGGCATAGGTCAGCGACAGCATTTGAGCGTCATGCGGAATTAGCATCTTTTGGAATCACCGGCGTTTAGGATATTGGTTATGAAGGTCATGACGATACGATCCTATTCTTTTTTGCTTCTCTCTATATTATGCACTCGGATTCTTGATTTTGAACCTCCATACACGATGAAATATTCCTTCTTGTTCTGCCTGGCTAGATGAGTCATTTGTTGTGCGTCGTCAGGTCTGGAAGATGTCAGATGACTTATAGATCGACGCTTTCAGACCCCAGGGATTCCCAGAGGATATCCCTATGTACGTATATGCATCTATCGACTTGCGTCAGCCTCACTTTATTGACATCAATACCAACCATGACTCACCTGGCTTATAGTAGATAGGTCTTCCTCGAGCTTCAACCAATCTGAGCTCTCGCAGCTTCTGAAGCACCCTGCCAACGTCGGCCTTGTCTGCGAAATCGGTCGTGTACACGCAAATGAGTCGATCTTTTCGAGAATCCTCATCGGCTGGTCGTGGAGCAACCTTTGCAGCAATGCCAAGCTCGTTTTTGGCAGTCGCTTTCGCGACAATCTCCCACACGTCGTTTACTTCTGCTGGTGTGCAGAATAACATCCACTGTTAAGTGTCAGTCGTGTTTTGGCGAGACATCCTCGATACAAACCTTGCCAGCGCGGACTCTGGCAGCGTGCGCCAGGTGCAGTATATCATCTGAGGCTTTCTTGATTTCTTTTCGAATATCTCGCTCTTGTGTTGCAAGGACCTTGTTGGTTTTCTTCAGTCCGTCCTTGAACTTGGAGAGAAGTTCTAGTCTCTCCAGGCCACCTTCCATGACAAGCGCAGTCTTGCTGCCTTCTTCCTCGGGAGCCTCATCTTCATTACCTTTACTGAGTTGGTTCTGCCCCATAGACTTCTCAACACGGGGGATATACGGATTGCAAATAAAAATCCAAGGCGTATCCTCCGTGATGTCTGTTGTCCTGGGTGGGAGACGTGCGAGGAACTGATCTACGGTCTCGGTAAGCTGCCACGCATAATTTACCCCAGCATAGGGATTGTGAAGATGCGATGTTTCGGCAACGATGCTCTTGTCAGGAATAGGCCTTCCAGGGCTTTGCTGCTGCTCGAGCATCCAGCTCTGAACATCGAAGCGTTGTAAACGGTTGTTAAGGTTCATGACCATATCATCATCCCCTAAAACTGTAAGCTAATGAGGGTTTGATTCAACGGTGGGGCGTACCGTAGAAGTCAGAATCATCGGAATATTCCATGACGTTTGATTTAAGTTGAACGCGAGGAGGATATAGTCAGAACAAAGCAGAGCCTTGTGTTAATCAGCAATGGCGCTGGAACCGTTGGTTTTGTGAGCAGGAGCACAAACTGCGCAACAAGCAGAAATTAAAGGCGAAAGTGTTGTAAATGTAAGAAACAAAATCACCGCCTCAGCCGTCCTATCCGTTAAAGTGCCAAGTTAATAAAGAAACACGCGTGTTGACGTAAGGAGATGAATACCCCAGACGAGACGAGGGGATGGAGTCGCAGAAGCAAGTTCGCGTTGATAGCGCTAGTCCGGCAGTTAAGCTTTGAGGCCTGTAACTTATACCCTGCAACGTAGATTACGCCTCAAGTTGATCATGGAAATAGTCAACCACTGTATGTAAAGCCTCTGGTAGTTAAATATCTGGGTGCTTCGCAGAATTCTTTGGTATTTGAGATGCCAACTGTGAATTTTGGCGATCATCGCACCTCTCAAGTCTCACCCTACAAATGGATAACAACTAAAGAAGCGGACCCCACCATTTGAACTCCGTTTGCTTTCTGTTGATTGCTTGCTTTGGCCTTTGTCAAATCCTGCATATCACTTCAATATCCAATATTACCCATGGATGATTCCAAAATCGTTTCGTCAAAGGTTTCCTTAACCTTGGATCTGCCCCCTAGTTGTATCCAGTTCTGTAATCTGCATCCTAACTTGTTCGTGGTGGGAACTTACAACCTCGAAAGAAATGGTGATGCCCAAAAAGAGACAGACAACAACGATGACACTGATACTGCAACCGCGACTAAGACACCACAAAGCCGCAATGGGAGTTTGCTAGTCTTCAATGTCATTGGTGACGACTTGTAAGTTCATTTTCCTGGGGCCTAATTGGTAGCTGACGCGTATGATCATAGTCATCTAGTTCAGACAGTTTCGCAGCCTTCAGCTATTCTAGACCTCCGATTCCACCCTCAGAAAGGCAGAGAGGATATTATGGCTGTAGTATCTAGCACTGGGACACTGGCTGTGTTCAAGCTTGACCCAAAGGCAAATCCCTCAGCTCCTTTACAGCATATAGCAACAAGCAGATGTGACGATATTCCAGAAGATATCTTGTTCCTGCAATGCAACTGGCATCCTGAGGTCCCAGATCTGATTGGTCTCACAACTTCGACAGGCTCTGCTCGAATACTACATTTGGACGAAGAGTACCGCATCACTCAGAACTACGCTGATCTCAGTATTGCCAATTCCCTCGAGGCCTGGTGCATTGCATTCTCACCCGCAACACCAGAGTCAACTAAGGATAAGGCCCAAGTCGCAGCTTATTGCGGTGGAGATGACTCCATGCTTCGCTACACGTCCTGCATTTGGAATTCAAGTGAGCCTGATTCCCCGTGCGAAGAGCCATATTCGCCCTCAACTATCAAGGGGGCACATGATGCAGGGGTCACAGCAATTCTGCCACTTTTCCCACTCACAAAGAATTCAGGCAGAGTAGTTGTGACAGGCAGCTATGACGACCATCTACGTGTTTTCGTTATACACGACCTGCACGAATCATATGGCATGAAAAAGGTCGAGCTAGTGCTTGAGCAAAACCTAGGAGGAGGTGTCTGGCGACTGGATCTGGTCAAAATACAAGATTCTAAAGGGTCTATAAAAGTGAGGATCCTCGCTTCATGCATGCATGCAGGCGCAAGACTTTTGGATCTGGAGGTCAAGAATGACAAGGACTGGAGTTGTGAGATTCTGGCGAGGTTTGAAGAACACAAGAGCATGAACTATGGAAGTGACTTTATTCGGCATAATGAGCCTTCTGATGTTGTGCGGTGTGTATCGACTAGCTTCTATGATAAGCTGCTCTGTCTCTGGCAGTATGCGCCAGCCAACAAATAGGACTCAGAGTAAGAGTGCACGCAGTTTCATGCCACGAAATTATGTATAGCTCAATCTCATCACTTTTGAAACAGCACCATTTCAGACCAGTCTTACAAAATAAACTCATGGGTTTCTTTGGCTGAGTAGGCGATATTCTGCGACTCAATACACTTATCAGTACAGTCAGTACACTTCTGCCTTGGATAATCATGTTTCAACGGCTCAAATCTCGGGTCAAGAAATGTACGATACTTATAACAGCAACTAAAGCAAATAGACGAAATTGGGTAGTGGCATGATGATCTTGAACCCCTCTATTGGAGTGATGTGAGCTAGAATCAAAGCCTATCGATCTCCTTTCAGCCTTGCAGCATGGTTAATGGCCAGGCCCCTGTCAGACAGGAGGTTAAACCACATAGAAACAAAGGACCCCAACAACGACTGGGGCCAGCTGTAAGTGTCATCATGGACATGCATGAGGAGCTTGATACATTGGACGGTAAGAAATAAGTTGACAGTTGTCCATCGGAGCCACATACTGATGCTCTCTTTGTGATGCTCCAGGGGAGCCTGAACCCAAGACTGTACGGAGGGAACCATTGAGATTTTATGGCTGTATTTTCTTTTTCTGATTCAGCTCTCACTTTATCGCCCTAATAGTTCTTTGTCAGTTCTAAATTCATGCATGAGGTGTGCAAGGTGAATTGTTTCAAATGGGGCTGCCCCGCCACCAATGGCTGGCTGTACTATGTTAGCTGGTCTAGGCTCGCTCACTGATCATTCTCGGCTCTCTTCAGCCTGAGAGCTCTGAATTTTAGCCCAACACTTAACTTCCCTCTCACCACTTTCACTTTGGCTTTCACTCTCACCATCTCCAAAGTAACTTGATACTGTGACCAATCTTTTCTTCTCGGGTTATCTTCTTCTTCACCGCCTTTGTTGGAAAAATAATTTGCTTTGCTTATTTGCATCTAACCATCTCCCCCCAGTCACTTCCGGCTCTTCGCTTGCTTGCTTGCTTCGCTATCTGCTTCATCTTGCTCCCGCCGTCGCAAACGAAACCCTCGAACCGTGAACCCCAAACAGCAGACAACGACGATCCGCCCTTTTCTGCCTCTCTCCATGGCTCTGGCCTAGATATTTCTCCGTGACCAGATCTCCGTTACAAGGCTTGCGTAGAACAAGCGCTTTCGCTCCCGTGCTCTGCTCTGCTCTGCTCTGCTTTTCCGTGAACCCTACATTCGCCAGCCATCCATCGCTCGCGTATTGATCCGCCAGACGAAAGTACCAACATGGCAGCCAACGGGAGCTCAATGCCCTCGGCTGGCGCTGGTGGTGAATCTCAAGTGCTCACCAAAATCCACCAGGCGCTTGAGGTCGTCCATAGCCCGTACTCGTCCAACGATGCCCGTAGGCAAGCCCAGGATTTCCTCGAGGAGGTCAAGGGATTCGACGAAGCCCCTATGCAAGGCTATAACCTCGCCTCCGACAAGGCTCAATCCCCCGTTGTTCGACACTACGCCCTCTCTCTGCTAGAGCATGCGATCCGGTACCGATGGTCAACGTACACCCTAGAACAGACGGATGCCCTGCGACAATGGGTATTAAGCCTTGGCCAAGCCATCGCGAAGGAGGACCCAGCTTATATCAGAAATAAGACCGCCCAGCTCTGGGTTGAGGTCGCCAAGAGATGCTGGGGCGCTGAATGGATGGACATGGACTCTATGCTTTATCAACTATGGGATATTGCCGATTCCCCAGTGCACAAGGAACTCGTAATGTTTGTCCTCGAGAATCTCTCTGATGAAGTCTTCACTGGGGACGACTCAGTTGTCGCCATGCGGGAAGGCGTGTTGAGTAAGGCTTGTGTTGAGATCTTCACTCCAACCGCGGTGTTAGTAGAGGCCTTCCCTAACCGTCAGCCTGGTCCTCCAGTGCGATATGGCGATGATGGTTGGCTAAGCCGTTTGTCCCAGTTTCTGGATTACTGTTTGAACCAGGCACCCAAGGACAACGAGGATGTCAAGATGTGCATACACAAGGGCCTATCTGTGTTCTTATCACTCATGCCTTGGGCAATCCCAAAGGCTATATCCTCGGCTCGCTGCGTTGAAGTTATGTGTGCTGGGCTAGCTTCGTCACAAGTCACCATTCAAAAGGTAGCTTATTTCGAATAGTCAACGAATGACTTGCGCTGACCAAAACATAGGCTGCATTAGAAGGTCTCCATGCTCTGTATTGCAGAACTAACTTCAACGACGAGGAATTTCGGGATCTGGTTGGCCCCATGTTCAGAATCGGGTCAATACAACTATGCAAGCAACTTTTCGAGTGGTCTGCAGTTGACCCTGAGGACGTTGACGAAGACAAATACCAGACACTGAAGAAGCTATCAGAGGTATCTCGAATGGCGCATAGTTTCAGAGCCATACTAACTTGTTGCGCAGATGTTGTCTTGCCTCGGGGACTACTTTGACAGGAAGTTTGCAAAATTGCCTGCTGACACCGCCAAGGAAGACTTCCTGGCGCTCCTAGTACAAGTTGTGCAGCATCAGAGCCTGATGGTCTCTATTCCTGTACTTGTCACATGGACGCGGCTCCTCAGTAACCGCTTGATTGGCCCAACCGAGCTTGTTTCTGCCTTCATCCCACCCCTGCTGGAGACATGCAGTTCGAGATTGGTTCGATTCGAGAATCTCCCAGAGGATACTCAAGACGCGACATTACTCTACCTCATGGAGGATACAGATACGGTCCCTGAACGACACGCTTTCTTGGGCAACTATCGCCGATATAGCTCTCAGATCATTGAGGCTGTTGTCCAGTTGAAGTTAGTTGACGCGATTCAACACATTCTCGGCCGCACAGAAGATCTTTTACAGCATCTATATGACGGCCAGCCTCCCTTAGACAAGCAAAACTATTTCAAGCACTCCATGCCGGTCCTGCGCGTCGATGCTCAATTCACAGTCATTGAGGCCACATTAAAGGGTTACTCCAAATGGCGCAAGCACCGGCCCCAAGAGCATCAACAACAGGGACCAGAAATTGAAGCTAATTTGGAGTCATGGTGCAACAAGCTGCTCGAAATGAGCTTTGAGGATCCCATGATTCGGAAGCGAACCCTTCAGCTGCTTGTCTACTTCTCTACTACCGCGCTCAATAAGAACGCTACATTCATGTTGAAGGTGTTGGAACATATTTTAATGACCTGGCCAGCTCTCCAGCCAGAATACCGTGCTTTCAACGACGCTATTAAAGACCTGCAGGGTGAAAGTATGATTGAGTTGCAGCGATTGGCGTCAGAGATGCCAGATCATCTGCTGGTAAGTTGATTTGAACTTTGGTCTTGAGGCCCGATCTAATTACTTCGCAGGGTGTGTATGACCAAATAGAGAGCAAAGTCAACGAAATGATGTCGTCTGGATCGCTTGATGAGAAGCGCTCCATTGCCTACAAAAGCTTTCTCTTCATCATTATGTCAGTATACGAATGACGATACACAGCAATAGCTCGCTAACCACTTCACAGACACCGAGCCACCAGTGTGGATGCTCTGGCCAAGATTCAGAAGCTGCGTGAATTTATCGATCCTGTAAAGGCCCAATGGCAGACCGAGACCGTGCGCAACTCTCTGGAGTCGTACGCTAGGTTCTGTGAGTTATTGGGACTAGACAAGGCTCAAAACTACATGGCCAACCGCCGAGCACATGAGATCGCGGATTGGGGCTCGCAGGAACTCGACGCTGAAGGACTTGCTCTTCAGAACGAGCTCGAGGAACGACTTAAGCTTCTTCCGCTTCGTTCGACCAAGAGCTTTCTGGCCTTCTCAGTTGAGAGACTTGATAAGTCGTCAGATGCTTTCAAGGCTTCGTACGCTCTCTGGCAAGACGGATTCCCAGAAATCTTGGCCGATCTGCTCAAGTTCCTGACTTATGCGCATGCGTCGCACAAACCTGACAATTGGGTCGGACTACCAGGCGAAGCATTGTCGACTGTTCACCGAATTCTAAGCGATCGGTTTTGGCAAGCCGGGATTTCCGAGGGCAGCAAAGACGATTTCTATGCTCGCGTCATGGACAAGAAGAACACGATGGAAGGTCTCGCCTCAACTATCCGGGGATCGGTTCGATTTGTTCGCGAAACTGCCTATGCTATCATTTATTGCATGAGTCGCTTGGAACGGCAGTTTTACGGGTTCGAGGGACTCTCTGCGCCTCTCTCCAAGGCCCTATTCTCAGACTCAGTTTGGTTGTCTACACATCAGCAGAGTAATTTGCTGAATCTGGTTAGATATCTTGTTGATGATTGCCCTGTTGACTGCCGAGAGCATTTTCTTCCGCAGCTGCTGGCGGCATGCTTCCAACAGATGGATGCCAAGATTAACGGGGAATGGGAAAAGATGCAGCGCCAGCAGGAGGTGGCTGCAGATGGCGAGGCTGGTCTCAAGGAAGAGATGAAAGCGGAGAGTATTCTTCGACAAGTGACCTACACGGCGGTATTGATGGTGGCCGACTTCCTCGATCCCACCAAACCTAGTAAGTTCCAGGAGGTTCCGGGTTTGTCAAGAGCAAATGAACTAACAGTCTCCCTAGATGGGCCGATTCAGAATGGAGACAGCAGTTCGGGAGTTGATCAAGAGAAGGACTACCCTAGCCTTAGGAGGTTCTGTCTCACCCATCAGGAGGTTGTAGAGCCTTTGCTTGTCTTCTGCACCCACGGTATTCGAGTGCGTGACAGCAGGTGCTGTACCATGATTCTGCGATTGTTCATATCGTTGGTTCCCGAGTTTCATCTTGTGGATGGCCAGTTGCCCAAGTCTGTGCTACAAAGCCCAATGGAAGCACATCTTGCGACAGATAGGTTTCCTATTCCGCCAGCAATATCTTCGGCTATTCGGGAATATATCTCGCTCGATGTGCTAAAAGCCTGCATCACATCGTTTCATGAGCCTTACTTTGTGGAACTACAGAAGGACTTGGCCGCGCTGATTGCAACAATTGTTGTCTACTATAGCCCCATCACGTCGTCACCTAGGGACGTACTTCTCTCACTACCCAATGTGAACATGGCGGATCTGGACCGGCTGTCGACGTACATGGCCAAGCCTGGTGCGCATACTCGCCAGCAGCGAGCTCTGGTTTTGGATCTGCTCAAGGATCTCAAGGGTGTAAGTGTGTCCGAGATGGGTAAACTCCCCAAGAGCAGTGGATTTGGTGGTTCCAGTCGCAAGAGAACGAACCGAAGCAAGATGGCGCAGCAATTCATGAGCGACCAGCAGTCAGGACAGGATTCGACGCGATCAGGTATGAATGTGGCTCGTCGGGCTACACCAGATGCACTGGAGGGCGTCTCGAATCTATTTGAGGGTTAGAGATTCCATGAGGGAGAGACCATTGCCTCAGAGGCAGCAATACCTTTAGAAATCAACCTTATATCATGAGAGCGGATAGTACCAGAGTTAGACCCGCTAGCGAAAAAGAAAAATGGGTGGAAGTTGCAAGTCCAGGCCAAGGGCCCTCATCGTCGAGTCTCTGGGCGGTATAATAGAGATGGGCGGTCAAGGGGGACAATAGACAGGGCCGGACTGAGGAATTGGAATGAATCATCAGGAGTATTAGAGCGAGCATGGGTCAGGCTAGGATGAGAATTGACATGTTTTACTTGAAGTAATTTGACTTGCATATTGAGGTTGACGCATAATCATGCCATGTTCCATTGGCTCCGTCTGCAACTTATGAGGCCGGCTGCATATAATGCGCAATGGCATTGCATATACAGCCACAATCAGCAATAATCAGTCCATTGCGAAACATTTCTTATAGCTCAGCGATGAATCCGGAAACCGGTGAGTACTATAGAGGGCTCGTAGTGTCAGGGCCGGCCCGGGACTTGAAAGCCAGCCCGGCACATGTTTCCCCCTTTCAAACAAGAGACCGACTTTTGTATGACGTCGGCTGTTTTCTGGAGAGATAAACTTCAATGGGGGTTCACCGGGGAAAGCATCCGATAAAGCTGCAAGGTCAATCACACGTTAGATTGGAGAAGAGGGTGGCATCCTTGCGTATGAGGCTTGTGGGTTTATAACCGGCGGTGGCAGTGTCTTACTTGGGGGACGTACAGGATCCGGAGATTAATGAGCTGACTTTGAAGTGGCAAAACGAGGAGGAAAAGCTGGTTTGCGTTTTCATCACTTTCACGTGCCTCTCCTCTCTTTAAATGAAGATAGTACTGTTTTGAGGCCGTCGCCGGCGCCGGTTCATTCTCCGGAACCGGGCCGTAGCTTGCGTAGCTTGCGTAGCTTAAGCCGGTGCATTCTTGGACATCAAGTTCCGGCATAAAATCAGGAACTTCCCACGATTTCTCTAGAGATTTCTGCGACTGGATTGATGCTCGTTTTTTCCATTTGGCTCTATCGTAATTGATACCGGTGATTGAGTGAATATGGATACAATAGAGTACCGTCCAACGTCTCCTATCCGGAAGACACAGAGAAGAACGACAAGAGCGTGAGTGTTACTTTCTGTTCTTTCAATCCAAAGATGTGAACTGATTGGTTCTACGTAGATGCGATGATTGTCGCCGACTCAAGGAGAAATGTATCGGCTCCATGCCCTGCGACAGATGCAGATACTTTGGCAGGCCTTGTCAGTTCAGCGATAGGTTCAGAAGAAGCCGAGTTTCTCGTACGGCAGCACAAGCAATCAAAGCATCTGCGGTGGAAGTAACCTCTGAGGATGTCTCTGTGTACTTTGAGGCGGAACGTATCCAGGCGCTAGAGCATATCGTGAGACATTACACAGGGCTCGAAGAGTTCAGCAGGGAGAAGCTTGAGAACGTCATCGCAGATCTTTCGCCTCTACGTAGTGAAGAGGAAGATTTGGTAGATGTGATTGAGGTTGAGAATGATGATGTGAGTTGTGATGGGAGGGATTGCGCGAGTGTAGGTACGGCATCAACCGGTAGGTATTGTTCTGCTTCGAGCGGTGTATAGCCAGAGCTAACTTGGTGTCAGCAAACGTAGAGTTCTCTCATCACGAGTTTTCTCGTCGTGTACAGAAAAAGGTCAAGGATGAGCTGACCGACTTTGAGTTTGAGGTAGGATGTCCCGTCCCACAGGTCAAACAGTGTCTAACAACAACACGTTCAGGACTCGGGAACAGACACAGCAGTCAGCGACAAAGCAAATACTTCTCAGCTTCTATCTCGAGATGCAGCAGTGCTTGAAGCTGTGTCTTTATTCCCACCAGCTCCCTCTGCACTGATCCTCTTGCGAGTATTCTTTGAGATTGCCCAAACAAACTATTTCTATATCGACGAGGAGACACTCCGACAACGCCTCGACCAGTTCTACTCTTGTCCTACACGCGTGGGCAGTGAAGATGCCCCTTGGGTCTCTGTCGCGTTGATGGTCTTTGCACTCGGAACACAATTCTCGCATCTTTGTCAGTCTTCAGTTAGGGGCTCGAATCGACAGCTCATGAGAGATGCCCACGATATCTGTCAGATCATGGATGATACTATTGCATCGACATTTTACCGAAAGGCCACAAACTTGATCTCTGATATTCTAGGTATGGGCTCCATCGAAAGCGTGCAGGCCTTTCTCCTTTTCGGCATATATGTCCTTCCTATTGACCCAGCTGGCTTGTCTTGTACCTATTTCGGAATTGCTATCAAGGTGGCAACACAATTCAATCTTCATCAGAAGACTATCCGAGATTTATCTCCCCGAGAAGTTGAGCTGCGGAAAAGAGTTTGGTGGACTGCTTATGCTCTCGAACGGTATGTTCAGACCCTATACGAGCCCCTTTACAATATCTAACATAGCAAAGCCGAATTTGCATCTTACACGGACGACCTGTCTCTATTTCGAGACTAGATATTGATGCTAATCTACCAATTGATTTGGAAGAACTGCAACCCAAGGAAAGGATCAACACTTTTCAAAATAACATGGCCATGCTCAAGCTAACTATCTTCATGGAGGATGCTCGAGATGGAATGTAAGTGATGTTAACTATTCCTGTTTGAAATTTAGTGACTAATAAGAGATAGTCTGGCTTTAAAGAGCAAAGATAAAGGACAGAAAGTCAAAGCATTTCAAAACATTGTCCAGCTCAAGGAGAGGCTTCGCAGTTACTGGCAAAATCTCTCCGAGGATACCTTTTGTCGAGACCTGACGCCTGGCAAACCACTATTCCGATCTAACATACACCTATTCTTAACGTACAACCTGGTTCATATCCTGATTGGTCGATCGTTTATCCTGGACGAGCTGAATATCAACACCAAGGACACACCGACTGCAGAGTGGACGAAACTAAGAAGCGAACTAGTCAACGACTGTATCAACAGTGCTGTTACTACTATTCATCTCTGTCAGACTTTACACGATGAGAGCAGTCTTTCAAAATCATCTTACACTGAGTTCAGTTCCTGCTGCGCTGCTGTTCTCGCTTTGGTAGCAAAATGTGTCTCTGACAGGAGCAGCAGTTGCAAGGATGCCTGCAAGAAAGGGATGGAATTACTGCGAGAAATATCAACCGGTGTCTTTTCGACAAGCGGTGAAAAACGTACAGTAGAAGGGCTAGAGATTGCTTTCGACAGACTGAACCACGCAAAGAGACGAGACAGTACTGGGAAGCTCGATGAAGATGGATATCTCCAGTTTCGAAATTGGGTTGCCATGCAGCAGATTGTTCCTGGAGAATCTCTGCAGCTGCCTCGACAGGAAAACTCTATGCTGGACGTCTTTGGAGGGCCTTCGCTTACGTATCAATGTTCTGGCATGGCGGGAGGTTACAAGTCTGGTTGCTCTCTGCCTGCGCGTACGGAAGTGATTTCTTTGCCAGATTTGGGAGATTGGTTTGATCATGGGTTTGAGCAGCCGGTGGCTTAATGATACATGACTTACGACTTACGATATTGATTTTCATTTAGTATATACACTACAACTTTACTACATCACATTGTTCAAGGTTCTCTCACGGCAGCAAGGTCATTGCCAGGTAGAAAGACTTGGATTTGATTTAGCTTGGTTGTCGCTAGCTATCCTGGCTTCTGGCTGGACATTAGAGACTGGCTCAGTACACCAGTCTGCTACTACCCCCCTTAGAGTCACATTGATAAGGGTCAATGACTTTTGCTAAATTACCACTTCAATATTTCTGAGTTGAACAGTGCACAGATCAAGTACAAGAAAAGGTTAAGAGTTTAATAATTTTTCACAAATGATCTGTATTACATGGTTTATATCAAGTTTAGACTCATTTACTTGCTAGCAATTTCCTTCTCCAACGCATCAGCCATATCCCCAAGAGTGGCAAACTTCCAATCATATACAGGATCCTCTGTGTTGCCCATACTAGCTCCAGGTCTCTCAATCCAGCTTGATTTGATGCCCATCTGCTTCGCGGGCTGATGATCATGAAACTGGCTCTGCGCAGTCTGCAGCACCTTTTCCTTGGGAATACCAAACTTAGCCTCCACTTCCCGCAACATATACTTGAAGTTGTTCAGGTTAGGTTTGTAACTTCCAACGTCTTGTGCAGTGATAATCAGGTCGAAGGGAATGCCCTGAAGAGGACCTGCATTGCTGCCGGAGAAGGACTCGCGGTCGACATTAGACAGAACAACGAGCTTGTAATGTTTGCCGAGACGACGAAGAGCATCAACAGTATCAGGGAATGCAGGCCATGATCCAATTGAGTCGCCAAAGGCCTTGTTTTGTTCAGATGTGGGCTTAGAGAAGCCGAGACGCTCTGCAACATGAGGGTGGATGGTAGTTAGAAGCTCAGAATACTTCATGTCCGGAGTCTTTTTCTGTTGAGCAACCTCAGCCTCATGGTAGGTCTTCAAGAGATCTTCTCGAGAGATTTCGGCATTGCTGGACTGGAGAAGGGGCTTGAGACCATTCAGAACGCCAGTCTCCCAGTCAATGAGAGTGCCGTAGACGTCGAAGGAGAGGAGGCCAAAGTCTGAGATCTTGCTCATTTTGAAGGTGAAGGGGTTTTCTTGATGATGATGATGATGATGACTGAATGATGCTTGTCTATCGTCTTCAAACGACAGTATTTTACTGGTTATTTATAGGGAGAGTACGCCCTGTAGTTGACTTGGACATTGATGAGATAATACACTCGTTTGCCGGTGCCGGTCTAGGGTGACCGAATTGGGATGCCGGTCGGCACACCGAAAGTGGGGAAGGATGTGCCGGTGAAGCCCGGACTGCTTGACGGGAATATCCGTTTATTCCGGTATTGTCTTGTACAGAAACCGTTAAAGTTGATCTGGATAGATTGAAGCTCTTGGGAGTAGCCCATGACCTGAACTCTTTACTTATGGTTAAGAAGATGTTAACGAGTTACACAAGAAACGCTTGCCGAGATATAATGGCCGGAGTGCATCCAGTATATGCGGTACAGGACCCTAACAATATGCGCATAATACACTGGTAATGGCCTATCGTTATATTCTAAGAGTAAACGAACAGTGGCACTTCTTTGAGCATCACAGGCTTCTGCCTCTCAAGCAGTACGAGGAACATGGTTTATGAGGCCTTCAGCGATGGGACAATTCAGAGCTCGCGCAAATGTGAAGCCCGAAGCGCGAAATACGAGATTGTTCCAAATGAGATGGGAGGCGTGTTTTGTGAAGCTTTGACAAGAAGTTGTCGGTGGAAAACTCAGGCTTCGAGACTTTAGGGCTGAAACGGCAGAAAATCCAGCGATCCGGAGTGCGCATTGAGGCCATCCAAAAGAGATGAGCATCGACCAAATGCAGACGCCTGTTTATGTCTAAGACCGAGGCACCAAGCCTAATTATTACCGCGTGGCCCACCCATCGCAAATGTGAAGGAATGGAGGCTGAATGTGTTGGTTTGAGGTTGATGCAGCCTTACAAGGGAGACCTTGGTAACAGAGATGCCTCGGCTTCTCGCTGCAGAAAACATGTTTTGAGGTGGCTCATCAACTCAGCCAAGTCTAATAACAGCTCTATTATGTCTCAGCTTGAGAAGATGGATCACGAAGGGCTGGATATGTGAAACCTGTAACGGCGATGAGGCGTTGATGACCGAGACATTCCACATGGGTTAACGTTAGCCGCTATTACCAGAAGCGGCAACGAGCCCATCGTTCGATTTGTGGCACTCGAAGCATTGTTATGTTATGTCCGTTTTCTGGAGCTCTCAAGAGTCAGAACTGTCTGTGTGCCAGCCTTACCAACTGTGAAAGTATTTGCTTTTGCGTGGCGTTCTGTACACCAGGGAGATCGATCACTATCTCATCGATGCCACAGATAACCAGGATGTTCCTTGATATTGATGGTACTGAAACGCTTATATATATGTCACAGTTGTATAGGGACCCTAGAGATCATCAAGATTCAAGCGAGGATATCCCACATTGACATTGACAAAAACCCCAAGATCATCAGGATCATCCGATGCGACTGTGCCGCCCGCTTAACAATGACAGGATTGACAGCACGTAAAGCATCCCTGACTACGGGCATCAACGGAAAGGTCCCGTGATCAGGACGTCGGCCGAGTTTAGGTACGCATATCGTCAAGGGTATTCGAATAATCCATCGAATAGCGCGACTGTCACAAATGCCGACCCTCGTCGATCTTGTCTCATTGGATGATGTACTATATCTGACCGTTCTATAGACGATCAGATTGTATCTGCATGATGATCCTGGCAATGGATGTTGGGCCTTGATTCTTAGTTCACGTTGGCTAGGTTCTTCCCCTCCCAGGCGGCGGGCAATTTGTAAGGTCAGGTCACTAGCGGTGACAGGAAGGCATCTTTATGCCCGCTATTTCCACTATGTTCTGCATTGTGTTCATCACTATCATTGGGTCTTTTTGCCGGGCTGTTGATTAACTGCCCTCCTCAACTGTAGTGAGTATATTAACCATGAACCTCGGCTCAACATCTTGGACTATAATCTTGGACGTCAGTTAATACACACACTCCATACAGAGTATTAAAGGTGTAACAAGTTCTGAACCAACTGAGTATGCGTCAATGCTACAATGACATGCCGAGGTTCATCTTTCTTGATCTCTTCCTGTCAGGTCTGTCTATGGAATCTCACCCACCCACCAATTCAGGCTACAGGGTTCTTAAGCTTCCCCTGTAATGAGCCCCGCTCAAGCCTCCAACTTAAGCCCACATGGAAAGATAGAGCACCTCACATCAGTGGAAGCGGGTTCGTGGTCTCAGTCCCCGCCATAACTCAATTGGCCATGGCCCTTTAGACTCATTAGCAGAGGCCACTAAGTTACAGTGCCTAGGGAAAGTGAAGTGCACATCAGGGACGGCATCCCGTCTTCCCGCTCTATTCTAAAACGTTTGGCTCCAGAACTCCACGACTCAACTCTCTCCTCAACTTTGACTTTGATCGACAAGACGTTCAATCAATTGGGCTTATTTGACCAGACCTGGCAATTCGGTTTACACGCTTATAACGGCAAATACCGATATTGTTTGCTACCTTCTGACAGTTCAAGCGGGGCCGTGACGATCCATCCTCGTGCATCGCGTCGTCGCATTGCATTGCCTTGCCTTGCATTGCATCCAGCCAATTTGTCTGGATCCTTTTTCTTGCCATGTTTTCTCTCCTCCAACGGCGTCGCTAAAAAAAGCAATTCTTCCGCCCTCTGGCCGCATCTACTGTACTGTACTATCGTCATCTGTCACTTATCACCTCGTTTGTCACTCACTCGCATTGACAACCTGAGCCAAGCTTGCAAACTCAGATTGTCTCATCGCTTGTCATCACGTTGACCCCCTTGTCCTCCCCTCCATCTCGTCGTCGACGTTCCACCGCCAACCTGCTGTCGTCTGTTTAGCCCCCCGCTGTGTAAGGCGAAGCAAACATATCCATCGTCCTCACTCGTCTCGGATACGACTTCTCAGACACCTTTGCCTCTTTTTTTTTTTTTTTTCTTTCCCTTTCTTTGCCTGGAACCTCTTGTTGCTTTTTCTTGCCCGTCCGCCATCATCGTCCCCTGTCATACCCTGGCATATACACGTACATACCAAGACGAACTCTTTAACACCAGAACCACCGACAGCTCGGAATCTTTGCCACCAGCTAGCCAGTGTTTGCATTAAATTGATCCTTCATCTCTGAGAGCTGCACTCTTACTCTCTCTTGGTTGTTTGGTTGTCTCAAACTTCCTAGGTGTTGACCATCTCGAAGCAGAGCATCACCATCTACTAGACTTTCATCCACTCTTCCAAAAGACTGAACTGTTCATATTGGATCTGTCACATTAAGTAACCAGCTACGGCCCTCGCTCTCTTTCATCTCCATATGCAACCTCGCGTCTTCGTACGCCCTATCCCGCGGTTCTCGTTTACTCTGTCCTCCCAGGAGGCCGTTGGACAGTCAGCTGTTGGACAATAATCCTCCCCCATCTTCTTTCCACTTCTGTCAATATCCCCTGTTGGGAATTTCGACATAACGTCGTGATCGGATCGTCGGACTTGGGATTCATCAAGAAACACGGTCAATCATGGTCTACTGCGGCAAGCCCTCTAGGGGTTGCCAGATGTGCAGAGCCCGAAGAATCAAGGTGTGTTGCTATTTTACTGCTGCATGACTTTTCTTGAGCAGAGTTTTCCTGGGGCCCTTTAGACGCATCAGCTCACAGTCATAGTGCGATGAAACGAAGCCAACCTGTAATCAATGCGCCAAATCCAGGCGACAGTGTCCTGGCTACAAAGATGAATTCGATCTCGTCTTCCGCAATGAGACGCAGGCAACTGAACGAAGAGCTCGCAAGGCCAGCAAGAAAGCCACGGCGTTGAAGCAGGGTAAACCTTCACAGGCTGTAGCTATTCACAAACCAACACCCGATCAGTCTATTATATCGACTCTCCAACTTCCGGTGGACCAGCAGGCAACATGTCACTTTCTATCGAACTTCGTTCTGCTACCTTCTCACGATAACACGCGGGGATGGATGGAATTCGTTGTGCCTCTCCTTAAAAGCGAGAAGCAAGCGTCCCATTTCAAGCTAGCGTTTGATGCATGTGCGATGGCATCTCTGGGGAACCGTGTCGGTTCAGGTTGCAATTTTGAGAACAAAGCTTTAGGATGTTATACGAAAGCACTTTCCGCCACATTCAGCGCTCTGAAGGATCCCGTTTTATCCAAGGAGGACTCAACTTTGGCAGCTGTGCTGCTTTTGGGACTTTTTGAGAACATCACCGCAAAGCAATTGGGAATGCTCGCTTGGGGATCTCATATTGAAGGAGCTATTCAACTAGTTAAGTCGAGAGATAGGAAGCAGATGCGAACGAAAACAGGCCTGGCTCTTTTTGTAGCCACAAGAACGCAAATGGTACGCCCTTTTTATTCATTCCTCAGCTGACCGTTATCTAACGAGCGACTAGATCATCCACACTTTGACCACAGGCACACCCCCGGCTATGGGAGTGGAATGGTGGATTACGGACAGCTACAAGAATCGGTACGGAGCCGAGTGTCAGCGACTTAACATCCGTACAGCAGAGCTCAGGGCTGAGTCCAATCGCTTGATGGCGTCCCTGGCCCGTAGCCCCGAGAACATTGAGCTGCTTCTGGATATTATTCGTCGATGTCAGACTCTCGATCAGCAACATGTGGCCTGGGCGAACCAGTTGCCCGAGTACTTTCATTACAAAGCTGTGGCTTGGGAGGACAATGTTCCCAGTGAAAACTACGGCATGGCTGAGGTTTTCCCAGGACGAATAGACGCATATCAGGATCTCTGGGTTGTCAGCGTATGGAACTTGATGCGTTGCTCTCGCATCATTCTCGCATCACTGATTGTCCGCTGTGCTGCATGGGTTTGCGCCCCGGTCGATTACCGAACAACCCCCGAATACGCAACAGCCGCGAGAACGTGTGTTGATACCATCACGGATATCATTTCCTCGGTACCCTACCAGCTAGGCTGGTTTTCCAGTCGCAGGGAGCTGCTTGAGCGTGCTAACCTGTCCGCGTTTGGCTGTGGAGAGGAAGATGCCCTAAAAGGTCTGCCAGGATACTTCCTGACTTGGCCCCTGACTTGTGTCCAGGGTCAGGATTATACAACTGATGCACAGAGAGCATGGGTCAAAGGTCGACTTGAGTTTATTGGCAATCATCTTGGTGTTAGGTACGCCAATGTGCTTAAACAAGTGAGTATCCTCTTGAATCCCTGGAGCTATTTGCCTCCGCTTGATTTTTCCTTTCTTGTTCTTCTTTGTTCGTCTTCTTTTCCTTTTTCAGCATTTATCTATCCCCACATTTGTTGCTTTTTCTGGTATTCACTTCAGGGTCAACTGACACTTCTCCACAGCTCAATGTTCGTGTTCCGTCAATGCTCATCCGCAGGGATGGCTTGATGGCTAGCCCGTACCCTGCCTCGTACAACTTTGAAAAGCTCTTATCGTCCAAGACGGCACCAGCTATGGCAGGATATTCTCTGAACCCAATACAACAGCATGAAGCTATGCAGAAGGAGAGAGCTGAGAAACAGAAAACTGAGCTGCTGAGTAAAGCCAGGGGGTCCTTACCAAATAACGAGAGGGTGGCCGACGGCCTGTTGCAATTTCAGAGTTGATTATGGGATACCGGAGATATAATTCTAAAGGATTTTGAAAACATCTCATCTCCAAATATGCCATATAGACGTTGCAAAGGTTCTGGATAACCTATCAAATAGAGGATGACCGGTCCTGAATAACCGTGGTCGAGTTTTAGTCTATAAGTTGGCATTGAACATGCCATTATTGGACTGGATACCAGGCGTTCAAAAATTACCATGAATTTGTTTGATCCAAGCTCGATTGTGCAATTGCAGATCCGATACTCGAAACGAAAGTGTAGGGGTTTGGTCGGTGCTCCTTTGGATACCTCATGTTAGACGAGTGGATATCCATAGATAGTTTCATGGGGTATTATGGTTGGGAAGGTTGCGATCACAGAAACGTTTTCAAGTGCAATGTGTTGTATTATAGAGCAATTTTTTGCAACCGGATATCTGGCGTAATATGAATCAAGTTTAAAGAAACTTTCCCAGTGAAAGAAATTCGTTGAATAGTCCTATGGATGTCTGCGTGCGTGCGTGCTACCCATGCCCCTAGCATGTTCGAATCAAGATAGAAAATTCGTGACGGAGTGGCGATCGAGTTTACTTTTGTTTCTTGCTGTAGACATTGTCAGAACCTATTCCCCTTTCACTAGAAAAGATACCACGATGTACGCACCTCTGACTAGCATCTGATGTCGTGCCTAGATTCCACGCCTTGACGAACCAGCTCTGCGTCGCATCGACATAGTTCTCGTTCTTGATTTGTTTGACGCCGACCTTTACACCATCCTTTGTGAAAACAACGTTCTTCTTGCCCATACGCTCGGACGCAGCATCGGACATCTTGGCGACGCTGATGTAGACTTGGTAGCCGACCCAACCGCCTACGCTGAGCAGAGCGAAGACGATGATGAGAGGAAGGACCTGGCTGTAAGAGTCAATTAGATACTGTGTTCGAAGTGAAAGCCTGGTGGTGCAGCTGTACCTGAGAGCTGAAGGTTGTTTGGCCATGTTTGATTGCGACACGTGCAATGCGAAAACGGTGATTGGCAATAATGAGGAAAGATGCGCTGAGCTGGAGAAGAGAAGTGATGAATGCGATCAACGCAGTTGAAGATGCAAAGAAGAATAGAGGATAAAGAGGGAGAGAAGAGATAGAGCGCGCGCGCGAGAGAGAGAGAGAGAGGCAGCCGAAAGGGGGTTGCGCAAAGAATTGAGGGGACCAAGAGCTGAAGGATGGGGGATAGAGTACTACTTTAGGGATGCATGTGAGTAATGGAAGTAATGGAAAGTCAAGTACCTGGACTAGCTCGCCCTCGAACTAAGGTATTTGCGAAAACCCGTTAATGGAACTTAGGTACGGGGATCGCCAATTGGATTGTTCGGCATCGAAAAAAAAGGGTCCAGGTCTTGCCTGAGGGGCTACCCTCCTGTAACTTTGGCTGATGTTAGTGGGAATGCTACTGGAACATGGAGGGGGACGACGTATCGACACACTTGGTGCCTTTGTCGTAACGAGTGACGGTTGGTAGTCTGTGAGACGGAAACAAGTGCTGCTCCATTTCAAGCTGCTTTGATTCAGTGCAAGATCGTGCTCTTGAACATGTTCCTATACCTGAGAATGCCAAGAAGCTATCCCGGGCCGCTGCCGTCCATGCGATCCATGCAGTGGCAGTGCAAAGGATGAGATGAAGTGCAAAAATAAACCACATAAAATACGGATTGGGCAATGTCTTGCCCTACAAACACTCACTGATTCCCTAGACTCACCTGTCATAAAATTATAGGACAAAAGTCTAACAACACCCCATAGTGCGCCTACTTTAGTATACCATGTAAAACTCTTACTTTAAAGCTAAAAATTAAAATACTAATAAAATAAGCATGACTTTTTAAAAAATATATTATCATATATTAGCCTTTAAATACTATTACATTAGTCTTTAAATAAAATAAAGATTTTTTTATAAAAGTTAAATAAATTCTTTAAATAATTATCTTTAAGGAAATATTATTACTAAAACTTATAGAGAGTTTATAGTGGGAAATATAGTTAGTATATTTTATTATAGAGCTTATTAGTACTATATAAATAAACCTTTATATTTTATATTTATTTAATATATTAAATAATAGTTCTAAAATTTAAAAAAAAAAAAGTTAGATAATATTATTTAAAGATTAAAAGATAATATATTAGATTTTAAAATATTATTATCATATAAATCTATTAAGATATCCTATTTTAAAACTCTATATAATAGGGCTAAATAGGTTATATACTGTATACTGTTGTCAGACTTCTGTCACCTGATTGTACCTTAATTGTTAACAGCCTGAGGGAGTCAACTTTTTGTGGCGGCTGACTTATTTCCCCCTGTGGTGAATCGAGAACAGTCTATGTTGGTGTGGTGATGTAGGGGGTTTGTGACGAGGCTTGAAGAAGCAATCATGATGTTTTTGTCTGACACTCTGAATGACTGCGCATGAGAAGCGTGTGCTATTCTATCTTTATAGAGAGAGCATATTATCATATGGAATTCAGATGGTGACAAGAGTGGTTGAAAGCCTGTGCGTTAACATACATGCAGTCAAGACCAAGATTTTACAGGGTAACATCCCAGGTCTATGGAAAGCATGAGGCTTAACACCCTGATCACCAAGCTTCTAACTGATTCAATGCGAAAGAAACATGTAGACTCTTGTTACACTGTAGGGGTACATTGCCTCATGCTTGACCTAGCCGTTGCTTCCTCTCGCCATCTGGTTACTCGCCATAGTACAAGCACATGAACTTCACTCTGAGTTTCCTTGACCTGCCAAACAATTTTGTGATTTGATGATCCCAAGGCATCCCGTAGACAAGGCAAGAGAGACGCTGTCCTAAGAGCAGGTAACAATAAACTGCAACGCTGACCATCTGTGCAACATTTTGAAGAGCGATTGTTTTTACGGCTCTGTATGACATACACACACCCGTGCCTAACTTCTCGATGATAAAGAGAGGAGACGGATATTTCAGTAGCTATAGGGCTTGATAGAAGCATATAGATCGGCGACATTCATTGTGCTGTGGCCAACCCTCATCAGTCAGCTGGCTTGGCTAGAGACAGGCACGATATGAGGAAGGAATGTCAGCTATTTTCCTACTCACACGGCTTAACATCATGTAAGTAACGTGACTACTGTAGACTTTCTCTCCTTGTCCTATGCATCACTAGTTCTACCTAACTCTTATGATTCTATGCTGCTTCTTTTAGCAAATTTGACCACTTACACCACAGTGAGGAGTTCGAATTTATCAACACATAGTCAAATTCACCACATAATAGCATATTGACCAAGACAACTGTATGAAACGCCTTTCGGCTCAGATGTTTTCCTAGTCTACTTATAAGATTCTCTTGGTGAATACATCTTATCGTTGCCCAGATGTGCATGAGTTGTTTCGTGTAGGCCAACACTGGGGTGTCACTTCCAGTGACCTATGATATCATGGAAGTTCTTGATTAAAAAGCTCACCAGGGCTCTAGGAGTAATCTTTAGACTGCTCTTTGGACGACGTGCCCTTTTGTGTATTCATTTGGCCTGAGACAGAGTTCCCGGGGTAACAGACGTTGGCGATTGAGATATAAATCAAAACCAAGAGTCAACATGACTTTCAAAAAACCAATCAAGGATGAGCTTCATTAAGTTATACAAGCCTAAAGCATATCGCTCTTAATTCGATACTGGCAACTCAACATCTACCACCATTTGCAAGACTTACGTACTATACGGCGACAAATTGAAGGCTATGATTATCCATATCGAGAACAAGACAAATTACTTCAATCAGTATGATAGGAGACAAACATCTGTTTAGGCACAGGAATATACCTAAGTTTTAGGAAATACCTATTCTCATGACAGCTACAGTTCTTGAATTATACCGGTACATGATCTTGGACAATGGATGTGGCTGTGCACTCCCACCAGAGCTTCCAGTGAAGCTTTGACGCCACGGTAGCTCCAAGCTCTAAGTTTGCTTGTAGTATCGATGAGTATGGACACATTTACAAGATCTAATGGATTGCTCTTCTGAATTGACTCATATCAACACGTGAGGATATCTAGTGATATCGTTGTCCTCTTCTCGCCGTCTCTGGCATCTGATAGCGTGGCTCAGGCAACCATGAGATAGGTAGCCCCTCCTTTGGCACTACAGGATTCTTGGCTTTGTCGCTGTGGCGGTGACCAATGCGAAGAGGCCAGACATGCAGACAGACACAGGCTACGCTACCTAACAGCTCTGAGCTCATCAACCGCCCAACACCCACCTCCATTTATCCTCCTCCATCCCAGTCCAACATCCAGATTTCGTCGACTGGGAGCCTCGGATCGGGAGTTGCCTTTTACTCTCCCATTTTCTGCTAATTGCTAAAACGCCTGCTCCCCTGCAGCGCCTTTTGAACCGTTTCTCGACCGATTGACCGACACCGTTTACACATACATATATACATTACCTCAACCTCGGGTGCGACACTGCTCCCTTCACACTTCAACCATGTCGATGCCCCCTCCTGGTGATGGCTTCGGCGGCTATCCAGCCCAGCAATACGATCAATATGCTGGCCAAGAACAGCAACCTCAACAAGCTTACGAGGACCCTGCCGCCGCCCAACAGCAACAGCCCCACGATCAAGGCCACAAGAAGAAGAAGCGAGGATATGCGGCTCAGGCTTTCGAGGTTGGTACAGGCGCCAACGCCGTCGCCGGTGCTCAGACCGGCGGAGCTCCTCAGCAATTCGGTGCCCCTCCCGCTCAGCCAGGTTATGGAGGTTATCAGGCCGAACCTCAAGCCGCTGCCCCTCAAGGATACCAATATCCCCAGGGATACGGCGCACAGCAACCCGCTGCTCCCCAGGCTCCTCAATATGGCTACCAAGCTCCCGATCAAGGATACCCAGCACCTGGTGCTCAGCAGCCCGCGCCAGGAGTTGGCGGCATTACTCAAGGCGTCGGCAACATGAACATTGGTGGTCAGGCTCAACAACCCCAGGCCGCTCAGCCTCCTCGCCCTGCTGTTCTGAACCAGCTCTATCCAACTGATCTCCTTAGCCAGCCCTTCAATGTCTCGGAGCTTGACCTTCCCCCGCCCCCGATTGTTCTTCCTCCCAACGTGAGTTGCTTATTTTCAGGCATGGTAATTTTGTCAATCACTAACTTTCACCTATCAGACGAGTGTTACTCCGTCCCCCGACGCCAACTGCTCCCCGCGATATTTCCGATCAACTCTCAACGCTGTTCCCACCACCCACTCGCTCCTGAAGAAGTCCAAGCTGCCCCTTGCGCTCGTCATCCAGCCCTACGGTTCTCTCCACGACGATGAGGATCCCGTACCTGTTGTGCAGGATCAGGTCATCTCGCGTTGCCGACGTTGTAGAACATACATCAACCCTTATGTTACTTTCCTGGACCAGGGACACCGATGGAGGTGTAATATGTGTAATCTGACCAACGATGTTCCTCAGGCTTTCGATTGGGATGCCGCTGCCCAGCAGAGTGTCGACCGATGGCAGCGACCCGAGCTGAACCATGCTGTTGTTGAGTTTGTTGCTCCCCAGGAGTACATGGTTCGCCCACCTCAGCCCCTCATCTACCTGTTCTGTTTCGATGTCAGCTACGCTGCTGTTTCAACCGGACTCGTGGCCACCGCAGCCCGCACCATTCTGGACAGCCTTGACAGGATACCAAATGCTGATCGCCGCACGCGCCTTGGTTTCTTGGCCGTGGACTCTAGCCTCCACTACTTCTCGATCCCCAAAGATACTGATGAGAATGGCGAGACCAATATGCTGGTTGTCAGCGATCTCGATGAACCTTTCCTGCCTATCCCTAACGAGCTCCTGGTCCCTCTTAGCGAGAGCCGACAAAGCGTTGAGAAGTTCCTGCAGAAGCTTCCCGATATGTTCCAGAACAACCAGAGCAATGGTTCATGCATGGGATCAGCCCTGCGTGCAGCTCACAAGCTTATCTCCACCCTCGGAGGCAAGATTGTTGTTTTGACTGCTTCCCTGCCTAACCTTGGTGTCGGCAAGCTCGAGATGCGCGAGGATAAGAAGCTTCTTGGCACATCAAAGGAGGGAGCTCTGCTTCAAACAGCCAACAGTTTCTACAAGAGCTTTGCCGTCGAATGCTCAAAGAGCCAGGTCTCTATCGATATGTTCCTCTTCTCATCACAGTATCAAGATGTGGCTTCGCTCAGCAACCTCCCCCGCTACACCGGCGGCCAGACCTGGTTCTACCCAGGCTGGCATGCCTCGCGACCTGAGGATGCCCTCAAGTTTGCTTCCGAGTTCAGCGACTATCTTTCGTCTGAAATTGGTCTGGAAGCTGTTCTCCGAGTCCGAGCCACAAGTGGTCTGAGAATGAACACATTCTACGGCAACTTCTTCAACCGAAGCTCTGATCTCTGCGCTTTCCCCGCCTTCCCCCGCGATCAATGTTACGTTGTCGAGGTGGCTATTGATGAGAATCTTACCAAGAACGTCATCTGCCTCCAAGCGGCAGTGTTGCACACAACCTGCAATGGTGAGCGTCGCATCAGAGTCATGACTCTGGCCCTTCCTACAACGACCAATCTATCCGATATGTACGCCTCAGCGGACCAGTGTGCCATTACCACTTACTTCAGCCACAAGGCCGTGGAGCGGGCCCTTTCAAGCGGCCTCGATGCGGCCCGCGACGCTCTGCAGAGCAAGGTTACCGAGCTCTTGCAGACATTCAAGAAGGAGCTGGCTGGAGGCAGCATGGGTGGCGGTCTGCAATTCCCCGCCAACCTCCGCGGTCTTCCCCTCCTGTTCCTGGGGCTGATCAAGAACGTTGGCCTCCGCAAGTCATCTCAAATCCCCTCCGACATCAGATCGGCAGCTCTCTGCCTCCTGTCAACACTTCCTGTGCCTCTCTTGATGCGCTACATCTACCCACGACTTTACTCACTACATGATATGCCCGACAACGCGGGGGTTCCCGACCAGGAGACGGGCCACATTGCGCTCCCTCCTGCGCTCAACCTGTCTTCAGAGAGGCTTGTGCCCTACGGCTTGTACCTCATCGATGATGGACAAACTCAGTTCTTGTGGGTCGGCCGTGACGCCGTACCGCAATTGGTGCAAGATGTGTTTGGAGTGGAAGACAGAGGCCAGATCCAGGTCGGCAAGGGTCGCGTACCCGAGCTTGAGGGAGACTTCAACGAACGCGTGCGAGCTATTGTTCAGAAGAGCCGTGACCACAAGTCACTAGGGGTTGGCAGCATTACATTGCCCCACCTGTATATCGTGCGAGAAGACGGAGAACCTAGTCTGAAGCTCTGGGCGCAGACGCTACTCGTGGAGGATCGAGCCGACCAGGGTGTAAGCGCAGCTCAATGGCTAGGCATGTTGAGAGAAAAGGTGAGTTGATCGACGACAACATTGGCTGAGATGACAAACTAACCTTTGTATCAAGGTTGTTCAGTAGAGTAGCTCACGAAAAGTTGAGCGTTTGTAGACGGAGGAGTGGGTCGGATCTGTCCTTGTAATATTGGGATCGGGATGAGGAGGGTTCAATGACTGGAGTCGAGGTCCTGGAGAAGCAGTCGGCTGTTTTTGGTAACAGGGATGCGAGGACGAACGGTGTCAATTAGAGTGAATGAATTGTTTTGTGAGCAATCGTGAAGATTACCTAACGTGACGGGGTGAGGTGATGTTGAGACCATTGCCATCATGATCATGATGATGTTCTACAGAGCAGAGGGGCCCATGATGATAGCATTAAACAGCACAACCAGGGTCAAGACATGATACAGTCAACCAAGAACCATAGACTGACATGCATAGTAATGCATGATATTTTTAGAAATGCATTCCCTCAGAAACCAAACGGAAAGGAGACCCGATTCCTTGGATGAATCCATGACCGAGGGGTTGGTCCCCATGAAATCTGATACAGGCACCAGACGCAGCCGCAGACGCGATGTTCCCCTGCAGAGTTGAGTTGAGTTGGTACATGAGATGCAAGGACCTCGCTATCCAATGATGAAACGCCGCCGAGTCGGTGGGTGTGAAACGCACACGCCTATCGAGCCAAGCAGCCAATGATGGCTAGAATTAGGCGCTGGGTAGTTTATTTTAAGAACACAGAGACACAGTGCTTCTCTTCACGTACATTCCTACCTACCTATCCAGGTGAATCAGCTCAGTTCAGTTCAGGTCATGCCGTTGAGGAAGAATTAGAGTCGGTAACATGTGAAGCGGCATGGCATTAGGTTGGTGAAACGCATAGAGGGATCTTTGTCGAACAGGGGTTGATGCGGTCCACTGAAGAGGACGAGAGGGCAGAGTAGCATTCTCCATGTTTCGGGGCTGTCAGATGCTAAACGCCCAGTATTTTGAATCGCTAGCGTCATGTCACTGGGAGATTCTGTAACGTTTCGTCTCAGAGGGTGATGCTACAGTGTCTTCGTTTCGTTTAGGTCTGTTACAGACGGATACATTGGACTTCTCTGTTGTTTCTGTGATTATCACGTATCGTCAGGTACCTGACGGGAAGCTGTCCGTCCCGCCCGTTCCATGGTCAAAGTCAATCAGAGAGCTCGCCTCTCCCCTCCCCCACTTTGTCTTCCTTCAATCGTTAACGCCCTTAAGTTAAGCTTGTTAATCCAGGGTCATCCACTATATCCAAGGAGTCTCGTACTGCAATATCCGAGATGATGGATAGTTGCTCTGTCATCCCGTTATTCTGTGTTTAGTTGTTCCAGGTTCAACTGCTCTATTGTTCATTCAATAGCATTTCGGCAATGTTGGCGTTGTTGATGCCCCTCCTGGCGATCATTGCAGATGTTCTGGACCTGTCCATGAACCATGAACCTTGGTTTATTCTTCAAGGGTTTCGTTTCGTCTTGCGATCACGCATTCCCTTGAAGAGATCTGCCTGCGTAGGCAAACTCAAAGGACACTCTGTCGTATTTTGAGTCCTTTCTTTGCATTGAGGACAAGTCACTGGATGTCCACTATCAGGCTGAGGTGACACCTCCACCAGCTTGAGCAAGTAGTTGTTGGTTCTTAGCCGCCCAGCTTTGGCTTTATCACATCTCAGAGTCATCAGCCCAACGGGACAAAGAATCAGATGACGAAAGAAATGATTGATTGAACTAGTGATATTACTTAATAACTACCCTTCTGTTCCGTCCGTCTTGTCTTGCCTTGTCTTGACTCATCGTGCTTGTTTCACATCTCAGCCAACCTGTCTTGTTTTAAAAGTTATCCTCCATTCCTTTTGTGTCAGATCCAGACCCAGCCAGAGGGAATACCTCTCTCTCTCTCTCTCTACGTACGGGATACCTTACTCACAGACCAATTCAACTGCTAGATTCGGAAGACTGTCTCCCCTAAGAAATAGCCTGTGCAGCAATATCCTTACCCTTTCTTACCTATACTCACCGTTGACGACGGCGAACCGAACTGAAACCTGGGCCTCTGCCACGACGCGCTAGCCTCTGTACGGGTCATTACAGCAGTGCAAGACCCTCTTCTGCCCCGCGCTCTCAACTTGCGAACTGGGCTATTTGAACCAGCATCAGCACGGCCCGAGCGGACGTGGAGCTCTTCTGTTCCATCTGTAGCTGCTCAACTACTTTATCGCTACTATAACTCCCCGTCGCTGTCAACCCTTTTTTTCTACTAAATACCTACCTATTTTCCATCGTTACACTTTGGTTCCTTTCTCAGTCGCTATAAATCATCAACTGCATATCTCGCTCGATTCCGTTGAGTCTCGTCGATAATCAAAACTTGCGATTGTATTGGGTGGAGCTCAATACCTAACCCCTCAAATCATCCTTAATCAGCCAGTCCAGTCCAGTCCTGCCCAGCCAGTTCAAGCCAGTCCAGGTGGTCCAGGTCCAGATCCCTCCAGTACCAACAAAGGAGCCTTCTTCGTCTTGCTTGGCTGGTCCTTTTCTCTTGACTTGACTTGACTCTACCTTATTTCTACACCATCTCGACCGACCGATCGAGCGACTGCGCATTCTTCTCTACACGGCATCAGTCGTTAGCTTTTCGGTCGCTCTAATCCTCCTCAGCTTTCCCCTCCTCTTCACCGCGACCATGTCTCGATCGAACCCCCCTAACGCTGCGGGGTCCCGCAAGATCTCGTTCAACGTGAGCGAGCAGTATGATATTCAGGATGTTGTTGGTGAGGGCGCCTATGGTGTTGTCTGGTATGTTTTCTCGTGTCTCGTGCGATTTGCGCAGTGTATCAAATTCTAATACTCCCCCAGCTCTGCCATTCACAAGCCCTCCGGCCAAAAGGTCGCTATCAAGAAGATCACTCCTTTCGATCACTCCATGTTCTGTCTAAGAACCCTGCGAGAGATGAAGCTGTTGCGATATTTCAACCACGAGAACATCATCTCCATTCTCGATATCCAGAAGCCCCGAAACTACGAGTCATTTAATGAAGTCTACTTGATCCAGGTTTGTACCGCCAGCGCTCAGTCGCAATAGCAACAGCAGACTAACGAATGATACAGGAGCTGATGGAGACGGATATGCACCGAGTCATCCGCACCCAGGACCTTTCTGACGACCACTGCCAGTACTTCATCTACCAGACCCTCCGCGCCCTCAAGGCCATGCACTCGGCCAACGTGCTGCACCGAGACTTGAAGCCCTCCAACCTCCTCCTCAACGCCAACTGTGATCTCAAGGTTTGCGATTTTGGTCTTGCGCGATCCGCTGCTTCCCAGGAGGACAACTCCGGTTTCATGACTGAATACGTCGCGACTCGATGGTACCGTGCGCCCGAGATCATGTTGACTTTCAAGGAGTACACCAAGGCTATTGATGTGTGGTCGGTTGGCTGCATTCTCGCCGAGATGCTCAGCGGCAAGCCTCTTTTCCCTGGCAAGGACTGTAAGTGATTGTTGAAATGCGTGAGACGATAGAGCTCTTTGCTGACCATTTGACCGCTAGACCACCACCAGTTGACACTCATTCTGGATGTGCTGGGCACGCCCACTATGGAAGATTACTACGGAATCAAGTCGCGCCGCGCTCGAGAATACATTCGATCGCTCCCCTTCAAGAAGAAGGTTCCCTTCCGAACTCTATTCCCCAAGACCTCGGATCTGGCCCTCGACCTGCTCGAGAAGCTCCTCGCATTCAACCCTGTTAAGCGCATTACCGTGGAGGAGGCTCTGAAGCACCCATACCTTGAGCCTTACCACGATCCCGAGGATGAGCCAACAGCGCCCCCGATCCCCGAGGAGTTCTTTGACTTTGACAAGCACAAAGACAACCTGAGCAAGGAGCAGCTGAAGCAGTTGATCTACCAGGAGATTATGAGGTAAATGTGGTATGATAACGAAGATCGGCGAGGCATCTAGGATCTGCGATCCGAGACACCTCTGACAGGTTATCTGTTGCTAGCAGGCGTGCTCATAGTTGTGATATTTGAGAGGAAGATAAGTGGCAGAATTTGGAGAAGATAGATAGACCACAGCACAACCCTCACGCACGCAAACATACACAGAATCACCTGTTAGTTTATTCTGCATAGCATGCACATGGCATGGGTCTTTTAGGGCAAACTTGATGTTGAAAGATGGTCAAATGTATGGAAACAGGATCAAAGACATGGGCCAGAGTCAGGATCAGAGTCAGAGTCTGAGAAAGGCAAACATGGGACTTGAAGATGATTTGATGAAGTGCACATTGCAGCCATTTCTTTTTTTAGTTGTTATATCCCAAGAAAAAAACTTCATGATGATACGATGTTGAGCATACGCAGGTGATCAATAGTGAAACAGAGTTAGTAGCAAACTCAGATGTTAGAGTGTTCTCCCTGCATGTTAGGAACTATACACGTTGAGAGACTACTAATCCAATAGAGATATCAAGTAATATCATGACTTTTGTTTCGCCCAATCCTCATCGGCCAACTTACCTTCAGGAACGTGACAATCAGAGAGTCCTAGTGACAAGACAACAGATCAAAAGGTCTAGACCGAGCCAGCAATTCAGCCGTGATAGGCCGTTGGCCATATCGAGCTAGCGTTTTGGTGCTTGAGGCTCTGGTGTTGATGACGATCATGAAGTTTGCCAGCGTGTACGTACCTACATACATGCATGTGGCCAGTAAAAGAGACCACAGGCTTATGAATCACCACGCAATTCGTTGTAAGCTGTTTAGTATTCGGCAGAAAATGTGGCAATTGCTGCCTGAAATATATCCATTTTCAAGCGATGAAAGTGAGTTAGAACTTATTAATGTTAATGCATCAATTGTCAAGATCATGTTCTTTTAAGTCTTGTTCTAGGCGTTAACCCCGCTATATCTAGCTCCACTAGCTCCCCCAATCTCATGCCCTCTATCTCCAACAGCTGCCCTCCATTACCTTACCTTACCATAACAGCGTCAGAACTTATTCATTCCCTCCAATGTCTTAGATCTCGACACTACATATCAACGTCCTGTCTCCCTTTTAGCAACGGCACTATTCTTATTCAACTTCCTGATCACCAAATGCTTTAAATCTCGTATCTATGACCTCCTGGGCTTCCTAATTTGACCATCACTATCACTAGACTCTGTGTTTACACGTCATGAGCTCTTCTGACCGCAACGAATCCCCCGAAACTCCCGAATCTTCTGGCGCCGCTACACCCAACAATCCTAACCGCGCCTCTGCATCCTACATCACAAACATGTGGACCGGCCTCATCCGTCGCTTCTCTAGTGAGGGTTCGTTCCCTAGCCAGGCCGACACCGCCTACGACGACGACTACAAGTACCACAACGGCAATGGCACAAAAGACGGTATAAACGGTGTCTTCACACCCGTGCGCCGTACAGCGAGCCCCCTTCGTCCTCCACCTCTGGATCCTCTTGTTCTTCATGGTTATCGTCAGGGCACGCCCACGTCGGCTAAGTTACTGACGGCCGCTGTCGCGGAGGAGATTCGCACCATGGTTCCTGAGCGCCTACGCATCGTGGACGACTGGCATCTGGTCTACAGCCTTGAGCAGGACGGCGCGAGCTTGGCGACTCTGTATCAGCGCTGTCGACAATACGAAGGCAAACGAGCTGGTTTTGTCCTGGTCGTCAAAGACCTAGAAGGAGGGGTGCGTATCGAGTGAGCTCATATGACGTTATGCCGTTAACTAACATGCTTAGATCTTTGGCGCATACCTATCCGAATACCCGCATCCTGCGCACTCGTACTTTGGTAACGGCGAATGCTTCCTCTGGCGAGCCTCGACTATCACGCCTCTTCCACCACCTCCATCAGCTGATACGACAAACCTGAACTCTCGAATTATAACGCTCGCCCCGCCACCGCCTTCGTCGGAGAGCAACACCCCTACACATTCTCGCGCGCCGTCGCCTACACCTAGCGAAGCTGTCAGGTTCAAAGCATTCCCATACAGTGGTCTAAATGACTTCTGCATCAACTGCGAGACCGGCTTTCTAAGTGTTGGATCAGGCGGTGGGCACTACGGGCTATGGTTAGACAATGGACTTGAAAACGGACATAGCTCAAGGTGCGAAACCTTTGGTAACGAACCTCTGAGTGACGAGGGAACCAAATTTGGCGTCATCGGAGTCGAACTCTGGGTTATGGGCGTATGATGATGATGCTTCGGTATGGCTCTCACATGTTTGCATGGCGCTCGGTGTTATGATATGGTATTCGCAGGCGGATCGGTCTCTCATTAAATTGATGATCTATGGGAAGAAGGAAGATCTGTGTGCTGTGAAGGCAGAGCGACCTTTGTTTGGATAAAGTTTTTGGGTATATAACAAGGAGGACAACAGCAAAAAATATTCAAGGCAAGATCAGTAAAAATCAATGATACCCGGAGCTGATACTCCCAACTCTTTACACCATTAGTGGCCCTTTCAATACTCCGCAAATATTCTTACAAAAAAAATCAAATGTTTGATTGCTCCCCGTCTCGGCTCTGTCTCTTGGCTATAAACGCCTGGATCCCTTCCAGTACTCCTTGAGGTGTCGGTGACTCTGCGCACACGTCAGGCTCGAATCCAAAGGACAGCAGGTGATCTCTCGTCGTAGGTCCGATGGTCGCGATAAACGTCTTGCCGTCCCGTTCGTAGCCCTTATACACTTTATTGGTTTCAGGATCCAGAATTCCCATGACTCGAAGCATACTATCGCATCCGGTTGGTGAGAATACCACAATCCATCGCATAGGATCATTGCGCGTTTCGCTGAGGACCCTGCGTAGATCAACCGGAAAGCTCTCCATGACACCCGTCCCATAGACGACCGTCTCTGTCACACGAATGCGCTCTGTATCCGGTAGTGCGCCGTCCTGTAGCGTTTTGGGGATGATGTCACGACGGGTCTCCCCAACGAGGAATAGAATCGGCGGGAGAGTCGCACGAGCTTGGTCGCGGTACCATTCGTAGTAGTGGGCGAGGATAAAAGGAGCCAGGGCTGCGCCGTTGCCTGTGTGGCTACCGAAGACTTTGAGAGGGGGATCTTGAGGGACGGCGGCGAGGGCGCGAGTAGTGGCGGGGCCGACACTGTAGACGGGGATGTTCTGTAGATGGGGCCATGAGGTGTTATCCTCGGGGTTGGGAGTGTCCTCTGTCGCAAGAGAGATTGTGTTAGCTGAGGTGGTTCTAGAGATATGATTACTCCAAGGTTATGACGTACCGGCTTTGCCATCTTCGACAAGCTTCACAAAAGCTTCGACGGCGCGTTGCGATGTGAAGATCAAGCCGCCGTATTCATGATGTTCCTGGTTTCCGATGCGGCGATCGCGAAGTAGCGCTGCGACTTCCTTCATGCCATCACTGTGAAATTGATGCAGCAGAACAGGCACGAACTGCGGCGCAAAACCACTGTCATGAATACTAGATTCTGAGAAAAGATCTTCGTAGGAATCGCCAGGGCTCGATCTCGTCTTGAGTAGGAGAACAGGTATCCTGGAGGCTTGCTCCGCGGTGGAATTGGTAGTTGTCATGATGAGTTGAGATTGGTCTGATGCGTATATGTATGGATTCATGCGGCTGGCGATACTATCGGTGCGTAGTTTTTAGGATGAAAGAATGGCGGAGAGGTGATCAATGGGAGAACGAAGTCGAGATCATGAGGTGGGAAGATCAGCAACTTTCGGAGACTCGGAAGGTGGGATGGGGGTGAGGGGCTCATGGGAAAAGTGGGCGACAGCTTTATCGATAGGGACGGCAGTTGAAGAGCTTCCAGGTTCCATCAGATTCACTGAATATCTTCACTGGTTTGTCAAGGTGACTTTTTGATAACAAAGACAGTCATTGTAATGACATATAATTTTGTGAATAGTGAATGAGATCTAATTATCGAGCTGGGTATTCAATGCAGAAACAACCATCTATCAACAATAACTCCCACGCCTTCGTACAAGCAACCTAAGCAATCAAGCAACCGACTTCTCCTCTGCCTCATTGTCACTCTCCTTTGTTGTCTCGACTACTTCTTTCTTCACGCTGGCCCACTCCATAGCCAACGCCCCCAAGATAGCCAGGCAAGCCATGATGAGTGCGACGCGGAAGCAAACATGCAGCGAATCGTTGTAGGCAGTCAGTGTCTCCTTGTGGAACTTCTCAGGGATAGTCTTGAGAAGCCCTGTTAAACCAGCTGACTCGATCTGCTTGGTAGTAACGCTTGCAAAAGCGGACAAACGCTTGGCCAATTCACCATCGAGAACGTTGGTGCCAACAGAAACGAAAATGGCACCAGAGAGTGTTTGGGCAAAGATGACGAGTGAAGCACCAATCGATACCTGGTTGCGTGGGAGCACAGTCTGGGCAGCCATGTTGGGAGCCTGGGAACAAGCACCGAGACCAAAGCCATATACAATCTGATATCCAATCCATTGGCCTTCTGAAGCATTGGTGCCAAGGATAGTAAAAAGGCCAGCGCCGATGGAAGAGATGCAGATTCCGGCAATGAGGAACGGCATATAATATCCAATGCGAGAGGTAAGAACACCGCTGATGATGGATCCAACAACAAGAGCGAGTACCATGGCCAAGAGATGAATACCACTGTCCATGGCAGAATCTCCGTTGATGACCTGAAACCAGACGGGGAGGAAGTAAATCAACAGTGTCTGGTGGGCACCAATACAGAAGCTCACCCAAAAGCCACCGAAAATGCTGCGCTTGGCGAAGATGTGAGGAGGGACAGTTGCTTGTTCGGGCTTCCAGATCTGGACGAGGACAAAGGCGATGAGGAGAGTGAAAGCAACCACCAGCAAAGCAATAATACGACCATTGTTCCACTAAGTGATGTTAGTTGAGTCGATGCAGCACAGGGGACAAACACCTACGCTATACTCGAAGCCACCCCATTGGAGAGCCAGGCAGAGGCATACGACTCCAGGGATAAGAGCAACCAAGCCGAGTAAGTTTAGCTGCTGGAGCTTGTACATGAGACCGGTCTTCCCAGTCGATCGACGGGGAACTTGGAGAAATAGGAAGACGAAGGTCAAGACAACGGCGCCAAGGGGGAGGTTTATGTAGAAGCACCATCTCCATGTGACGTGAGTTGTGAAGACACCTCCAATGACGGGTCCAATAGCTGAAGCGATTCCAAAGACTGCACCGAAGAGACCTTGGTACTGAGGTCGCTTCTCAAGAGGGACAGCATAGACAATGATGACGAGCTAACAGTGTGAGTGAGGGTGTTGCCCTCGAGGCAATAGGGGACAACTCACGATACCAGATTGAGTACCAGCACCGCCTAGACCTGCGACAGCTCTTCCAATGATGAAAGCAATCGAGTTTGGGGCGGCACCACAAATAGCTGAGCCAATCTCAAAGAGTACCATGGCAGTCATGAAAGTGGTCTTGATATCCAAGATGGTGTATAGTTTGCCGAATACTAGCAAGAAGGCACAGTTGGTAAGAAGGTAAGCTGTGCCATACCAGCCAAGGTCACTCGCAGCATGGAAGTCGTTCGTGATAGCGGGAATAGCAGTCGAGATGATGAGTTTGTCCTGAAGACAGTTAGTTGTGTCATAGTATCGAATGTTTACAGGACATACCAAGGCAACCAGGAACATGCTGATATAGAGCGAAATCATTAATATGGCAAACTTCATGCCTTTTGGGTAGACCACATCGGGCGGGGCATTGTCTGAGGCGATCATTGTGATGGTATATAAGAAGTGTAGTCTAAATAGAGGAGAAGTTGAGGTTGAATGAGCAAGTTGCTAATACAGTTGTAGAATGTAATTGTTGTGGAGGATATGATTGAATTGGATCGAGTGGAATCATTGAATTCTCTTGTTGTTATATATAATTATCGGTATATCACAAAATGTCCGCCATGAAATCCATCGACAATGTCCGTAGAGAAATGGTATTTCGGACAGTCAAAACTGACCAATGAGCTTACACCATGACCGTCCGACCGTCCGCTGAGTGACCCTCCACGAAGGATCAACGTCCGAAAATCCTTCGTTTGTCCGCTCTTATTGCTTGAAACAAAGATGAGAGACTGAGCCGCTTTATTTAATTATTTCCATTCCGTTTATCCGTCTTACTCAATATGAATATAAGATTGAATGGTTATCGTTTAACCGGCAATATTAGAGACCATTACTCAAGGAACATTCCGTGATTGACTTTGGGTTCTCACGAGGCGTATTAAACCAGATCTCAATCAGTATATTTTACAAACTATACAATATATCTTATTTTGTTCTCTTCTGTTGGGTATCATCGGTGCTGAATCACGTGTGGCTCTTAGGATCATGAGTGAAAATGACTTCACGTCCAGTAGTCAAACTTCAGTTTACACTAGCTTCATCATTTGTGTCAGATTGAGAGGCAAATAAGCCCTCACCGCTCTAACTCATGGAAACTCATCAAGCACAGTCAAAACCTCAAACAAGAAAACGTGAGAAGCCAATTCTCAGCTGTACTTTCTGCAGGGGACGCAAGTAAGCCAGACAAACCAGAGTGACACCCAATATGGTGTTGACTGTATTGCAGACTTCGATGCGATAGACAGTCACCGTGCGGCGCCTGCACACGGCGCGGAAAACCTACCGAATGCATCTTCACTTGCTCGGAACAAGAACGCAAGGATGCCATCGATTACAGACCTCATAACAGAAGTCAGAAAGCTCGCCAGAGAATAGCTCGTCTTGAGAATCTAGTGACAGAACTGAGAGATAAGGCTGAGAGCTCAAACAAGTCGATGGGCGACACAACCCAAGCAGACAATGCCTCGAGTGGTTTTGAGCCTACTGCATCAGGCACATCACCAAATGTTCGAATGGGAAACCTGAATCTGGCAGATGACCAGGCTGTGTACACAGGTAGCTCACATTGGGCCACAATATTGGAAGATGTAAGAATAAGACACATTATGAAGACTTTCGACTGACAGGATACTCCAGATTCAACAACTCAGAGATGAGCTCGCTGATGATGGCTCTGACATTGTCAGTGAAGGGTCTTCTCCTTTTGCTAGTGGCTTGATACAGCAGTCTCAGACAGCGAGAATATCTCTACTTGCTAATGTTTCGTGTCTTCCCGTAGACCAGATCCTAGCTTTGGTTCCTCCTCGCAAGATAGTTGACAGATACATCTTTCAGTACTTCAACACTTTCGACTCAAGTAAGTCATGGCTTTCATATTCAGCTAACTGCTAACTCCCTCTTACTAGTCATCCTTCATCGAGGCAAATTCCTTGCAGAAGTCAGCATACAACAAAAATCCAAGGGGACAATTGCTAATCCATCTATAGTATGCAAATTTCTGGGTAAACCCCTCAGGTGCCTCTATCATCTGGGTCGGGTTCTTGTTCAGCATCATGAGTATGGCTGTATCGCTGCAGAAAAAGGAGGCAGGGGTCCATGGCGTGTCCGCTTCTGAACTGCAAACAACGCTGGATACTTACCGAACGCTCACTATCCACTGCTTGGTTGCTGGAGATTACCTTCGTTCCAGCGCGCACACGGTTGAGACACTCATGTTGCACTTTGCTGTTGACCAAGAGGCCGACGCCGATGCAAATATTGGAAACTGGGTTCTCATGGGCGTTATGATAAGGATAGCCATGCGGATGGGTCTTCATCGTGAGCCATCCCACTGGCCAAATATCCGACCTCTGCAAGCTGAGCTTCGGCGACGAGCGTGGACAGCTTTGTACAGCATCGACTTCTTCACCAGTACTCAAATCGGGCTCCCACGTATTATCAAAGATTCCCAATGCGACACTCGCCCGCCCTCGTATCTTTTGGATAGCGACATTGGTTTTGAGCACAATACCCTTCCGCCTGAGAGGCCACATTCAGAACCTTCCATGTTGGCGTTTAATATCCACAGGCATGGAGTTATCAAGGTTGCTGCTGAGATATACGACACAACCGAAGCAGGACCCCCTTCACCAGCTACTATTGCGACCTTACAGGCCAAGCTCGAGAGAGCCACAGATTCCTTGCCCGACTGGCTCAGGCTAAAGCCTCTCGAAGAGTCGATTACGGACAGTCCAGCCACAATCCTCAATCGAATGATGCTTGATATCATCACCCAGAAAGCCATCTATCTCCTCCATCGACACAGTTTCGTCAGAGGGTCAGCGGGAGAAGAGAGTGTCGGATCCAATGAGATATGCATCAAGGCCGCCTTGGCGATCCTGGAGCACCAGCGACGCATGAACGAAGAAACTCAACCAGGAGGCCTCATGTACAACATACGCTGGAGAGTTGCCGCACCACTTAGACACGAGTTCATGCAAGCTACCATGATGCTGTGCTTTGCGTTGAGTAGATACGATGCAGGACGTGATTTGCATCGGCGAAGTGATATCTTGCGAGCTTTGATTTTAGCAAAGGACATCTGGGAGACGAGATCCGACCAATCTCTTGAAGCTCAAAGAGCTGTCAAGGCGATATCGGTCATGCTTGAGCAAGATCGGAAGAGTTCGGTGTCTGTTTCATCACCATCCACCGGTAAGTCTCTTTACCTTTCAAGTCTCGTTATTTGCTGCTGATTCTTGTGTATAGCATTTAATCATTCATCTCTGTCATCCGCGGAGAACCACCTTGGCGGTTTTGATAACACATTCGGTCAAACCATGGCATTGGACCCGTCCTTTTTCTCAGTTGGCGATGACATGACAGCGTTGAGCAAGGTCATGGATGAGTTCATGAATGATACAGCTGCAACGGGATTGTCAAGTTCGCCTTTCCGAAACACGAGCTGACTGTCATAGACATTGGCAAATAAGAAGCGATTTGACGGAGATTCTTGAATCGCCACTTCCGTATAATCATGAATTAATCATACATTTTCAAGAGACGAAACAAGACTCAACCGGAAATGATGCTAGAGTGAAGAATGCACATCCTCAACTAAAGAAGCTCCATCGGCAACGAGTTGAGAGTGGGTTGCCTCGCCCCATAATCACCCGGAAGATGGCGCTGCTCCGGCCTGAATTTGGCCTGCCCCTGGAAGCTTCCAGGATTTGATGGCTTATCGATAAGAAATAGCCTCGAATTCTGTCAATAGACAGTTGATAGAATGTTTTAACATCCTGGCAGTTTAGCTTCTTTTCTTCTATGTAGACAGAGGCTGACAAATAGACGTCACACCACGACAATCGTAAAAGTCTCGAGACCCCAATTCTAGTTCTTCTTTCCAGTCCCTAGATTTTTTTCGTGGCGTTTCGTTCGTTGACATTAATTGATTGATTGCTTACCTGATTTGTTTCACTTACTCAGTCCCCTGATAATTCCACCGAGAGCGCCGACTCCTTGTTCCTGTCTTATTCCTTAGCGGTAGCTCGCCTCAGAAGTCGAGTTAGAGCCAGAATCAGAGATCTCACCACCACAAGTGGCGCCATTCAATGTCGAGCGATCCAAACGATCAACAGCAGGCGGCTGCGCCCGCTGCCCCTGCGTCGTCGGTAGGAGGCTCTGCTGAGCCGCCTAAGAGGATCCCCAAGGGAGTGGTACTAGGCCCTGACGGCAAGCCGTGAGTTTCATCGTTACGCCCTGCAAATGGAGCCCTATTCGACTGACCCTTGTTCAGATGCCGGAATTGTACGTCTTTTGCTGCATGGGCTTCCCAGACAAAGAGTACTCTCAAACAGGATGCTGCAAAGGTCAAGGGTCCTCCAGCCGACTGCCCTCCAGATGTTGAGGTGCTAGGCCGTAGTACATGGACATTGCTTCACTCTATTGCCGCTCAGTATCCGGAACAGCCGTCAAGCGGCCAAAAATCAGACCTTCTCAGCTTTGTCGGTCTATTCTCTAAGCTATATCCTTGCTGGGTCTGCGCAGAAGACTTCCAGGGTTATCTAAAACGAGAAGCGCCACAGGTCAACAGTCGTGATGAGTTCGGCAAGTGGCTGTGCGGCGCACACAACGACGTCAACCGCAAATTGGGCAAGCCTGAGTTCGACTGTTCCAAGTGGGAGGAGCGGTGGCGGACAGGTTGGAAGGATGGAAGATGCGATTAAGCTGTCTCTGAGCTGAGGTTGAGGCTGGCTGCTGGATCGGGCCGGGAGGCTAACGCGCCTACCAATATGTCAGAGGCCTCGACTCATTGTGGTTTCGGTGTGCGGTGTACAATATTTGGGCCCCTGAGCGATTGTACACCGATTGGAGAATGACATGATGGACCGTCGGCTGTTGGCTGTTGTGTGGATACATACATACTCGCGTGGTCAATGCCGGACCGATGAAGGCGTGGGATGGCAATGACTTTTTCTATAGACAGAGGAAGAAATGATGGGCAAAACGGTTTGAAACGTCTATGAGCGGGGCATGGGAATCGCCGATTTTGGATGGATATTTCATGATGGAGCATGAGCTGTATAGTAGATGCGAAGCGAGAACTGCATGCATAGAATCTCATCTCACGGTAATCGATAGATGTACAACAGGTGTAACATATCATGAAGCCAAATACATCAAGTCCCACCATTAAGTGAATGTGAGCATCAATAATTCTGTACACCGCTCTAAAGCAGTGTCCAATTTCCGACATCAGCAGTTATAGCTTCCTCTTAGACAAAGCCAGCCCTGTAGGGTGAGTACGATATTGAGTCAGTTCAATACAGCCATCTCGATGAATGAGGTCAAATTCAGGAACGTAGCGGAAGCACGATATCCCAGGGAGCTGGTCTCGCCAGTTTACCACCCTAGCTGTACATCCCTGCTCGTTTCGGTGAACTCCCTCTAGGCGGCGATAAGAATGATCTGACATGACACGGCTGTACAACACAACTACCGGACCGCCTTTTTGCCAAAAACGACCAACTACAGTTCTCTTCCAAGAGGCATGGCATAGCTAGGGCCAAGGTGGTGTATAGATAGTTCCCAACATCTCAGGTTACCTTACCCTGCAACATCCCATCTCGCAGCCAATGCCTGTCACGGCCCCTCTGAATCCATGCTCTTTATCCGTTGATGAAGAAAAAGATTTGATATCGTCCCGCTATTGTAACACGATATCGGTTTGATATTTTACGGCAAAGAGCGGAAAACATAGGAAAGAAGAGGCTTGAAATGATATTGTTCGTGATAATCGGATGTCGATTACGGGATGTTATCGAGTTACAGTACGACTGAAAGGGCCTTTTACGGACACGAGATCCCTGTCTTGAATTGGGCTTGATGCTGTTTTCCTTGTGATTGCTTTATCGATTGGAGTGTTGTACGTAGAGAGCTGTGAATGGATAGTTGGTTGAGATATTTTTTTCTTCTGTAATGTAATGCATAGTCATCTCTTGCCTCAGCATTACTACACGCGTACGTACGCCAGTGATAAACGTGAATGCTACGCTTGTATGCAAGTTGTGCCGCTTGTTGTTCATACGCAATTTACCCGGTAACTAAGGAAGTAAAGATACAGTGGGACAGTAAGAATAGGTACTGTCGACATACAAAGTCTCGTTATGTCATCCTTGAATGAGGAGGCTATTCAGGGTCGACATGGACATCCACCACCGCAGACCTTGCAACGATAACGATATCGACATCCATGGAAACAATTAATGGTGGTGGTCCCTGGATCTAGGTAACTTAATGCGTACATACGTAGTTGGACCCCCGTTGTCTTGTCTATTGCCGGTCGCACGCATCTCGAGAGGAAAAACAACGCCATTTCTAAATATCCATCCATTCCAATTCCAACCGCAGGCTGAGACTAGCATCTCCGGGTATTGTTTTACGGACTATGATCCCGGCCGGTGCTCGCTCGGCTGCACAGGTCCGGACTAGCCGGGATGGCCGGAGTTGGCTCTGACAAGCAAAGACAAGGCACGCCAAGGATTATCGAGGGTGAATCCATGCAGATTTGATCGTGGCTGGCATCGCATCTTTCCTTACTTTTTCCTCATCGTCCCGTTGTTCCCCTGTCGCCGTCAAAAAGAAGCATCCGATTTCTATCGAGGTATCCACTCATTCTGTGGCATTGAATTGTTTCTAGACGTTCTTAGACCCGTAGTTAGCATCAAGATTCCACCCTTGACAAAGTCTGCCCGATTGGGAGGGCCCGTAAACAGGGCACAATGGCATCATATGATTTTTTGACTGTCGGTCGCTACCTACGCATACTAGGCATACAATGGATCTGCTACAGAAGGGGAGAGAAAAAAAAATAGCTGCGGCTAATGCAGAGTTAGAGCCTAGTTCGCAGTAAAAGAGCCGCCCTCCCGTGTGCGTGGCGTTGACTCTGGTAGCCCGTGGAGGGTCATTACATCACCATCAGAGGACATTTATCGCCGTCACCGTAGCTTTTATTGTACTGTCACTCACTATCGCGGCTTCGGCCGCTTCTAGTCGGGAGCGAGCGAGGGAATATCGTGACATTCTGAAGCCGAGAATAACGGTCAAATTTGCTACTGGGCTTATGCCCGTGCTGTCTCCTTGACAGGTCCGATTCTAGTGACACTTACAGGGCCAGAACAGGACAGGACAGGACTGGGCTCATTTTGACCATGGTCTTATTTTTGGTGCAATCAATCAGATCAGATCAGATCAACCCATTGAGGTTTAGAAGCAAGGAAGAGCAAGGATATCATTGGTGACAAGCTACACTGTAAGGTAGGTAAACTGCTGAGTGTACACCCGATTTGTGAGGGTGCACACCTGCCAACAAGCTTCAATTGTATTGCTCATAGTCATAGCTCTACAGATACGTACGTAGTAGCTAAGCAACCAAGGTGAAGCATCAAACGTATAAACACCTCCTTCCCCCTCCACCGAAAACATCTTCTCTTCCTTCCTCATCATTCCATCGATCAAACAATCAATCACATTCCTCTTTTGGTTGTCTTGGTTACTTCTTAACCTAGACATCTCATATCATCTTCCCCTCATCCTCTAGCATCTCACTCATCCTACAAATAAGCTTCGAGCTTCCTCTATTACCCCTCCATATCAACCTTTATCTCACCTAACAATTTACCGATCAATCCGCAATCATGAGCAACTCCAACCTCCAAAAGCCAATTGACGTGGCTGAATACCTCTTCAAGCGTCTCTACGAAGTCGGTGTTCGATCTGTTCACGGTGTTCCCGGTGACTACAACCTCGTCGCCCTCGACTATCTTCCTCAATGCAACCTCAAGTGGGTCGGCAGTGTTAACGAGCTTAACGCTGGTGAGTTTCATCATGACTTCATCAACAACCTCAAAGCACCATCTCACTAACATAACAATCTTAGCCTACGCTGCTGATGGGTATGCCCGTGTCACCAAGATGGCTGCTCTCATCACCACCTTCGGTGTTGGTGAGCTCTCTGCCGTCAACGGTGTTGCTGGCTCTTACTCCGAGCACATCCCCGTCGTCCACATTGTTGGATGCCCTTCTACCATCTCTCAGCGTGACCAGATGCTTCTTCACCACACTCTCGGAAACGGTGACTTTGATGTCTTTGCCAACATGAGCGCTCAAATCTCTTGCAACGTCGCCAAGCTCAACAAGCCCTCCGAGATTGCCGAGCAGATCGATACTGCTCTCCGCACTTGCTGGCTCCGCTCTCGTCCCGTCTACATCATGGTCCCTACCGATATGGTCCAGGAGAAGGTTGAGGGTGCTCGACTTGACACCCCCATCGACCTGTCTGAGCCTCAGAACGACCCCGGTAACGAGGACTTCGTCGTTGATGAGATCCTCAAGGCTATGTACGCTGCTCAGCGCCCTGTCATCCTTGTCGACTCTTGTGCTATCCGCCACCGTGTTGTCAAGGAGGTTCACCAGCTCATTGACAAGCTCGACCTTCCCGTCTTTGTTACCCCCATGGGTAAGGGTGCTGTGAACGAGGACCACCCCAACTATGGTGGTGTCTTCGCTGGTGACGGCTCTCATCCCGCTCGTGCCCAGTCTATCGTTGAGGGCTCTGATCTCCTTCTCACCATTGGTGCTCTCAAGAGTGATTTCAACACCACCGGTTTCTCTTACCGCACATCACAAATCAACTCTGTTGATTTCCACAGTACTCACTGCAAGGTCCGCTACTCCACATACCCCGGCGTTGCCATGCGTGGTGTCCTCCGCAAGATCATCGACCGAGTCGACCCCAAGTCTATGCCCGCTCCTTCTATCCCTGAGGTCAGGAACGAGGTCGAGATGAACACCGACGACTCTGAGATCATCACACAGGCCTGGCTCTGGCCCCGTGTCGGCGAATACCTCATCCCCAACGACATCGTCGTCACTGAGACTGGTACCGCTAACTTCGGTATCTGGGACACTCGATTCCCCCGCAACGTCACCGCCCTCAGCCAAGTTCTCTGGGGCAGCATCGGCTGGTCCGTTGGTGCTTGCCAGGGTGCCGCCCTCGCTGCTAAGGATGCTGGCAAGGAAGGCCGAACAATTCTCTTTGTTGGTGATGGATCTTTCCAATTGACCGCTCAGGAGCTGAGCACCATGATCCGACATCACCTCAAGCCCACAATGTATGTTTTCAAGACTGATCATCTCCTGTGTCTTTTACTAACTCTTGTTCTAGTTTCGTCATCTGCAACGATGGCTTCACCATTGAGCGATTCATCCACGGTATGGATGCTGTCTACAACGACATCAACAACTGGAAGTACAAGGACCTCGTCAGCGTCTTCGGCGGCGAGAAGACCTGCAAGACCTTCCAGATCAAGACCAAGACTGAGCTCAACGAGCTCCTCACCAACAAGGAGTTCAACGCTGCTGAGTGCTTGCAATTCGTCGAGCTCTACATGCCCAGAGAGGATGCTCCTCGCGCTCTGATCATGACTGCCGAGGCCAGTGCTAGGAACAACGCTAAGAAGCACTAAACGGTTACTCAAGAAAGAGTGAAATTTGATAGACGGGGTTTTGGAAAACGTTCCTGGAGAACATAATAATGATTTAAGTGGTTTATGGTTTATACTATAGAGTGGCGGACGATGGTTTATGTTTTATGTGCCTCAAATTGAAAAGCGATTTTCTTATATCTTTAATATTCTCTTATCTAACTGGTGATGGCTAGCTATATTATTGGTTGTCGACAACTTGGTGACGCATGTTTACAACGTTGTTATTCAAACTCTACTGAAATAATTCGAATGAACATAACTTATGAACGAGTTAACCTTTTAATCTCAAAGTCTGCGGCATCTGAAGATGTGGGCTGTGATATGCTTCATCATGCGGTATCTGAAGTCTCTGGCTTGTTACGATTTTTTGTTCAGTAGCATCTTGAGCCACCTTCATCTATCCTTTTCTAGTCAACTCGATTCAGTATAAGAGATCTTTATTTATGGTAAATAAAACATATCAGCATAGTTCAGAAATATTTATTAGCTTTCTCTCTTCAAATGTTGATCGTCTTTCTCAACTATAAAGGCACCAATCAGCACACGTGATTCGCCTCTACCAAAATTCTCCACGCGCAACGACCTAGCTCAACAGCAACAAGACTCACTCTCCAAGCTTCATTTTGAAAAGGCTACTGCGGCGTCACGAATATCTATTTGCATATATTTTATCAGTTACAGTAGGATATCAGAGGTGATCATGAGTGACGGAGCTGGAAAGCGAAAGCAGGGCCCTGGAGGCAATGGCCCAGCCACCAAGAAGAGCAAGGTAAGCAAATAAGGAGCCATTGTCGGCGATCAGGCTCTTATTTGGCCCTGGAAGACTGTTCATGGCTTATTGAACAGACTGGGCTAACATTTGAAAAGGGAGGCAGTGGTGGTAAATGGCAAACGCCACACCAAAAAGCCAGGAAAACTGAGCAGGCCGAGCTTGGAAGGACTTTAGAGGTCAACGATGCCGGAATCTGGGTGACTTACGCGAGAGGAATGAAGGGCAAGGCGATTACGGAGTTCAAGAACCTTTGTAACGAGGTATGGCACTCGCTCATGATACCCTTTCAGTCTATTGGAGGGCTTGGTAAACTAACTTGTTTCAGTACGGAGAGTCACTGTTCGGAGTGAAGCCCCCGAATGAGGATGGAGACAACGACGAGGATGATGAAGATGCCGGTGACATTGAGGCATCTATCGAGAAGGAGTTGGCCAGCATGGCACAGCCAAAGCCCAAGACGAAGCAGACCTTCACACCCATCGGAACTGGCCTCGACTGTGTCTTCTTCATGAAGACTGTCAAGCCCGTTGAACCTCTCAAGCTTGTCACCAAGGCCTGTCAGGATGCCAAGGACTGCCCGGATCCTATGCAACGCAAGACCAAGTACATCAACCGCTTGACGCCTATCTTTGATACGGACAAGGCGACAGACAAGGGTATTGAACGCGTAGCCCGCACCGTGATGGAGTCTCACTTTGAACTCAAAAGCGAGTCGGGAGAGGATGCTTCCGCAGAGCCCGCTACATCAGAGCAAGATGGTGAGGGGTCTGCAGCCTGCACGGTAGGTAAACAATGTGATTCGCGGAAAGCATCGTTATTTGAAGCTGACGATGACCCCTTCAGTACGCCATCAGGTATAACATCCGGAATCACACCGCCTTCAAGTCGAGCGAGGTGATCAAGAAGATTGCGGACTTGGTCAGCCCTAAGCACAAGGTCAACCTGACGAGTCCCGACAAGGTGGTGTTGGTTGAGATTTTCCAGGTAAGCGGCCCCTCCTCTCGCGTATTGGACCTATCGCGGTGGCACGTAGCTAACTAGCGTTGAGACGTTCTGCGGAGTCTCGGTTGTTGATGGCAAGGAGAGCGAGGAGCTGAAGCGTTACAATCTCAATGAGCTGTACAAGGTGGCCCTGGAGGATAAGCAGCAGAAGGGAAAGCCTGAAGGCGAGGGAGCCGCGGAATCAACGTAAGCTATCTTTTGAGCCACTCGCGTGTGAGAGGTGTGTTTGCCTATTAGTATTGGACATTCCAGACGAATCGAGGCCCTTTTGCCTCATGGCTGCACAGAGGAGACCGTTGGGGTCTGATTCGAGCAGGATCACTTAGGTTTCAACGTGGTGTGGTGTCAGACAACCAACCACCCATCCATCCAGTCAGTGGAAATATGACATAGCTATGTGCAAAGGTGGTATTTCGATGTCCGAAGTTCCGTGCCAGGATAGCCAAGCATTTCATGTATCCAATCTACTTGGGGCTATGGGGTTTTGCAACAAACTCAACAGGGAGGATTAACAATACGACCCCCAAAGTGCAGGGTTTCTCTTCCCCAAGGAATTGGGAAGGCCACACGGCGATGGGGACAGAGAAGGATCGGCATATATCGGTGAATAGAATGGGATTTTCTGCCAGAATATCATGAGAGACAACAGAGTGATTATGCGTTTCAGCGGCTGCTGGTCAACAGTGGAGAAGTCTACGTGCTGCTATTATGGGGGAAGCTACTACGATCTATCGTGTCTAGCTCTCAAGCTACCCCAAGATTAGGGATCGAGATATGGGCTTTGGCGCACAACTCAGGAGATTGACCAGCCGTGGCTTTGTTGTACACGGGATGTGGGACGTGCCGTAAAGCTAAGCCAGGCAAAGAAGTGTGTATGTACCGTATCGCACTCGGTGAAGTGAGAGTTGAAGGGGTGACATTTTTACATTCTTTGACAAGGAGACTGAAGTATAATCAAGGTCATGGTTGAGGTTGGAGTGGGTATGGGTATATCCATATGCGATGGTAAGGTTTGGACGAAACAGGTTGAGGCCCACGTATGCCATGTACCTTAACTTATGTCACGTCACATCGAGAATACCGAGAATTCCATGACCATCAGAGATTCGACTTGAGATTTTCGGCTCCGAAGTTACGGGCCAGTCGTTCTTGGCCTGTCCTTGTGCTCGCGGTACATTCCCGTGTTGTTAATTAAAGCAAACGGGTGTGGCTGAAGATAGTTTTGTTTTGGTGCAGTTTTAGGTGCTTATAAGAAGCAAAAAAAGAAAGGGAAAGGAAAAAAAGGGCTGAGGGGCTGAACAGACAGCGGAACCAGTCAGTGGTGATTTGGAATATGAGGTACGATAATATGATGATGGTAGCGAAGGGGTTATTGTTAGTCTAGGCTGCAGTATAAAAGCAAACGGGTCTAGACAGGGGCTGTTTGCGTTAGCGGAATGTGACCCAGGTCAGCTTCGCTTGTGGTAGCCAATCATAAATTTCCCGACTCGCTTCTCGATGCACGCCAGAGGCTTCGTCATTGAGAGTCTGACATTCCGCTCTGTTTTTCTTTTCTTTCTCTTGTGAAGGCGATGGGCGCATGATAATGTCATCTGATGCATGTTGACTCTCACCAAAGTATACAGAGTCATGGTCACGGTATCCCAAGGGAATGGTAACTAAGATCAACTAGAGAATGCAATGCGGTGCTGTTAAGCTTGGTTGGGCTCGATAGTGGTAATGGCTCGCTTCAAGATTCGCAAATGGGCCAATGACTGTGCGGTTCTCGTTCCGATCCGCGCTTCTCGATGTCGATCTCTGAGGCTAGCTAGCAAACACTATAGAACCACTAACTTCAGCTCATAAGCAGAGCCCTACGGGAGGTTGCAGTTTGCATTCTGCATGTCTTCGATCCTTCTTCTAGTCTTTCGGAGTCTATTCCGTCCTCACTTCTTGGCGTAATATCTGCGCAAGAAAGAGGCTTGAACTAAGGCTGCGGGCGTCTTTCTACTTGGTAACAGGCCCCCCCCCCCCCTTGTTCCTTGCGCTGTACATACTTTTCGTCTTCTGTGGTCTTCTAAAAAGTTTCGCTTGCTTGGCTACCCCAGGAGATGCTGGTCCGTTTCGGCTTCACCGTTCCGGCGGGATCGAGTGTCTATCCGTGAGAGATGTGTGTTGTTGTATGTAGTGTGCATCCTTGCTTGCTTGATGCTATATCACCATATGATACGGTCAAGAATGGCTTCGGGTTCTTACGTGTTATATTCTCTTGTATTTCTTTCTTCCTTTGATCTGTTTGTTGTCTTTATGATTGAGTGACTCCAGCTCATCGCCAAGTGTCTGTTTGTTCTCCGTTCAGCCAGCCATTGAATTGATTACCTAGTTATTACTGATATTAAAGGTTGTTGAAGAATACTACGAGACTAAACAAAAGTGCCTCTGACCCTTCAGTTACTGGCTCGCTACGTCGACCATTTACATTTCCGTTTACGCCCCCATCTTTTCGGTTCCCTATTCCGCCCTCGCTCGTTCGTTCGCAAGCGTGGACCCTACAGAAGAAGGGTCCGTCCCTTGGCTAGCTTCTGTGCATTCCCCATGATTCTCGCTTCTGCTTCTTGATCTCGCTCGTCATGGCCAGTTTCGCTGACCAGGCGGTGACATTCTATCCCTGTATATTCCGCCTTTTTGTGTCTTTATTCATGTAAATACTACTACTACTCCGTCTGTCGTTCGTCCATTCACTGCATACACCCACCCATCATCATCACTTATTCTCGGACCCGAGAGATATGCTGGCGCAACCGTTGTCTGTCAATCCTCCCCATGCACTCTTCCTCCTGGTTTCTGATTAGCTCTCTTTGCCTGCCGGTTTTTTTGTTGTTCTTGCATTTGCATACGCATGGGGCGTTCGAGAAGGCGAATCTAGCTCCTGTATCGCGGAAGCTAATAACAACCTCCACTACTACACTACACCCTTCATCTACCCACTCTATCCTAATCCTCCTCATATATCATTTTCTACTACTTTCTCTAAATTTATCTACTCAGTCTTCCAGATAATTACTTGTCGTCAGCACTTCTTCAATCTGTCATCCTTACTCAGCTATAATAGACGGCGAGTTTAAGAGTCTACTTACTCCCATTATCGAAACTTTCTGTCTCATCTCGTGTTGCAGAGTATCCTGTCAGACATGAGTAGAACATACTGTTCACTCTCCTCTCTATACTAAAGGCTATCGCCTACTTAAAGCCATTCTATGCGACTCCTTTCGCCTCGTCAGCGCTTCAGCCCATACATCAGATCAGATCAGCCATTCTCCTGAATATCACATCCTACATATATATCCTCTTCCCTATGACTCGAATGTCGTACCAATGCACCCTTCGGGACGACGGCAGTCTGCCCCTCCTGAGCCATTGTGTTACGCAAAAAAGCTGCAACCTTGTACATGACAATGTCCCCCGTTCGGCCCGAAACCTGAGCTCTACTGAACCATCTCCAAACGCCCCTATCTCCCCCTCTTCTTCCTCGACCTCTACTCCCAGTCCCATGGCGGCTGCTCCGCCAGAGAGTTCTGTCCTCTCCCTACTCAACGGCATCAGCCCTCGTCTGGCGGTAAAGGAACTCGAGGTGGTTCCTTCGGCTCGACTGCAGCGTCTTTATAATGTCAAGGTTACAGAGGGCCCGAGTCTTTTATTGGCGCTACCCCCACCTGCAGTTATACGGCTGCTACGCTCTGAGAAATCAACCCTTGGTACTGAAGCTGCTGTGCTCAAGTGGCTTTCCGCTGTTGCGAGAGAGAGGAAAATCTGCTCTGGCGCCGGGGCTAAAGAATCCACAAGCAGGACAGTGGGAAACCCTCTAGTGAATGAGACCAATGCTCAATTGATGACTGGATACTTACCTACCCTTGTTCGGCATGAGTCTATTGCCGGTGTACAACCAGTTGAATATAACCTCATCCGACCGCCAAGAGGTACTCCCATATCCACACTATCAAGACCCCTAGACTCCCGTGAGCAATGGACAGTGGACTTCCAGACTGGCCAACTACTCCGTCGGATATCCAGCCAGGTTTCACCAACCAGGAGATTTGGTATTGCCGCTGATGTCCTTTCAGTGCCTCCTTCAGTTGTCCATCACCCACCACAACGTTTTGAAGGAAGCTTGGCTGATTCAAACGGTGCTGATTCCTGGAGAGTAGCATTTCATAGCCTGTTGGAATCGGTCCTTAGAGATGGAGAGGACTTGACCATTATGTTCAATTACAATAACATTCGACACCACTTCGAGCGTTTCCAACATCTGCTTGATGCAGTAACGAAACCGCGACTAGTTGTCTTAGATGCCGGCGAAGACTCTAATACATTAATACACCGCCCATACGAAAGCGAGAAGAAATCTCATATGCCCCTTAAAGAGGTGCAGTCGCAACCGAAATTAGGAAAAGGGGTTTCGAGGAAGCCAGACAATGGTGGAAAGGTGCGACAAGACTACACGATAGTCTTTCAGGATGATACCAACATAAAGGAGGAATATATGATAACAGACGAGCCAAGCCAAAACCCCATCGAAGTAACGGGTTTACGACAATGGAGCAACTGCGTATTCGGCGATCCCCTCCTGGCCACCATCTTCAGCAAACGACCCCGACCCACAGATGATTTCTGGCGAGGCTTCGACAAGCCACTACCAGGTGAAACAACGACAAGCATCATCGAAGATCGAGACAATGCACACATTCGCATGCTGCTCTACGAGTGCTATCACGCAGTGGTCACTCTGGTGGGAGAGTATTACAGGCCGCAGACCGACAGCAGCAGGCGAGAACTTGCAGCTCGAAAACATCTCGGCAATGTGCTGGCTCGGCTTGAAGAACTTGATGATCGGGACCAGCAGCGGCGTAGACGTATGAGTGGCGAGATATCACCTGCGAAGAGACCGCGCTCTGGACAGGAGAGCGACGAAGATAGCGAACCTTGATGATATACGACCATATTTACAGGCCAATGGCTGTTGGCTAGCGGTACGAGTAATACACGAATAGACACATATTATGATTACTCCACCGCAACATGGTTGAATGTGAAAAGTATATCTCGTGAAATAAAATGAGCAAAGTGTCCACTGACAAACTATGCTCGTTCTTTGCCCTTCCCTTTTGCTGAATCATTGCCAGTCTCTTCATCTTCCTTCTCATTCTCATCTTCTTCATCTCGTGGTAGCTGAAAGCCCATCATACCTAACAAGTTACCAGTCGGTCCAGCCATGCCAGCCTGGCTCTTGAAACTTTCGAGTAAGTTCTTTGCCAGGTTGTAATCAATATCGACTTCCTCCTCACTGTTCTCTTCTTCTTCCTTGATGTCTGCTAGGCTACTCTCCCCCCCTTTTTGAGTTGCATCTTTCAGACGGGGTTGCTTCTCAACAGGGTCAAGCTTGAGCGCGCCATGTTCGTTGAGCTCTGCTTCGAACTCCGTGGTGAGCTTCTGGATCTCTTCGTCCTCTTCATCAATTACGGGGGGGTTGGACTGAGCTGCGGCCTTCTTTGCCGTGTTTGTGCTTGAGTCTGTGGATGGTAGACCCATCATTTCTCTCATCATCTTAGCAAACTCCTCCTCGTCAAAGCTAACCTCCTTGTCCTCGGACTCGCTGTCTTCGTCAAATTCTTCGTCGTCGTCATCATCATCATCATCATCATAATCCATTTCGTCAAGTTCTGCGCCGTCCATTCCAGCACTATCATCATTCAGAAATGCTTCAAAGCGAGACACAATCTTGCGAAGATCAGATTGTGTATTCGCATCTCCAAACCCTGGCTTGGAGTTGGAGGAAGCGTTCTCTCTTTTGCCATCCAGTTCCTTCTCGAAATCTTGATAGTTGATGTCCATCCATGCTTCGCTATCATCAACATCGTGATCCTTCCATGACTTGATGTCTTCATCTGAGGGGAGAGCCTCGTTGCCATCCTCTGCAAGATCCTCAAGTTCGATCGCGAGCTCACGGACAACTCTGCTTTTGCTCTTTTCAGCCTTCACAGCCAGCATTTCGAATCCACAAGTGAGCTTCATCCCAATATCCAGTCTCGCCATGATTTTGTCTGTCTCGCCTGAAGGTGCTTCTTTCTGGGCTTTCCGAAGGACTTCGCTCCAGCTCGGCGGGGCATCGAACCGTTGGGATCGCAACTGAGCGAAAAGTACCTTGCTAAACCTGACAGATATTGTGGTGAGGTCCTCTGGAGGGAATGTGAATGGTTGGGTTGGTGAGATGACACGTTTCAAGGCGATCGGGTCTCGGAGATAGAATTCTTCGACTGCTGGTGCAACCGATTTAGGGAGGGAGTGGAGGATATATGCTAACTTCCTCGGTATCGTAATGAGGGAATGGTGTAGAGATTCACTGATCTGCCCAGGGTACTTTTCAAGTCTGTAGAAGGCTTCGGCTTCGACGAAACCTGAGTGAACAAGTGCATCGCGTTTCGTTTTGATCGCTTGAACTGCATCCGGTAGTTCAAGATTGCGAGCTCTGAGACCTTCTTCATCTTTGACGGGGATAAGAAGAAGGTTTCCTTTGTTAATCCAAGCTCGGTTGTTGTCAATCTCGGGGTTCAACCATCTGGGCAGCACATTGGCTGCTTCGACCAGGAGGAACTCGCCGTCTGTGTCAAATACCCGGATCCAGAGGTTGGGGTGGGATTTTGATAGTTCTCTTAGTATATATACTATGAGCCATTCATCTTCTACGGCATCGCTATAATCAGTGATACCATGGAGATACACCAGTCCTGTCACAGATGTCAGTAGGTATCTTGAAAGTGGTGAACGTTGCAAGTATGACACTGACCGTTTTCGTTTTTTAGAGTCAGATTAAACTCATCTTTTTGCCATATGTAGTCTTTGGTAAGTGTGGTAGCAAGCTCTATGGCCGACCTTCGGATATTCTCGATTTGTGCAAGCTGTTTGCGAATATCGACTTGAGGGTCTATGAAAAAAAGAAGATATTCGACACAATTATCTGGCAGTTGATTCTTGAAGTCTGTCTCTTCTGCATCGCCTGTTTGTTGAGGGAATTCCTCCTCTTCTATAATTGGCGACCTGAATGACATGACTTTCGTACGATGCCATTAATAAATTGCATATCCTGATGAGTTGTCGAGGGAGGCTTAGGTTGGGGTTCTGAGTTTATTTATTTATATACGAAAGCTACCGGGTAAGCAGCTTGCGGCGATGTTGGAATTCTGTGTCATTTACGGCAGATCCGCGCTAGCCCTGTTCTGGACAAGGCCCCCACTACAAGGCACGCTTGTCACGTCCCGTCCACCCCAGACGCGTATAGTGGGATACCGGACGCAACTGCCATTCTTTGATCATATCTAATCGCAACAATTCTTGGTAATACCAACTTACAGATTAAACAGTCGTTATCGCCTCTTGTTCTCAACACTCTTCCAATAAGTCCTTATAATAAAGAACCTATATTGATTCCCATACGACAAAATTCAACAATCTTCTTACCAATCGACCCATGACGAGGCTGCCGTGAGCATCGCAGCCATGGCACCCACCAAAAGATCGCGGCGAGACGTTGAACAAGAGGAGGACATGATTGTAGATGTACGACAAGCGCGATCTAACTTCTCGGGAGAAGATACCGTAAGGAACACACCAACCGCCCCCATGCAGCATGCCATCTAACTCATGTGCTATCACAGAGAAAGCGTGCCAGGGTGACCGTAGACGACAGCCAAACGAGAGAAACGCCCCAAAGAGAAAACACGCCGAGCGACCAAAGCGAAGATGACGAAGACCGTAGAAATATGGCCGCCCCGCCACAGACACAATACGAGATCATGCGAGACAACGGCTTCAAACATCTAGAGCACGCTGATTGGGACGACCAGCAAGCGACTCAGAAGCTCGCCAAGCGGGTCATCAATCTCGGCAACAACGTGGTATCTGAGAGTGGTATCATCGAGAGTATTACCTGCTTTAACTTCATGTGCCACGAGCGATTACATGTCAACCTAGGGCCACTGATCAACTTCATTGTCGGAGAGAATGGTAGTGGAAAGAGTGCTGTTCTTACGGCACTGACACTTTGTCTGGGTGGGAAGGCTAGCGATACCAACCGAGGTGGAAGTCTCAAGTCCTTTGTCAAGGAGGGCTGCGAGCAAGGCAGCTTGGTCGTCAAGATCAAGAATGCTGGCTCAGATGCCTACCAGCCCGATATCTATGGCGAAACCATCATTGTCGAGCGCCATTTCTCTAAATCGGGGAGTAGTGGTTTCAAGATCAAGAGCGCCCTAGGCAGAATCATCTCAACCAAGAAGCAGGAGGTAGATGAGATATCAGAATGGTACGCGCTACAAATCGGTAACCCCCTCACCGTTCTGTCACAGGACAACGCGCGACAGTTTCTCAACGCGGCGACTCCAGCCCAGAAGTACAAGTATTTCGTTTCTGGTGTACAACTAGAGCAGTTGGATAACGACTATAGGATGTCACAAGATACGCTTGATAAGACCCTCTTACTCAGGGACGATCTCAATGCCAAGATCGAAGAGGTTAAAAAAGAGACGGAAGCCGCACGCCGACTTGCCGAAGCCGCGCAAAAGAACAAGAATCTTCGTGAAAAGGCGCGGCATTACATTAATCAACTGGTCTGGTCTCAGGTCGTCGAGCAGGAACGTCTCCTTGAGGATTGCGAAAAGGAAATCGCTAGACGGACTGAGAGCATAACCGAGGCGGAAAAAAACTGCGAATCATCGACCCAAGCCCTCGACAAGGTCAACGAGAAGATCGAGAGGCTTTGGCAGGCAAAGGAAGAGATTGAGAGTGATCGAGATACATTCAAGGAACGTATCGATAAAGCCACAGCCGCATACCGCCAGGCACAAAAGGAGGAGTCGGAGCTGCTCAGGGAGGAACGAGATGCCTTCCAACGCCTGAAGACAGCCAGAGATGACATGAAGGCTTGTCAGCGCAAAATCCAGGACGAAGAACGCCGGCTGGGCGAATCAACAGGAAATGCTCGCACACAAAAGGACAGCGAGCTGGCACACGCTCGAAAGCGGGAACAACTCTTGAAGGAACAGATAGACGAAATTCAAAACAACCTTCCTGGCCTTACAAGGCGACTTGGCGAGGCTGAGCAACACTTCAAGAAACTCGCACACAACAAAGATCTCAAACGCAAAGAGATCGTGTCCGTGGAGCAACAAGTTCGAGAACTGAAGGCCGCTACTGGAGGCCGTTTTGGTGGTTATGATAGAGAGATCAGGGACCTTGTCAAAGCCATCGAGAACGAGAGAGGATGGGAACAGAAACCTGTCGGACCTATTGGAGCGCACATCCGACTGTCGAAACCGGAATGGTCAGGGATCCTAGAGAGAACACTCGGCGAAGGACTCAACGCGTTCGTTGTCAGGAGTAAATCGGATCAAACAAGACTCGCGAATTTGATGCGTCGATTTCGCTTGAAGAAGCAGCCCCCAATCTACATTGCCTATGGAGGGAGAATTGACACAAGCAATCAGGAGCCTGATCCTAGATTTGATACTATTTTGAGCGTTCTTCAATTCGACGACGACATTGTCAGATCGCAGCTCATCATCAGCAACCAAATCGAGAAAATTATTCTTATTCGTGATCGAGTCGAAGCTGAACGGGTCATGGTTGAAGGTGTGCCTCCACGCAACGTCAGTGCTTGTCTCTGTTTTCACGACGGTCGTGGGAAGCGAGGATGGGGCCTCAGACTCACCAACCGGAATGGATCTGTTGGTACAAGTCCAGTCCCACCATACACAATGCGCCCCAGGATGCAAACAGACTCTGGTCAGCAGGTTGAGATCCAAGAAGAAAACCTCAAACACTTGGGCCAGGAAATGGCTGAGATCAATCGCGACGAGCGTCAGGCTCAACAAGCAGTTCAGCGATGCAAAACAGAGCTTGACAACCAGCGGAAGGATGTCAAGAGGTTTGAGAGCGATCTTCGTAGAACGCAAGCTGACATGGAGCGTGTGCAAATGGAGTTGGATGCATTCGAAGGCGTTGATGATCGACTGAATATATTGCGAGCTGAGCTCGAGTCGAGACGATCTGAGGAGGAGCAGCTTGGAAACCAATACGGAGAAATGGGATTGGCGAAGCGAGATCTGAAGCAGAAGGCCGAGAAGGCCCGGCTAAAGCTTGAGGAGGAAAAGAACGAGCAAGAGGACTGGCAAAACCGAGTCGACAAAGCAGCACAGAAGGTTGCGACGGCTGAAAATATGAGGAAGTCGATTCTAGCAGAGAAGAATGGTGCTTTCGAGAGCCTTGACATCGCCAAAAACGAACGGCGACGTGCCGAGGAAAGGAGGGATAGGAAGGCCGAAGAAGTTGCCAACTTCATAGAGCAGGCCAGGCAAACAGCACCAGAGCGAGTTCACATTCCGGATAACGAGACACACAGCAGCATTGAGCAGAAGTACACCAAAATTCGGGAACAAATCAAGCAGCGAGAGTCACGACTTGGAGCATCAGACCAACAGATTTACGACCGTGCAACCGAAGCTCAAGAGCGATATGAAGATGTTCAGAGACAGACGCAGGATGTTGACGATACCATCGTGGCTCTCAAACGTGCTATTGAGAGTCGCCTACAAATCTGGCGCAAATTTCAGCGGCAGATTAGCGCGCGAATTCGCATCCAGTTCAACTACCTTCTCAGTGAGCGAGGTTTCCGTGGCAAAATTGACCTCGACCATAAAGCGCGTAAGGTCTTTCTCCAGATTGAGCCAGATGAGACGCGTAAAAGCTCAGCTGGAAGGAATACAAAGACTCTATCCGGTGGAGAAAAGTCCTTTTCATCCATTTGCATGCTTCTATCAGTTTGGGAGGCGATTGGCTCGCCTATCCGTTGTCTTGACGAGTTTGACGTCTTTATGGACAATGTAAATCGTGCCATCAGCACGAATATGCTGGTGAGTAATTTCAGTACCCGTCCGTGGAAGAGATTGATGGCAGCTAACAGAAAATACTCAGGTGGACGCTGCCCGTCGTTCAGTTTCACGACAGTACATCCTTATTACCCCTAATGCTATCGAAGGTCGGGCACGGTTAGACAAAGATGTCAAGATCATTCGGTTTGTATCCCCTCATTCACTGCAGGATTGAGTACTGACGACTCTTTTCAGGCTGACGGACCCTCGTCAACGAACACTTGACAATTTCCAGTAAACGATATAGTATACTTGACACGCGCATCTTGGAGTTGGGCGTCATAGGGAACATGAGTTTTATGGGGGGCGCTTAGAGGATGGGCAGACAAAAACACTCGCGCATCGTGGAGTTTGTTAGGAGTGATACCAGCGTACTTTGTCGGAATGGATTTTGTACAGATTCGAGCAATGCCTTCCTTGGCCCTCAGATAGCGCCAGCGTTAGATGTCATTACAACATGCGCCTGCTGAGGCCTCTATTCATAGATATGTTACACACGACTCATACATTATTCTACAACTATATCTTCATTTCTGGCCAGTCCCCTTAAACTCTGACGCCCTTGCTCCTTAGTATATTCACACCAGCGCTGAGTGTGTAACCGGCCCACTGACCGAACGATCCGACCATACCACCAACGGACTCGACCTCGCCTAGTCTTCGCTGAAGGAATTGCCTTGTCTCGAAAAAATCGGGAGATCGGTCGTTGGTCATGAATAGCTCGCTTGTGCTGTATATCATAGAGAGGGTGGCACGCTTGGTGTACCACGAAGGGTCGACGGCCTTGTCACCGGCAAGGAACCAGATTTCATCGGAAAGTTTTGCCAGCTCCTTTATGGATTCGGGGACGTAACTGGGCTGAGCCATGACGGCCAATGCCTGTAAAGCGGAACTGTAAGAATAATATATCATGAAAGCCAGGGCATGTATCTTACCTCTTGCCAACGATCCAAAACCAACTTGTTACCCATAAGTCTCTCCCACGTCAACGCTTCCACTCTCGCCGAGACCCCAGGCTGGTTGGGATCAGGGAATAGTTCTTGGCTTCGAGTTGCTAAGGCCTCTCGCTGGGTAATAAGATGATATCGAATCAGACCAAAGGCACCGTCGGGGATGACGCTCACGCTAATATCAAGGTAGCCAGCGTCTCTTGCACCGCAACCAAGAGCCTTCTGTGAGAAACCATGTTCCGGGACGTGTTTATAAGCCGCAGCGAGGATGGACTTTTCAGCATCGCCAAATGCTCCTGGTGGTGGTGGGTGATCGTATGAGTGGAAGGGTCGGCGGGCAAGGCTTTGTGTCAGCCTCGAAGTACGCAAGGCTGATCTTGGTAGCACTCTCATAGACGCTGACATATTGAATGATATGGCAAGGTATAAATTAGTCTTCATGAAGATTCCTGCTTCATCAAAATGGGTCGTTTTTTGGTGTTGACGTTTGCGATTTGTTTTAGATGCTTTACCGTCTTGACCAATCATATTATCCTTTTGCCCCGGAGTGGACCGCGGCGGGAGCGCTCGGACCACCCCCGGAAGCTGTAGATTGTTACGGCGGTTTTAGTTCCGCCTGATGCACGCACGCACGCACGTACGGGATCGGCAGATGTTGTCAAGGGGTACGTACTTTCATGATTAGATGCAGACTAGAGCAGCTGACTGATACAATACGATACTCAAACCACTGGTAATGGCACGGCATTGATATTGGATAGTTTCGTGAAACTGACCATAGAAAATGCCTCATGCGGTGCGAACTCGAGTTTAACGCGAACAACATATGTACAATATCCGAGCTTCGATTCCGTTGAATCACGGTGCTGAAGCATGTAGACATTTCTCGGTTTCGGGAGTCGGATAAGCAGGAATTAGCCTCATATTCAGTCCCTCAAGTACTTAGACGATACTGGGCTGAGTCTTGCTATCTACCTGAAGTTACCACGGGTCTTGTGCATAACAGATGGCGGGGTTCTGGTGGAAGAATGTCGTGCTTTCACTTCCTGTCTCTCATTCCCAGGTGTACAATGGCTCCAGTGTGATATGCTTGTAAACGATATAAACTGCCTGGTACCATGCCCTTTCCTGGATCAGACCTTGTCTCACTAGTGCGAATTCGTTCTTAATGTTCCGGAGGACCCTCAACATATAACAGGTTCGCGTCTGCCTGGAGAAGGAACCCTGGAGTTGATCTGGCCATATTAACTCTATCCATACAAGTCTCCTGCAGCAACATGTGCGTCTCGAGCAAATCGCGATGCTCTGCTACATTTCCCTCGAGGTAAGATCAAGATAAATATCGTCTCCCCTGGCCTTATCTGCATGTCCTGCCCTTCAAGGCAACAAGGCAGATGTCGTGGAGACTGTAGGCTGGAAGTGCGTACTGTAGTTGCTCCACATGGGGTGCTGCTAACGGCCTGAGCGTCGTTAGATGCATCGTCTGGGATCCGCTAACAACCTTGATGATCGGAGACGGACTCGTTGCCAGAATCTCTGGGCTTGTTGCTTGTTGGTCCTGTGCTCTGCAGTAATATGCGCTATTAAAGTATCGAGATCTCAATTCCTCGAACAGAAAGACAAAAGCGGCCCTTGCTAATTAGTTAGAGTGCTGTATGGATGTTAAGTCCTTGCCCCTCGTGCATCGAGTGGCCTTTGCTATCATCACCAGTCCTCTCTAACCTCGGCGCTTGTTGGTGCCCATGCTAGAGTTGACAATAACGACGACAAGTGTTCAGGCAAAGCCTGTATCTGGACTCCGTATCCTTGCTCTAGATGCAACGTGCTGTGGAAGGGATGTCAAAAACTCACTCTTACCAGTTCGACAGACTGGCATGTCGAACCTGGCGAAAAGAGTGAGATTGATGAGACAAAAAAGCTAACAACCCTGATCCTCAATGCGTTGCAGAGGGGTTGACTTTGATAAAGCGGAAGTCATTGGCTGGCTTGTCCCGCAACTTGGCGCGATAGCTGTTGTGTAACCACGAAAGTCTTTCTAGCGAGGTCAAGGTAGGAGTTGCAAAGGCCAATCAAAGTCTTGATTTCATACATTCAGCGACGCAGGCCTTGCCAGCAAAGTTGACACAGTTTCGAAAGCGCTTTGTTAAACTGTCCCGCGGTGCTCTGATGTTCGCTCGATGTGAGTGATACTGAGCAAGCATACGCATGAGGTGAGAACGCAGGCTGATGAATGAGACGCTGAGTGCGCAGCTGGGGTTGGGTAGGGGTCACAAGGATTGGTCAATGAGCCTTGTAGGTAATGTTAAAAAGCTCACTCTCATATCCGAAAATGGCGGTTCAAATGAGTGACGAGTTCTTGCCTCTCGTATAAGTCAACTCAACAACATAGACTATGTGGTAAAAGTAAATGCAAGACAGCTTTAAGCTGTAGATATGGAGTCAAAGAACTTCATACCTCAAGTTGACAGCAGCCCAAGCACAACAGACCCCTGATGCTGCAAGCACACATCTCCTTGTTCCTGGTACTTGCTAGTGCACTTGAGCCCAACAGGCGTAAGAAACGTAACCCAATGGCAGGTCTAGGATCTCATCAGGTTGGGTGGTGAAACCTGGCATCAATGCAATTTCGACTACCGATGCTGGGTCACGGGTAGACGGGAGACTCGATGACAACGACGCGGCGATTTGCAAACTGCAATCAATCAACCGATGGAGAACGGATGGTGGGCGAACCCTGAAGAATGCAGGCAAGGATATTTACTTGCACTACTGTAATATCAGGCCGCTTGCAGCACACTTTGCAGCGTCGTGCAGACAAAGATGGTCTACTACGTGAAGCCAGAGTTCATCACAAATTACTTACCAAACTATTAATAGAGAGTTTAGTGGAAGACTGACGCCAGCCTTTCACATATGTGTTCGATATCCGCCGGCTTCAAGTTGCAGCGTAGTGTAGTATCGACTGGGGCTGGCGACGGATTTGACTATCAGTTCGAAACTGTTGGGTTCAAGAACAAGAGCAATTAGTTAACTGGAAAAGGATTGCTCGAGGCTCGTCACAACAGTCAACTTCATGAAGAACAAGAAAGTGAGAAGCAGTATCCGTAATGTGAGAAATTTACCCAACACTTGTCAATGAAGTTCAAATCTGGGCAGGAACCACCTGCAGCTTTTGTTCTGCATTCCTATTCCTGCTGTATCCGTAATTTTTTTTTTATTCACACAACGTGGAGGGAGCAACACCTGATAGAGAGGCTATTGAGGAGCCAATAATACAGGTGCATGTAGTATATCTCCGGCATTACGCTTTGTAGAGCATACACCAAACCTCCAACGTAACTTGTACGGTACCTCGTGTTATCATGCTCATGTCCGGTAAGCTTTAGATGTGGAACCCATCACGTCCACCGTCCCTGGTCTTACCCTGGTTCCGTGTCCTCATTCGTCGCCTGGTCTCTTCTCATCTCTCACCCAACGCGTTCTTTTCTTTTTACGACACAAGAAGAGGGAGAGAGCGAGAACCTTGAAAGTCAGCACTAAAGAGCCACAGACACCGAAAAGCCACTTTCGCCATCCTTTTGCCGACGTCTCTCCATCGCTGAGTCCCTCAAGACCCCTTGAAAACCGCCGAAGTCGACACTCTCCCGTCCCAGGCGAAAGAAAAAAGTCGATCAACCAAACCAGACCATTCCCAGAAGTCGGTATCTGGTACCACCACGCCGCACGCCGAGGCCTTTTTCAACCCAGCCAGCCAAGCCCAAGCAAGTCTAAGCCCAGCCCAGTCCACGCACCTGTGTGATTCATCCGTGTCGTGCATTTTTTAATGCTACAATCGCCATTGTTTGGTTGACTGACCGTGGGTCCCTTCAGCTTATCTGGTTTTGGCTTTGCTGCCCTGGTAGCCTGGTAGTGTGTACCTTACCTAGTTAGCTGCCCGTCCTCGTCGCCCCGATAGCTGCCTATCCTCGTTCATCGATCACTCACCATCCTAATATTCCACTACCTTACCTGACGAAACGTGGACACCTACGGCCCGTCTCCGCTTCCCTACGCCGCGCCTACCTCTCCTAGAAACCGGTCGCGCCCGTTCGTCTGCTGTCCGAACTCGCACCCGTCCGTCCTTCGTCACTCACAATACCTACCTTACCAACTTATTACGCGACAAGGCCACCCACCCCATCCAAAAAGGAGCTTTCTCTCTGTACGTCCAGACGTACTACGCACACGATTCAAACCGCAGTCACAATGGGTAAGTTGAAGATGTTTCTTGCTTGATTCCTCGTATCGCGGTTTTATATCATGCGCGGCCATTGCTGCTCTTTATATCACCGTGGTTGGCCATAGACACACGCGTCTGCGCCCATCGAGGCAACGTGCGTGCCGTTCCTTTGCCGTCTCTGCTCGACAGTACTGTACCCATTGCCCTCAATGGCCCCTCGAGGCTCGGCGGACTCTGGCAGTAGTCGGCTGTCCCAACCTGTCTATCGTACCCGGAGCCTGATTGAGCCCGAGTCTATCCATGATCTGAGCATCCTCATCCGAAAGCCTGAACACAACAGATCTTGAGCGTCCTCTCAAGCCTTGTCTGTTGCTGCTGTGTCTTGCATCGTTTGTTGTTGTATCTGCGCATGCGCTCCCACTCCTTGGAGTGTCTTCATCAATCAATGTGATACCACCTCTTGCTTGATGCAGCCTCGGAGGTCCCCCATTCCACTCCAACAGACCTCTCCAGCCGCCTCTTCTTTCTCGCGTCGTCTTTCCCCATCCATTGCATTGCATTATCGAGCCCCCTTACCTGCATCTTCCGCCAAGGTCCACTCGACTCTGCCACCACCCCTCCACTAGAGAGGTTGACCTCGTCTGGCTACCTCAACCAAGCTACCCTCACTCCCTGTTATTTCAACCACTCTTCCTCTCCTCACCATTTTCCACCGTTGCGCATCTTACGCAGAGGTTTATCCTTTCTTAACTTTTTCCCATTCTGACGCTCACCTTTCTATAGCTGATTCCGGTGATACTTATCGACCCGTAAGTAACCTATGTTCATTTCTGACTTACTTTCAACCTTGCCTCGAGCTGCGCTGCTTGTTGAGATTACCTGTCTGTTGGCGCAATTGGCTTTATCGCCGTGCCGAGTTTGTGCGCTCCCCCGCGCTTGTTGATGTTGCGATCTTCGGTCGCCGCTTCGGTCGTTTGGCCTCAGCTACCCGAGCACCTTGATCGCAACATCAATATTAGAAAGAAGCTCGCATTAGCTCCTTTCATCCGAGATCCACCGTCGCGGCGCGCTTTAATTACCGTTGCACTTTTCCATTCAAGATGTCAGGAAACATTTGATTGGAGAGGCAGGCGAATGGCACTGCTCTTCTTGGCAAACGGCTACCGTCTTGCCAGTTGACAGTGCCAGCGGCTGCGGGCAGTTGCAGTGATTCAAACTCAACTTCGCGCGCACACTTGATCTATCCGAAATATCTCAGTTTAACAAAACCCTCCGTCTACACAGCACCAGCGCTCTCTATCTCACCACAATTGCACCTTAGCATGGAATCACAACTTGTACTTTTACCTGCTAACAAGCTCAAGCGTGAGAGGTCACGATCTCCCCGCAGACGATCCAGAAGCCCTGATAGGTCACATCGACGCCGCTCCTACTCTCCTCGCAGCCGATCAGGAAGCCGGGACGAATATCGACGAAACCGTGATCGCTCGCCCATGACTAGCACAGGCGCACCAGGTGGAGGACAAAGTGCTGGATACGGTGGACAGGCACCGCATCGATCTTACGAAGAAAGAGCCGTTGCTCGAGAACAAATGATGAATAATATTCGCGAAACCTCCCAACAGGACCGCCGAGTCTACGTCGGCAACCTCTCGTACGATGTCAAGTGGCACCATCTCAAGGACTTCATGAGACAGGGTGAGGCTTTCAATGCCGCGGAATGCAGGTGGAACAAATGGGACTGACGAAATGGTATAGCTGGAGAGGTGCTCTTTGCCGACGTACTCTTGCTTCCCAATGGAATGTCGAAGGTGGGCTTCATCGCATGATTTTCTTTTCCCTTGGTTGGCTTTCCTTTGTGGCTCTTCATTCCCTCTTAGCATTTCTGGATGGTTGGGTTGACGGGTGGGACGTTGTCCTTGGTTAATTGTAGGGATGCGGGTAAGTTGATTTCCTCCACGAAGTCTATGGCATTGCTAACCTATCCAGTATTGTGGAATATGCTACTCGGGAGCAAGCCCAAGCGGCTGTTGCCACGCTCAGCAACCAGAACCTCATGGGTCGTCTAGTCTACGTGCGTGAGGTAAGTCAAAACCTCGAAGTTGGGCATGGGCATCTTGTTGACAGAATCTGAAGGACCGAGAAGCCGAACCTCGATTCATCGGAGCAACTGGCGGAAACCGTGGCGGCTTCGGCGGCGCCGGCGGTGGTGGTATGCCCGGTGGCTTCAACCCTGGATACGGCGGCGGCGCACCTGGTGGTGGTGCTGGAGGTGGCGGCCGTCAGATCTATGTGGCCAACGTTTGTTCAACCCCGATTTGTCTGTAAGTTGTGGATGTGTGTTGACATGCAGTAGCTTCCTTTCAATGTTGGCTGGCAGGATTTGAAGGACTTGTTCCGTCAAGCAGGTATGTCTTGATTCTTCTCATTTGAACACGTGATTGGGCGCGGTTGGATCTAATCGTTTTATAGCCCGAAACGGCGCCGTGATTCGAGCTGATGTACACATCGGACCTGATGGTCGCCCTAAGGGTTCTGGCATTGTCGTCTTTGAGAGCCCAGATGATGCCCGCAACGCCATTCAGCAGTTCAACGGCTATGACTGGCAAGGCCGTGTTATTGAAGTCCGCGAGGACCGCTATGCCGGCAGCGGACCTGGCATGGGCTTCGGTGGCCGAGGTGGCTATGGCGGTGGCATGCGCGGAGGATTTGGAGGAGGATTTGGTGGCCGCGGTGGTTTTGGCGGAGGACGTGGTGGTTTCGGAGGCGGCTTTGGTCGTGGAGGCTTCGGTGGAGGTGCTCCTGGCGGCCCAGGTTTCGAGCCCCCTGCCAGCTCCGTCCCTCCCAACCCTTTCACTGATTTTGCTACCGCCGGCACCGAGAGGGGAGAAATCATCTACGTTCGCAACGTGAGACTTTCCCATATTTCCTACCCGTTTGTTCCTATACTAATCTCATACAGCTACCCTGGTCGACTAGCAACGACGACCTGGTTGAGCTGTTCACCACCATCGGAAAGGTCGAGCAAGCTGAGATCCAGTACGAGCCTAGTGGTCGTTCTCGTGGTACTGGCGTGGTTCGATTCGATTCAGCCGAGACCGCGGAGACTGCCATTGCCAAGTTTCAAGGCTACCAGTATGGTGGCCGTCCTCTCAACCTGAGCTTTGTGAAGTATCTGAACCAGGGCGGAAACGACGTCATGGACACAGATCCCCACGGCGGATTGACCCAGGATCAGATCATGTAAGAGGAGGACGTTCATTTGTACTGAACTTCATGCAGCTATGTTTCGGTCGACTTTTGTCTTGGCGGCGGCGACCGTCTGCATCTACACACAACGCTTTTTATATCTGGTTGTTTTGTTTTTTTGGTACTTTTCGTTTTCCACATGAGCAGCAAAAGTTGGGGTTTATCAACGGTGGAATCTTAACTCACGGATAGGGGGTCGAAGTCACTATCACCTTGGAGAATAAGTCGATGACTTGGTCTCTAATAAGCTGGGAGCGAGGGAGGATTTATGATGGGCTTACCATACAGAACCGAATGATCCCACCGTTGACACCCAGATGACCGGTCCAACGCACGCGGTTATCAAGTATAGGGTTGCTCATTGTCAATGAAGGAAAAGATGGCTGTTGGCTTCTCAGGAAACAACAGAACTCTACTTAGAATGTATGTCGAGTAATCATCCGAAGGTTTTTAAGAACGATGGCAGGTGGTCTTGGTGAAGGGGAGCGTAGGACTTCAACGGACATGCGTAGCGTCTTGGGGCATGAAAGTCCGCTGGCCGGGCAACGATATAAGTGAAGGTGAAGGTGAAGGTGAAGGCAATGGTAAAGGTAAAGGCAAAGGTCAAGGTAAAACATAGTCACATAAAACTGCATGGTGAATGTCGGCGTTGGGGTAATTTGGTATAGTTGGTTCAAACGTACATGAGGACGATAAGTACTGCCTGGGCCATGCTTTCGAAGCCCTGGCTTGGAGATGATGCGCTGCCGTCTTGTTCGCTATCAGGGCCATATCGACCTGAAGTTGACATGCACTCTTCCAAGCAGCAATAACCTATGACCTAGAGAGGGATCGAGATCCAACGCTGAGGGTATGCAATCTCGGTTCCCAAGTCTACAGACTCGCATGTTGATGTGACAAGTCTCCACCTATTGCCAACCTCGTTCTCTCAGTATGCAAGTCGACAATTGGGAAGTTCAGAATCAAGGGTGAAAGGAATTTGCTAGTTCCCGGAACTTGGACAACAGGCCCCTGCCGGTGAGTGTTCGGAAGGTACAAGAATGAACGTTGCCGAGACAAGCGGGCTCGAGAAATAAGTGGTCCGATAGTCTTCGGCCACCAGCATCAAGCCAAGATTTGATGAAAGTAAGTGTTTGTCTCACACGAGGGTAGTCGAGCTCGTGGCCTCTTGAATTTGTTAGTGTTCCAAGCCGGATCGTCAAATTGCCGTAACCTAAGAGCTCCTTCGATCGATATCTGCCAAGCTCATAGTCATTCCTCCTCAAAGCTCAAAGTGCTACCCATTCTAGCCATTCTCCCTATTCTCCCTTGCCCAGCCCCATTACTCGTCGGGCAAGTGCCTTGCTGTGCTGCGCAATTACCTTTTGATCCATATCAACGTGTAATCAACCAATAGCGGAGGTTGTTGTTTAAGCTTTGAAATAAGCTTGTCTTAGCGATCTTCTTGCGCCGGAAGCTGGCGCATCCGTGGTCCTACTCCTCATCGATGCCAAGACGCCTTGGCAGCCTTACTTTTGACAGAGGAGAATAACGAGTACTCAGAGTAGGTTGAAGCTTTGCCAGATGCACTATCTAGTAAGTACCAAGTCTGGGCTGACGGAGATGGTCGTTCGCCAATATTAACCGGTGCAGAGCTACACGGGAGCTATGTCCACCATTGCATCTCGTATACGTAACCTTTTTAAGAAAGCATCTCCCATTGACCAGATAGATCCGTTGTTGTGTGTTGTTTGGTAGATCAAGATCCCTTGGCGCCGCTCTGCCGTGTGGCTGTGTGACAGGTTAGCTCAACCCCAAGATGCTTGATAAGTCATCCCAATAAGTTCTGTATGAGGTGTCGCTCAGGCACCTTGGAAAGAATACGGCTTGGCTCATACGTTGCATGCGGTCGAATACCTCAGTGATATCTCCCTACATCGTTTGATTACTCTGGCATACCTGCGCACTGAACTATTCTACTTGGCGACTTGTTAGTCGGGATCCTTGGTGTATGTTACCATGGATTAGAGGCTTGCCAGGGGCCTCACGATACTACGAACCAATACTGTAATGACGTTGTTACAATACGCCCAATCTAGGTGTTGTTGAGCCGTCATCGTGTACTGAATCGTCTATAAAACATCTACTCTCCTCGCTGAAATTCTTCACCAGTCTCATCAGTATTCACTCGCAGAGCAACTTTACACCCTAATCTGTAATACCATTCCTCTGTCCTACATTTTCAGCCCAATCCACTGCAAACATGAAATTCTCTCTCTTTGCCGTTGCTCTCAGCACCCTCGCCGCTGCCTCGCCAACTCCTGACATGGAGCATGAGAAGCGCGCCCTTGGTCTCCTTAAGCCTAAGGGTGGCATCCCTTTCACTTTCACTTCTATCTGGGAAGTTCTTGCTACCCCTGATCAGGTTGTTGATGCAGACAACAAGTACACTGGCGGACTGAGGGGCAGCAAGGGCCTCTTCAAGTTTGGCATCAACTCTAACGAGGATGTCATCTGCTATAACATCACCTTGTATGGCTTCCGAGGTGACTACCAGTCTCCCGCCAACACTGCCACCCACATCCACGAGGCTGTCAAGGGCAAGTCTGGACCTCCACGGTAAGTCGATGACGCAGGCCTGTACACAATTGGAGCTATGAAACGCTGACTTTGTATTAGTATCGCCTTCCCCAACCCCGTCGGCGACGAGAAGAGCCGCAACGCTGTCGGCTGTCTCGAGGGCCCATTCCGCACCGGTGTGATCCAGAACGGCCAAGACACTGGTGTAGGCTTCACTCTCAAGCAGATCGAGAAGAACCCCGAGAAGTTCTTCGCCGACTCGCACTCCAGCCTTGCTGTTCCTGGCGCTTTCCGAGGACAGCTCAGCTCAGGCAAGGTGTGCTAAAGGGCTTAGCCCCTTTCCCAAACTTTGCTCGATTTGCCTAATGCGCATATGTTTCTGACAGAATTGGATTGTAATACAACTCCGTGTAAAATTTACTCTTCCTTTGGTAGAAATAATTCAAAGTCATGGTGGCTTGGAGACGTGTTTGGGTATCACATAACATGATAATTCATTAATCCATGATATAACCTTAACCTTTGATGCTTGGCACCTCAGAATTTGAACTGTGAAAAGAGAATCGTTTATGCTGCAGCCTTCTTCTTCTTTGCCTTGGCCTTCTTCTTGCTCCTGTCTCTGGGCTTCAGGGCTGTCATGCCAGCCTTGCACACATCGGCATACCGCACGTAGAAAGCCTCCAGATCCTCGGGGTTGACGACTGTTGAAAGCTTGGCTTTGTTAGAGCGATCCTTCTTGCCCTTGCCATTTGTTGCCCTGATGATGAGGGGCAGAGGCTTGCCAGGGTGAATATCCGGAGAGGGCTCCTCTTCTGAGGGACTGGGGATGCCCTGACCGTATGTGACTGAGAGTTTTCTTAGCGGAATGAGAGATACGGCTGATATCAATACGTACGTCGCTTCTGGCTCAAGTAGATGGCGCCATGGTCGCTGCCCTTGCGATGATTGAAGAGCTCACCCAACTTGGCGAAGAACTGTCATGATGTCAGAATCAAAGCTGCTAGACGATCGTTCGGGTCTCTCTTCAGATAGAGAAGGGAATGTAGACTCACCTCGTCATGGCTCATATGAGAGTCAGCCATAGTGATGGGGTATGAGACTGTCAAAAGACGATGTATATTAAGAGATGAGTGTTAGCCTACCAATATTGAGGTTGACATTGTGCCCCGCCATCATGTCCGGGGCTCAAGTGTGGCGTGCCAGGTTGTGGCAGCAGGTTGTTCGTGGCTTACCTCGGGCGGTGAGATCAATACCTGAGTTTTAGTGGAAGACTCACCAGCACTCAGGTACCCCTGAGTCTCTTGAGATGTGAAGGTATTTTCTGCCGGCAGAATATATTTTCTGTTCAGCATCATCTTCAAACTAATAGAACAGACTCAAAATATTCAGTGTGTATCAATCTAATCTTAAACGATAACTCGCATTAATGATCTGATTCATCTGCAATTCTCAGACCACCATTGCGACAAAATTTCAAGAAGATATCGCCCGAATCGCAATACTCATCATTCACCGCCTGCTAAATTAGGCACAACCATCACCAAAGATCCAGGATCGTTGCTTAAAATTCAGTCAACCTCAGGATTGTAACCCTGGGGCAACACGGCGCTACCCTTCCACTATACTTCCGGTAAGATGACGTCCGCACCAGAGCTTCAACAGAAGCTCTTCAAGCGTATGGGCTTGGATGTTCCAGAACCCAAACCACAGCGCAATGGACCTAGGAGATCGGGACAGCAGCTGTCAAGAAAAGAGCAACGAAAAGCACAACGGGTACAGAAGCGAACTCACGTCTACGCAAGAGCAACTCCACAGCGACCACAACATATAAATAATGCTCAGAGAAGACCAAACACAACGCAGAGGAAGGAACAGGCGAACAAACCTCAGTCACGACCTCCAAAGCAGATTAGCGATGATGAAGATGATCTCGAAGACGAGGATGAGTACGATGCTGGAGAAATTTCGTTGGACGAAGACGATGATTTGGACGACCTGATGGACGACGAAGAAGACGACGACGAAGATGAAGATGAGGAAAAGAACACAGAAGCTAAGAGTGGGAAGAAGGGTGTTTCGAAGGCCGTGGAGGAGAGACTGGCCCAGGACGACGCCGAGATTGAGGCCTTTGAGCGAAAGCTAGGTATTAAGAAGGGACGAAAATCACTACCTCAGTCTTTCAAGCAGGATGGCCTTGGCGATCTTCTAGGGGACCTTAGCGGCGAAGAAGACGTCAGCGACAACCACAATGACAACAAAAAGAGGAAAAGTGAATATGATGATTGGCTGGCATCAAAGCGAAGAAAGACAGTAGAACCTGCAGGTCGACAAAAGGTCCGCGACATGTCTGAAGATGAGGAAGGAGATGATGATATGGGTTTGGACGACGAATCTGGAGATGAAGACGAAGACATGGACCTCATGGATGAAGACGATGAAGATGGGGGTGACTTTGATAATGAGTCATTCGGCGGTCTCGACGACGACGAGGGTGATGCTGCAGACAACACTCCAGCTCAACCGCGACAGAGAGAGAACCCCTATGTCGCGCCCACTACTGGAGTCACGGTTGCGAAATACGTCCCTCCTTCATTACGCAGAGCCGCAAACTCAGAAGAGGAGCGCAAAAGTCGACTAAGGAAACAAGTTCAAGGTTTGATCAATCGTCTTACAGATGCCAACATCTTGTCCATTGTCAAATCTGTGGAGGAGCTTTACCAAAACAATGCACGTGGCGATGTGACAGATGTTATGACGGATGCGATCATGGCTCAAATTTGCAAGCCGGAGAGCCTCCCTGATCAATTCTTTGTCCTCACTGGTGGATTTGCCGCTGCTATTTACCGACTTATTGGATCGAGTTTTGGTTCAGTATTAATCCGCCGTATCGTGGAAGATTTTGGCGGTCACTATGAACAAGCGAGCAAGGAACAAAACGCTGAATCTGCTATTCAAAAGGAAGCCTCGAATATCTTGACACTGCTTTCACAACTTTACGTGTTTGAGGTTGTCACTTGCAAGATCATCTTTGATTACATGGAGAGACTTCTCAGCGACCTCAATGAGATCAACGTGGAACTTCTTCTGCGAATATGCCGCATGGCTGGCCGAATGTTGAAGCAGGATGATCAGCAATCGCTGAAGCACGTCTCTGGCGTTCTTAACCAGTCCGTCTCAAAAGTGGGCTACAGCAATATCTCGGCTCGCACAAAGTTCATGGTTGAAACCATCACCGACCTAACCAAGGGCAAAAAGAAGGCCCGAGGCTTGGACTTTACTGTCGTCTCAGAACATGTACAACGCATGAAGAAGCGTCTTGGTGAGCTCAAGTCTCAATCGCGACGGCTCGATGGCCTTGCTCCTATGGGCGTAGGTTTGGTCGACATAGAGGGAGCTGAGACACGAGGCAAATGGTGGTTGGTTGGTGCCAGTGTACCAACAACTCTCCTAGATAAAAGCAAAAAGGGGCATGTATCTGATGCTGAAATGAGCGATCATGAGGACATGGATATCGTTTTGCCTGATTACCCAAAGAAGGCTCGCGCTCAAGGTTTGAGTGGAACGGCCCAGATTGCAATTTTCACAGCATTGATGACGGCATCCAATTTCGAGCACGCCTACAGACAATTTGTTAACCTGCGGCTTAAGAAGGATGACCAGTTGGCCCTCGCCACTGTCTTAGTGCAATGTGTAGGCAGCGAAATGCAATACAACCCCTACTACGCTCTTGTAGGAGGAAAAGCCTGTCTGAGCAACAGCCGAATCAGGTTTGCGATCCAAGATCGATTATGGAAGATCTTTAGGAGTCTCGGAGAATCCATGTTCGGCGAAGCTCCTGAGGAGGATGAGTCGGCTGATGCTGAGCGCATGAAAGATGAGAGACGCATCACTAATGTGGCCAAGTTCTATGCGGCACTTGTTGCGGATGGAACACTGAATATCGCCATCTTGAAGCCTCTAGAACTTCCTGAGGCGAACCACTGGACATCAATGTTTGTTCAGCTATTCATACTTGCCCTTCTGAAGGAATGCAGGAGCAAGAAAAAGGGCCCAGAGGAAGATATCAAGCTGGAGAAGATCTTTGGTGCTGCCCGAGACTTACCAGGCTTAGCTGCCGGAATACATTGGATGCTACGGAAGAAGGTCCGGAAGACGAAATTGGTCAGCGCAAAGGAGTTGAAAAAGCTGGAGGGCGTTGGCGAGAAGGCGCAGATTATTGTGCGCCCAGCGGCAATAGAAGTGTAGGATATGGATAAGAGTCATAGATAGTCAGGGAGGCGACAATATTACAAAGTTCCTCAGCCTGGTTCAGTCCAGAGTCCAGACTCATGATATTTATTAGCAATCATCTCGGTGAACCGGCGATGTACTCCGTATGTGAGCGGCTTTATCTTCCAGTGACGTCGGCATCCCGAGGGGCAATTAACGTCCGGCGACCGGGTAGGAACGGGACACGCCGGGTCCTCGGAGGTGCAAGAGACGGGATAAGCTGTGGTTGGGGGCGACATCAGTCTTTGGGGAGAACAGTTTCGGCGTGCGTTGGGACGAAATGCCCGAATTCCCAGGCAAGACTTAGCGTGAACCACCACTGAAACCGGGAATGGATACAAAAGTTGGAGATATAATGCAATGCCATTCGACAACGGGGCCGGAGATATATGTCCAGGGGGCGGTGTTCTCCAACAGGACCTAGCAAAAGCTTTACAGGGCACGCGGAGGGGAGGTGAGGGTGCTGTAGGTGGCTCCCTCACCGAAGAAACGACCAATCGTGTCAACGTGTCGGCTGACGTCCAGGAAAAAATTACCTGATAAACGGGCGGGCTTCTCTTTGCCGAAGCTCCCTGTAGTGCATTACAGTACTTTACCTTACTGGACTGACTGCCCTGTGCTTTTTAGACGGGTGAGCTTTGTTGCGGCAACGCCTCAACCTCAACCTCGTCGACTTTTTCTACCTCATCCTCCCCCTTCCTCTCCACAATCCGTCTGTCCTCCATTGTCTTTCCCACACAACCCACATCATGCTTTCCAGTCGTTTAATATCACGAGCTGTTGCTCGCCCGGCTTTCCAGAAGTCTACGTACGTTTATACCACCATGCGCTTTGCGACGAATGGGCCCAGGAGAAGCTTGTTTAAGCCCGCTTCTGTTGGGACCAATCCGTCATCGAGGGAAAAATGGCTCGTCGACTAACAATGTTTCTTCCTGATCGATAGGCTCCCCAGCGTTGTCGCTTCCTCTTCGCTGTCGCGATTCAGCCGTGGATATGCCTCTTCAGCTGGTATGTTACCTCCGAGCTCGTCGGAACACCACCCCGAACAACCCGCTAACCGGAATTTCTTGCAGAAGAGAAGGATCTCGTTGTTATCGGTGGCGGCGTTGCTGGCTACGTCGCTGCTATCAAGGCTGGACAGGAGGGCATGAAGGTTGGTTTTATACGGATACGATCAAGCGGACAGAATTGGCTGACCAGATCTTTTCATCTCATATAGGTTACCTGCATTGAGAAGCGTGGCTCCCTCGGCGGTACCTGCTTGAACGTCGGCTGCATTCCCTCAAAATCTCTCCTCAACAACTCGCATCTCTACCACCAGATCCTCCACGACACCAAGGCCCGCGGTATCGAGGTCGGTGAGGTCAAGCTTAACCTGGCCAACTTCATGAAGGCCAAGGAGACCTCCGTCAGCGGTCTCACCAAGGGTATCGAGTACCTCTTCAAGAAGAACGGCGTTGAGTACATCAAGGGTGCTGGTTCTTTCGTCAACGAGCACGAGATCAAGGTCGACCTCAACGAGGGCGGTGAGACCAGCGTTCGCGGCAAGAACATCCTTATTGCTACTGGTTCCGAGGCCACTCCTTTCCCCGGTCTTGAGATCGACGAGAAGCGCGTCATCACCAGCACTGGTGCTATCGCCCTTGAGCAGGTCCCTGAGACCATGACCGTCATTGGTGGTGGTATCATTGGTCTTGAGATGGCCTCCGTCTGGTCGCGACTTGGCTCCAAGGTCACCATTGTCGAGTTCCTCGGCCAGATTGGTGGCCCAGGTATGGACACTGAGATCGCCAAGAACACCCAGAAGATCCTCAAGAAGCAAGGTCTTGAGTTCAAGCTCAACACCAAGGTTGTCAGCGGTGACAAGTCTGGCGACAAGGTCAAGCTCGAGGTTGACTCCGCCAAGGGTGGCAAGCCCGAATCTGTATGTGTATCAAATCCTAGGTTTTGCTTACAGTTCTAACAAACATATCTAGATCGAGTCCGACGTCGTCCTCGTTGCCATTGGTCGACGACCCTACACCGGCGGCCTCGGCCTTGAGAACATTGGCCTCGAGGCTGACGACCGCGGCCGTGTCATCATCGACTCCGAGTACCGAACCAAGATCCCCCACATCCGATGTGTTGGTGATGTCACCTTCGGCCCCATGCTTGCCCACAAGGCTGAGGAGGAGGCTGTTGCCGTTGTCGAGTACATCAAGAAGGGTTACGGCCATGTCAACTATGGTGCCATTCCCTCCGTTATGTACACTCACCCCGAGGTCGCCTGGGTCGGCCAGAGCGAGCAGGACCTGAAGAACCAGAACATCCCTTACCGAGTCGGAACCTTCCCCTTCGTTGCCAACTCCCGAGCCAAGACCAACCAGGACACTGAGGGTATGGTCAAGATGCTCGCTGACCCCGAGACTGACCGCATTCTCGGTGTTCACATCATCGGCCCCAACGCTGGTGAGATGATCGCTGAGGGTACTCTGGCTCTCGAGTACGGTGCTTCCAGCGAGGATATCGCCCGAACCTGCCACGCACATCCCACACTTGCCGAGGCCTTCAAGGAGGCTGCCATGGCCACCCACGCCAAGGCCATCCATTTCTAAGCAATGCTTGAGCGGTCGAAACTGGTTGGATAAGTTGCTGGGTGCCAATGGCTACAGATGGGTCAAATTGGTACCAGCAGGTCTCTTCTGTGCTCTTTGCGGCGAGAATGGACACTCTTGAATGCATAGACTTGATAGCGCGTCTGTAGTCGCCGAGAACATAACAAAAAAGATGACACAGGGTCAAGAGGAGGCCTCGCAAGGATAGTGCGAACGGGATAGAGCCCGGGGCATCTCGGACTCTGGGTTGTGTAAACTAGTAATAATTCTTTCTGTTCAAGCATGATGTATGGAAATCACACGGCAAGATGCGTTGCTTGCGTTCCAAGATTATTAGTTGAGTTCGCAATGCGTGAAAGAAGAATACAAATTATATGATCAATAACTCAAAGTCTATCTTTCGAATTGACTGGCTAAGCCTTTAACTCTTTTACAAAACTTGATTTACAAACTTAGTCAGGGCAAGCTTTAGATCAAAGTATCCAAAAACTGTGTAACATTGAGAACAAGAACTAGGAAAGAGATAGGTGGCTAAGACCAGCACTCCATTCAGATATTATTCTCATTTTCTCGAACCTATTAGTCAAACCTCTAGTCATTACTCGAATGAGTCGAATACGAATTCGAGAATGCGTATCGAATACTTTCAACTGACACAGGCCCCTCGAGAGACACTAGACCCGAACCCGTTTGCAACGGTGGGTTTACAAGGTTGTTCAAGTCGAAAGGTTCTTGCGAGGGGATACACCAGATCAGCTCATTCTCGACCAGGAGCCAGCTAGGGATCTGGATAGCGCTGAGGAGTATGAATATAGGTAGTTGATATTCTTCAAACCCCCTTATTGTTATCGACCCTTTTCAAGTTGTAGCTGGCAGTGAAAGCATCAATTGACTTACGCTGTTGTGAGTGACGGAGAATGCAAAGCATCTGAGCTCACCAATCGGCGAATACGGGTTCTTAGGAACCCGAGGACCTTCACAATAACGGAAATACGGATGTCAATCGTTGTCACTGATCAAAAGCAACATGGTATTGGTGATCCATGGTGCTTTGCTCTGCATATCTCCACCAGGTTGGAGATCCTGTGTCTCGATTGAGTAACTGCTGCCTATATCTAATTTTGGTGCCTAGATTCAGGAACAGAGACTTACGTATGGAGCGAGCCTTTTGTGACAGGAATTGCTGAAATCAGGGACCTAGGAATGTGTGGGATGGAAGCTTGTAAGTCAATGTTGACAAGGGACCTTTGTTTTGAGGTTTCCAACTGGTGGCGGGGTAAATTATTACCTGTCTATCCCCAATTACACTTCAGCCCCTCCGTTACAGCGGAGAGATTGGGCCATTTTGACAGAAGTGAGGTGTGCTACCAGCTGCGCCGCTCCACCGCTGCCGGTGCTAGGAAATGGCACGCACTTCGCTGAAGGAACTGATAAGATGCGGTGAATTGAGCTGCATATGATTCGACCGCAAGCTTAAATCGGCCCCTTTTTAACTTAAACATTTAAATCTTGAATACTCCCACATTCATCCCTCGCTTGGAGACACCCAGCCCTGGACAATTCTGTTGTTTGGTGCAGCAGAGTCCTCCACATTCTTTCTGGCAGTTTTGTTGTCTGTTTTGCCTCTGTTTCAATCTGTCCTTCGCTATGGCCCATAGCGCTATCGTTACAGGCCTGCCGCCTCTGGCAGGTAATGCGCCTGAGAAGACACCGAAGCTTATGACCAGGGACGAGATTGAAGCCTTGATCGCTGAAGGCAAGCATGTCGCTATATTCCATAACCAGGTCATCAAGATGGATGCTTGGATGCCCTATCACCCCGGAGGTGACAAGGCTATGCTTCACATGGTGGGCAAGGATGCTTCTGATGAAATCGATGCGTAGGTCACAAGCAAATCCAGCGTCTAGAGGGTCAATGCTAATCCGATGAATAGTCTACACTGTTTCGAGACACGCCAGAAAGTCCTGCGCTATCGCATCGGTCGAATTGAAGGGACTTGGGAGAACTTCCTGCCGCCTATCCAGGGAGGCGTTTACCGTACAGACGAAGAGATCGAACGAGCTAATGCCGAGGGCGAACCCCACAAAGAACAAGACTCGAGCGCTCCGTCAACTCGTGTCCCATCACCAGTCTTCGACGAGGAAGAGACCGCCGGAGTAAGACAGCGAAAGACCAACAAGAAGGATGGAGCTCGGGCGCCCTCGATATCATCTGCCTCCAGCGTAGAAGAGCCAGATCTAGATGGCATATCGTATCTTGATACCATCACTCGCGAACATATCAGCCTCGACCTCGACAAGTACCCTCCTCCTGACAAGGAAACACAAGCCAAGATCGTTGCCAAATATCGCGAGCTCCATCAGAAGGTCTATGACACAGGGCTTTACAACTGCAACTACAAGGCCTATGGAATCGAATTCATTCGATACACTGCATTGGCGATCGGCTCAGCTTTCTGCCTCCGTCACGAATGGTACGCTCTAAGCGCCTTTCTCTTGGGCGCCCTTTGGCATCAACTCTCATTCACAGTCCATGATGCTGGGCATATGGGTATTACCCATAGCTATTTCATTGATTCTTGCATCGGAGCCCTGATCGCCGACTTTATGGGAGGTCTGTCGATAGGATGGTGGAAGCGCAACCACAACGTGCACCACGTTATCACCAATGCGCCGGAGCACGACCCTGATATTGAGCACATGCCTCTCTTTGCCGTCTCCCACCGTCTCCTAGGCAGCTTGAGATCAACATACTACGAGAGAGTCATGGCCTATGATGCTGTGGCAAAGGTTCTGCTTAGAGTTCAGGCCTGGACTTACTACCCGTTGCTTGCACTGGCTCGTTTCAACCTCTACCGACTCTCATGGGACCACCTCATCATGGGCCGAGGTCCAAAGAAGGGACCTGGCTTGGTTATCTGGTGGCTTGAGATCATTGGACAGGTTTTCTTCTGGACCTGGTTCGGCTATGGTCTGGTATATAACCTTCTCCCTGACAACTGGACCCGATTCTACTTTGTCATGATCAGCAACATCACCGCCTCGCCTCTTCATGTTCAGATTGTCCTGTCTCACTTTGCCATGAGCACAGTTGAGCTGGGGCCTCAGGAGTCGTTCCCGCAGAGACAGCTCCGAACCACTATGGACATCGATTGTCCTGAGTGGCTTGACTTCTTCCATGGTGGTCTTCAGTTCCAGGTTATTCACCATCTCTTCCCTCGCGTACCCCGTCATAATCTGCGTGCGACACAGAAGCTCGTCCAGGAGTTCTGTGACGAGGTCAACATCCCTTACGCGTTGTATGGGTTCGCCAACGGCAACCAGCAGGTTATTGGAAGGCTGGCAGAGGTTTCCCGACAGGCGGCGATCCTTGCTAAGTGCCAGCAGGCGATTCAGAACGGTGACCTTTCAGGCCATCACCATTAGACGAAATACGACCGACAGACTGGCATTTTGCTGTATATATCTGTGCCAGTTTCTGCTTGCAAAATCGTCAAAAGTTTTGCTTAGATTAGACCGATGGGAACTGTCATGCTAGATCGTTTGCGAGGTATAATGATGAATTTATGAATGTTTCTGTCTCACTTTCTCTTCTCGTTGACAATCGTGATCTTGTCTTAGACATTGAGATGTATCACCTCCACAAAGTGTGGTTGTTGGCTAGGTTGGAAGCAAGCTCTGTTCTGTGCAGGACAGTCTGTGGGCAAGTCTTGGTCTAGAAGCTCATAAAGTTTGGATAAACAACAAGTGCCTCGCGTGTGCGACGGATGGTACAACCCGCGAGCATCGAATTTCTTGCTGGGCCATCTGGAGAATTGAGCTGGTTGATTTAGGTATTGGAGTAATGTATGGCTCTCTTCAGATGATAGAAGTTGTTTGGGCATCACAGGCTTGAGGCCTCTTATTAACCTCAGTGAGTCTGGGTCACATGGTGAGTTGTAAGCCGTAGTGATGAAATGTGCCCTTAGCCTCGCCGAAGGAGTTCCTTTGAGGCTTTAGCATTGGGCAGATGAAGAACCGGGCTTGCCGCCCATCACATGGGCCAGTGGTGGTAGTTAAGTGACGTCGATTTGTCGCACGAGGGGTCGTCATGATGCGGGGCAGAAAGCATAAAGCCTGGAAGCGTTTTATTCGTGGACGCGTGCATATTTCATGAGAACGACATTTCGATCTTCATGCGGGTTGATATTTGATTATGCATGTTCTAGAATGGACTTGTTATTGACACTGATGATGGTATAAGAGTAGACATATATTGCTTTGGATTTTGATAGAGCTAGTGCAAGCCTCGTTCATGCAGGCAGCAAGCTGATAGAGTCAACGATTGATAGCAAGTACTCTTGATAGATTTTTCTATAAACAAACAAATGAATCTCAAGGTTCAGCAGGTTGAAACACAAAAGTAGACGCGTTCGTACGTCAGATCACGAGCACGGAGTACAAAGTCCTAAAAGGTGGGCGTCACCCAAAAGTCGAGACTCGTGGGGCTTTAGTGGGGGGTTGGCAGCTCTCCTCCTTCCCTGTCCAGGTTACCATACAGTGCGTGGATGGAAGCAAGATTCCCTGCTCCATCTCAAACGAGCCAACCACTTTGAAACTTAATTCCTACCTACGACAACAACTCCAAGCTTAAACCAAGCTCTACTTTTCTTTACCACTTCCAAGGGACTCTCGTTCGTTCTTATTCTGTCATCATTAGATATCTGTCACCCCTATCTGCCTCCACTGAGCAAGCAAGCTACCTACCGCCATCTCGTCGCGCCTAGCGGACGATGTGAATGAGCTACAGCTATGGATGCCAACATCCAGCGGGCCCTTAATGATAAGCTCTACGACAAACGTAAGATCGGGGCTCTCGAGTATGTCTCACTTCCCATCACAGATATGTATTATATTCCCAGGCATTTTATTGATAGCTCTCTGCTTTCACCTTCGCCAAGAGGTCACACCTCGGTCCGACGACTTACTACCATTACTTTCAAGCTTCATAGATGCAAATGCTGACTTTCATACCACAGGCTTGAACGTGTAATTCGAGATCTTGTCAGTGTCAAGGACTATCAACGAGTTCATGATATTCTGGAGCAGCTGTGCAACGACTATGCGTACGCTGTGCATCAGCCTCATGCTAGAAATGGCGGTTTAATAGGCCTGGCTGCTGCCGCTATTGCCCTGGGTCCAGTACGTTTCAACCTACTAGATCTTCTCGTCTCAATGCTAGATGTCTTCTCAGAAGAGATCTAGTACCTCAGTCTTCCCCAAGAGCCTACATCTAACTTTCAAGCCAGGAACTACCTAGATATCTCGCCAAGATCGTCCCCCCTGTCCTGGCATGTTTCACCGACCAAGATGCAAGAGTAAGGTATTATGCTTGCGAGGCCATGTATAATATAGCCAAGGTTGCAAAGGGAGAAATATTGGTGTATTTTAATAGTATCTTTGATCAGCTTTGCAAGGTATGTTGTCCCTTCCGGTCTTCATATTTGATAAGTCAACCATTCTAATATGCTCGGCTTTCCAGCTTGGGGCGGACTCGGAGCTGTCAGTCAAAAACGGAGCGGAACTGTTGGATCGACTCGTAAAAGATATTGTATCTGAGTCTGCTGCTTCATACGTCTCTATTCTCGAGGCACCGCCGGAGTTCGATGGCGATGATAAGGTATCGCTAGGCGAGAACTCCCACTTGCCTACAGCGTTCTCCCTCCCTCGATTTATTCCACTCTTGAAAGAGCGCATATGGGTCATTAATCCTTTCACTCGGCAATTTCTCGTGGGCTGGATCACGTTGCTCGATTCTATACCCGACTTGGAGCTTGTCACATATCTCCCGGACTTCCTTGGAGGCCTTCTCAAGTTCCTATCCGACCAGAATTCGGACGTGAGGGTCGCCACGCAAACCTGCTTGGATAAGTTTTTGAACGAGATCAAACGCATTGCACGTATCAAAAAGGGCATATTGGAAAGCAAACGCTCTAAGGAGGGTGCCAAGCGGAAACGACAGGACTCGATCGATAGCGAATCGATAAGCCCCGACTTTGAGGAAGGAGATGAGCTCGACTCGAACGCCGCACTCGATGATGATGACGACAGTGGAGAGGATTGGATTCCTGGTCAAGATGTCGAGATAAACTACAAGGAGATCCTCCAGATACTCACTGCCACGCTGGATTCCCCTCTAGGTTTGTTACTCTTGAACTTCCTTGGATACGGCTGACACGTTATCAGAGGAGGATTGTCTCCTCGAATCACTTAGATGGGTTGTTGAATTTCTAGATATTTGTCCCGAAGAAGTCCTTCCCTTTACGCCCAAGATCCTCGCCCATATGCTTCCAGCTATGGCCAGCACCAAAGAAACCATCCATCAAGCAGCAACCCGGGTCAACACATGCCTGATGGACTATGTCGTTTCACTTTCCGACGACTCGGAGTTGAGTCAACCGCCGCCTCCTGCTCAGCCGCCTCAACACCTCTCGACCTCTCGACTGCCAGTTCTCGGAGAAAAGGGGACCGAGGGCAACAACAGCAACAGGGCATCCCTATCAAGCTCCAGAGACCTCGATCTCCGTAGTCCTACACCTGCTCAAGGCCGCTCGATATCGACTCCTGCTGATATCAACATTACGCAGACACAAGCCGATCTGGACTACGCCGCCGCCGTCAACTCTTTGACTCTCCTCTTCCTCAACGACCATGAAGCGACCCGGGTGGCGGCCTTGACGTGGCTTATTATGCTACACAGGAAAGCTCCCCGAAAGGTCCTCGCTTTCAACGATGGCACGTTCCCAGCATTACTGAAGACATTATCCGATCCCTCAGACGCCGTAGTTACCAAGGATCTTCAGCTTCTCTCACAAATCTCAAGGAATACAGAGGACGACTATTTTGCAAATTTCATGGTCAATCTCTTACAGCTTTTCTCAACAGATCGAAAGCTGCTTGAAACTCGAGGAAATCTCATTATCCGGCAACTGTGTTTAAGCTTGAGCCCGGAGAGGATTTACAGGACACTAGCAGACTGCATCGAGAAAGAGGAAGACGTCGAATTCGCAAGCATAATGGTGCAGAACCTCAACAACAACCTCATTACTGCTCCACAGCTAGCAGACGTTCGAAAAAGATTACGAAACCTTGAAACAAAGGTAGGAGAACGCCTCCTACGCTACAATTTAAGACAAGAATACTGACAACTTCAAGGATGGTCAAACGCTATTCGTGGCATTGTTTCGATCATGGTGCTATAATGCTGTCGCTACCTTCTCACTTTGCTTGCTCGCCCAGGCCTATGAGCAAGCTTACAACTTGCTGCAGATCTTGTAAGCCCAGGTGCAACAGAATATGCTACTTAAACTGACACGTTCCAGCGGCGAATTGGACATGACAGTCAACATGCTCATTCAAGTAGATAAGCTAGTACAGCTTATTGAGTCACCCGTCTTCACTTGTAAGCGTAGTCCCCATCATACACTTGTCGTACCCGAACTAACAACCCGTCCAGACTTACGACTACAGCTCCTGGAACCTGAGAAGTACCCATACTTATACAAGTGCATGTATGGCATTCTCATGCTTCTACCACAGTCCTCGGCATTCGCTGCGCTGAAGAACAGACTCAACAGTGTCAGCTCTATAGGTTATCTACATGCGGCACCTCGAACGTAAGTTGAAGATTGCTTTGTAGTGGGCGTGTTGGGCAAGGATTGCTTAGCTCTTGACTCCCCAGCGAGATGTACCGGCTTCTGTGGCAAGCTAACCTGTGGACAGGGCTCCTCCAACTACAAGTAGCTCCAATTTTGACAGACCCAATCGACTCAAGAGCAGGGAAGATGGGAACATACGATGGGTTGAACTCCTGGAAAAGTTCCGAAGTGTGCAGGAACGAGCTAGACGCGCGCAGCGTCAGAACAACATGGACGGTGACGAAATACCACCAATGGGAGTCAGTGAACTCCGCATTGGCGACGGAGCGGTAGATGTCAAAGGCAAGGAGACACGGGGTGTCGGCTTGCAAACGATTCCCCAGAAAGAGCCAGCGCCCGCTCCTCCGGTGCCGGCCAAAAGAATAGGGTTGGGTAGACAGTTTGGAAGATTGGGTGGCGCCGTGGCAGGTAAGGGGCGGCGAAACCCATAGCGACTGATTCCAGTTTGGTTATATAGGTATTGAGCGTTATTTGTCTGGTGTGTCGACTTGATGCGGAAGTAGAGTTGGCAGTGTTCAAGGTTCATTAATGTATAGTATCAGGCCAAGGATCAAATAAGACAAACTCAGCGTCGTCGCTTAACAGGACTTTCACGTTCCACTAAGCCTTCAAAGACAGCATCACGCTGCGATTCTACGGAACGTAGCTGATCTCGGAGCTCTTCGAGTTCTGCTCTGGCCATGTCTGGATTGCTAGGAAGACCTTGAAACGTGGCCAGCTGGAGGTCAAGCTCCTTCTTTCGTGACAACACTGACAAGTATTCTTGCTCGTCGCGAGCGAGGTCGGCAACGGTTGGGTGCGAGGAGTCGGTGGATGCAGCCAGGGCAGCAACCTTGTCTTGAAGCTCAGGTAGTTTGGCGGACAATGCCTTGACCTTGCGCTGCATGTCGAGGTTCTGCTTGGCCAAATGTGCCGGTGGCCGATAGTCGTCTCTCTGTAGCTCTTTGAAAAGTTCCTTGATACGAGCTGCTTCATCGTCTATATGTTTATGGAGAACCTCGACGCGGGCCTTCATCTGTTCAGCATCGTGGATGCTTGCCTGAAGTTGGCACATGCGCTGGCCTAGTGTGTCGGGCTCTGGGAAAGCGACTCCGAATTGAAGAGTCATATTGGCCATAGCATCAAGAGCGGTGTGGCCATCGGTAGGTAGATTGTGTTCTACGGCTTCAATGAGGCCTTCCCTCAGTGGCCGGCTAGTTTTGTCGATCTTCCTCCCAGAGTCGGTGAGCTCCTGCAAAGCAGTTGCTTCAGACTTAGCCACCAGGTTGCGCTCATCATCGGCAGCTTCGTTGACAGAGGCGAGAGCTAATAGGGCTTTAAGGGTGTCGTTGTTGCGCTCGAAAGACGGGACCGGTCGAGGGTGAAATTTGGAGGAGAGCCAGGCGTCAACATAGGACCAATCGCGGGCGGTGGAAGCCGCGATACGAGCAACCGAGGGAGAGAAAATGGCCGAATCTTGACTGAGGAGACGATGATGGGCCATGATTGAGTGCGCCAGAGAACAAGTGAATGAATCTCTCTGTTTTGAATCAAGGAGCGGATTTGGTGTGCAATTCTCCAAGTTTGAGGTGCATCAACAAAACAATCAATGGCGGTCGAGACAGTGACGCCACAGAACCACCCATCCTAGCTGCAGCCCGTGCCTGTCGTTCCCGGTCCCTGTCAATTCATTGATTTGATGGTAGGAACCCCTGCAACTGCAACGGCAGAAGTGATTCGGTCCCTGAGTGTACTAAGTTATAGTGCCCGCCGCTAATTCCTGCAGGCAGAACATGCTAGACCTCTGCTGGAACGGGCTGTGGCTCGAGAGTTTGGGGGGTCTGGATTGGTAGACGAGTACTTGTGGCCACCTATGACATTCTAGACTGATCTATGTACCTGGTTGACAGATGTTAACTTTCCCGGCTAAGTTGACCGTCGCCTTTTCCGGTTGTTGGCTTCTTTCATCAAGTTGAGTTGTCCTTTTTGTCCCTCGCCAATTGCTAAAACCTCCATTCATTCATTCTTTCTTACTGTTCTTCTGTACTCAAACAGACTTTGCCATCGTTGTCGTCGTGTACTCGTCGTCAACTATTGCACCCACTGAAGTTGATGCATTGCCGTTAGTATCCTTCAATCTGTATCGCCTGCGATTTGCCCCTCGACCTATCGTATACTTGGAATCGAACAAACTTATTCAAGATGCACCTCAATCTTGCTGGTCTGGCAGTGGCCGCTACGGCCTTCCTTGCAACTGCCAGCGCCCTTTCGCCGCAAGATATCCCTGCCGATCTCCCTGTTTCGAACCTGTTGACAAAAGCGCAGACGCATCTGTCCCGTGGCGAGACCAACGAAGCCCTCGTCTACTACGATGCTGCCATCGCCCGCGACCCGACGAACTATCTTTCCCTCTTTAAGCGGGCTACCGCATATCTCTCACTCGGTCGAACCTCCCAGGCAACTGAAGATTTCAACAAAGTCCTGTCCCTCAAGCCTGGCTTCGAGGGAGCCCATCTTCAACTCGCCAGGCTTCGTGCCAAGGCTGGAGATTGGGATGCCGCAAAGGCACAGTACGGTCTTGCTGGGAAGGCTCCCAAGTCGGCTGAGTTTGTCGAGTTGGAAGAGGCCAAGCTCGCTGCTCACCTAGCTGACATGGCTAGCAAGGGCGGGAAGTGGGAAGAGTGCGTCAGTCACGCCGGTACTGCCATCGTTGTCGCGAGTCGATCTCCTCATCTGCGTGAACTCCGAGCGCACTGTCGCTTCGAGCTCGGCGATGTTGAACTCGCTCTCAGCGATTTGCAACATGTCCTTCACATGAAGCCCGGTGACACTTCTCCCCATATCGTTATCTCGGCGACTTCGTTCTACGCTTTGGGTGACCTGGAGAATGGCATCGGACAAGTCAAGAAGTGTCTTCAGTCAGATCCTGATTCCAAGATCTGCAAGAAGTTGCACAAGCAGGAGAAGAAGGTTGAGAAAGCATACAAGAAGATCCAGGGACAACTCAGCCGAGGACAGCCTACCACGGCGGGCAGAGCATTGGTCGGTACTGCCGATGATTCTGGCTTGGTACCTGATGTCCGAAAACAGGTGGAGGAGCTTAAGAAGAACAAGAGCATTCCCAAGACCGCTCGTATCAAACTATTGGAGAATTTGATTGAGATGACTTGTCAAGCATACACCGAGGTGAGTTCTTCGGCCTCGTACAATCCCTGAATATCCCTAACTCTATCATAGTCAAGCCACAAAGAAGCCGCCAAGTACTGTGACGAGTCACTGCAACTCAACCCTGACTCTTTCTGGGGCCTTCTTCACAAGGGTAAGGCTCAACTCAAGAGTGAGCTTTACGACGCCGCCATTGCTACCCTTGAGAAGGCCGCCGAGATCCGTCCCGATCAGAAGGAGAAGGTCAACCCAATCCTCAACAAGGCTCACATTGCCCTCAAGCGCAGCAAGACCAAGGACTACTACAAGGTGCTTGGTGTCGAGAACGACGCTGACGAACGCCAAATTAAGTCCGCCTACCGCAAGCAATCAAAGATCTTCCACCCTGATAAAGCCGCCAAACAAGGTATCCCTAAGGAAGAGGCCGAGAAGAAGATGGCCAGCATCAACGAGGCATATGAAGTTCTGAGCGACCCCGAGTTGCGTGCCCGTTTCGACCGTGGCGATGATCCCAACTCTCAAGAGAGACCAAACCCCTTCCAGGGACAGGGCAACCCCTTCGGTGGTGGTCATCCATTCATGTTCCAGCAAGGCGGCGGTGGCGGTGGTCCCAACATCAAGTTCCAGTTTGGTGGCCAACCATTTGGATTCTAGAAAGCACACGACAAATTCTGAAGTTTTGCAAAAGATACTACTGAGGAGTTAAATAGCGAAGGGGTCAACTACAGAGGCAGTTTTGCTTGATCGGGAGGGAGTCTTTGCTGGTATCTACATCTTTACTAGAGATCAAGAAGGGCGGGGCTCTCTCCAACAGGAGTATTGGGGTTAATGGCGTCGGAGTTTCCGTAGATCGCTCACTTACGTCAAGAACAGTACATAGCGAGATCGTATACCTTGAGAATTCTTACTTTATACCGCAAATATCTAAGTCAAATCAATATGTCAATCTATTTGCCTAATTTTCAGTAACTCGATGAAGCGTGGTTGCTCGGCCTCGGCACAATATCACCACCGCCGACGTCGGCGCAACAGCGACATCGCAATGGACATGCTTTGCCACCTTGAGGAACAGAACAAACCCATTGCTCCAATCGGAATAGTCACAGCCTGTGCTAGGTCCAAGATAATGTGAGAATCAAGACCAGTTGGAAATTGTATGTTGTCAAAGCATACCCGCTTAGTATTTTGACATAAGTAATAACAGACAACGTATCATAACACTCCTCCGCTGTCTAACTGCGTGAATCAACACTAGCAATACCTCATCCGTTTCCCATACATGTCGCCGCTCTCCGATTTTTTCGTTCGTAAGAAGTGATGATATTTCTTTATGTACACAATCCGTCGCTTGCCTCGATCTTCACTCAACCGTCGTCCTTGGGAAAGTCGTGGTCATTTGCAAAGTCGGTAGAGGTCCTCGGTATAAAGGGCTCGAACCGAATCGGGGAAGCGTCGAATCAAAAGGTTATTGTTCAAGGGTATTTCGGATGTTGTCGTTATAGTCGTCTCAGTCCCATATCCATGCTCTCTAAAGCGCCCTCGCTCCCAAATCCATCTCTCATGGAGATAATCGCAGGGTGTCGAATATGGTTGCAAATCTATGCAGAGTTGAGGTTTGGCCATCCAAATTTTCCAAGACTTAGATGAGATGTTCAGGCAGCATCGTTGCGCTTGATGAAATAGGACCTGGTTAGGTTTAAATATTAGCTTCAGTTCACCAAATGTAATCAGCCACGTCACGTACTTTGAAAACTCATATGCCGACCAGCAGATGGCTGTGCTGGGCATTGTGGTAACAATGCGAGGTCGCACGCCCTTGAAGAAGCCTCTGACACCGGCTCTTTGATATAATAGGCGACAGCCTCCGATAAAGCTGTTGACACTTCTCACCTCGGGGTCGGTGGAGGTTCCGCGAGTCTGGAGCATAGTCTTGATGACATCCATGGGGGTGGTAAGACCAGCAGCAAAGCCACCAGCAACGGCACCAGCCAAACAATGTGTCAAGGGGTCGTAGTTCTTTGCGGGGTTCATGGCGGTAGAAATAGACTCGTATGCGAGGAACTGTAGAGCTGTGAAAGGGACTGTCATGGATAGCGTCGTGGGGTAAGAGATGTAGAAAGCGCCCAAGCCCTCGGACTTGTAGACATACTTGGCGCAGTCCAGCATGGATCGGTACATCTTGCTCGAATTTTGAATCTGCATGCGCTGCTTGATGACTGTAACGGGTTGTCAGCGACCATGTTCTAGGTGCTCGAAAGGATGCGGCGTAGGGGGCGTACCATCGAAAGGGTTCATGAACGCGTCGCTAGCAATAGTGGCAGCGGCACCACTGGTGGCTATGGAAATTCGGTTAGTAGCTGTCAGATCGCAAATTGGGCAGAAACCGGATATTTACCAGCAGCGAGGGGATGGTGAACACCGGCCTGGTTACCGCCCATAGCATGTTTGACTGCTTCGTATGTTGCAAAGTAGACGGCATGTGCAGGACCTAAACGGTTTTAACAACGGTTAAGACTAGGCCAAGATAACCTAGACTTCTGGCCTGGCCATGACGTGGTTGACTTACCAGCTCCAACTATGACACTAGACATGCCGCGCCATAAGCTGAAGAATCCCTCGGTGCGGGCAATCTGAACGGTATTACGAATGACGCCCGAGTAGGCCGGTGTGGTGCTGGGGTTGAGGATTTGCATTCTGGTCTAAGAATTGTGTCAGACTCGAGATCGACAAAGCAAGCACGCATAGAATGCAGGGCAGAAGCATACCTTGATTGCATCAATGGGATACATGGCAGTGTGCTCCTACAGGAAGACGCAAAATTAGCCCGGTATAACTTGTATTGCTTGTCGGAGGGTTCCATACTGCTATGCCCGCAAAGGCGCCTGCTGCCATGTTCTGCAGCAGGGAGAAGTTGGGCGGGAGGGATTCATAGCTGCGCGAAAAACAGTCAATTTCGAGGCCCTGAGGTGTATATATCCATCTTGACGGGGATGCTGAGTTGTGCTCACTCGTATTCTTCGACTGGCTCTGCACTTGGCTGGGCCATGGCGGCCACAGCTTCCGATGCTCCGCCGAAAGGCTTGGTCTCGAGGGCCGCCAGGTTGGCGACTGGAGGAGGTATCGAGGCAATTGCTGCTATAAAAGTGACGGCGAGCGACTTGTGCCGTAGACGGAGTCGGCTGTGTCGTGTACGGGGTTGCAGGAGGCTCAAGATATGGAGTTGCGCCGGAGGATGGTCGCTAAAACGATGACGATGTCAAAGTTGAGATAAGGCCTAGGTAGGTAGGGGCGAAAAATATGGCCTCGACTTGCTGGAGCTGAAAAGACCGTGCAAAGTGGTTGCTATGTCCGAGCCCTGTTCTTTTTTCGCCTCGGTCTATTCGAATACACCGATCAATGAATGATGAGTCTTGTCGCCGGCAGTTCTGGTGTAGGAAATGCAAGAAAGAAAGTCGAAAGCCGAGCGGAGGCGATGGAGCAAAAAAGTAGTTCAGAGGCTGGTGGTGGTGGTGTTCTACCATTCCACCTTAGTCTGAATTGGACAGCGCGGGAAAAACTCCAGGTCAGGTTAAGTACCTGTAGGCTCTGGAGCTACCCTCTGTACATTATGTCCAGGGCAGTCCGATGTTGTCTAGAATTTTTTCTGGGGATGAGACAGCTCCGTTTACGGCCTCGGAGTCCGGACGGGAGCTACGGCAAGTACCCTTCCGCCAAATTATTGCTGCAAAGCTACCTCCGCATATGCGTCTTCTCTTTTCCCCTCCCCTCCCATCCCCTCCTCTAGGGCCTCTGTCGTTAGAAGTAGCGTGGTTCAGGGAGCTCGGCGCGCCGGCTCAGATAACAATGGACCTACCTTACCCTGTCTAGCATACAGCGAGGTATTTTCTACTGCCAAATTGTGAGGCGAGATACTTGGTGTTGTCCATTTCTCCGCCATCTCCTGTTGCGCTTATATGCCCGCGGAAGTGCAGTTGTATCCATTATCAGTTTATCTACCGCCGGAGCAGTTATGAGGGACTATAATTGCCATCTGTTGAAGTTGGCCCTAGTAATCACAAGTTCATCTTCACTACTGCAACTACCCACGAATGCTGGCCTTGTTACACAACTTTGAGCTGCAAATTGAGGCCTGACATGTTTACCAACACTCTGTTTGTATCCATACATACTGAAATCTGGATATACTTGATCGTTTCTCAGCGCGCATTGGCGCCCAAGATAGGCGTGGTAGGTCACACAGAGATAGAAAGGCCATCTACGCTAGATTAGATGCTCATCTCTGTACGTAAACTGGCCAATTTGCTTATTTGCAGAGTGGATCAGCGTCACTTCATATCATATCATAATCCCTGTAACCGTCTCGTCGGGTTTGGAATCAAGATCAGGATCAGTATCGATCTCTGGCTTACACGAATAGCTGCCGAGGTTAACAGCATGCCGTCACGAGAAATATAAATTTCGGACTGGAACAGGAGGCAGGAAAATACCTTAATAGGGAGATTCCCTTCTTCTTTCATCTTTCACCCATATTCAGTGCCTACTACTTTGCAGATCTGAAGCAAGTCAGTGGCTGGATCAACTCCACAAGAGATAGAGCACCCATGACTGACATGGAGGCATCGTGACCACGAGGCGTCTCCATTCGACAATAAGCATGCCAAGTGCTTCCTACCTTATGTTCAGGAATAAAAAGCGTAGGAAACTTATAACGGCTGACAACAGCACGGGCGGCAAAAGTTAATCAGGTTTGCTTGTAGTACCGATATGGATAAGAATGCTTATATATAAGGAAACATTTCTGGGAAGAAAAAAATTTTAAAAAAAATTGAGAAATTCACTCATGCCCACAGCCATCAGGGTGCTGCACTTGCAGTTGAATCTCATCTTTCACCGAATCATGAGCTCGGTTGCAACCCAGGGATCAGGGCATGACAGGGGTCACACACATTGGAATTAAGTTATCAATCAGTTCGGGGACCCCATTCTACGTAATCAATCAGTCCTCAAACTGGATACGTTGGAGTTCCACGGCAAAAACTCGTTGGAAAATGGTCATCAGCCAAGCAGGTTTAGAGTGACCCAGTCACTCAAGATTGACGAAAACGCATTGCAACATTGATGGTCCTTGTTTGACTCTCGCTTATCAGGCACTTGAAGTTACAACTTGTGTGTCTGTGTTTGCATCTCGCTGATCTGGTCTGAATAAGCTCACTTTTAATGTCATCAATATCACACCCTCTTCTAAATCTTTCCTCTCCCGCTTCCTTCGTTTGCTACCTGTGTAGTCTCTGTGCAAGGAGCTTCCCGTTGACTGTGTTTTGTTTGTACAAACGACCTTGGTATTACCATCAAATAGGACTCGTCGTTATTCGGAGACACATGTCACAGCCTCGGATTTATCGCCCCAAACCCGATATTCTCGTTGGAATCTGTTTGCCTGTCGGATAGACCTGAGAGAAGCAAACCAGTCTGTACAGTGTTCAAGAGTTCAATAATGGGTATAATGTTTTACTCTAAATGTAGTGGACTTATTCATATATACCCAAGAGTCTACTCCTGCGACCCAAGCACACTGACCGACGCTCCGATGCCAAACTGTTCACTACCAGTCATAGGACGGATACTCGCAATAAACAAAACCCAATCTATGCAAAGCGCCAATAAAATCCACCTCCGTTTTCCAAGGAGTAGGGTATTTCGGGGAGATGACTTCCAGTATGCGCCTTGACACCATGTGGTTCACCAAAAATGGGAAAATGAATGAATGAATGAAACCCCCGAGAAATGTTCTATATCAGACCATGCCCCCACCGCGCCGGGATCGCTGCGTTTGTTGAAGCTGGTATATCATACCCAATACTCCTTCGCCGGGGTCGTCTGTATTGGCTGCGCTGTTCTCCCGAGTCACCCCTTTCGCGGGGGACGTTTCCCAGGTCGATTCACCTAGTTCTCCCCCTGGCTCGTACAGTTCGTCATCTTCCCCAGTTCGCCTCATGGCGCTATCTTCAGCTTCTTCAGTTATCTGGCTTTCCCCACGGAATCCTCGCGGATACCTTGACCAATGAAGACTACGTGCACCCATGTTCACTCCAGCAGGTTGATGATGTTGATCTAACAGGATAGACGCCATTGGGGAGGGCTGTGGCATTGGTCCCGTACGTGGGCCCCGTCCACCGGGGGCTCTACTCCTGGCACGTCCCGTTTCCGCCCGACCAATATGAGAGCCCTGCATGTCTGCTCCTAATGATGGAGAAGCAAGTCCTGGGAAAGCTGGAGGTGGGTGAAAGGCTGGTTTTCCTCCAAACGGCGTATGGCCGGGGATGCCAGTTTTGGGGTTTGTAACGTAGTTGTCAAGGAACCCAAAGTAAGATGCGGCCATCTTGTTGTGCTTCGTTGAGTAGTAATCCTCACGAACATCCGGTCGTTGTCCCTGATGGCCCGTGTTACCTGGACCTTTCTGGAAATCGAATACCGCGAAGGAGCAGACATAACCGAGCCCGTCAACGTGGATTGTGAATTCGCGAAAGAAATCGACGATCTGGTCACTACATTTAGGCAGTGAAAACAAGAGCAACATAGGCGTCGTGACTATGCCCATCACCTCCTCCAGAAAGATGACTACTTTCATCTTGTAAAGCTCTGCGAATTCCTGTTTAACCTCGAAGCTGTGAAGCTTGTTTTTCCAGTGATCGGGCATGTAGTGTGTGTATTCAATGACATTCATCAAGGCATATTCAGGATTGAACACCAATGTCTCTTCGGACACCATTCCTCGGGTGATTGCCCAAATGGCACCAAAGATTCCGAGATAGAATAGGACTGGTCTGTCTTTCGTGATCTCGAAATTAATAAAAAGCTCCGAGTCAAGAATAGAGCCCACAGCGAGAATGGCGGTGATTGCACCTGTCATGAAGGCGATGGTTCGCGCAATATCTTCAGTCATCCTCTTCGGGAACTGATCGATATACCGAGTCGCGAATGGATAAGACATGTGCAGCCTTTCGTAGAATATATGTGGCAGTTCGTTGAATTCGCGGAATTTCCATTCTGCAAGAGAAGTGTACTTGCGCGCTGCAGCTTGCTTGGGATCCTTTGTGTACTCCTGTAATGGAATTAGCTTTCAAAGAATAGAGTGCCTGGGCTCAACTACTGACATAATAATAAGTAAAGAAGTAAACAATGACAACATATGCAAGCACAACAGGCGCAAAGATAAGATTGAGGAACCCCGCGAACATCAGCCGCTGCTTCAGTTTCTGGCTCAAGAGACGTCTGCGATCTGGGCGCAAAAAGTCCTGCTGAACTTGGCCCAATTCGTTAAAGGCCATATCAAGGATGCAGTAATGAAGATACCATTCCATTGTCTTTGAAAATAGCTGGCGGCCGCGAAGAAACGGAACTGGTAACGACAAGTTCAGGACGTCCTTGTTGATCATTGCAATGAGGTAATTCTCTTTGCGCATAAGTCGATTAGCAATATCGTGTGCATCAAGCCGTTCTTTCGACTGGCTGCCAATGAACTGTCTCAGTTTCGGCGTGATGTTTGTTGCAGTCTTCGGGTTCTGTTCACGCAGTGCCATAATACGAGCCACAATGTCCTGCCAAGAAACAGTTTGCATGTCTTGTTCTGGGATATCCAGCAAGTAAATGTAAAAGTCCCTGATGTAGAGGAGTCGGCGAATCTCTACAAAGTATTGGACGCACTTCCAGATGAAGAAGAAGGTGTAAAGCCAAATCGCCAGGTTCCAGAGACTGGACATTCTGCGCGTGCATTGAGGAACTACAACTTCATGTAAGGACTTGCTGTGCGGAATCTTTGAGTAGTCGATGCATTGACACAGGAAAGTGAGCAACACCGCGACGAAAAGTGTCTCCCTAAAGCACCGATTAGCCACTGCTGTTTCGTGCCTTGATGACCGAATACTTACAAGAGCCAGAGAGCGTTAGCACACAGAATGCACCACAGTCCCCCACCTTCATAATAGTCGTAAACATCCCGCATAAAGCTGTCTAGGTTTGAGGTGTTAACCCATCGCCAGAGTGCTTTCTCCCTCGGGTTACTCGCTATCGAGCCCCTAGCTACGGGCATAGGCTGTGGTCCAGCGGGCGCCCCATATCTGTTTTCTTGATGAAGTTGTTGCTGAGCTGTTGCTGCTTCCCACTGGGCCCTTGCCCGTGCTGATGATGGGCCTGCAGCTTCTGGACTTCGAGGATTGTTGGATGGGGCTGCTCGTCTGGGCGATGCTGGGGGCAAGTTTACGGCTTCGTTTAGCTCCATGAGTAACGATGCAGGTACCTCGTTGTCACCGTCGTCGTCCTGCTGGTGCCATCGCGGCGAGGGTCCGCCGGGACTTTGAACCTGCTTCCTTAGTGTCTTAGCCCTTCCTTTGCCCTTTGGGTCCAGAGCTGCACTTTCTATTGTCATGCGGCTATCGCCAACATCGAGTCCTTCGGGATGAAAATCGTCATCAAATCGATGGCCAAGGTTCTCTTCGTCGATGCCGGGATCGTACTCGTCATCATCCCCAGAACGTAGCTGTTCGTAAAACGATCGTGACCCTCTTGCGGGGAAATTCGATCGGGAGAATAATTTCGAGGACATATCGAATTCTGTCGATGAATCAAGCATAAAGATCGGCGGGCATGTTGGTTCGGGGTCGAGGCTCGAAGTCGATTAATGATGTTGATGCTGGGTTGTTGTCTTGCCGTAAATGCGAGACGAGCAGGGGTTGCTTCCACCTTGACAATGAAATAATTGGACTTGGACTTTGTTGAACTTAGGGATCCAGGAATTATGATGAACGTAACTTTATTCGCTGAATGTCAGTGAAATATGGAGGATAGGTAACCCAAGGTCACGAGGGGACGTTGATCACGATAAGCGTGACCCGAGGCACATGCCTACTCCAAGCAAGGGGACGGTCCGGTGTGACAGAGTCTAATCAAATGGGAGTTGGAGACCACAAAGAAACCCTGCGCCTCGGACCTGAAATAAAAGTGAATAAATCACTCGCAGGTTGATGGATAGACAGACAGTTTAATGCTCCAGGCATCACCAGCCGCTGGTATGACGCTACAGAGCGGTGTGCGATTCTGCCAGACAAATACCGATAAGACCCAATGAATGGTTGCACACCGCCTTCCTCTTCCATGCACCCTTTACGACACCTGGCACTCTACATGATCGTCCTTGTCTTATACGGAGTATCTGTATAGGGATCGCTCATGATCGCTGTTGGTTTTAGAATCCAAATTAACAGATTTACTTAGGCGCTCCATCGAGCTTGATCGATTAATGGGCTTGCGCGGAATAAGTTAAAGTTTGCTGCCTGCAACAACTCGACTGAGCAGCATTACTGCTGTTTGATTACAATATGGCACCTACAGATCGCTCATTGTCATTGAAGAGCCTGCCTATGAGAGATGCCTCTGTTTCAGGACTCCTTGCTCCAGATGGCTATCCACAAACTCCCTCAACACCAAGAGGGATCACTCCACTCATATCCAAAGTAACCAGTGTCCTTTCAACGACTCATTCTGATACTGAGTTTCGAGACGCTCTCGCTCTTCTTGATGAACGTGGAATCCAAAACGATGCCGAAACTCGTCGGCGTGTTCGACTAGACCTACAAAAAGAAGTCATTGACAGTAATGGAGAAGTTATTGCCGAATTTGGGCGGGTTGCAGAGGTGGGTTCAAGCATTTGTTTTACAGAAAATCGTACCAACATGGCAATAGCAACTTCGGCGTATCAAAACAACTATTGACAAGCTTAACAATGGTTACGCGGACATGAAAAGTCAAGTTGTCGAAGCTCATAGGCAGACATTGCCAGCACTCTCCGAGGCATCCTCTCTCCTGGAGCAAAAGAGACAGGTTGAGGTGAAGCAAGAGCTTCTCGGTGCTTTCAAGAAGCATTTTGTCATGTCGGAGAATGAGGTTGCCGCACTTACTCAAACAGCTGAGCCAGTAGATGACCGCTTCTTCGATGCCTTGAGCAAAGCGAAAAAGATCAGCAAAGATTGTGAGATCCTGCTTGGATTCGAGAAACAGACTTTGGGTCTAGAACTGATGGAGCAAACGTCGAAGAACATCAATCTTGGTTTCCAAAAGCTTTACAAATGGATACAGCGAGAGTTCAAGACATTGAATCTCGAAAATCCACAGATGAACTCATCAATTCGCCGGGCATTGCGAGTTCTTGCCGAAAGGCCGTCACTGTTCCAGAACTGCCTAGACTTTTTCTCCGAGGCTCGAGAACGAATCCTTTCAGACTCGTTCTATGTCGCTTTGACAGGTGCCTCGCCCTCTGGTACTGAAGATCCCTCTGTCAAGCCCATCGACATGCTGGCACATGATCCGCTACGCTACGTGGGTGACATGCTAGCTTGGATTCATTCAGCCACTGTCAGTGAACGTGAGGCATTGGAGGTTTTGTTTGTCGCAGAGGGGGAGGAACTTGCCAAGGGTTTCAAATCTGGCCGAGACGCAGAGATCTGGCGCCTCATTGCAGAGGACGATGAGGCTGAGGCTGACTTTAATGCGCTCAAGGCACTGAACGACCTAGTCGACCGCGATATCTCTGGAGCGGCCCGCGTGCTTCGCCAAAGGATGGAGCAGGTGATCCAAGCCAACGAAGACACCATACCCGCCTATAAACTCGCAAATCTGATCAATTTCTACCGGATCACTTTCCAAAAAACGCTCGGTCCCAACTCCAACTTGGTAGAGTTGATTGGAGGCCTGGAAACAGAGGCCTTACGCCAGTTCCGAGCACTTGTCAGAGATCACATTGCAACTCTACAGGGAGAATTCCAGCACGCTCCATTAGACCTTGGCCCACCTGCATTTTTACAAGATTCGCTCAAACAACTTAAGGCCATCAGCAAAACTTACGACTCCTCCTTATCGACCTCGGAGGATCGCGAGAGCGAGTTCGAGAATGTGCTTTTGGAAGCCTTTGAACCATTCATGTCCGGTTGTGAAAACATGGCTAAGAACATGAATGCCCAGAACGGTGCGATCTTCCTGATTAATTGTATATCTTCTGCGATAGCATGTCTAGAGCCGTTCGAGTTCACGCAACGTCGAACTAAACGACTGCGAGAGAAGTCAGATGATGCGGCTAAAGGACTCATTACAAGTCAATACCAATTCCTTCGAAAGGGGTCAGGGTTAGATGCAATTTTCACGAAGCTGGAGGAGGATGACGACAAGAACGCTTCCTTGCTGGACGAGAAAGAGCTCGCTCAAGCAAGCCAGACATTGGATGACTTTCTGCCATCAGCACTCATGGACGCTATGGATAATCTGAAGCACCTGCAGGATTCGAAGTTGGCTCGACAAATTACTGAGGAGGCAGCAGAACAGTTCTGCAATGACTTTGAACAGCTAGAAGAGGTTATAACTGAGGGGGATGATGAATCTGTTGATTCAGAAGAGGACGAAGGTCTACGGTCGGTTTTCCCTAGAACAACTGCCGAGATTCGTGTATTGCTTTCATAGATAAAGGGGCGATATAGATGGCCCAGGAGTAAGCATGTAGAGAAGCTAGACATACAACTGAGCAGAAGTGCAAAATTATATAAGTACCTAATAACTCGCGTACTCTATCAGATTACTTTATCCGCAAACGGCTGGATCATAATTTAACGATTGGCTTTACATGTTTCCACAGCTGTTCTTGGGCGCTCTATCATAGCTCATTAGTATGTATGAGGCTCATTGTCTACCCCGCCACCATCTATTGCGACTAGGTTGGGCGGTGCGATCCTGGACTACGTCACCGCCTGCCCAAGTTTAACCTGCTAATCCATGTCAGGTATGCAGGTCGATCAACTTGATCACGTTTAACTATCATCAGCAGAGACAGCGCCTTATACCACCGGCCTTGACTCGATCACGTCTTTTTTTTTTTTTTTCAATCACACCAAACACCACAACGTGCGCGACCCTGTTATACCAAGGTATTGGCTCATCAACTCAACTGCTCAGCCTAAACGCGTCCCCACCTAAACAACCTTCACAATCTGCTCTGCTCGCCAAACACATAACAGTTAACACCACGGCAGTCTTTAACAGTCGGCGGGCTAGGGCGCAACTGAAGCCAGTCTCTGGGCTACTATGGTAGTGATTTGCAGTGGGAGCCATGTTACGGAACAGGGCCCTGGCTGTTTTGCAGAAGACCTACGATGATAGTTATCTAAGTTGCTCGACTGCTATTTACTATGAAGGCCAGGTAAGACTTGGCGATTTCGCTTCCACCAATTATCTACTAATCACTGGCTTGGGTCCTAGGGTAATGAGATAGAAGCCATGCGACATTGGCGAGCTGCCCTTGATCAGATCTATGATTACAATGCAAACCGGGCACCCCCCGCATATGGCCCACGTACAGACACCGAGAAAGCCTTACAAGAGGCTCTGAAACAGCTCGAATTACAATGTAAAGAACGAATCGATCTTCTGGAAGCTCTCAGAATCTCGCGGCAAGAAGAGATGACCACCCCGCAACCACCACCCGGCAAGTTGACAAAGCGACCAAGTATTCCTGAGGGAAGAGGTTCTCTTGGACAGGGCACAATCACCGCCATGCAGTATTCTGAACTATCACGACCAACCCTTCCACACCGTCCATCACAGCCTCGGCGTACATCATCAGAACTCGCTATCGTGGATGGACCCAGCACACATCTAGATCCAAACATGGCCTTCCCGTCGCTTTCTCGATCTGCATCGCCTGGAGGACCAGCTCTACCGCCGAGACCGAACAAGACTTTACGGACACCAAGCCCAGAAAAGCACACCATGAGGACGACTTTACGTTCCGGTAAATTAGGAGAAAAGTCCACCAAACCGCGAAAGCCAGCAAAGCCACTCGCCGAAGGATCAAGCAAAGCAGCGACTTTGGCATGGAGCGCGCTCGGTTCAAGGGAAAGATTCGCGAGGGGGGCCCAGTCGGAGTCCACTCCAGCAACAGCGAGCCCTAGCTCTCGCACTTCCTTGGATCAAATTCGCAGGCCAGTACCAACGCAATGGGATAGTCACTCGAGGCGTTTGGTTGTGCCAAAGGACCGCGATCTTGATGGAGAACCTTCAGGAAATACACGACACTCTGATGAGTACTGTTACGCCCGTCCATCCATGCTATCGGTCACTGCTGCTTCCAGTGCTTTAAATTCGTCTTCGTATCAAGATTTACCTTCATCAGATGCTTACACAAGTCGAACGGATCGATTGCCCAACTCGCGCAACGGATTCGCTTCGCCATCGCCACGCAAAGTATCGAGGCAAGAGCGAGCCAACGATACTGAGACCGGCGACGATTCTGGAGAGGCATCAGAGAGGAGAAGTGTGTCAAACAACTTACCAATCCGTAGTCCAGCAGCGAGGCAGCCTGGAAGATCTTTAAAACCCTCAAGGCCTCATGCTGAGAGCAGAGATAGGTCACGACGGCGTGAACGCAAGGTTCGGCAAGTCTCCACCTCAAGCGCCTCTGACGATGACACGAATGGGACAAGTTCCAGACCACGTCGAGTGAAGGAGAAAGAAGCTCCTATAGAAGCCGGTTCCCAAGAGGATGATTCAGATGCGTCTGAATCAGAGACTTTAGAAAAGTCCCCTGACGATATGAGTGAATGGAAAAACAAGAAGAAGCAAATTTTGAAGAACCTGCCCGCTGGCGTCGATACAGCAGCCGCCAAGCAAATATTAAACGATATTGTCGTTCAAGGTGACGAGGTTCATTGGAGTGATGTGGCTGGTCTTGAAATTGCAAAGAACGCACTTCGAGAGACTGTTGTTTATCCATTTTTACGGCCCGATCTTTTCATGGGCCTCCGAGAACCAGCCAGAGGAATGCTCCTATTTGGACCGCCAGGAACAGGAAAGACTATGCTCGCGAGGGCTGTGGCAACAGAGTCTAAGTCAACATTCTTTTCGATTTCGGCAAGCAGCCTGACAAGCAAATACTTGGGAGAGTCGGAAAAGCTGGTACGAGCTCTTTTTGGATTGGCCCGGACACTGGCACCCAGTATTATCTTTGTGGACGAGATCGACTCGCTGCTTTCACAGAGATCAGGGTCTGGAGAGCACGAAGCCACCATGAGGATTAAGACAGAGTTTCTTATTCAGTGGAGCGATCTTCAACGTGCTGCTGCTGGAAGAGAAGCGACCGAGAAAGACAAGGAAAGGGGGGACGCCAACCGAGTCCTTGTGTTGGCGGCGACGAACCTCCCCTGGGCAATTGACGAGGCGGCTCGAAGACGTTTTGTGCGACGACAATACATCCCGTTACCTGAACCGACTACTCGCGAGACACAGCTCAGGACCCTTCTGGGTCAGCAGAAACATGACTTGTCTAATGATGATATCCTCAAGTTGGTGGAATTGACAGATGGTGGGTAGTTCTTTCATACGTTTCATGCAAACCCAACTGATTTGTGATTGCAGGTTTTTCGGGTTCAGATATTACAGCCTTGGCTAAGGATGCAGCCATGGGACCATTGCGATCCCTTGGAGAGGCACTGTTACACATGACTATGGATGAGATCCGACCAATTCAATTGTCCGATTTCGAGGCGAGCTTGACGACCATACGGCCGAGTGTCAGTAAAGCTGGTCTAAAAGAGTACGAAGACTGGGCGACAGAGTTTGGAGAAAGGGGGGGATAGATAGACTGCAATTATTCTGGTAAACAAACATGTAACAAAAAGGCACAGGTACATTGTATGCGCAGGGGCATCATGGATAGCACAACCCCAGTCCGACACACTGGGCTACGGGTAAAGGAGTTGTAAACGGGCTGAATGTCTAGTATGTCATTTATATGTTACAAATGGTACAGTTGGTTAACAGCTCCTTCTCTGTTGCCATGATCCTCCCGCATGATATCGTACAGAACCTAGCTGTTCCAGCCCTCTGTTCCTATCGCCTTGTCCCAAAAAGCAGGTATCCCGCATTGTCCATTCCTATCTCATCACCTGGAGATGTTCCAGTCATGTGTCGTAATATCAAGGTTGAATAAGTTTAATCGACGTCGCTTGCCGAGGTCTGAGGTTTGCGCTTCTGCTGAGCTTCCTCCCATGCTTTACGTTTGGCCTCCTTCTTTTCGTTTTCCAAACGCTTCTCTTCCAGCCTCTGGTTCTCCTCTTCTTGTCTTCTCGCCGCCCTTCGTTCATCCTTCTTGGCCTTCTTAGCCTCGTAATCCGCTATCCTTTCCTCTAACGTGGGCACGGGAGGGCGCTCTGTGATGGGCGTTCCATAAGGCGCAATAATGTGCTTGATAACGTGACGCTTGTGCTGGGAGGTTGGCCATCCAGGAACAATGGAAACGACATCACCGGTTCGGAGGGATGAGTTGGGATCGTGGACGAGATAGTGCTTAGGGTCGGCAAACCACTAGACACCCATTTTTAGCCTATGTTCTTGATGCTATGAAGTGCACTTGGGAGTTCTCTCACCTTGTTGACGATCTTGTTCCATTTTTGACCGCCAACTCGGACCTTGACAGTCTTGTCCATTAGGCCAGCAGAGACAACAACACCATGAAGCTCGTGTGTCACACGGCGCGCAGCCTTTGCTACGGGAGAAGACATGGTGAGTATGTCTCTTCTGTCCAGTTGAATGTTGACTCGCTTGTCTGGCAGGCCTGAAGTGTTGCTGGTTCAACAGTTGCTCGTCACGGTCAATTGTTCAATATCCAACTCGTAGGGGCTCTCTAAAATTCGGTAGCCAATGAGGAACGGTACAGGGTGTGACAGAGATTATGTAAGTGCTCTACGATATGGGCCCCGCCGATTGGCTGGATAGGACCGCACACGACTCGACGATATCCTTGTGCCTGCAACTTCTAAGCGAGAAATCATTTAACCGCACTGCTAGACGATGGGGAACGAGTTAATGTGATGATTGTCTCTTTAGGCGTTAAGTGAGACCATATTGAGTACAAAAACGTCTTTTTGAGGGAATTATCGGTCATTATACAACGATTTCATCCTTCGAAATACTCCGAACCCGCACGTCCTGCCCGTTCGGCATCCGGGACCCGTGACAGTGCGTGAGCTTCGGCGAGATGTGGGGGCCGCTACCTTCAGAATATGGCTTGGCCTCAGGGTTCAATATCCGTAGCACCTTGTTTATTGCGAGCACCGCTTTTTTTTTTCCTCAGAGACTAATTTTCACCCTTTCTTTTCATCTTGACCTGCACGCGACAAGCTTCAATTCAACCGACAACAATCGCATATATACACACAATCGTATTGTCTCGGTAACTCACTGTTCCAGTATCTACCGATTCATACTGTCTTGTCTGTCCGTGACTGTTTCGAGACACTCTTGAGTAACCAACATCCAAGCTCAACTCCCCCACTTACCTTTTTCTCTCGGTCTCGCCCTCTCTCTTCTCCTTCATCATGTCTTCGCCCGAGCGTCGAACTGCTGGAGTCAAGCGACCTCGTAAGAGCCAACCAAGAACTCGACCTGCAATTCCTACAGAGTCGTCATTGACATGTTGGAAAATATAGGCACACAATCTCTCCCTCCCCCCTCGCTGCCTCAGTTGGTTGCCGAGCAGAGCACTCCCATCCCTCCCACAGACAAGGACTCTCAGCGTCTGATCGTCGTCCTGTCCAATGCCAGTCTTGAGACGTACAAGGCTTCTCACGGAGGCACCAGCCGCAACCGTGAGGACAAGTACTCTCTGCTCAACAGCGATGAGCACATCGGTGTCATGCGCAAGATGAATCGGGACATTAGTGATGCTCGTCCCGACATCACCCATCAGGTTTCAACTCTGATCTTCTGAGTCGGCATTCAACATGCTGACCATTTCTCTTAGTGTTTACTAACCCTTCTGGATTCGCCCATCAACAAAGCCGGCAAGCTCCAGATCTACATCCATACTGCCAAGGGTGTCTTGATTGAGGTCTCGCCCTCAGTCCGTATTCCACGAACATTCAAGCGATTTGCCGGTCTGATGGTGCAACTCTTGCACCGTCTGTCCATCCGCTCCACCAACTCTAACGAGAAGTTGCTTCGAGTGATCCAGAACCCCATCACTGACCACTTGCCTCCCAATTGCCGCAAGGTTACTCTGAGTTTCGATGCGCCACTTGTCAAGGTTCGTGAGTATGTTGAAACTGTGGATTCCAAGGATAGCATCTGTGTCTTCGTTGGCGCTATGGCTAAGGGTGAGGATAACTTCGCCGATGCGCTTGTTGACGAGAAGATCTCCATCAGCAACTACTCTCTGTCTGCTAGTGTTGCTTGCAGCAAGTTCTGTCACGCGGCTGAAGATGTCTGGGACATTATGTAAGACCTGTCGCTGATCAAGTCGGCGAGGGGCCGAAGCTGCGATGGATACCAAATGCCGGCTCGCCCTACGACGATACAACATCGTCGTTGGGGTTGAGACGGTTCGGTTGTAACTTGGAATGCCTGGGGTGTTCGCTGTCGCTTGTTTTTGCAACCAAAACATGGGGCGTTCAACATCGGGTCCGAGACGTGAATGTCGTCTTGATGGGTCATTTCAACCTGACCCATACTTTCCTATTTGTTCTTTTCTACTGTCACTCAGCGAGTCTGTTCTATTTTGCCCCCAGTGCTTGATGGTTGTTTTACCAAGGTTAAGTTGGATGGAATCTACTTATAGATTTGTTTGGGCTTATTGGTCTAATCAGTCAAAGCTTCTTGGTGGGAAAGCCACGACCAGGCATTTTGAGAAAGATCCGGGGAGTTCTTGCGATGGAATCTGCATTTCTCAGCAGTTCGATTTCTTTGAGGATAATGGGGCTGCCACAACGGGTCAATCCCGTCATGGTTCTTCGGTACTCCTCAATACTTTATCCGCGATGGACGGACAGATAAGACGCCAGACAGTCAAAGAAAAGACAATATTTATTGTAAGGGAGGATGCGGATATGTAAACTTGTGTGAAGGTAGCCAACAGATTTGCGTGTGTATCTCAAACCAACAGGAATCAGAATCTGAACCAAAGACATGACTAACGTTGGGACTGAGGCCACCAAGTGAAGCTAATCCGCCGCAACCGCGAGTGTGCAACAGACCAAAAAGGGCTGGTGTAGCACCAAATCGCCCCGCACTTTAGGTAGGTCTCGTGTGCCCAGAGCTATTCTAGCTTGGGTGAAAGAATGGGAAGCATGGAGTGATGGGACCATGAAGGATGTGGACAGCATTTAAGATGGTGCCAGAATAGTTGTTATATGCCAGCACGATTACCACAGTGATTAAAGTAGTCACGTACAAGGAAATGAGTTAGGGATATTGGACATTGTAGTAGTACGGTTGGTTATTTACTACTACCTGAGGTATGTTAGGTCGTCAGTCAAGTGAATAGCCCCCACGCGATTTGAAGGGTAAAACACCGGTTCTGAACCCTTGTGCATCGAAGGAGTGAGCAAACGAACGATAGGTTGAGGAGGCGAATAATAAACATGGCCAGGAGGTTGGTCGGCCGCAAGTTCGAATCGGGCCTGGCCTTTGGCCAACACCACGACAAGTCGTTACATAGACGTGTTGTTCTCTGCCTCGCGGTGGGATATTTTATTCCACAAAATGGCCCTCTTTTCCTGCTGAAAAATATCTAAAAATTACTTGGTTGTTCCAGTCAAGTCGAGTCAAAATCGAGAATCAGACAGAGAGGGCTTAATCCTATTCAATATCTGATGCTTGATAAGGTAGCCGAAGGGCCGGGGTTGGCCGGTCCAGGCCGGGGGTGGATGTGCCGGTGGAGGTCCGGTGGATCAAGCCGGACGCCGTGAGTCCAGCCGCTGGCCTTGACGTGGTCACGCATCGATGGCCGAAAGTCATTGGACCGATTCCCATGAGCTATTCTCCGATGATCGAAAAGAGCAAGACGATGGTGGAGAGGATAACCACGACAACCAGCATTAGATATCTTTTATGAGCCATGGCGTGTCACATATCCTTATCATAGCAATAATCTAGCGAGCCATGGCGGACAGTCAGATGTTATTATCTGGTGCAGGGAGCTGTCATGATCAATATGATGAGCAGAGCTACCTGCCCTACTGAGGGGCTTGAGGAGAGGGGTAGACTATGAGGGGAAGACAGTATCAGGAGGACGGTTTTGGAGTAGCTCGGCTGCATGGCTACAAGAGAGGTCAAGACAGTGTCACCTAAGCATGGAAGTTAATGTAATGTGGAAGTGGTCTATCATTTCTGAGGGAATTCCGGGCCAGGTTTACTTAGTGGTGAAAGGGCTTAAGGAGTTTAGTAGAGCTGTGTTTGGTCCAATGCCCAGAGCTTCCCACCCAACCATCCATTCATTCGTGGCACCATGGATGTTAGGTTGACTGACCCTTCTAGCTGCAGGTACCAAGTTAGGACAAGTCGTTACAAGGATGGCACATGATGCTATCACCGCATGTGCACAGCATATCATGAAGGGGGTATGTTTTTTTATTTTTTTTTACCACCACCTAAATCGGAGAATCTTTATGAATTGTTCAGGTGCTTTGACAACAACGACCTTGAATAGAGCAACAGCTATCCAATTTTGGTTCAGAGCTTGAAGGGTTCAGGGGTGATCATGAGCGGGTGCTGCCGGATAGCGCGGGGCTAGTGGGCCGGCTTCTAACTCAAGACGGGATACGCACTATGTGTCTAGCTAAGTGAACAATTACCGCCGCCAGCAAACACTTCAGGTACCGCTGAAAGATGCACAAGTGCACCTCACAATTCTAGAGCACTTCCATGGCAATTCACGGCATGCGAAGCCCTATATCTCTGCCCACGATGGGGGCTATGGATCTGCCCAGGCCTGATCGTGTCTGTGATTCGACCCAACGTGATAGACTATGATGCGATGTGATGCAGAACCCATGCCCTGCCCACGCCTGACAGAGAGGGGATGGGTACTTGCGACTACTTCTAGCTGGATACAGGAAGAGCACGAGAGGGTCAGATGTCAGCGAGTCACAGAGCCACAGTCACAAGAGGTGCATGACAGGGCCCTTTGACTTGTTATGAGACGCAACGGGAGGGCTGGGTTGGCTGAGACAATGGGCGTCCGGTCACCTTCTGGACGCAGCAGCATAACATCTGGGCAGAGACATTCAGTAGACAGGCCCCAAACAGACCAGGTACCTGAGCCAGTCAGTACCTCCAAAGTAGAGCCCACCTTCACGACATCTTCTCAGGGCATCCCATCCGGGTGATCTTCTCTCTTTAGCTGCATCTTCCTTTTTCTCTCTCTCTTCCTCTTTCGACTTCCCCCCTCGAGCCTCTCCTCCTCTTCTCTTTTACAGACAGAGCCTCTAGAGTCTCCAGTCTCCATTTCTCAGAGCAATTGCTCCAATTGCCTTGAGCAATTAACAGAACAAACATAAACGCATATCCATCCACGCATCCCTGCCTCGTCTATTCGGTCAAGGGCCTTGCAATTGCATCGCAGCTTTGTCACATTCAATACCGGATACCTTACCCTGTTGTCCAGGCTCTTGTTATTACTCACTACCTCACCATACCGTGCCTATCTGGAGCCACGAGGATTACTCACAGTCTCGGGTACCAATCGGTCTTTGCGTGCTCTTACTCATCTCGCATCTTGGACTTGGCCATTCATCTTTGACTCTCTTGTTTCTTGTTGTGTTGGGCGTCAAAGGTGTCGGTCCAAGCAGCAATTGACCGACTAGACTAAGGAACAGACAACTCACCATTCGACTTAGGCCACTCACAATACCTCACCTCACCTTGCCTTGCCTTGCCTTACCGTACCGTACGGATCCATTCAATTCTCTCTGGGCTTCCGCACGGCACTAGCTCAGCTGGACAACTCACTCACTCAGTTACTCATCTCAGGGCATCGAATCGGATACGCCTTGTTTCTTACCTTGGGTCGCCTCGGAATCCCTACCCTTTCATTCTCGACCGCCTTCTCTCATCCACTCCGCCACCTCACCCGGCCAACATTCTTGCTTGCCTCGCTGTATTTCTCGCTATCTATCTGGACCATTCTTCTTCGTGGATTTTTTTTCCTTCTAATCTGTCGTTTTTAAAATTTTCGGTTTTAATTTTCTCCAACAATTTGGGGTTGCTACTCTACTCCTGGTTCTTCATTACTCATCACCGCCAGCCTTGACCGATATTCCAGTCTCCCCACCAGCCCCCTCCTCCTCTTACATATTGCTCAGCCAGTAACGCTCGAGCAACGCATTCGTTCAGTTCCAAAAGTCTTTGGAGATACTCCAAGACTCCAGCAATCTCGGCCAAGGCATCCGAGCGGGTACCTCACAGCAGGCAGCCGATCGGACAGTCCTGGCACTCAGAGCTCTATAAGAGACCATGACACTACCATTCGTTGAGGTGTCACATTTGGCACAGTCCTCATCTTTCTACTCGGCAACTCTTCAGCTCATTGGCCTGCGCTTCTTGAACGAGTCACGCGAACAGAACTCGTCCATTGGGACTATCACTTACGGAATTCCAGCTGGAGCCGGCAAGTCTGGAGGCAAACGTGGTGACGATCAAAAAGGTGGCACGCCAGTTCTGCAGATCCGTGAGGTTTCTCGACCTTTCGAACCCGTCAAGCTCTCGACTCTGGTCTTTGCGGTACCATCCACTGATGCAGTGATCGACTTCCACGACTGCGCCTTCACCGCGAATCCGTGGCTGAGTATTCAAACTGACGGTGACCCAATCTATCCCGGCGGCCCCAGCCCCAGACCTCGTTTAGGCTTTGAAGGCGGTGAAACCCCAAGACGAGCAACAGTACGTGACCTTGACGGCAACACCATCCAGGTCGTTTATCGACAGCCTACTTGTCCTCGGGATTATTTTGGTCGAATTATCGAATGGACTTATGACGGCACCACCGCCCAGCCAAACAGGAATCGCTCTCTTTCACAACCTCAGCTTCAGCCTGTTGCTTCCGCTCGTTCGTCTTCTTCTTCCATAAACGGGCAGTCACCCTTTCAGCCCCGTCAGTCTCCTGCCAAACACGGCCCCAATACCGTCACAGCTGCCGAGATGACGCAACGTGCTGCCTCTCGTGCCGATGAGGACGAACCCGTGTCTGTTTCCCCTCGCCAAAGCTCCAATAACAACGGCCTAAGTACTACCACTGTCGTCGGAGCCATCCTCGGAGTTGCTGCCGCTGGCGCTGCCCTCACATATGGCTTTGCAAGCCACAATGCAAAGGAACGAGAACGAAAACCAAGACAAGAGTATGAGCCCCCGTCACTCCCACGACGCTCAACCTTCCCCGAGAAGGCCCCGACGGTTCACAAACTACACAATGACGAGCGTCGAATTACCTACGCTGACTATCCTCCCACGGCGTCACAATATCCGCCCAAGGCACTGCCTTATCGAGGACATGGTGGTTTTGCCCCTCAGGATATGTATCCCGAGGGATATCCTTTCCAGAAACACATGCAGAATGACTATGCTCCCCGCAAGATGCATCACGAGTCGTATCCGCCAAGGAATCTCGGTTACATAGAAGACGACAGCAGTGAGGACTCTCCAGACGAGCCGGTCCGCCCCATCCAATACCTGACGCAAGCCCCCTATGATGAGGAGAATCCATGGTCAAACGAATCCCGAGCCAGAAGTCGGAGCAGAACCCGGAGTGTAGCCAAGAGCACTGCGAGGAGCGTCGCTGCGAAGAGTGCTGCTCCAAGCACCAGAAGTGTTGCGAAGAGCACTGCAAGGAGCGTTGCTCCTTCTCGGGCCCGATCGCGAAGTCGAGCCCCAGAGGAAGGATATGATACCACCCGAAGTCGACGCTCGTCAAGGCACCCTCCCCCAGAAGACGCCTATGAGTTTGTGGAAACACGCAGCCGTCATGCGTCGAGAGCTCCGGACGATGGCTTTGAGACACGGAGCCGTCGTGCGTCAAGGCCGCCACCTGAGGATGGATTTGATACACGCAGTCGCAGGTCGTCACGACCTCCGGAAGATGGTTTTGAAACAAGAAGCCGTCGGTCTTCCAGGCCTCCTATAACTGACAAGTCTAGGAGCGTCAGAGCCCGCAGCGAAGCAGGTGTTACTCGCAGCAAGTCTGTAGTATTAGTGGACGATCTCCGAAGTGAGGCACCCGTCAGCCGGAAGTACGACGACCGCCGAAGCCATGCCGGTTCCCGAGCGCCCAAGTCATCACAATCAGTTGTCCGTGGTCACCGGCCTCCGTATGACGATGAGCGGACATACTTTTCAGCTCGGTCACGCCCGTCTTCACGAGCTCCTCGTCGATCCTCCCGCACTGAGGTGGAGGCCGACATTATGGAAGCACCAGAGGTCCCCGAGGTGCCTGACGCGCCTGAAATTCCTCTGGATCCCGATGTCTACGAAGCCCCCGACATGCCAGACATGATGCCGAGGAGTCGGGCCAGGAGTCGGTACAACGTGCCCCGGATGGCCACTGGACCTGATTACCCACACATGGGCTACCCAAGCAAGGCTCAGAGCTACGTATCTGCCAGGAACGTTTCGCTTCCAATGAGCGGCATTGGTAGCAGCCATGCTGATTGGGATGACGACATGGTCAGTGTTGCTCCAAGTGACAGTATCAGCTGTGTTGGGGTGAAGCCGAGCAGACGAAGCCGCAAGATACGATAAGGAAGAATTACGATTATGAGATGCATTTCTACGAGCGGCGATTAGAACGACACGATTGACGAGTTGATGGGACGGATAGAAAGCGATTCATGCATGACTAGGCCTTTTCAGATTGGTTCGACAGAATGATATGGTCCAACTGGCAGGCAGTATGTTGTTTACAGACCACAGATGGAGCTTCATGGGTTTCTGTTTCAAGGATAGCAGCTTGGATCTAATCTCATGGGGTATTTGATTGGGATATGAGGAGGCGTTTGTGTGTTACTACTATTATGGTGTCCGGGCAGGGCCCATGGCTTTCTTTCCCAGGCTTTCTTCGGTGAAGGGAGGTTTTGCGATGATTTCCTGTTTCCTTGAGTAAGACGCATTGGAATATAGCAGTTTGTTTGGTTGACGGCAAGCTGTGACTAGTTGTTGGATGTCAAGACTGGACACATGACGGAACATGAAGAAAGACAGAAGACATACAAGTATTCAGAGATGCGCAATAGAGACGACACAATCATACAAATACAGAAGACATTGGCATTGCAAGATCACAGTCAGCGGTCTATTGCCGAGTCATTTACCGCCCAGAACATAATCCTTCACACCTCCGCTAGCTGCCCCTCTATCTCGCATCATCATGGTGCAGCCCACTCCTTGCAACGCCCTCATGATCCATCAATGTTGGTGTTTTTAGTGTGGGGGTCACCATGAGCGTCACATTGATCAAGTGCAGTACATGGGATATCACCGACTACTTTACCCTACCTAGTCGCTAGTCTGGGCTCTGAGGAGTGATATCCCACCCTAATTATTATAGAATTGGTCATTGGCAATTCTCACGGTTTCGTTGTTATGGTTTGCACCAATTCATGGAGATGGAGGGGCGAGATGAGGAGAGACTCTCAATATTTTTGTGTGAGATAAGGCTTGATAGATGATCTACAGTAAATACAGCTCAGCGAGTAACTTGACCAAAACAAGCTTAAAGAGTCACTTGTCCCACTTGAATCCATTCACTAGCACTGCCTATTCTCCAGGATTTCTGGGTACATGCCAAAGACTCACACAGGCTTTCCCCTCCGGTTCTCGGACATTTTTCCCCCTCGATCCAACCACAGCGCCACCAATTCACATCGAGTCAAAAGAAAAAAAGTTGTCTCACATATACTTTTTGTATAAACTTACTATTCGGTATATATCGGCTTCAAATATACCGACCAAAGTCTATTCATCATTACCTTCTTCTCTCTTCATCCATTTCATATCAACTTCATCTGTTCAACATTATAATGCCAGAGATTGGCCTGGGCGAGTCCATTCCTCCCGACACGGCACATGTGAGTCAAGACCAAACAATTGAGTGTGTATCTATCATGTAACTATTTTACTAACTGATGTCTTTAGGCCGTCAGTGTCTCTTTGCCAACATGGAAAGCAAATGTCGGATACGAAGAGGGCGAGGATTGGGTTGTGAACCGTCTGACGACGGGTTACCCTCGGTGAGCCGAGCCATATCAACTGTCGTGCTATACGAAGTACCCTCACTTACATGAAACTCCAACAGATTCTTTGTCCATAAAGGTATTCAGGCTTTCGCCAAAGACATTGTTGATCGCTATGGCAGTCCTGGTCAACAGGCCATGCTCTTCCCTACACCGCGAGTGGCAAACCGCTGTCTAGACTTCATCCTCCAGCGAATCTCTCCTGAGCTGGCGAGTCAGGTTCGCAACATTGACTTTACTCTGGACAAGTCAAAGGAGCTCTCGCCTGTGCTGAAGAAGCTCACTTCCACCATCTCAGCTGTTGTTTATCCCTCTGAGGTATTTCCAATTGCCAAGCAGTACTGGCAGCACACCGGCGAGGGCACGTCCAGTAGACGTGCTGAGTTCTGCCACGGCCTGTTCAAGGATGATCTCCTCATCCCAGCTGCTCGATCTCGGACTCCTCCTGAAGCCTCGCAGGGCAGACCTTTCCGCGGTCCAAGACGCTATACTCGCCCGGGCTCAATCGATGGTGTCTCTTCTCCGGCCCCTTCAACGCCCAAGCAACCTTCGCCGGAGACTCCTGTTGAGTCTCTCGAGAGCTCACGTTTCCTTGAAGAGCGCTTTGGTAGAAACCTCGATTTGTCCATGGTTGAGCGTGCCAAGTCTGCTATCCGTAGACGTATCGCTGGAGCCATGGCTCATGACGTTGATCTGAACAATGGCCCTCTACCTGCAATGACATCCAACACTCGCGGCATGCCCAACCTTGAGGAGAGCGACGTCTACCTTTATCCTGCTGGCATGAACGCCATTTTTAATGCTCACCGTGCGCTCCTTCACGCAAGAGAGCCAGCACAGAGTATCAACTTTGGTTTCCCTTATGTGGACACACTCAAGATTCTGCAGAAGTTTGGCCCTGGCTGTCTCTTTTACGGACACGCATCTGCAGAAGACCTCGATGATCTCGAGGCACGACTCAAGAACGGCGAGCGGTTCCTCGGCCTCTTCTGCGAGTTCCCTGGAAACCCCCTGTTGACATGCCCTGACCTCACTCGCATCCGCAAACTGGCGGATGAATACGACTTCGCAGTCGTTGTCGACGAGACCATTGGCACATTTGCCAATATCAACGTCCTCCCTGTTGCAGATGTAGTTGTCAGCAGTCTCACAAAGATCTTCTCGGGCGACTCCAATGTCATGGGTGGAGGGCTTGTTCTCAACCCTGAGAGCAAGTATTACCTCACACTCAAGACTACCATGAACGAGATTTACGAAGACAACTACTGGCCTGAGGATGTCATCTTCATGGAGAGGAACAGTCGCGACTTCGAATCTCGAGTGGTCCGCATCAACGCGAATTCGGATGCTATCTGCGAAGTGCTGCGAACACATCCCCTTGTCAAGAGCATCTACTATCCCAAGTACAATGACTCCAAGTCTCACTACGAAAAGGTCCGTTTGCCAGATGGCGGATACGGCGGTCTACTTTCTGTCGTATTTCAGCAAAAGGAGCATGCTCAGGCCTTCTTTGACGCATTGCCTCTTGCAAAGGGACCAAGTCTAGGAACAAATTTCACATTGGCCTCACCGTATGTTCTCCTGGCCCACTACCAAGAACTGGAATGGGCTGAGCAGTTTGGCGTTGATCCTTATCTTGTTCGTGTAAGCGTTGGTTTAGAGGAGACTACCGAACTTCAGGACACTTTTACAAACGCCTTGAAGGCGGCTGAGGCTGTGTCAATTACGAGCTGATGATAAAAAGCAAATAAAAGTGCTGTTTTCCTTGCACATAATCGTCAATCTGCGTTCTATAAAGTTCATGCCATTACTGTTCCGTACCGATGCAGTCTTCCGTCGTAAATCTAAAGAACGATGTTAGTTGACTGTGCCCTTTACTGGTAGACAGATGACACAGAACTTACAAATGTCATGGTTCTTTCTGATGCAAAAGTCCGTGTCAATCCAAGTCGCTCAAATATGCCGTGATGATAATAATAGTCGTGTCCATGTCTGAGCCTCTTGAGCTCACATTATGCAGCATTCCTGGTGGACATAACCAGGCCCGTAGTCCTCGATACCACGCTCAATCTCGTTCGCGCGCGCTTTCTCTTTGACCTCCTTTGCAAAATATTTCTTCATGTACTTTTGTAGCTCGTAGTCAAGATTCATCGCAGAAGCCTTGAGGACCACATCTGCTCTGCACAATGGGCAATGCTTCTCCTTTCGTCGCTGAATCTTGATGACACAACGGATACAGAATACGTGTTGGCAGTCGAGACGGACAGGCAAGTAAGCTACTGAGAAACAGACTGGGCAAAGATAGTCGTTCAGCTGGGGGACCTTGGATACGAGCTCTTGCGACATTTGTGCGCAGACATCTCGTGCAATGGTGCCTGCTAAGAGCTTGTCTGAGTGAACAACGGTAGGGAACTTTCTAGCAACTCCCAGTGCTGTTCGTTTGTCAAATTCTTTGGCGATGTCAGTATCTCGGGCTTGACAAGCAGTTGGCATATCCTACTTACTCTTGAGAATTTTGGCAACGGCAGTCTTGTTAAGCTCCTGGAACTGCATGTTCTTTAGAAGGGACGCATTCAAGTTGATGAAGCGGGTGAAAGCTGCCTTGCTCTCGGGAAGCTTGAAATCTTTGACGAGATTCTGCTTAGCGACCTGGTCCTGGAACCATTGCAGCTGCCTCAGGGCGACTTGACTTGAGCGTTCTCCATGGTCTTGTTCGTGGGTAGCGAAGAAGATCTCAGCATCCAAATACAGCTCGAAGATTTGTCGCCATCGTGCAAGATCTGTCTTTGAAAATCGCTTCGGCTTTACGACCTGTTCAACTTCTTTTCCAAGCGCTACGATTTCCGAGGTCATGGTTTTCTCTTCCTCCATTTGCAGAGCATCAAGGTTGTTGACATCGCTCTGAAGCATCTCGAAGAATTCGGCATCGAAAGTCAGGGGAACCTCGATGATTTCATACGTTCCTTCGGTCGTACCAGTAGCAGGTGAGGTCGGCGAGGCTGGGTCTGAGCCATTGCTTGTAGGTTCAGCGATGGATTCTGTTTGTTCGGAGTCGCTTGCTGGCGTTTCGGTAATTTTGACAGTCTTTTCGTCGGCGAGAGCAATGGCGAGCTTGTCGTTGGCTTCGTCAGCGAGCGCATCGACCGTTTCGGCGGAGGGTGCAGATGTGGTCTCGACAACGGTTTCGGCTTTTGCGGCATCCTTCACAGAGTCCGGGATTGGCGATTTAGTGACAGGCTCGACTTGCGCCGGTTGGTTCTGGGGGAGGTTGATTGCGATCTTGTTGAGAAAGTCGCGCGTGTTGGGCGCAAGCGAGGCATCGACGGGGACACCATCTTGAAGATGGACCTGTACGGTGAGTTTTGGGCGGAGGTGAGAGTCGGCACCGCCTGTGGAAAGTCAGTCAGTTTTGGGCTGAGACAACCGTTGAAAACGTTGGGGTCAGTCCGTCATGTCATACCGTTGAGTTTATACTTCAAGGCCACAGGAGACGTTTCATCGGGGTTGAGGAGCTCGCGTAACGTCTCAGGATCGAGTCCAAGCTCATGTAGCTCCCGCGCAACTTTCTTGAGACATTTCTTGAGCTGGCTATAGGGAATAGCATGATCTACCCAGTGAGCAGGGAAGTCTGTGAGGCTTAGTTAGACACTAGGGTGCACAAAAGTGATAGCATTATGTAAATAAGGTATACTGAATATGAAACAACTCGAATACGAACAAAACATGTGAATTAGACGAACCTTGAGCTCGTAGAGTCTCTTTGAAATCGTGACCGAATTTCATGGTCGCCAAATTGGTGGAGCAGCAAATCCAGTGTCAGGAGTTTTCGCATAAGAGAGGCACGCGACCACTTGCAGTATAAGGCAGTTGGTGGCAAAAAGACGGGAAAAGACGAAAGAATAAGAGCAGACCAAGCGACGCTTAAGGCTTAAAGACTCGGATCGCAGGAGAAAAGCAGGGGAAGGATCAAGAATCAAGTCAGGGAAATGCGCCGCATCAAGGAGAAGGAGGAGGAGAAGAATAAGTGAGTGAGTGCCATTAGTTGACTAGGTAATTAATGAATGACCTCGTGTGTGAAAAAGATCGATATTGTATCAAAAGAGAATGGGAGGGAGGGAGAGAGGGAGAGACCTAACTTAATGCAGACTCGCCCACGTAAATATTGGCACCGATTTCGGGTAACTCGTGGTCTTTTTCCCTCTGAATGGTGTCTTCCATTTGCTATAGAAGAGGGAAGAAACGGGTAGGGATGAGCCTGGAGTGGGCTCTCGGCAATCTCTTGCCGGCAGCGGTAGAGGCGTTTAAATTGAATGATACCTCTCATGAATCAGACCAACTGCGTCGTTCGACCTTTTTCGCTGACCGAGACTCGAGACTCTTTCAAGCCAGACCTAGACCAGATATTTTCGCATTCCCCCGATCGAGTTTTGCATTATCGACGTTGGTGATTGGTTCACCATGGTATAATCAGTGGTGCCATGGATGAAAAAGTGGTCAGATGACTGCTAAAAAAAGAAAAAACCAGCCTGTATGGCAATGCAAATCTGGTCAAAAAGTCATGATGCCAACAGCCAAGATGCAAAAGATTGCCATGTCCATCCAATAACTGGACTATCGACGTCAAGGCCATCAAATTTCAGACGAACCGCGTCTGTGCTCTGTTAGCTCATCGATCACCCGTACAACTAGTCCATTCTCTTCAGCCTCGTGTGTGATCCAGGCTTTGCCATTGGTAGACCCAAGGTTTCTAGATGATTTCCTTGAGGAACCATCAACAGTGAAATCAGAGATGCAAATGGCATGAAGGCGTTGATCCGGTGATTTACACCGGCATTAACCTGATTCATTCACCGTACGAAGGATATCTCATAATGGCGTAAGAGCGAAATGAAGGTGAATGGAGAACCTACTAATTGTTAGTCATGAATGAACCAAAGGTAGCGTTGTACCTGATTGACAAGTAACGAATATTCAAGACTAGAGCAGCTCGTGTGGAAAGGGAACATGTGATAGTAAGAAATGATGGTAATCAAAAGAACGACCATACTATACCCATTAAGAATGAGACTGTCTTCCATAAACTTGTATGACTCTTTGTGAATCATCCGGCGTACAAAGTGAGATAGCATGGCGAGTAACAAATGAGCTTACACGCTTCTAATGGATCTTTTCTGGAAAACGAAAATAGCGGGGATACATCCTGCGGGGAGAAAGCAAACTTATTTTTATTTGGTCTGATTAAATTGTCTATCTTTGATTTTGCCCCGCGATGCCCCTCCTTCACACAAAGCTCCAAGTCAACACCTGAAATATATCATATATAAATCACTGCCTTTTTTATTATTTATTTTCCAGAAACAACAGATTCGACCGAAACTCTCTCTGGCCCCGTGTTGCTCATTCAAGTAGTAGCCATGGGAGCCCAACAATCCTCAGAAAGCTCCAATGCTGGTGGCCCAGCTCCCGTCGCAAAAACTTGTTACTACGAACTGCTCAGTGTTGAGCGTTCTGCTACAGACGACGAGTAACTCTCTCCGAATATACCCCTCTAGGTCTTCCTACTGACCCTTTCTTGAATAGAATCAAGCGAGCTTACCGCAGAAAAGCACTCGAGCTTCATCCTGATCGCAACATCAATGATGTCGAGACCGCCACACGCCGCTTTGCCGAAGTTCAAACCGCTTACGAGATCCTATCTGACCCTCAAGAGAGAGCTTGGTACGATTCACACCGCGATGCCATCCTCAGTGGAAGAGACGGTGACGATGACGGCCAACCTACTACGTTCCGCAATGTGCGACTCACATCGGCTGAGGAGATCATGGGCTTGATCCGCAAGTTCAACGCTGCGGTACCCTTCGATGACGAACCCACGGGTTTTTACGGAATCTGCAGGGAAACTTTTGAACACTTGGCCATGGAAGAGGAGGCTGCTGCTGACAACGACGACCTCGACGTCCGGGACTACCCAACTTTTGGATCCTCTGACGATGACTACGAGGATGTTGTGAAACCGTTTTACACCACATGGACTGGTTTCGCAACCGTCAAGTCATTCGCATGGAAGGATAAATATCGACTCTCCGATGCCCCCGACCGTCGTGTCCGCCGTCTGATGGAGAAGGAGAACAAGAAGATGCGGGAGGACGCCATTCGCGAGTTCAATGATGCTGTCAACTTCCTCGTCGGCTTCGTGCGCAAACGAGACCCCAGATACCTACCCAATTCGCAGACCCAAGACGAGCGCCAGGCTTCCCTTCGAAATGCTGCTGCGGCCCAGGCCGCTCGATCGCGTGCTGCGAACCAGGAGCGCATGGCATCATTCGAGGTTCCCGAATGGGCCAAGGCTCGATCCGACGACAATGGAGCAGAGGGGGGGTTTTCAGAATCTGAAGAGGAATCAGAGGTTGAGATTCTGGAGTGCGTCGTATGCAACAAGTCGTTCAAAAGCGAGAAGCAGCTTGAGGCGCACGAGAAGAGCAAGAAGCACATCAAAGCTGTTCAACAACTGCGTCGGCAGATGAAGCGCGAAGGTGCTGAGCTGGAGCTTGATGTGTCATCACCACATGAGGCAAATGCGAACAAGCAAAAAGATGTTGCAGCACAGAAAGACAATGTTAAAGAGGAGTCGTTAGGATCGACTCAAGGTGAAATTGTATCACCTTCTGCAGCGGATTCGTCTCTTGCCGCAACACCTGCTGAGTCTGCAGACGCATCAGACGACACCGACTACGCGCCCAGGGATGTTGTCGAGGAGAGAATAGCTTCAGCCAGCAAACTCAAAACGGCTGGCGATGTGCCTAACGAAGACGATGAACTATCAGCATCAGTGCAGGATCTGTCTGTTGATGAGCCTGCGCAGGGCAAGAAGGTCGGCAAGGCCAAGGCGAAGCGCGCCAAGAAAGCTGCGGCTGCACAGTCGCAGAAAGAAGAAGTATGTTGATTGATGGGCATCCTTCTGATACAAGCTGACAACAGTTCATAGCCACGGTGCGGAGTTTGTGGGGAGACTTTCGCTTCTAGAACCAGGCTGTTCGTCCATATTCGAGAGGAAGGACATGCGGAACTAAAATCAGTGACTGGTGGAGGCAAGAAGAAGAGGTGATTAAGGATCTAACGCACACGATATGCATATTGCATTCGGCCATATCACCACTCGGCAGGTAACATCAGACAGCGCGTGAATAACGCGTTGTATCACGCAGCCTGAAACGACAATATCGTGATAAAGAGTGTCATTCAAATCGAATTCAATGTCTATCCCGACGCAACGCCTGGTCCTGCCAATCATTATGGGGTGCAGGAAATTACAGCCAAAAAAAACGCCGGGCCCAATAACCAATCTAGGCCTCCTGAATGGTATCCGTATCATCGTCACTTAGCGTCTCAACTTCGTCAATTGCGCCTTCGCGGCCCTCGCTTGAGCCTCCGTGGACTGCGTTTCGCTGCGCCACATGGATAATCGACTTGCCTTGAACGTGCTTCACGCTACGCTTCCAGTCCTGCCAGTCCTCCTCGCTTCGAATCAGAAAACCTATCAGCATACTAGGATCCATCTCGCGGACATGGATGCGGCGCAGTCGAGCAGTATGACACGATTCTATCTCTTCGCTGGTGTAATCCATCGGGTTCTCGTGGTAGGGGAGGGCGGGCCTTGTATGATGAGGATCAAGGTAAAATAGGAAGGAACCTTGCGAGCCGATGAAGTAATGGGATGAGGATGGACGGCCTCTGCGCATGGTCAGTACTATGAATGTACGAAGAGTAGCATGCAGTACTCACCCTGCGATACCAACGGACTGCGGCATCTGAAGAGCTGCAATCAAAGCTTCCCAATAGACGGGAGTTATCTTATCTAATCCCAGCCGAGTTCCTACCAATACAAGCGTGGGGTGGAAGGCTTCGCCGGTTGGATTCGCAATTTTCATAAAGTCATCTTCGTAGACATCAGGCCCATCGCCAGTGGAGTATACCCTGATTGAGGGCTCATGTGAGTTCGCCAATGCTCTTCACGTTATGTGTTAGTGCGGATATCGTGTGTAACGGTGGTGAGAACCCGGACGTACTGGATACAGCGGGCTGTTGCTGATGGACCAAACCATTCACCTGGATACTTGCCACACGCGCTGGCACCATGTCGGACAAAACTGTGGATTGAGTATGGAGCTCTTGGATCATCGGCGAAATCTTTGAGGATTCGACATTCCTCTTCTAGTGATTGTCCCTGACGCCAGTCTGTACGATGTTAGGCATGTGATATAGTCTAGTGTGGCGGGCGCTTTGACTTACCTCTCCCGAGGCGAACGAGTGCGATGGTGTTTGCAAGTAAACTTTGACCAGACCGAATCATGCATCCCCATCCGCTGTCTGATGAGAATGGGCTCTGATCCCCTAGTTGGCTCTTGAGTCTCATGGACAGTGACAGTGAAGATGTGGCTTGGGGGTTCGTGGAACGAGGAATGGGTTCGAACTCGGATCTGTAAGTCATCCATATCCTTGATTCAAAATCGGTTATGAAGCCAGATGGCCATCCACCGTCATTGGACTGGTCGTCGTATGCCAGTGATGATGAGAAACTGCTCGATATTGATTCTGGTGGGGTTTCTGGGGCATTTGTCGGTATGTTGGGCGATCGAGCTGTATCCTGATCTTCGGTGTCCGACTTTGGTGCTGGGGGCGGCGTCTGGGGATTGTGTTCATCGGACTTTGAGTTTTTCTTGTCGCTTAGCTTGTAGGAGCGTCCAAGACACCAGACTGGGTGATCGTGGGCAACATCGTTGGTAGGTTCTGGATCCCAGAACATCTGCACGATCCGTCGATAACGTCCTAGGTCGACATTGGCCATGGCGTTCTCCATGTTGATAGACATGGATCTCAAGCTTTCATCTGTTTGCTCGTTCGTTATAGAACCGGAGGAACCTAGGAACGAGATACAATAAAAAATGTAAGAGAAGTGCCTCGACAAGGAGGCAACATGAGGCTTCTGGTGGGATAGAAGGCAGCAGATGGGAAACGGGCAGATGGGGTCCTGGCTATGGGTGAGCTTTGGCCTTAGCCTGGCAGTGGGGAGTCAGCTGGGGCCGGCGGGCGGCGGGGGAGAGACGACCCAGTAGCTTGTGACTCGCACCCGGAGGCCAGCCCGTGAGAAGCGCCTGAGGTGGACTTCGGTTCCAGTGGAGCCAATATTGGCTGTAGGTACTCGGTACCAACGCACGCGATATGGGATCTGATGCACAGACCACCCGTGGCACGTCTCGACGTCAGGCTCGATATCTGTTGAATTGCTTGAGTTGAGTTCACATAGCCTGTAGTTGATGGAAATGCTGGAAATTTTTGTGCTTCTGTACTTATATAATCTGTTTACACGTATACATACGCGTTTTCCTACATCCTCATCCCTTCTTATCATAGTGGGGTTCTGCATGTGTTTTGCGGGAAAGTCAACTTTTCATACGATGATTGATCCTCTGGGTTCACTGGGATATTGGGTAAAACACGATGATGTCAGTTTACAACGTATAGGCATTTTAATATGCAAAAGATACAACCCATAGACACTTAAGACATAAGAGAGAATATGCTCATATATTTAACAGTTTATTTTACATGTACTTTCGGTTGAAAATTGCAGATGTCCAGTTCTTGATATTGTTTCATGTTCCCACCCTATACCCAAAAATGGGTGACTGTGAATACATCGGTACGTACCGCGACTGCCTGGCCGCACCCTGCCCGTAAGCTTTCCCGCAAACGCTCAAGCGGATCCGCCAAAAACAATACCGCCTCCCGCTTGTATCCTGCATCACGGCTTCTTTCAATGACACTTATCTATAGGACACGGAGCTCCACTATATTTTCCGAGCCAATCGATAGATCAGCGGCAACGCAAAGTCCACCGCGGGGTGACTCGTTTTCTTTGCCATCGACAAAGATCTGTAACATCTTTCTCTCACCCAAAAACCAGCATTATTTTTATGGTGCCCAACTACTATAAAACTCAATCGGTTCGCCACATTGGACTCTCACAATGAAGGCCACCTCTCCCTGATCTTGCTATGGCCAAATACAAGAGGGGAGCTCCCGCTTTCCGTGGCGCAAAGAACGCCAGGGGAGGACGAGGAGGCAGGGGAGCTTTTCGTGGAGGTGGGAGCTATTCATCAACGCCACCCCGAGTCAATTTTGTCAGAGAAGAAACTGGTACGGATCACCTTGAGGCGCAATGCGCACATGCTGAAGTGCCTGGACGCTGACCTGATATATTACAGCTGGATTCACACTTGCTGACGAAGCTCGCCAGACGTCGCAACATGACCATTCTACATGGGGCAATTCCAGCCTACGACTGCGACCAGTCACTTTCGTCAGCGCTGGACCTAGCGAACCTCTGAAGCTTTTGGATGCGATTGTTGACCCAGCCGACGAGGAACTAGAAGCAATGACCGAAGAGGAAGAAGTGCACGAAAAGGAAGAGGAGGTCAAAGATGACCAGTTCGATGAACAGAGCTCTGAGGAATCGACCGACAAAGTTGACTTCATAGGCCCCGATGACCTCGAGGAAGCTATACAAGCCGAGACTGTACCTGAAGAAAGCACACCACAGGAAGTACCATTCTTCTTTGATCTCACAGGAGACCAGTTGCAAAAAAAGAAGGATCTACCCCCAGTGGAGATACCGGATAGACCATCATCGAGGAGCAGCACCTCGAGCGAGGAAGTGCTTCTCTTCAAGGGCCGAGGTGCGCAGAGAAACGTACAATCTGTGCCTGATATCGACATGGCGCAGATGCAGACTGAAATCCGTGTCGTCGAGCAGGCCATCATCGCTGAGCCGGCCCATTCAGCACAATCACCAGCTCCCGAACTGCAAACGGAACCAATCCGTAGCAAAAACCTATCCAAGAAGGAGAAAAAACAGAAGAAGCGTGAGAAACGCAACGCGAAAACCAAATTTGATGACGAGGAGGATGCCATTCTCGCCGATTACATCGCCAACCTCAAGGAAAACACTGAAGTTGATGATTACTTCAAGGAACTGCTCGAAGGTGGAAGACACTCGGACGATAGTGGCGTATCCGAGTCAGCCAACGTTGCAGGAGATGACACGGATGCTGATACAGACGATGCTGAAGCGACCAACGGAGATGAGGTCCCAAGCGAGATCGATGATGAGACACTCGCAAGACTGATCGCCGGCCAGCAACTTGGTCAAGATCTGGGTATGGAGGATGTACATTTCGGAGACTCTTCGAGCGACTCCGACTCAGACGATGACGACACTGGCAAGAGGACGAAACAGCGCCAGGAATTTGACGATGATTTTGATTTGATGGATTGGGATCGCCCCAGCCTGCGTCGGCGCAAAGGCAAAGGCGCTCGAGCTCAGATCAGCTTCAATATGTCCGATTCCGAACTGGAAGCATCTCTCCAAGCCAGCTGGAAGAGCGATCGTCTCAAGAAATCCGAGCGAAAGAAACAGCGAGAGGAAATGCGTGCCCTAGGCATGCTAGGCAAAAAAGACCCTGACGATCTGCGGGTCAAATATCCAGATGGAATGAACATGGACCAAGTCGCAGATGAGCTACAAACATTCCTGATGGGTTCTGACGAACAGTGAGTTATCATTAAGTTACTTATGACTTTTAACTGACTAGTTACAGACTTAATTTCCCCCCAATGGATAACAATGCGCGCAAGATGATCCACGAGCTGGCGAGCAAATTCAAGCTCAAGTCCAAGTCGATAGGAAAAGGCGACCAACGAAGACCGACACTTCATCGAACGAAGCGTACGCCTCCTTACGTCCCAGCAACCTTCGATCAAGCTCTCAAGCGCGTCAATCGCAAGTATCTTCCTCGCTCGGACAAGAAGGGCAAGAAAGGGAATCGCTTGCCGCCTGCTCGTGGTGGCACTTCCGTCGCGGCCGCTACATATCAAGACGGTGAGGTGGTTGGTGCTTCAGCGCCAGAATTGGGCATTGAGAATCGTGGAAGAGCGATGCTGGAGAAGATGGGCTGGAGCATGGGAACCGCGCTCGGAGCCTCGAACAACAAAGGCATCATGCAACCTGTTACTCATACAATGAAGCGCTCAAAAGCTGGACTGGGATAGAAGTTGGTCAAACGTTCATCATGGCACTTTAAGGAGTTGGAGGAATGCAATACACTGTAGAGATTAGAAACCAGTGGCATCAGGCACACATGTAACAGTGAAAGGATGGGACACAAAGCTTATGTGCACGAATTCATTTGACCGAGACCCTATTCTCGATGTTTATTGTACAACCGCGAACCCCGTTGCCCGTGTGTGAAGACATTGCCCCCAGGAAATAAAACAAAACCATCCGTAACGCATTATGAGGCCCCTAAAACAGGGCTGGATCCCCGTGAAACCTCAGACTCATGACACCCTGATGCCACGCGTGAAAAACCAAATGCCCAAAACAAATCAAGCCATCAAAGCACTTATTTCGTCGAGGAGGAGTACTTGGTGACAGCCTTGGTACCCTCAGAGACGGCGTGCTTGGCAAGCTCACCGGGGAGGATGAGGCGGACAGAAGTCTGGATCTCTCGGGAAGAGATGGTGGACTTCTTGTTGTAGGCGGCAAGCTTGGAAGCCTCAGAAGCGACGCGCTCGAAGATGTCTGGACCAGAAGTCAGATCAAGTTGGACTAGAGAAGTAGATGAAGCGACATACCGTTGACAAAAGAGTTCAGGATGGACATGGCACGGTTGGAGATACCAGTGTCAGGGTGGACCTGCTTGAGGACTGGAGATGCAAGTCAGTAAACGCGTTACCAAAACAAGACGCGATCGAGATGGGAATTGGAACTCACCCTTGTAGATGTAAGAAGAGTAGGTCTCCTTGCGGGTCTTGGAGCGCTTCTTCTTGTCACCAGAGGCGGCAGTCTTCTTGCCAGCATCCTTCTTCTCAGGAGCCTTGGAGGCAGTAGCGGGAGCCTTGGAGGCGGGCTTCTTGTCAGCAGCCTTGGGAGCCATTTCGAAAGATGAAGAGGTTGGAAAAAGTGTGGGTTGGTTGTGTCGATTGAGTAAGAACTCGTGCGTTGAGTAAGTTGGTGTGAGGCGAGAAGATGCTGTTGTAGATGGGAAGTTGATGGCGAGAAGAGAAGATCGGGGAGTGGGTTGGGTTTTTGTAGCTGGCGCGTTGTCGGTGTTAGCGGGTTACTGATTGCCTGGGGGGCGTGCGCACGCGTGCTTGCTTCAATTGCGCGGGCCTGCTTAGCGGCTGGTGGAGGTGATCTTGGGAGGGGACCTGCCAGGCCAGCCCCTCTTTTCTGTTGCTGCTGGTGAAATAAAAATTGGGTGACGGTTCTTTTTTTTGATTGGCTCTGCGCACTCGCAATCACGCTGCGAGCTTTACAAGGTTGGCCCCCACAGCATCCTTTCCGTCATCGTTTGATGGGAGCATCCATTCCCATTCCCATTTTCATTTTCATTTCCGCGTCGTGGTCTCTTTGCTTCCTTCATCCTCTTTCATCCACCTCCCAGCTCCCGCATCTCAGCCCGGGTCATTATTCTCTTGCTCTTTGACTTCTTTCCTTTTACATATCACTTCTACTCATAGTATAGATACTTTTATCCAAAACATGTTACTTGAATCCATCATGTCCATCTCGTGGACCTGTTTAAAATGTCGTGATGACTCCAGATATGACCGATTTTTGACGTGACAGTCTTGGAAGGACCGTAGTAAGCGTGAAATCTACGTAAATCGAATCGTATACAGTCCAGATTCGGGTCCTTTGCGCCCAGATCGGTTCGAGCATCCCTGCCTACGCGTCCGTCTTTCTCATCAACGCGTCCGTTCCGTCATGAAGGAAGGCTCCGGACTGTGGCCCGTCACGGCCGCAACGCATCGCCATTCGGTGTCCGTCGTCGTGAATCCTGAGGATGCCGTCCCGGCTTCTCTCCACACCTGCATCCGTTTGAGTCCCGAGACGGAGATCTATAGGGCTATTGGCTCCGTCGTGACGGGTTCCTGACGGATCTCGAAGAGATCTGATAACGAAAAGCCGGGGATTTTGATTTGTGGACCGTTCACACATGCAATATACGTCACAGTACCTGAATCTGGGGTTCATGGAGTCAAATTGAGGCTTAAATCTATCTCTAAGTACTAAAAAAAAGAAAATTTTGAAGTTGTATACACCTTTCAAAGGTGTATACTGGTCAAATCAAAGTGAAAGAAAAAAAAAAAAAAAAGACACAAAATATGCCTTGGTATGACCAAGATGGATCAAACCTCACAAAACCAAAATAATATCAGACCAAAATGGGTCAAAGTAAAAGGTCAAAGATCAGACCAAGTTGGAACAACAACTTCAAAGAGACCAGGTGGAGGAATCAAGTCCAAAAAAATCACGCAAACGAGAGCGCGACCGAGCAACAACAGAGCAACCGGACCAGACCAGTTTCAAACGAGATGAGCTGGACCTGGCAAAAGTTGACAAACGTGGGAGGCCAAAGGTATCGGAAAACTGCAGTGACTCTGACTGATTGTGAGTGTCCAACGTGTCCTCCAATCATCAAATCGCTCCACGTACAGCAAAAAATGAGGACAGGAGGAAAAATGAAAATGGAGGACGAAAAATCTTGTGGTGCGGGCAAGGTGAGAGGAGAAAGCAGAATAACGCGCAAGTGATCTTGGTTGGAGAGATCAGACTTGACATGGGCGCGCGGGGGCCAGGGCATAACATAGAAAATCGGTTTTATTATTTCGCCGGGGGCCATTTTAGTGGACCATCGACCACTGACCAGTAATGAGTGTTGCAGGCGCGCCAGGGGTGCCCGATTTTATTTTTTAATGCGTCGAGGAGCTTGGTTTCCCAATTTCGCCAAATGCGGCTAGCCCCAAATCGCGTTGCCAGCTGCAAGTGAGTGATCTGGGATCAGAGCTCCCGACGCGCGAAAAGTACTTAACCTCTACGTCCCCCGCCAACGTTATCTCTTCCGCTTCTCATCAACCAATTGTCATCACAACCAGTCTCTTCGCCTCTTCCATCCATCTCAACCAAGTCTTTCAGACTCCTCAATCACTTCATTTTAATCTACCACCCCAAACCACCCAACCTTCAAAATGACTGGCGGCGGAAAGTCTGGCGGCAAGGCCTCTGGTTCCAAGAACGCGCAATCGTAAGCCTTACCTCTTCGCCTACTTTGACGCGCCTTTTCGATCGCATCTTTTGCTTTGATCTCAAGCTAACACTCTTCTCTAGGCGATCTTCCAAGGCTGGTCTCGCGTTCCCTGTTGGTCGTGTCCACCGTCTTCTCCGAAAGGGCAACTACGCTCAGCGTGTCGGTGCCGGTGCTCCCGTCTACCTCGCTGCCGTTCTCGAGTACCTCGCTGCTGAAATCCTCGAGTTGGCTGGTAACGCTGCCCGTGATAACAAGAAGACCCGTATCATTCCCCGTCATCTTCAGCTCGCCATCCGAAACGATGAGGAGTTGAACAAGCTTCTGGGTCACGTCACCATCGCCCAGGGTGGTGTCCTCCCCAACATCCACCAGAGTATGTTCTCCGCTCTGCTTCATCACTTTACACCATCACTAACATCCCTCCAGACCTTCTGCCTAAGAAGACGGGTAAGACTGGCAAGAACGCTAGCCAGGAGCTGTAAATGGTTCATTTGGTTCTTGTTTTTTCCATGCGATGGCTGGTTGTTTGGGTTGTCATGACAAAGGGGTCACGGTTTAAGGGTTCATACGGTTGTTTTTCATCAGTTTATTCGCGCGTTAGGGTTGTACAATAATCCCCCACGGCTATGGTCATGAAATAAGAATACTTCAAAGATCTACATCATCGCCTCTTGGTCCTGCTGTGAATGTTTTCGCCACTTGATATCACCATCCTATCTCGCGTGATTATGTCTTGCTCTCGCTGCCCTGGACTTGGCAAGCCGGCTGTTTGCAACTGCCATTTCCTTATGATCCGCATTCAACTATCGCTTCCAACATAACCATTTGCTTGCGGTGATTAGCTTTCCAACATGCACTATCGATAAGATTCCTGGCGCTCGTACGGATAGAGTGTCGGTAAATGCTGATTCTTGTGGTTGAACCTCAACCTCGTTCGCACTGATGTGGTACTTGAATGACCAAATTCATTTGATTCATGCTACAGTCCTCTCCGCGAGCCCATCTGTATCCTCTTCTATGTACATATATCCTCTCGTACAGCCCAAATAATCCAGTCGGGTTTTTAGTGTCGGTTGACAGGGTGTGGGGGAGCTGTTCACATATCAGTTTCCGGATTATCCATGGCAGGGTGCCACCGGGTAGGTACTCACGGTCGAGAACAGGCGACGGGAGGTTTCGCTCGTACTTGGAACCTGCGGCGGTATCATTAGCATTCTGCACATGACGACTCTTCCCGTATGCTGGCGAGACATACCTCCGGGGGCTGTCGGGGGAGTATAAGGGTCAGGGTGCTTCCAGCTCTCTAGCAGCTTCTCGGTCTCGGTCAATAGAGCCTGTGCATCGGAATCAGCGCCGAGATCATCTTCCAATCGCCAATTGGTGACAAACCCTTTGATGCCGGGGATCGGTGACATTGCGGTTGGCCTCGAATAGTGAGCGAATATACATAGCCTGGCCACGCCACAGGTGTCGATGGACGGCCCAATCTAGCGCCAGCTTCAATGAGCGGCGGTAGAGGGATCTGGATATGATGACAGTCAGCGCACGGAGCTCGATGAATCGGCAATCGCTGGGCCGGCGGTTCGGGAGGAGGTAAAGGTTACTGACAAGGCAGCTCGTCGCGTCGACATGGTTTGTGAGGTAGTGAGAGTACGCGTGACCGGGCCCAGTCGAGAGAGGCTCCTCGCTATCGGGCAATTGGTCGGGTTTCGCGGGGATATCTGCCGTCTGGCGTTCGCTCGAGGGTTTCGTTGTTATGCTGGCCGTCTCGGTCGAGGTTGGGATACCACGAAGAATGTCGACAATGACGGCAAAGATTTGGTGCCTTGTTGCCTCGTTCCGATGAATAGCCGATCAGCTTCAACTACCCTGTACCTCGAAACAATATCGATTCAATGCATTACTGGTTCGACAGAGGCTTCTTGAACAAGCTGAACGGTCTTAAGGGGTTCTATGTGTTAGATATAATGATAAAATCAATTAGAAGCTAGATCGAACGAAGCTGGCGGCTCGATCTTGATATTTTGATAATGGTTGCTGATTTAATATGCATATGACAAGATAGTACTAGCAACTAACAAGTGAATTTGAAGAGAATGTCAAGCTCAGCTACCATGTCGGTGGCAATGAAAACGCTGCCTCAAAAGAATGAAAGCGAGTGAGAATTAGTTTTCCTTGAGTAAGTACAAAATTCATTGTTGCTGGTATCAGTATGAGCTATTCAAATGGTGCCAGAGACAGCCTGGTACAACAGCAATTGAAGTGCACGGACCAATATCTGAATTAGTTTTATGCGACATCCCATTGGTTGATCTTAAGCTGCCAGAACAAGGTAGCTTCGAGCTGAAACTGGGGAGAAGCCGCGCCACATATCGCATGTTGAGCCACACTCGCAGTGCCTTGGCTCCGAAATATGACTTATTCACTCCGGCAATAGTGCACTGACTGAGTGCATCGTAGTAAGAACTCTGGTACTGTCATTGAGCACTCGAACTCGAGGCCTCACTAGCCTCAGTTGCTGTGATATATCCGATGGAAGAGTAGTTGAGCTGGGTCCCTGTGTCTATTTGGCATTACATGAAGGCATGAGACATGATCGACATACTGAAATCTCAAATCCAGCAGCTACGGACTGTAGTAGGAGCAACGACAAGTACTCGGCGAATCCGGTCATTTGAGCTGATATGAGATGTTTATGATCAGCCTACTGGAGTCTCACTGGTAGCGCACTGAACGAGATGTATGCTGAGGTGGCTGATACAAAGTGAATGTTTGTAAAGCAAGAAAGGGGCACCCAAGCTGAAAACCTTTAATTTTCAGCTTACTAGAACTTATAATAAACATGATGGACATTCCTAGAGTGAGGCGGAATATTACTCACACTGCACCACGGGGCAATGTCGCCTAAACGTGGTTTATAACGGGGATACCCAATCCACCAGCATGCTAACAACTACTTCACCATTATACCGAAACAATTAACCAGTAAATCTAAAAGCCAGAAAAGATACAGTGACATGTAGTGACATGGGGCTATATACGATTAGCTGTGGCCTAATTGAGGGTGAAGATGCAGCTGTACCCAGGGCGACGGTGAAACCTGCGAAGCATGGAAAGCCTCTGGATGTGAGAACAAAAGAAGAGCTTCACCGATATTATACCAAGGGGCCTCAATCATACTGATAGGTTGTCCACCTGAAACTGCGAGCTGCGTGAATGTCTTTGTGTCCTAGGTCCGGCTAAAGGCTAAGTATGAACACCGAAGGGTAAACTTCTGAAATTGAGATCAGTACAGTCATGCTTACTCGAGGCCTTACGCACCCCAGTGCCCAGTTTGAATTGAACGCCGTGCTGAACTCCTGAGAAAGGCTTCATGATATATAAAAAGTAGTACATACATTCATACCGCGGATGAAGGACGAAGAAGCGAGACTGAATACAAGTCTAAAAAGGGGTGAACGGACAACCTGAACTTGTGAAAGCATTGCTATAGAGAGTGATACGATTCGTGAGGAGTTGCATAGAAGAATAGCTCTCAGAGTACAGGGTCTCAGGGATACTCACGTCACCAATGTAGCTGGCACGAAGACTTGGGCATTGGGAGTGTTGGCACTTAACGATTTTTACCGTAAAAGTGGCTCATTGTGCATGGAGTACTCAATTGCTGCAAATTTCGGGTTGGTGTTAGATTTGTGCTTGAGTTTCTCTTGGACAAAAGCTCGTTTCAAGAAGTCTGACTCATGGATGAAGTTCTTTCTCCCTGATCCTTGAGATTGTCATAGGGAGTGCGGACGTAAGACCAGCAAACCAGCGGATATGATAAGCAATGTGAGAGAAAACTGATGGTCCAGATATACAGTGACTCGATAGCGACATTCGCCAGACGATAAAATGTCTGAAAAGAGGGTGCCGCTGGTAACTCGGAAGCAAAAGTTACTATCAGGAACGATCAGACTTACAGTCACGGCCCCTAGACCCGAAGTCGACGAAACACAACCCAAATATGTTTCTATCTACCAAAGTTTAGACACTAAACATGAGCGAAAGTCTGTTGGACACCTTCCAATATGGCTAACACCATGGATCTTGTCGTGAGAGTTGAAACGAAGAAAGGACTTGGCAGAGACTGGGTGATTGTGTGACGGCTGTAAGAACTTAATATGAACTGAAATGCCATCCCCAAGCCGAATCGCGACGTTGAAAGGCGAGCGTCAGGGCCCTCAAGAGGAGAGCTTGTTCTTCTGCCATGTTCCCCAGAGGAGTCACACTGGAGTCTCTCAGGACAGCAGAACTATACCGAGAGTCACTGAATTCGTCTGTGTCACTGATTATCTATCAGTACTCAGAAAAGTATGACCAGGGCGCAAGGTTATCACACAAGCTCCGGACTTTGGTCTTGGTAGGGGCGAGGGGAATGTTTTCGCAGAACAACCTGTCACCTTCCAATGGACTGAATGAAACCCAAAACTTCTCACTGACCTAGTCCAAAGACTGCTACTGTTATAGAGGCAGAATAAAGAGTAGAAAAGTGCCAATGGGGAACGAGAGTGGCCTTGGGAGATGATGTTACAGCAAGCAAAACCAGCACAGAATAGGCGAGAAGACTCGTATTCTTATTCATGTAGATCAACCGACGAAATCCGACTTGGGTATCAATATTGCTAGTATTGCACCTTGAAGTCCCCCTGAAATACTGGTCAGTACGACTACTCATACGCATCTATGATACACAAATCCGAAGCACTCTGTACCTTGGAAGACGAAATCTTAACAAGGAATTGAACGAGAGGCGGGAGCGCAACCAAAAGCTAAGCGACAACATTCACGACACTGCATGTGGAGCGAGTGAAACTGGTTCCCGGGCATCATCAGTTCATACTCAAACTTGGCTGAGAAAGGCCACAAGGCCAGCCCAAGAGAGACCAACATGAGAGGCTGGCATTCTTTTCTAACAAGAACTGAAATCGAATTGGCACTTGTCGGTGAAGGATGGGGTTTTCACACATATTTGACAGGCATCAAACCCAATCACTGTACTTCTGGCAGCTGTGATGCCTGAGCAACAGTCCGAGGACAAAGCTTTATACGCGAATGATAAGCCGGATCATCTTTGGTGATCAAAGACTTTGTGCTGGAGAGGCGTTGCTAGGCGTAACCACTGAAGGAGGACTAGAATACTTTCACGCCACTGATTGGCAAGGGACCTGAAAGCCATAAAGGGCACAGGGAAGAAGGATGTATTCAGTACAGAAGATCTCTCCTTATCCTGTCTAGGCGCCTCAGAACCGTGAGGGAAAAGCTGATGTCCCATTGACACGACTGGGCTGGACCAATAGCCAAAACAAATCTGACGTCTCGCTGCTCTGCAAACAATAAGAATCAAGACGGCCTCAATCACCATCAGTGGTAAGTGGGCATATGGTTGTGTAGGCTCTACGTATCGTTGTTTTCTGCCAGGTACGCCAACCTTTTGACAGTTCGATATGCATCAAGTTGCTGTGGGAAAATACGGTTTATCACTACTCCATGGCACGCACATGTGAAACTGGACGATTACAAGGCAATGGGCCAAGATAGACACAGAACTTTGCGCACACATCAAAGGCCAGTATAAACACAGGAGGACACTAGCAATAGATTGAGAAAAGGAAAACATCATGAGCTTTGGCTTAGACATTACAAGCCCTTGAATATTTTAGCGTGTTATTGGAATTGACATTCAGAGGAAGAACAGCGTTGTTAGTGTGCAGGTTCTCAAGTGGCTGGAGCTGTAGTGAATGGAAGCTTGCATCATTATTACCAACTTTCTCATTTCTCGCTTGCAAGTCCACGACCAACCCATATTGCAACTTGGATGGACCCTTATCGCGGAGAGCGATAATACTTCATTAAATGCAGAATGTTTCCCGTCTCAAGTCGATATGCTCGGTATTTCATTAAATTGTGCAAATACGATGCCGATGTTTGAGATCTACAAGTGAGCAGCTGGTGTTTTACAGAGAGTCAATATGCATAGATAACAAATATTGTCGAGAGCTTAGTAAGGATATTCATAAATACAGGCAAACAGGTAGAGAGACTGTTGCGAGTCTCATGCAATTAAATGGCATGCAGGTTTATGCACTGAGAGTTATGCTTACCAGCCTCACCTTACTATCTTATCCATTCTCGCACTACGGCAGTGATTAATGTACCTTTCTCGCAAGGTACAAAGGAGCTAAGCATATCAACCCCACATTTGGAGGCGGACAGGGTTGCCAGTAACAGGGATATGCAGATAAGCGAGGATTGAAGTAGCAGATAGGTAATTATAACGCTGGCCTGTAAGCCACTATAATCCAGGGGGTTATAGGGGGTTTTCTAGCAGCTTATAAGGCAGATATAATAATATAACTATTAGTAATATAAAGGTTATTATAAATCTTTTTAAATTAATTATATATTTTTTTTAAATTATTTAAGCCTAAGTATTATATTAATTATATTTATTTTTTATTTAAATTTTTTAAAGTTAAAATACCTATTTAATAATATATAAAATAAAGCTAAAGGTATTAAAGTAAGATAATAAAATAAGATATTTATTTTTAATATAATATAATATACCTAAGTATTATTTAATTATATTTATCCTTAACTTATATTTCTTTTATTATATTATCTTATAACTTAATTTAATTTATTATTAACCTATTAAGCTAGCCTTAGCCTATTAATATTTATAGTTTTTCCTTAAATATTAAAACCTTTTTTTCTTAATTTTTTTTTTTTTTTTTATTTTTTATTTTTTATTTTATATTAGCCCTTAATTCTTACTACCTAATA